CCCCCCTTTCCACCAGAAGGGAACCACCTGTACACCCATAGCTGTCCAGTCGCGCCACGCAAGAACTCCATGCCAATGACCAGACTCATACCCAAGACCCGAAGACCCAAATACAAAACCATCATTTTCTCATATGCGTGAAATTGAACTGTTATAACAACACCGAAGCCTTGATGTGGGAACGAGTGACTTGGGTGTGACAAACAAGGAAAATGATATGCAGGATGAAGTGAGGTAGGTGAAGCGAGCCTGATTCGATTGCATATCGTAAGGTATTTTTATATAACTCCGACAAGCCACCATGCGTAAAGAGGACGGGGAAATTCAATGAACGAGGCAAGCTCTATATGGTTCTTTTCAACCATATCTCTCAACCGCCCCGGACTTGCTCACGCTCGACCGGCGGATGAAGCCTATGATGCCACTGCCAGCTTCGGCAGGTGCTTGCGGTAAGGGTTCTGAGGCGGCCAGTTCATGGACATGTGGTGGAGGTACAGCCGCGTGGGAGGTAGAATGGTGAAGTGTTGAATTCCTGTTTATTGCGTTGTTATTATCATTGCTATTTTTGGAAGGGTTCGGTTTTTCCGGCTTGGGGGTTCTGCTTACATGTTCTGCTGAACGTCGCTGCTGTATGCCGGCACAACATACATCTGGCTCGGCGAAGGGCCATTGGATGTGTCATCTCCGGGTGCCGAGGGACCGGGGGAATGTGAGTTGCTCATGGGGAAAGCAGGATGCGTAAGCGGCGACATTGCCGGGTCGTGCTGGGGAATGTAGCCTGGCAAGGCAGGCCCGACGCCCACGGCGCTGCTGTGCATCGACATGTGTTCGGTAGGGTCCATATACGGGTTGTGAGACATCTGGTGTGCGGTCGTGTGATGGGTGTCAGGGCCGTCGTCTTGTTTTAGAGACTCTCGTCGTGACTTTCGGCTGCACATATACAAGAGCCCTGCTGCCGCCAGAGTGAGGGCGGAGGCTCCAATGACGATTCCGGCGATGGCACCAGCAGACAAAATTAAGTGCCTGCCACTCGATGAGTCTGGTTCGCTGGTGGCGCTGGATGCTGCGACAGAATTGGTGGCAGCCGCGGTCGGAGAAGAGGTCGGAGCAGAAGAAGTTGTAATAAATGGATTTTCTCTCTCATCTGGCCAGGGTTCACCTGGGAGGAGCATGAAAGTCGAGTCCTTGGCTAGTTGTTTCTGTGTTTCCAAAGAAGTCGTCGCGTTGGGGTTGATCACTCCGACCATCTGATAGTTGATACATGATCCCGAGGCGCCGCAGTAGTAGAATATGGGATTTGTGTCGTTGATCAGAAGCGACCAACTTGGGGGATCGCTTAATTTCGCGTCTACGAGCTTGAAGCCGGAGAAAAACCCGATCTTGTCCACTCCCGTGTCTTCGTAGGGAATGCAAGGGTAGCCATATTCTGCGCGGATGACGAAATGGTTCGCCGAGTTAAATTGGAAGAGAATAGTATCGCCTACTTTGGCGAGGGTCACGTCGGGTTCAAAGGTGTGGCCTCCCTGTATACTCAATCAGTGGAATGTTCTCTCTTTCCATTGCCTTGCTTTCCCCACCCTTGCAAATGCGACTGTGTGCGTGATAGGCCCACTGATAGTGTTTGTGGCAGTAGTACCGCTAGGAACGGTGCTGGAATCTGTTGTCGGGGTCGTGGACGAGAATGAATCTGTTGAAGTAGGCATAGAAGAGTCAGTGGAAGGAGCAGCGCTGTCTTGCGCAAAGGCCACCGTAGCGAGGCCCAGGAAAAGCGCGATGGACCGACGCATTGCGGCCAAATGAGCGAATTCGCTTTTCAAATTTCCTGTATGGAAAAGGTCGATGATATGGGATGGAAACCTCAAAACGATACCTAAACAGTACATTCTTATAGCGAACAACAACGGCGGCGGAAGAAGAGACGGGAATAAGGGAAAAAAAGGGAAGAGGCCAGACGAGTCAAGCCAGCGGTCTGCCCCAGAGCTTCTCGCAACACGACCTGAGAAGGCGTGGGCGGTGGAACTGCTAGAGCCTGATTACACTTAGAGGACGGATGCAGGTACCCCGAAGAAATGGCTCATGGCTGCAAGGCTAGACCTTGTATATATTCCGGATTGAACCAGGGAAGCTCGTCATCATGGCCACATTGGGGAGAATTAGCAGAAGGACAAGATCAGCACTCGTTGGGTTCAAGATTCATGAAGAAGATCGCCAACGGTAGAGAGGTGAACTGTCGCTGGATCTGGTTAGCCAGTCGGCTCAGCCAGCCAGGCAAACGATTCAATCTGGGGTCAACGGATATCGGTAGGTGTCGGCCTCACTGTTGATCTGGTCAAGAGTTGAGACTTACCGGAGGAATCTCTTGCTAGATCTCGCAGCGTTCATCGTTTCTGGCCACCACGTGGTGAAGTCGTTGCCAAAACGGGGTCGTCGTGGCCTGAATAAAAAGCATGTTGAAAAAGAAAAACAGGCATGAGGTTGAAAAGGATCGAGGTTTGAAGCAACAAGATCCACAACAAGTCGCTTCAGACCCCAGACGCGACCAAGAGGGAAACTATGCATCCTTCATGTTCGGCTAATGAAAGCTCGAGCCCAATCGGAGCAATTCGAAGCTTGCAGAGATTCATTTGACCAACACCCTCACAGAAACCGTGGCTGGCGCAGAGGCAGGCCAAACAAGTCCAACCACACCGCCACATGGGAGTTCTGAAGACGTCAGATGAGAGAAAGGGGAAGAAAAGGAAAAGAAAACATTCCATGTCGCTGGTAAGCGAGAAATGCGCCGAACAGGCCAAAGTGGCAGATAGCGTCATCCAAGGCTCAGGGGTACATCCGGTACATATATGATCTGAATATAGAAATCGACCAGCTTTTAATAGTCAAGGCTTTCTTGTTTTCTGGAACGACGACCAGCCCCAGTGTCGTTGCTGGGAGAATGAGAACCGAATACAAAGTTGGGAGTATATTACTATAGAATATAAGATATGGGGAAGAAAGTCAGGCCACCTCTCCCAAGACACTTCCATTCCCTAGCAATGGAGCTCCCCTTGCAGCCCGCAATTCATTACTTCGTCGGATGATGGCTTTATCAAACATCCACCACCATGACTTGAACACCTTCTCACCGATTTCCCAATTATTGCCCGAGTAGGGGTCATTGCCTGATATTCTGATCCCTTCTGCACTGTCTTCGATGTCATAAACAAATTCGAGGAGCGCCATGGGTGACGCTGCTCCTGATGGTCGAAGATCTGGTGGCTGGGACAGAACCATGATGATCCTGTCGCGCACTGACGGCCACGGTAGCAAATCAATCAGCGGATGATGTGCCATTGTCATCTGCAGCGCCGTCGGCTGAAGATTGAGAGGCAAATGGTTGAATTGAGCCATTGCCATTGCAGGCTCTGTGAATGGAGATGTCGAGGTAAGTGACCAGATCATTTCTTGGATGTTCATCCGTCTCGCTATCGACATACACCCTCGAAGCAGTGTCAACTCGGTCATTTCCAAGTGTGCCTCGTCAGGGAATGAATATTGTATGTCTTGCCCCAAGGGGGCTGCCGGTGACGGCGGGTGGCTTGGACTCTTGGGTGGTGGCCCATCTATCCCTGGAAGAGAAGTTAGGGACCATGTCGTGCTTTGGTTCGAAGAGTGAGTGCTTTCCGACAGTGGGGTGCTGGGTAGAGAAGGCAGTAAAATGGAAGCATCCCAGAAACATTGATTATCGGTTGGAAACTCGAACAGGGACGCGTCCTGAGTCGCGAACGGGTCTGCTTCAGGTGTAAGCAACTGACATTGGTTTAAAGTGTCTTCTCGATGAGGAGGACTGCCCTCGAATGTCACCTCCTCCAAGTATGTAGATGGCTCGAACAAAACCTGATCCGCATGGATACTGGACGGGGCATTTGATACTTCAGCCGTAGTATGGGGAGTCGCAATAGTTCCAGCCTCAGTGTTTGAAACTTGTGCCTCGAGGTTTTGAAGGTGCTCTTTTCGTCTCTGTCGATAGCGTCGTTGGGCGAGTACATTGAGCACCCGCTTCCTTTCTGCCGCGTCTTCTCCAGGCCGCGGGAGTTCCAGTTCTGGAGCTTTTCGCTTTACCTGACTTTTCATGTCTGGCATAGCTTCGTAGTGGGTCTGAAAGGGTTAATAATACAATATGGGCAGAGCTGAGTATATAGGTTCGTATCCGTTAAGCTGAACCAGTGAAACGGCCAGTACTCGCAGAAGGAGTTCTTTGGTCAAAATGTAGGAAGGAAAGAGCCCATGATATTATTGAGGATAAATAGAGGAAGTCTTCCTGTCTTTTTGATCTCAAAGCTGCGTGTTCGCCCGTTCCTGAGATCTCCTGGAACGCTGAGGATTTGAGATACCCAGCATAACGTTATGCTGCTGACAAGGATCTGGTTCGACCGGCCTTTCTTCTCTAATGAGCCCCGTCAGCGACAACTCGGCAAACCTGAGAATGTCTTTCTCCACCCGTCAAATCCCGAATACGAAAGCTAGAACGTCTTCCAAGACCTTGTCCGCGTGCGTAAGGTACAATCCATGTGCTGCCTTTTCATAGACCTTGACTTGTGCTTGCTTCGCCAATTGCGGAACGAGGTTCGCTGTGGCCTCAGCAGGCATGCCTGTTGGAGCTTCTTAGTTCCCCTTTTACGCATCATGAGAGCATTTTCGAAAAGGACTCACTCTGATCATTGTCTCCGTGGATAACAAGTATCTTCACGTCACGGCTATCAAGCTTCCTGAGGTCCTCGGTGAAGTCTCTGTTTGTGATGATCTGAACACACCTTTCCAGAGCCAGGGAGTCGGCTTGAGCCACAACCCATTCGAACTTCTGCAAAACTGTCTCAGACAGTTCAATGCCAATGTTGAAGGGGATCCCAAACACTCCGGGGACGGCCGCTCTCGTGAAACCCACCCGGTCCTGTCGAAATCCATTCAAGATCATATCCCACAACTCTCGTGATGGCGCAAGGGGATTCTTCTCTGTCTGGAGCGGAAAGGGAAGACTGGCGCCCAACCAGACGAAGCCCTGGCATTGTTGGCTGATATCGTCTCTCATCTTCAGGTATGCCAGCAATGTTTCACCACATCCCATGCTGGCAGCCACGAAATAGAACTTGCCAATCTTGGTGTGCTCGATCAGGTCGACAGTATCTTGCGCAAAGGTGTCGTATGTGATATCCTTTCTTTCGTGGCCATTCCACTCGCTCTTTCCGAAACCGCGTCGATCAGATGCAACGCATCGAACTCCGTATATCTCGCTAAGGGCCAGCATGAGATGCTCGTACATACGATGAGACATCGGCCATCCATGAATGAAGACAAGGACAATGTCACTCTTGCTGCAGTCTTTGGCTGGATCGTCGGTCGGTTGGAATCGAGGTGGGTTCGATGCTGGAGCATAGTCGACATAGTGCAGCAAAGCGCCATCGTAGGTTGAGTTAATGAAAGGCATTTTGAGGGCACCGAAAGTGCTCTATTGTAGGAGATTGTTCACTTCGATTGATCTTGAAGAGTATGGGTATTTTGGATGTTTGAATCTGTCAGAGGTCGAAGCCTTCTACAACTGCTATTTGTATTCGTGAGCGATCATGTTCATGGATATCATACATAACGTTAGACACCACGATCCCCCATCATCACGATATTTAATCTTGGCGACTGCATGCCAACCCGTTGCATCAGGACGTGACGTATCATTCAACGGCATGTTCACATCGCTAACGAGAGGCATACGTCCAGGAACCCCTCTGGTCCGGACGCATGTTCAACTTCTCAGCCACCATCATCGCCTTGCCTGCTCACAGTCCCTTGTCTGGTCGGTGTTGGCGTAGGACTTCCATCACGATCAAGTCCACGGAGCACAGAACCCGCGCTTCCCATAGGTCTGACCCTACTTCCAACGAAGCCCTTTCGGTTCCGGCCTGTTCGGCCTCGTCCCAGCCAATTCAATTTCAACTGCTTATTGAGTTCCTCCATTTTGGTTTGAGCATCGTCTCCTGTCTGGACCGAACACAAAACCGAAAGACACTGGAGCATCCGGCCAACAATTTCAGTCACTTGTGCTGACGAGCTATCCGTTGGTCTCGCTGCTGGTGGAGAGCTGAACGTCTGGAATGCCACATCTTGGGCCGGGTTGCTCACAACGGAGAGATTGGAGGTTGCGCGAGACCTCCCGCCGGAGGTCATGCTCCCAAGTAGCGTACTCGTCTGAGAGTTGAAGCTACCATACGTCGGCTCGATTCCTTGTGCAGTGCCAGGTCTATCGCTGCTGCCGCTGTTCCCACGGTTCCTATCACCGCTCTCAAAATGTGCGAGGGTCGCATTAATGCTCTCGAGACTCAATCGTGAGAAAGTGGCCTTCAGGACCTCAAATCGCGGAAGGATGATGATATCTCGATATATGATCAGGAGGATGCGTCTGACTTCTAGTTCTTCTCCCGCAGCGACCACAAAGTCGGTCCCATTGCCGACGGCTGGGGACGAGGATAGCTTGCCGCCACTCTCTGCACTGGGAAGAGCCCCCCAGAATTCTGCCGCCATTCTTGGGCTTGTCAGTATGCTGCCTCTTCCTTTGAACTCTTGATCGAGCGGAAGAAAGACGGCTTGCATGAAAGGCAGGATGGTGCCAAAAACCTGCATCCACATGCTCACCAAATGGGGGACAATCCTATCATCCGACACTTGACGCAAGGTGTGATTGAGGCTAAGAAAGCCGGTCTTCAAGAGGTCTTCCAAATCACCAATAACGATGCTGGGGTCTCTCTTTTGTACGCATCTCTGCACGTGGATCGTCACGAGTTTATTCAGGTCCTCCACGGCAATCCGCACGTCCTCCCCTTCGAAAGCCACGAGAATCTTTGCTCTTAAGAGATCCCATGCATCGTCGGCCGACATGTTCGAGAGGCCAAAATTCGCCCCAGCTTCTTTGACTTCATAGTACGAGTTGAAATTGGTTATTGATTGATTTGTAAAGCTGGTGCCCAGGGAAGGCCACTCAGACGTGTCGCTTTCGCCCCGACTATAGGCAGGCTCAAGGCCGGCTAGTGCCTGAGCCTTTTCCTCCTTCTTCTTCTCCCTCAAAGCACGACCTCCATGGCGGAGATCAAGTCCGGAAACGGATTTGGAGAATGTCGAAGATGGGGCCGGCGAGGATGGGGCGAAGGAATACAGGGATTGGGGATTGTTGATATCCACCGGCCTCGAGTTTGAATTTGCCGACGAGAGAGGAAGTGCGAAAGTGTCGTCCTTGTCCTTTAGTTTGAGCTTTTGCCGGAGACCATGATGCTTGTGTGATTTGTCCTTCTGCTCTGGGATTGGTACAATGGTTGCTGATGACGGATTGTTGAGCTGGTAAAGCGATGAGTTATTGGAGGAGAGTGAATCTGCCAGACTCGTCGTCGAAGCATTCATAACCTTAGACAGACCACTTGGTGCAAGTCTGTTCGGGGAAGGCAGAGACTTCTCTTTGGGTTCCTTGTCTTTGTCCCTCGACAGCACCATGTGTTTTGGCCTGAACCTCTTCAAACCTTTCTTTGATTTCTCCTCTTCTGCCAATGATACCTGGCTGGACGACGCGAAATTCCGAGGGAATACTACACTAGCCGCGGTTGCGGCAGCATTGCTGCCGATCAAGCCGTTTCGATATTGTTGGTCCTGTGCGCTCGCTGTTGGCGACTGGCCATCATGTGATCCTGTAGACCCTCGACTGTCACGGCGGCTCTCCTGCTGGTTCTGCTCGGGGGGGAAAGGGACGGTTTGAGATCTTTTTCGGCTGTGATTCGTAGCATTGAGATGCTGCATGGCGGCCTGGGCCGCAATCTGGGAAGGGGTAAGTCCAGGCATGCCTGTGTGGTCATGAAGGGCGGACTGGCTCGCAAGAGAAGCAGAGGGCATCGATGGCTCGAAATAGCCTTGTGAATGTTGGCGAGGACGATGTTTCTGAAGTTCCACAGGAGGTGCTAGGCTTTGTTTTCCAGCGCCATCCCTGGGCATGTATGACGCAGACGGCCTCGCGTGAGATGGTAGAGAAGCATTGCTATTGTTGTTGTGAGACACGAATGTAGGTAATTGTTGGGAGTAGGGAGATCTTTTCACAACAGACAGGTTGGAAGACGCGGACGTGTCACTTCCACTGGAACCTGGTCGGTTGCTTTGTTTCGAGGCTGAACGGGATGGATTCGGAGAGACGGAGGCAGGAGGAACCGGCGACCGTAGACCAGTTCGGCGCTGAGGCGGAGGCTCCATCTTGTCAATCTGGAGGGAGAAATGGTAGATTTATAGGTTGACGTTCGTATATTGTCAATGCAGATGGTAGCGGGCGTTGCAAGAAGGAGATTTCAGTGACCGGGGGCACCAGGCCGGCTGCGCATGGGCTCCTCGGGCAGATACAGATTCGATTAGCATACTGTTATCGCGCTGCCAGAAGCGGCGGCGGGTGCGCATCCATTAAGACGGTGTGTGCAGGCAGAGGATGAAGTGTGTGAAAGCTGTGCGCAAGTGAGAAACAAGACAGGGACGTTGGAGAAAGTTTGGCCCCCCGCCCCTTCGGGGGCTCCCCGCCGCAAAGTCACTCGATTCTTTGAACTTGTTTGTGATGGCTCTGTAGAAAATCCTTCCGCTCATAGGTACTGTGCTAGTCGTGACAACATTCAGAAAACCATGCCGGAGAAAATCGAAGCCTCTTCAGCGACCCTCAGGGCCACATATAATTCTCCATCTGGGCCCACGGACTTCCAGCATGTCATAATTGCCCCCACGCCGGACAATGTGGGATCTATCGATACCCAAGCAAAGATGATATACCTCTCGGAATTGCGGGCTTCAAGCAAGATGCTACAAGAGGAGATTAACCAATTCCTGACAGATAAAATGGAAGAAGACAAAAGGGCGGCTGGGCAAGAGAACACAAGCGAGACATCAAAGCAAAAGACGAAAGATGAGCTGGAAGAAGAGAACTATGGTGAAGAAGCAGAAGACGACACATGATGGATGGATGTCTAGGTTACGCCCTGTAACATCCGCTTTGATTGTCGCTCCCCTCCAGTATGGGTATCGTCGAATTACAGAATGCTCCACGGTCATTGTGGACGACCATCATCAAGGTGGCTGGGCTTTGCCAGCAAGCTCGTTCTGCTTTCGAACGGCACATCCCAGGTGGACGACAGAATTGCTGGAAATGCGTCCGTCAGTACGAATTCTGAGCCATTGGACACAGCAGACTTACTCGGGGAAAACGCTGATGACACTGCCCCCGAGCCGCTTATAGCAGACGCCACAGACGCGACCTTCATCGATGCGCACTTTTCTACTTCTTCCTCCAGATTGAGCGCTGTCTCCAAGCAGAAGAGCCGCTTGCACACGAACGGCTTCTACCTTTCTCAGCCCGGCCTCTATCATTGAGTCGTTCATGATGCTGTTGGCATTACGGATCCGGCCGCGGAAATAGAATTCGAGCTCTCTTACCAAGAGATCTTCGGGGATCATCTCCAAGGTCGAACTTGCAGGTAGTCGGGGACCATGTCGGGCCATCAGTTCAATAGCTGGTCCAATCATTGCCCTTTCCCCTTTGGGAGGGTTCAAGTAGAGGTTCAAGAGGATGTGATAGATGGATGACTGTTCGTCCACAGAGTCATTGGTCGATTTCTGCCGGGAGAGTGATTTGCTGGAGCCATTCATGGTGCTCTCCAGATGAACTTCATTACAATATTCTTCCGCCTTTGCCGGGTTATGTAGTTTGAAGACGTATATTTCCAGGGCTTGCTTGTGGTTGCCCATTTTGCGGAAGATAATAGCGCGAGCCTCATAGAAAGTAGGGTCATCGCGGGGGAGGAAGCCCAACGTCTTCGCTGGAGAGTACTGCTCAGATCTTTTCAACAATGTAAGTAACCTGTCCAGAATTTCGTCATGACTTTTCAAGTTTGGATCTTTCAGTCGTTCAAGATAGAGCGTGACGAGACGCTGGTGTAGTTCGGGTGTCAGGTCATTCAATTCATCCACAACGTGTTCCAAATATCTCTGGGCCAGTCCTTGGTCAATAGACTCAAGGAAAGCCAACACTTTGTGACGTGGGAGTGACTCTGCATTTTCCGTATCGCCCAGGAAGATGTCCATTGCCACCGATGGCATCGTTTCCAAAGGCCACCGAGCAAATTCAACGATCATGTCAATCAAATCTGGACCCAGATTTTGAAGGTATGTGATTGTTCGAGCGGGGCCATGCAATTGAGGATCAATATTCTCTGTCTTTTCCGCCTGTCCGAATTTCTGAAGCCTTTCCAATGCCTGTCGGTGGAGTCGTTTTCCGTATAGGAACTCAATGAGGTCGTTGTACCGCTCGGTTTCCTCGAGTTTGGCCATCACTACCTCTGGGTCACAGAAATTTGAAATGCGGAACAGCGAGCCTGCAAGCGAAGGCGTCGCATACATGTGTGCTCTGAATAATGTCGTATCCACCAGCCGGGCCACGGCAAGAAGCTTTTCTCCCAGATCGACATCGTCCAGTGTTGGCAGCCCAAGGAGATATTCGGTGACCTGTCGAATATCTTCAGACTGAGCTCCGCTTTGTACTTCAGATAGACTTCGCACCGTTTGGTCCGGATGGAAAAATCTCTGCAGCCGTCGACGAACATCGGCAAGAAATGCTTGAAGTTCCCGGACTGCGACCTTGAGTTCTTTGTCCGAGAGGCCTTCGCTGCCGGCGTTATCAGCCGTCTTCACACTTCGCATGCTGGAGGCGTCGGCATCAGAAGGTAGCGATTTCGTCTTTTTCACGGGACTCGTGATAGAGTCGGCCTTTTTATGCTTTTCTCGCGGAGGGCTCTCGTTCTTTGACGCTTCTTCAGGTTGCAGACCGTCCTTTTGCTCGTCCTTCGCAAGGTCGCCAGCTATTACTTCGGGATAGAGTTTTATAACTCGCTCGGGCGGAGCAGAGACCTCCCCGAAAAGGTCCAACGCGTACCTGAATTTCTTCTCGTCGAACAGGGTCTGAGCCTTCTGCATCTTGATTTCCCGTAAGCGCTCAGCCTTGTTCTTGATCAGAGTTTCCTCTATCATCTCTAGAAGACTGATCGCTTCATCAAGATGGCCGCCTTCAACCAGAGCATCAACTTGGGCATCATAGCTCAGACCTTGCATCCTCCAAATAACCCGCTCGCTCGCGACCAGGAATCCCTTTCCTTGATGTGCTAAGCTGATGTTCGGGTTGGGAACTTGCAACAGTACGGCGCCGGGGAGATCAATGGATTGAAACAAAGTTAGTGTTTGTGGGTTGCGAACTTCCAATACTCCCTTGCCCGATTCTTGCAGGGACAACAGATAAGGGTACGAGTACCCAACTGCGAGCGGAGGTGTTCGCCATGGTATCTGTCGTCGACCGACCGGTTCTCCGTCTCGATCGATGAAATGTGTGTTGATGTCCTTGGCCAGGAGCATTTCCTTCTCTCCAAGTCCTGTCGCGAGGGGAGTCGGAACCATTCCTCCCATTCCAATGTAGCTCATTGTTCCTCCTAGCCTGCTGCTCTCCTGGCCGGGCGAGCCACCGATGCTACCGGGTCCAACAATTGTCTTGACATCGTGGGACTCGATGTTGACGAGAACATAATTTGCATTTAAACCCACCACAATCTTTGTGCCAGTTGCCCACGTCAGCGACTTGATGCTATTTGACAAAGCAATCTCGCTGGCGTCGCCATCCAGCTCTCCATCATGCCACGACCACAACAACAGTCTTCGCTTGACGGCAACTGCAAGCCTGCTGACCAGGGTAGGGACACCAGTTGTGGGATCTTTAACTATATTGCTTGACGCAGCGAACGTACTAGCACCTTTTGATCTTGTCAACTGTTCGCACAGCTCGTATGTTCCCAGATCGTGTAGTGAGACGAGTCCGTTGCTCAGCGATATGAGAATGTTTGCTTCGCGGAACACAGCGAGTTGTTCAATTTTGTGTTTGGAGAACTTTTCGTACTCGCGAAGCAGTTCAGAAGGTCTGGAAGAAGCGGCCGGGGTACCGTCGGCGGTGGGTGGACTCTCTTCATTTGTAGCATCATCTTCAGAGGTTCGCGAAGGAGGGCTTTTGACTCGATAGATGCGTAGAGAGCCGGTGTTGAGACCGACGAGCAATTGGTCGCTGTGGGAAAGGATGGATTCGATTTTGGACTTGTCACGTTGCTTAAGCTCAACGATCGGCTGGGCGGTGAATGCCGATATCATGAAGGATGATTCTTCACTGAGCTCTCGCGGCTCAGGGAAAGGCCAGTTGTTGTCGTATAGACGCGCCGAAATGACCGTGGAGCAAGAGAGTCGTGAAATGAGCCTGCGCGCAGAGAGTGAGGAAGAGACAGCATCTGATTGGTGGGCAAACAACCCCATCTGTGTGGGCTACGTCATTCCGAGGCTGACGAGGCTGGCGAGGCTACCTCATGTTCCTACAAGATGTGTGGATTCGCAAAGGGCTCCTGTGGCTGCGCAGAGATTCGGCAAAGAGTCTGCTACGGCCAGAATCTGTTCATATTTGCCTGGCCCCAGTTCCACAAGCGAATTTTCCAATATTAAATACAAGAAACGGGAGTTCAATCGCTTCAGGTTCATTGTAGGTGACCGTCCTGGAGGCCATTAAGGGCTTCTTGAAAGTTTCAAGAAAAGGATGCTTTCATCCTCGGTGATCCTTTATTCGCTCTTCGTAGAAACTACTCGAATATGGCCCTCACACCGCTCGGCTTGTCGTCGTAAAGGAAAAGAATCATTACATGTCGTTACGTTTCATTCATCTCTGTCAAAATTGCGTTCACCGTCGCCGGAGGGAAAAGGAAAAGGAGAATGATCAACCATGATGCGGAGGGTGATCGTCTTTTGGAGGATCTTCTTCCTCACCCTCCTCCGCCAGTCGCAGAGTCTCCTCAATCATCGCCATATCGGCGTCCAGATTTGCCATCACGCTGTTCAGTTCACCGAAACCTTGGACCTCTTTCTTCGTCTTGTCAAGAAGTTTCTGGAGAGAGTCATTCTCCTTGCTTAAGGATTTTGTGTCCTGGCGCAAATCATTTTCCTGCTTATTTAGTGCTTTGGCGTTGGCGTGGATGTTCTTCGCCCGTGCATGTAGTTCGGCATCAATGCTGGCCCCGACAGAATTGAGAGATGCAGTAAACGCGTCCTTGGCTTCTGCTGTTCGTTGTGCCGTTGATGCAGGCGATCTGTGCGATGCCGAAGCTGCAGGTTGTGATGCGGTGGACATGGCTGATTCAATGGTCACCGATAGAACTGTAGTCTGAGGGCCGTTTTCTCGGCAGACACTCTGGCCTCGAAGTTAAACAGGGTAGATTTCTAGGGAGACCTACCGAAGTTCGAGTCACAGTGAGATGGGTAATATCCAGTCCTCATGTGATGAAATGGTCGCCGAAAATGGCAGTCCGGGCGCTGCTTTAGGCTCGTATTCAGTGCACGTGACTATCACAGAATGAGGCAGCACGCAGCTCTTGAGGTACAGGATATGCTTTCTCACTGGTCCTAGCTGGCAGGGTTGATACCATAGCCATATTAGTGTATTCATCGTGTCATCTTCCCGATAGATGTGGGGTGGCACCGACCGTTCTTCTTGATACTGACCTTTGTCCTGTCAAAGTCCCGTCCAATCTGCATATTGCCGCGTACGTTATGGAAGCTGAGATTAGGTCATTGTTCATTCGCCAGCAGTTTTGTAGAGATGCCTGCGTATGTGACTGCCAATCAACGGTCCTGTCGACTCTTTGCGAACAACTATTGGTTGTTTGATCAAGGCTTTCTAACATTCATCCAGGCATAAAGGTGACGTTGATGGATTCGTTCGAGGTTCAGAAGAAATAGCTGCAAAACGAACATTAGTTTTGCACTCCATTCGGCGGGTAGAGGTCACGGTCAATGACTCCAAAGCATTCGCTCAGTCTGTCGGAAATATATCAGTAAGATGTCAGAAGGATGGTGCAGATTATAATCTATCTAGACTCCAGCTGGTGCCTGCAGCGGAGTGATCTACCCACAAGACAAACATTCTCCCTGTCTTTCCCAAATCGATTTCTCGTAAACTCGAATTCTCAAAATCAATCGCGAAGAGGCGGAAGAGTTACAAGTTACTTTCTTGGGTCCTTCAAAGAAAAGGTCACACCATCAGCGATGAAACTCCCAGGATGGGACGACAGAGAAAGTGTCGAGAAGATTTGGGACAGAATGAGGCGAGTTGATCCTTTACTCTGGTTCGTTAGGCATGTTGAATCAATGCATCGAGAAATCGACCACAGAAGGCCCCATCTCCTTTTCATCCACACAGTCGGAAGTTACATGCGCCCAAGGGCAAAGTGATCGAGTTGAAGATTGGTATGTGGCCGATGGATACAGACCTTGAGACTTGTGAGGGTTTGGAGGTCAACATGACTCGTGTCCATCCATGTACACCTAGTGCAGAATCTCTGATTGGCCAAAAAAAGGGATGTCATCCAAGTCGGCTTTCATGACGTCCATTTCGGTCTCTAGTGCCCAGGCCGTATCATTCTCCTTTGGTGTGAATAGAATGGGGCCAGCTTGAAGAGGAGTAACGTACCTTTATGGGCCAGAGAAGGTGCACAGATATTCATGAGAATTGATGAAGTCTATCATGGAATAAATTTCACGTTGAAAGGATAAAGGTAGCGCCAAATTGCATCTTAGCGTTTAGCTCCACTGGATTTCAGACAATTCACATTCCATCGGCAGGACGGTTCAAATTTCTTTTATCCACGGCAGGCCAAGCTTGTGCATTTCAACGGCCAGTTGGAACAGGTAGTCCAAGCTCTCACATTGCGTTTTGGCCTTGGCAACATTATCTCCCCAGACATATCTGGGGACGTTAGCAATCATCACACCCGTGATTAAGGCCACAACCCACATTCCATGCCGTCGAACCAATACGGCGTATGTGTCGGGGAATTGGTTCATGGCCTTCTCCAAACTCTCGGTCAAATCCTCCTCAAATGGAGTATTCTCAATGATGGGTACTCGCAAAGTGTCATGGAAACCAAGCATGCCTTTGCCTGGCCCCTTAGGGATCCCTTTTATTTGCTCGATGTTACTGATTTCAAAGCATGCCTCGTTGCCATATATCTTTTCAACGAGGAGGGTCACCAGAACGCACCACTGGGAATGCGTATGAATGCAACAGCCAGCTCCCCGTTCAAAAGCAGCCAGGAACAGCGGTGTACATGCAGATGGCTTGAGGTCGAGTGGCTTTCGGATGTAGCGCCGGGCAGATGGTGGGTACTTTGGGGTTGGGTAAGATAGGACAAACATATTCTCGGGTTTCATGAGCTCTTTTTGAACCCCCGATGGAGCAATGAAGACATGTTGGTCCTTCCGAATGCTGGTGCCGCCTCCAGTTCCAGTGACCCAGCCTTGAAAGGTGGTTAGTCCGACGACATGCTTGGTATACCTACCGTCTTACCGAGGGTATAAAATTGCTTGCACAGTCTAGGGATCAGATTTGCAGGATGGTCAGGGTCACTGGATTCAACCAGGTGGTCATTATTTTGATCTGCCATCGAAGCAGCTGCACAGCCGGCGAAAGCGGCTGACGAGAGACTGATCGGCAGGCCACAAATGGGGTGATAGAGATGTCAATGGGATGAACACAGTGATACAAGAACAGAATTATTTACCTGGAAGCCCCGAATTTACCACGTGATATTCAGCTGCCGCGCTAGGACCCTATAAACCCCCGCCCAATTCACTTCTAGCTTGTGGAGTACCAGTAAAGGACACCTTTCTTTGACCTTCGATTTTGATTCAAATACATCGATCCGCCCGTACAGACATCTCAACCTCCTCCTCCCATCCTCCAGCGGTCCTGTCCTTCCTGTCAGACACTCCTCCTCTGGTCGTCCTCTCCTCCGTGCGTGCCCGTCATGCGGTTCAACGCAGCCATTGCTCCAGCTCTCTACGCTTCGGCTCTCCTCGCCGGCAGCACCTTGGCGCAGGAAGATGCTGAGCCATCCTCCAGTGTGATTGAGAAACCCACCTTCACTGTAAGTTAATATTACTTACCAGATCTTCCCCAGTCGCTGATGCCGCTGTAGCCCACAACCCTGAAAGCTCCCTTCCTAGAACAATTCACCGACGATTGGGACTCAAGATGGACCCCTTCACACGCCAAGAAACAAGACTCCAAGAGCGATGAGGATTGGGCGTATGTCGGTGAATGGGCTGTTGAAGAACCCACGGTCCTTCCTGGAATTGCCGGTGACAAGAGTTTGGTGGTCAAGAATGCGGCGGCGCACCATGCTATTTCCGCCAAATTCCCCTCCGTCATCAACAACAAGGGCAAGACTCTTGTCATTCAGTATGAGGTCAAGCTCCAGAACGGATTAGAATGCGGTGGTGCATATATGAAATTGCTGCGCGAGAACAAGGCCCTCCACGCTGAGGAATTTTCCAATGCATCTCCCTACGTTATCATGTTTGGTCCCGATAAATGCGGAGCCACGAACAAGGTGAGTCGGTGCCGTGTGAATCGCGGAATAACTCTCACAATTACAAGGTCCACTTCATCTTCCAGCACAAGAACCCCAAGACGGGTGAATATGAAGAGAAGCATCTCAAGAGTGCCCCTCAGGCCAAGACCGGCAAACTCACCACTCTGTACACTCTTATCGTCAAGCCCGACAACACCTTCGAGATGCTCATTGACAACAAATCGGCAAAGAATGGGAGTCTCCTCGAAGATTTCTCCCCGGCAGTCAATCCTCCCAAGGAGATCGACGATCCAAAGGACAAGAAACCCGATGACTGGGTTGAACAGGCTCGTATCCCCGACCCTGAAGCCAAGAAGCCAGAAGACTGGGATGAGGATCAGCCATTTGAAATTGTTGATGAAGAAGCTGAGAAGCCTGATGATTGGCTCGATGATGAACCCACCACGGTTCCGGACCCCGAGGCCGAGAAGCCAGAAGATTGGGATGATGAAGAGGATGGTGACTGGATTCCTCCACAGGTTCCCAACCCCAAGTGCGAAGATGTATCGGGCTGTGGCAAGTGGGAACCTCCCATGAAGAAGAACCCACTGTACAAGGGCAAATGGAGCGCACCATATATCGACAACCCAGATTATAAGGGACCATGGGCACCACGGAAGATTCCTAACCCAGACTACTTCGAAGATAAGACTCCAGCCAACTTCGAGCCAATGGGAGCTGTAAGTTCAATCAAGCCTTGGTCTCAAGCCGTAAACTTTTTTACTAACCGGTGATCCAGATCGGTTTTGAGATCTGGACCATGCAATCCGACATTTCCTTTGATAACATCTACATTGGTCACTCCGTCGAAGACGCCGCTGCTTTCCGAGAAGAGACTTACGACATCAAGCGACCTCTTGAAGAAGCTGAAGACGCCAAGAACAAGCCTAAGCCGGAGGACCTGCCTAAGTCACCTTCCGATATCAGCTTGATGGACGACCCGGTCACTTTCGTCAAGGAGAAGCTTGAGCTCTTCATTCCCCTCGCCCAGAAAGATCCTATCGAAGCTATTCAGCTCATGCCCGAGGTCGCTGGTGGTATTGGCGGTGTTCTCGCTCTGCTCATCGCCATTATTGTCGGCCTGTTCAGCCTTGGTGGCTCATCTGCTCCCAGCAAAGAGGACATCAAGAAGACTGCCCAGAAAGCCAAGGAGCCTGCCACGGATGCAAAGGACAAGATTGATGAAGCTAGCACCAGCGGTGCAGATGCTGTTCAGACTGAAGTCAACAAGAGGACCACTCGCTCCAGCGGGGCCGCGGAGTAAAGGATTTGGTTCCCAAGGACGCAGGGCGATCGTTGATGCAGTCGAGAGGATCCTACAGCCAGTCAATTGAATCCGAGCGGGCGAGGCAGTGCCGTGGTATTAGCTGGATACAATACGATGCGTGTGGCCGTATTCGGGTTTCGCTGCCACAAAATCCTAGAGACTGAATTCCGAATGAAAATCGGCGCCAAAGGGGGGGAAAAGGAGTTTATTCGTTGTACATCAGATACCTTTGCCAGTCTGGCCCCAAGCAAGGTGGATGGGGTGCAATGTGAAATGCGAACGAAGACTCTTTTAATGTAATTTATGCAGTGGGTGTAGTGACCAATTCTGAACACGTTTTTGTTCCAAGCTCATCATTTCAGTTTTGGTATTAAATGACTTGCCTAGCTTTGCCTCGGTACGCAATACTAAATTGATCCTATGCCTGGGCGAGTGCTCTTTTCCCCCTTGATTCACGATCAATTTCCAAGGATCTGAACTCAAGACATCCTTGAGACAACAGACCTCTTTGACCAAATAGCAGACAGGATCAAATGGATATGTGACGTTGCAACTTTTGGCGCATAGATTTGATTCTGTTCAGTTCATTTGCAGCAATTTGCAACACTTCCTCCATCCTTCTCGGATACGCTGAGATCCCAAACCACCATCCTTTCCACCCTGTACATGGTAACTCTCCACGGCATCAGCTTCAATTTCACTCGCTCACGAATGAGTCGGCATGGCGACCTGCTTCTCCGTAGCGACAGCATCCTCCGCGCGCCAGAGACTGGTGACGGTCTTCCACTGCGTGTAGAAGCGGAGCCCATCCTTGCCGTAGAAATTCGACATGCCCGTTCCCGCGACACTCTTCTTGTTGCCGGTGAAGCTGAACATGGGTAAAGGCACGGGGATGGGGACGTTGATGCCGATCTGACCGGCCTCGAGATCCTTCTGAAATAGCGAGGCAGTGGGGCCGGAGCGGGTGAAGACGGCGGCGCCGTTGCCGTAGGGGTTCGCGTTGATAAGGTTGATGGCTTCTTCGGTGGTGCCAACGTTCAAGCATACCAGAACTGGACCGAAGATTTCTTCCGTGTAGCATTTCATGTGTGGTTTGACATTGGTGATGATGGTTGGGCCGACCTAGATGTTATTAGAGGGAAACACTCATTTCTCTTTTGAAGACATGGGAGATTCTGGAACTTACCCAATTACCATGAGGATACTTGGCCGGCTTCTGGCCTCGGCCGTCAAGGAGGATAGTGGCGCCTTCGTCCTGGGCGCTTTGAATCAGGTCTTCAACGCGCTTCTTGCTCTGCGGACTGATCAATGGGCCAAGATCAGCGCCCTCTTCAAATCCACCGTTCATGGTAAGATTCTTGGCTCGTTCAGCGAGTTCGGGAAGCCACTCCTTGGTCTCGCCGACCATGACGAGAGTGCTCAGAGCCATGCAACGTTGACCGGCAGCACCGAAAGCGGCTCCCGCGATGGCGTTGAGTGCGTGGTTCTTATTGCAGTCGGGCAGGACAGCGGCGTGGTTCTTTGCACCCAAGTTGGCTTGCACACGTTTACCCTGAGCGGAGCCTCGGGTGTAGATGTATTCACCAGCACGGTTTGAACCAACGAAGGAAATGGCCTTGATGGCGGGCTCGTCGATGATGAAGTCAACGGTCTTGGCTGCGCCGTGGACGACGTTGATGACACCGTCGGGGAATCCGGCCTCCTTGCAGAGTTCAGCTAGGATCATGGCGGCACCCGGGTCTCGCTCGCTGGGTTTCAAGATCAAGCAATTGCCGGTCACTGTGGCCAGGGGAATACTCCAGAGAGGAATCATGGCGGGGAAGTTGAAGGGGCAGATGGCAGCAACCACACCCAAGGGCTCACGGTATGAGCGAGTTTCCATGTCTTTGGCCACTTCAATAACCTCGCCGGTGAGTTGTGTGGTGATACCGCAAGCGGTCTCGCAGACCTGCAGTCCACGAAGCACGTCTCCCTTTGCATCTGCAAATGTTTTTCCTTGTTCCAGAGTAATGGATGCCGCTAGACGGTCCATGTTTTGCCGGATTAAATGGGTCAACTTGAAGATGATTTGTTGTTTACTTATGATGGAGGTGGCTCGCCATTTTGGGAATGCCTTTTGGCTCGACTCAACGGCAGCTTTCAACTCAGCGTCGGTGGATTGAGGAACTCGAGTAACAAGGTTGTTCGTGGCGGGGTCATGGAGGTCGATCCAGGCGGACGTTTTGGAGGGAACAAATTGGTTGTCGAGGAAATTGTGGGTATCGACGACATTGGTGATTTGTTCGTGGGTCGTAGGATAGTCCGCGACCACAGCACTGGGAGCAGCCAGATGGCGGGTCGTGGCATGAAGCCGCCGCTTCGCAATCTGCTCATTTGGCGACATTCTGAGAGAGGCTGCGGTGGAGGTGGAAGCAGAGACAATCTGGGGTGCTCGTCTGGCTGACAATGCGGGGATAGCACGAAGAAGTGAGCGGCGTGCAGCCATCGCGTGGATAGGGAGGATGTCGAGCAAGATGGAGAGTAGCCTGATGGCCTTGAGAGTCATCAATTGGCCTCGTATATGTTATTCCAGAGGGACTGATAGAGAATGTACCCTCCCACGGGGATACGGCAGAGTGCGGAGTTCCAGAAATTTGCTGTCCGAGGTCTCAAACTGGCTTCCACATCGTTTCGGCTGGTTTTGATTGGCGGAAAGTCTGCCGTCCCGAGTGGAGGGGAGAAGACCGATGGCGGAGCAAAAAGGAGAAGCAAAGTCTTCGGCGGGTATTTCTCGGTCAACCGGGCCTGAAGTGTAGAGTAATTTCATAATCCGTTATACACAATGTTGTACACAGGTCCCGGAGACCATATCATGTCATGGCAATTCAATGAAAATGGCCCGCAACCCTTCTTTCTTGGTATTACATGTCCCTCAGCACCATGCAATGTATGTCTCTCTTAAGTCCTTGTGACATCTGATTGAGCGGCGGCATCCTCGAGAAGGGAGAGTCGTCTGGCCTCGAAGCTGCTAATACTGTGCTTTCCGGGCTTGTCGCAACTCGAGTGTCATCGGCCAGAGCTTTCGCTTTCCTTTTGGCAGTTGCCATTTACTTGGTTTGTTTCATGTGACGGAGGATACGATGATGAACCGAGTTGCTGAGAAGAGGAGACCAGGGTATTATATGGACATCAGTGGACAAGTATTTACGAGGCTTTTGGCGAAAACGAAGCTTCGTCTCGATAATCTATGCACATGACTGAACATGCCTAACGGGACCGGAACAGCAATTAGTCTGGGCTACGATCCTCACCCCCAACGTCAGAGGCAACGTCCAATATCCTGAAGATGAAAGGTTGTCAAGCTCTCGGATCTCTTATGTGAAGCTATCATTAACCTGACCGAGGTTCGCATGTGTCAATGAACGAGCATAAGGCTTGCTCGTCTTGCGAGTTCAATGGGTATCATCATCCGCAATACCATCCACATTCATTGACTGCCATATGCCAGGTCTTCATCATCCTTCTTTTCTTCGACTTTGCCCTTATAATCATACACCAATCTGACTCTCTGCACCTTATCTCCTTTCCAGCAGACCACTCGTCGTGTGTACCGGCGTTCGCCATTGATGTCCTCAAATCCCCAATTCTGCTCAGCACTCCAATCCCCGCCTGCGATGTTCGTCACAAAGCTTTGGACATGCTCGTCGTCTAGGAACTTCGAGGTCTGGCCATCTTTGAGCTTCTCAGCTCTCAGGAATGTGGCATCTTCGTCCGACCCAGGTCCAGCCATCTGGAACTCGCCCGTTTTCCACATTCGTGACTGACCATTGACTGTTCCGAAAATTTTGTCTTTGGTTTCCCTCTCTTGCCAGTCGAGGATGCGGTCCTCTTGGGTCGTCGACAGTCCAGAGGCGGCCGAGGTGATATCAATGTGGAGAATACCGTCATTGGTGTATTCCCTAATGGTGAGCTGTTCAGGTCAGATATGTTACTGGAAGCCGATGCAGCGAGTTCTCCGTACCACCACGGTAGCTAATCCGATGGCCTTGCGGGTCAGCCAACTCAAGCCTTGCAGCGCCAGCATGGAATCAACGTCGTCGGAAAGGGACTTGTTCTGATCTGCGGTCAGACCAGGGTCAAATAGACTGGGCCATAGAGGGGCTCACGAGGGTAAATTTGCCCGAGAGGTTGGTGCATGAGAGTTCGGGCGGTGCCGCCATGGCTATGGCTCGACAAAAGATCTAACTTTAAGAAGCGACTGCAGGTTATCATCTGGAACTGAACATATGGGATCGTGCTGTCTTTTATCTCGTTGCAGGAGATTCTATTTATGGCGAGTGTTGCGAGCCCCACGATTCGTGCCGCCATGAATTCCTTGTCGCCTTGCTGCCCCTGACGTGTCGCGCAACTGAGGTACCGAGGCACAATCGAGCGCCATGCACGTGCCCACATGACAGCGGAATAATGCAATGCTCCCTCGGGTTCTTGAGACCCTTTACAGCACTCGAGCTTGACCCCATGAAAGGAAGAACGTATTGCTCGTATTGCAAATGACAAAATGATTTGTGGTCTCGATGAAACGTTCCTTCTCCAAGTCATGGACGCAATGAAGCTCGGAAACTTACAGCCGAAAGATTGAATACACCGACCAAGTATTAACATTTCCACTTTGACTGTACCCAAACGTCCAACCCAGGCATGGTCTGTCTCTGTCTATTTGACAACGTGGGCGCTCCTTCCAAAAGAATTCATCGATTCGTCTGGATATTTCTCATTGCCCACCGTCAGAGACAGTTCTCCGGTCGAATTATACACCACTTCCTCAAATCTGCGGGACACGGCCATTCAGTCAGATCAAGCCAATAAAATGCTGGACCGAAAAGAGAAGAGGGAAAATGTGAACAGGGGGAGGGCAAGGGACTGCGCATTATACTTACGCAGGCTGAAAGGTGACGTATTCCAGCTCATCATTGTACACATGGCGGGTGAACTCGGCCTCTGCATGACCGACCTTGATAGTCTCCCAGCCTCGATTCTTGCCCGCAGCATCAGCCATCAACTGAGCTTCGATGCAGCGATCAAGAGCGCCGAAGTTAAAGGTGGCTCCGTCGACGGTCTTGCCTACTGCTAGGAGACCGTGGTTCTGAAGGATCACTGCTTTGCCTTGCCCCAGAGCATTGGCGATGTTGATTCCCTCTGTGGATCGAGAGCGGAGCCGCCAAAACCCTCGTAAACAGAGTGGCAGTTATAAAATCTGGAACACGTCATCAACATTGCTCTCAAAAGAGCCATACCACATCTCCCACATGGTGAGACCTACCGACAAGCATCCTGGTTGATCATGTCCAGCCTTTTCCCGAATGAAGCGAACGCCTTGCTGGGGACCGAGTGACAGTGAACTGCTGCAATCACATCGGGACGAGCACGATGAACGGCACTGTGGATAGAGAATCCAGCGGGATTGACAGCATGCATGTTGCCTCCCACCACGACGCCCTTGTCATTCACTAGACACAAGTCCTCGGGCTTCATACGGCTGAAGCTCTTCGCGTGCGGGTTGATCCAGAAGTCGTCAGTGAGAATGGGATCGCGTACCGTAACGTGCCCGCCGGCGCCTTCATTGTTATATCCATTGGCACCGAGCCAGCGCAATTGCCGCCGCGTGATGCAGTTTGCGGAATTCACGCTCGTCTTCCATGTTATCGAAAATGGGAATCCGGACTTGCTTCAGTGGCTCCGTCTGTGCCGCCTTCCTAGGCACCGCGCCGTAACGGAAACCTGGACGGCCGGAGACGTTGTTCACCCCTTTGACCGTGACGGCATCTTCGGTTTTGGCACCGGTGGTCTGGGTAATGGTCTCAATCGCGGCTGGGGGCGACATGTTGAAGACGTATTTATTCAGGGATATTTGTTTTCCTGAGCGTTTTGATCTCTGATCAATCAATATTCTTGATCTCAGGATATTAAATATGACCATATGACTGATCCCTAGCAAACAGCGGCTCCTCTTCGACCAACGAAGCATTTATAGCTCGATTCATCCGCCCAAATTTTTAAGGACCGCCATCTTTGTGCAGAACGCCATGAGGGCGTAGTGGATCCGGGGGCCCCAGTGTTCCGACCCTCCTAGAGGAAAATAATCACGTCCGCATCTTTCGGAGTCGATGTGGAGGAGAAAATCAGCTGGGAATGCGCGATCTGGACGATTCTATTGATCATGATTCCTGGAGTTTCCGAGGGACGCACCCTCGCAGTTCCACTCCGAAGTTTTCGGAGCTCCTTTTAATTGTCTGACCCCTTTTCATTTTCGTGGTCACGTATTCAAGGGTCTTAACAGCCTCGTGAGTCAAGTTGCGAGAGTCGGTGCAAATCTCGGACCACGATTTCGGACCATTTCAATCAACCTACAGGAGAGTGAGGACATGGCTTCTCTGACTCCATTTCTGGCGGGGGGATGATGCCACATCCGTTGAAATACCATCCGAAAAGATGCAGAACAGGATGCAATAAAATACCTCCTGAATCTCCCAACGCTCGGTCTTTCCCTGCATCTTATTCCTGCCACTCTCTCCCTTCTCATCTCTTCCTCTCAATTGTGATGACCCCCAATTCTCAGCATGGGTCTCTATGGTGCAGATGACGAGTTGGGTACCATAAATCGCCTGACAAAGGACGTCGTACTCGCGGCAGCCAAGTCAGAGATCCAAACCGGAGAACGATTCTCCTTGAACTGGCCTTTAGATGCTCTGGGCCAGAACATGATAATCGGCCGCAAACCCTTCTCCATGGAACAGTTCAACAAAGCTCCCCGAGTGGTGAACGACGACATTTGGCATTTCAACAGCCAGGGCAGTACACAGTGGGACGGACTGCGGCATTTTGCGTACCAAAAGGAGGCCAAGTTCTACAATGGCGTCGCTCTCGGAGACATGTTTGACGATGATGGCTCGATCAAAAGTCACCGAAACGGCGTCGACAGGTGGGAGAAGAAGGGAATCGTCGGAAGGGGTATTCTTGTCGACTATGATCGGTGGAGGCGCGCACATGGTGTTGAGTACAACGTTCTTCCGCCCACGGCTGTGGAAGAGGGTCCAACTCCCACCCCCCTGGAGCATCTCAAGGCTGTGTTGAAGTGGCAGGGAACCGATGTACGCTTCGGCGACATCTTGGTCCTCCGAACTGGATTCGTTGCCGCTTACAATGCTGCATCGGAGGATGAGCGACGAGCCGTTTCGAAATCCGTGAAAGGTAGCGGCGTCGAGCAGTCGGAAGAAGCGTTGGCGTGGCTTTGGGAGAACTTTGCTGCTGTCGCTGGAGACCATGTTTCTTTTGAAAAGTGGCCGTCGGTCAAACCGTGGTACATGCACGAAGTGTTGCTCGCAGGTTGGGGTATGCCAATCGGAGAGCCATTCGATTGTGAAGCACTGGCCGAACATTGTGCAAAAGTCAAGCGATGGTCGTTCTTCTTGACAAGCGAAGTCTGTCACGTTCCTGGAGCAGTAGCAAGGTAAGTAAATGCACGAGTATGCTGCGGGCTCAGGATTACTGACATTATACCTCCAGCCCGCCAAACGCACTGGCAATTTTTTGACAATGTATTCGATGTCCCTCCTGGACAACTTCGGAATATTCCCCACGAACTGGACAGGAATTAATATTCCCTCATCCGGGGAAAGGTACTCCTCGCATTGGCGTTTCAGATCATGTTGGTAGTGGTGGAGAATTGATTATTCTCAAGTGGGTTTGCCTGAAATGCGAGTCGAGGATCTGTCTCGAACGGTTGTCCGAATATTCCTTTTCACCAGGTCAGATCTCCCGGGCTATAATGAAGGAAGACCCGGGGTTTACCTTCCAAGGGACCCAAATTCGCGGTCCAATCCCAGTCTGGGAAATCTGAAAAATCCAGCGCAGTGTATGCTAGCGTGGGTTCTGGGATGACAGTGGCATTTTCAAGGGGTTCCAAAGGTCCATTTGCTGCTTCAAGCGCCATCTTCCTATCTCTTCCCGATTTCAGAGTATTCAAACCCTTGTCGGAGTCTGACTGCCCTACTGAATCATTCACGCAGGCGCCAAACTCGTGGCGCCACCACCAAAAACAATCGAAGACAACGCTCATTGACTATAGGGACGTTACTCAGCTCTTGACCCAAACTGCTTTTGGATTGCTGCCATACTTACCAATCTACCTCGAAGATCCAATTGCAAACTATTTCTTGTTCCGTCAGGACGCAAAAAGATCTTGTTGCTGGACCACAACTTGGTCAGCATGATGCTGTTCAAGGAGTCAAGATCGCCACTCTGGATAGACCTTTCCCGTGAGATATCGATCGCTTTGAAGAAGACTCCGTCGGCATTCCGCAGGTGAAGATCCTGTCTTAGCGGGCTCTTCCAAATCCGGAGGATACAGTAAGCCGCCAAAGTGATAATTCGTGCGTGGTATTGCGTCATATAACGAGCAAAGTCGCCATTGGTGTCCAAATCAGAGGCGAGCTCGATGATTTCCTTAGCGACTGTGTATAATTTCAGGAACCCTTGTGGATCGGCTTCCCTGGTCTCGACGAAGAAATAAAAAGAAAGAATCAGCAGTCTTGCGCAATTACGCGTGATTATCCCTGTCCATATGGTGAGTCTGTCTGTCGATGTCTTTGCCAATGACTGCCTACCTATCGAGTCCTGAGAATCGGGTATGGCATGCTGGAGCTGGCCGTCAAAGATGTTGATTAGCGAAATCAGATCAGATCCAGCACACGGCGCTTCAAGGTCGATATTGCGGCGAATGACGGTGAGAGCCTCTGTCTGAATAAGGTGCACTTTGTATCTATAGTTCAAAACTCCATCAAGCAACTCCTCGATTGTTTGTCGCCGTTCCATACCCTCGTTACCCGGGATAGCCATGAACGGCAAACCGTCGCAAATATTTGTGCTATACACGGCCAACGTTAGCGGAAAAGTAGATCCTCACGAAACGGGGGTGTGAACCTTTGGAACACCATGACTTGTCCGGAACGCTAGTTTGATTCTCCGACCAGTCGTCGCAGGACTGGCTTCCATCCTCACCAGTCTCACCGCCGGAAGGCCGACTATAGGCTCCCGAGCGGTCGGCCTGCTTGCAAATTCCTCCTCTTCGCAAAACGTATGTAGTCCATTCTGAATTGCAAGCTGCATGGCCATACCTGCAAGAGCCGGAGACGGATCCTTGAACGACGTTCTCACAGGCAACGGCCAGGCACAGAGGAGCAAAATCGCTTGGAGGGCAGCAACTGGTTGGCCGGTGAAACAGATACAGGAGAGGGCTTTATCGGACATTGTATCTTCGCGCGCCTGTACACACGATGACCCAGAATAGGAGAGTGGAGTTTTGATAGTGTTCGTCAGGTGTTATGGCCGGATCAAATACGCCTGGGAGCCATGGCGCGTAATGTTTATAGAACCTGTGATATTCGGCCGTAGATCATTTTCTAACCAGTAGCATATATCACATACAACGAAAAACAATCCGCGATTTTGTTTCCTTCGACTTCAAAGTCACCCAAAGCTTGGGCACTTGTCTCGCCTTTGAAAGAGGATGGGTCGGCCTTAGTACGTCCAGGGCGTGACCGAGCAGAGGTGGTCGTGAGGTCGCATTTAGGACTGGGTAAAAGTATGCTTGGATCAACCAATGAAACACTGAAGGCCAGGTTTTCTGGTCCTGTGAGATTCCATTTCTGCGAGGGTACTGCATTGATCCTGGCCGTAGAGGAAGCGCCTTTTGAGATCGGAGTCGAGTGACTAGGGGAGCTCTCCAACAAGGGATGAAGCGAGCCTGATCCGTTCACGTTGATTGAATTTGGGCCAAACTGTGCATTCGAAGAATCCGAGGAATTCTTTTCCATCATCAACTTGCGCTTCAACTGGTTGATTTCGTGGCGCAAATCAGCTTTGCTGCAAAGGGCCATGTCCGTTAGTATCGGTTGGATCTTTGGATGGCCCCTTCTCAAAGTTCATACCTTTGTCTTTTGGTGCGCTGGAAGGTGTCAGATATCACGCAGTCCAAGGCCATGCGCCGACATCGTGAGCATGATTTCCGGGAATCTCTGTTGGCATCACATCGAAGCTACAAGCAGTTCAGACCACTCCTGGTAGCAAAGAAACAACGGCCCAACGGTACCTTCTGTTGGCGGCATTCATTACATGCTGGCTTGTCTATTACATATGTCAGCAAAGTTTCGAAGCCTCTCTTTGCAGATCGAGGGACTCAACTCACATATTAGCGTCGTGAATCTCAATGGCTGTCAGTGGCCGCTGCACAGCCAAGTCTCGCACAGTTTCTTATGCAGTCTTTAGACGAGAAGATCCGGAAAGACGATGCGCCAGAAGCTTGTGCCTATCACTACTTGATTATAATCTAAGTTTCGCCCATGCGAGCCGGTGCCCCAACTCATCTAACAAAAGCCGATCGGCCAATGTTCAGGCTTAGGCTCAGGCTTGCCATAGAGAGCGGAGCCGCCTGTTTGCAATAACAGACACATCCCAGTGAGAATAGCGATCAGAGATTCTAGATGACATTACGATATGAAAGACTCCCCCCGGGGATAGAAGGATGCGTTTCAGCATCACCAACTCTATGTTAATTTCCTCACGGGTCATTGATTAAAGCACACCTTACAATGACCACAATGTCGACCAACAAGCGATCTGTACCTGTCACCTATATTCGCGGTGGCACAAGCAAGGCTCTCTTCTTTCATGAACATAATGTGCCTCCCCCAGGTGTCAACCGAGACCGTTTTCTACGACGGATCATGTGCTCCCCGGATCCTCTGCAAATTGACGGCATGGGAGGCAGTCACATCCCTACATCAAAGATTGCTCTGATTAGACCATCAGATCAACCAGACGTAGACGTTGACTATACTTTTGTGCAAGTTGGAATCGACAATGACGTTGTGGGCTACAGCGGGAATTGCGGCAACATCTCTGCTGGTGTTGGTCCTTTTACTATCGATGAAGGGCTGGCCAAGAGGATCAGACCAGGCGTTAGTCTGGACCCGACCATCAAAACGCAGGAGGTCAGAATATACAACACTGGAACGAAGAAGGTACTTATATCGCATGTCCCTATCGATCCCGAAACTGGAAAATCACTCGAAGACGGGAGTTTCTCGATTGCAGGTTGTCCTGGCACGGGAGCTCCCATCCTGATGGACTACAGCAATGTGAGTAATTTGGCTCCTTTCCGTGCTGGTGACTTCTGACTGGGTAGGTAACTGGAGCGTGCCTCAACAAGGGAGCTCTTCCCACCAATAACGTGTTGGACGAGACCACAATAGATGGGTCCAATATCCAATTCACCATCTGTGATATCGGAAATATCCTTGTCTTTGTACGAGCCGATGATATGGGGGCTTTGGGCAGCGAAACTTATGAAGTCCTCGATCAAGATAAGCCACTCATCGCAAGAATAAGAAAGCTTCGGGGAAAAGCAGCCCAAATGGTGGGGATGTGTAAGGACTGGGAACTCGTTGATGACCAGTCTCCTATGATCCCAATGGTCGTGCTGGTCTCACTGCCGACTAACCCTGACTGCCATGTCCAGGCAAGATTGTTTTTGGATAACATGTGTCACCCATCTATGGCAGGCACTGGAGCTATTTGTACGGCCGCCTGTAGTCGAATTCCAGGATCTATTGTCACCCAGATGATGTTTGAAGGAAACCTTCAGAAACCGGTTATCGAGATCCAGCATGCTTTGGGCCATATGCCCGTTGTGGTCAAGGTCAAACCGGGTCTTGAGAACAGAGTTCCAGAATTTGAGACCCTCTCTTTCATTAGGACATCTCGACGCATCCTAGAGGGGAATATCCTGATCCCAGGTAACGTTAAGGATTGCTTTGACGACCAGTTCAATGGAGTCATTGCCAACGGGGCCTCATCAGATAAGGCATATCAAAATGACACTCGTTCTACTGAAGAGTCAAAGCCACTGGTCAACGGATTTTCTCTCATGAGAAGATGAATAGATCCGCTCCTGCCACGACCAAGGACTTCGCAGAATTCGTATCCGGTTTGAGGTATGACGACCTGACGCCCAAGGCCAAAGAGAAACTTCAACTGCTCTTGTTGGATTACATTGGAGTTGCAGCGGCTGCGACCCAACTTAGCGAGTCTTCAGCATCGTTTGTTGGCTGTATGAAAGCGCTCAACGGTGGTGGTGTCGCCACTGCAGTAGCAAATGGTCAGACATGGCCAGCGCCTCTCGCGGCAATGCTCAATGGCGCTCTACACCCTGGTGCGAGCGTCATCTCTGCAGCGCTCGCTGAAGCCGAGACAAATGCCAAAGCAACGACTGAAGACTTCTTTACGGCATTGGCTACCGGCTACGAAGTCACCTGCAGGTTGGGTGTTGCGCTTGGGACCGGAGGATACGACCTCGGATTCCACAACGCCTGCACGGCTGGAATCTTCGGGGCCATAGCGGTGATCGGCAAGCTCAGAAAAGGGAATGCGAATACGATTGCTGACGCCTTTGGAATCGCCATCTCCAAAGTTTCTGGTTCAATGCAATACCTTACAAATGGAAGTTGGAATAAACGATTGCATCCTGGCTTTGCCGCACACGACGCTTTCATTTGTTATACCCTGGCCGAAGCGGGCGTCTTAGGAGCAGCAGATCCCATTGAAGGCAAGTTTGGGTTGCTCAATGTCTACAGCAGCCTCAAAGGACCACTCTCGCCTCGCTCTCCTCTGCCCTTCAAGGAGTGTGGGGAGTTCCTTTCAGTCGCCATCAAACCATTCCCTGCTTGTCGCATGACACACGGGCACATCGAGCTCGCCACCAAGATGTCCGAGGGCCAAAAAGCTGGCGTGAAGAGCATCACCGCGTCCTTAAGCAAGGAATGCTATCCAATTGTTGGCGAACCAAAGCCGAGCAAAGTCCATCCGAAGAACGTGGTGGATGCTCAGTTTAGCACTTTCTACCAAACAGCCATCGCATGGCTTCATGGATCCAAACTCGGCTGGAAAGTCTACGATTACATCCAAGACACTCAGGTATATGATCTTCTTGAGAAGGTAAAAACCAATGTCAATGACTCGTACAAGGGGTTGGAGACTAGTTTGAAAGTTGAATGGGATAACCGAATAGTGCAGGAAGAATATCTTAAAAATCCTATAGGGGAGCCGGATAATCCGGCCACCTGGGACGATGTCTGCACCAAATTTATGAGTATTACGGCAGAGGTTTACGGCAAAGAACGGGCAAGAAAAGTTTGCGAGGTTGTTGACAGGCTGGACACACATGGTATACATAAATTAATGGACCTGGTGAAATGATGAGTCTTTGGGGATGCCAGCAGCCTTTCACAGACTGACCATCGCATGCCTCACCTAGAGAAACAGCTGAAGCAGATACTCATATCTGGTAGTGCTAGTGCACAATGGGTTTGTCCATGTCGAAATTGAAAATTTGTTGCCTAGAAGGCCTTGTTCGTATATGGCTTTCTGTGGCGAAATCTCCATCCTCATAGTCAATACCAGAGTGCGAGTGTCTAGATACGTATGATTGATGAATCAGAGCGGATTCACCGCGTAGAAGACAAAAATTCTCGCCGCCCGAAACTTCTCCTCTCTTCGACTCAGCCTTGCCTCGGATAGGTTGGCAAGGCTGAGCCTATCCGTGTTCAGCATTCCCTTTTTAACCGAGGTCCGCCTTCGCACCGCTCTAAACTTCTTGGCTCTAAGAATAATAGTGAATAATTACAAATCCAAATTTCCTCCAACACCTGAATCCGCTTTTGAACCCATACGGCCTTCAACGCCTCACGTGCTCGTGCGCTCCGGGTTTTCGGACTTCCGATCTCAGACTCCTTTCTCCGAGCCACAGCCAGATGCACACCTCTACATTTGCCTCCGCAACATGCTGCATCTCGTGGCATCAAGTTGGGGTCCTAAGGAGCCTAGCGACTATTTTTCTTCGTTGAGTTTCATGACTTCCGGAGTCGCGAGGTTGCGGAGTGCTTAGTCTGGGGCCATCTCTATAATTCTGGAGTAGGCGTGGTTTTCGACTCGATAAGAAAATATGATGATCCGAAATATCATTTACTCTCGGAATCTCCGTCTCCATGGGGAAAGATGGATCGATGTGGAAGAGAGGTCTGGGCACAATGGACAACACGTTTCGAGAATCTTCAAGGCGTAGGAGCCATAGCTTCCTTTTCGTGGCATGTATATATTCTCATCCTTCCGGCCCCACCCTTGAGCAATGTCGATCTCATTGGAAACCTCCAGTATATTACAAAGTTGAAGTGAGTCGAAGCCAACGAGTCAAAGCCCTGCTGCCCGGATCAACCTGGTATTAACAACCCTGGAGGGCATAACAATGCCTGTGCTGCTGCAGAACTTACTGTCACCGGGTGGACATATGACCATATCCCTTGAAATCAAGACATGGACATTAAACAGGAACTCGAGAAACTTTCATCCCAAAAGAATCTCCGGTGTGTTCCTGCCCCTATAGATACAGGTTTCAACACCGAGATGATTGTTGCAGGATCGAGGACAAATTAGAAATGTTCGCCTCATGGGATTACAGACAGCCATTGAACATCGACAATCGACGATTCTTTCGGGCACTGATGATATTTGCCACTCCTCCCGTTCAATCCCCAGATCTGCCTTCCCTTTGGCAAAGACAGCTCCACACTAGAAGCAAAGCTCTTACTGATTACGTTCATTGAAAACAGTCGTCGGTTTCCTCGCTATCGAACTCCCCGCAGCTGCCACTCATGAGAGCCATGCCGGCACAATTTGTTTTCGGCTGAGCGATTCTCCTCTTCGGCCTATGCGCGACGTTGATACCCACCGCCGAAAACTTCGCTAGTATCATGGCTCTTCGATTATTCTTGGCCTTCGGAGAGGTGATCCTGATTTTGGGTTTCCTGTATTTGAGCCTATGGTTTAAACCTGACGAACTTGCGTTGAGATCTTGTAAGCCCCATACCATATCCTTGCACCCACATCTGGTTACGGAACGAAACAATAAGGGACCAGATGAACTAATGTCGGATGAACAGGCCTTATATGCTGGTCAACGCCAATCGCCAGATTTGCCAGCGGGATGATCTCACATGGAGTAGCGAAGGACTTGAAATTCGATCATGGTCTCTATTCGTGGCAGTTGCTGTTCATCGTGGAAGGGATTCCGACTACTGCTCTGGACATAGCTGTCAACTTGATCCTACCCAGTGTACCCGACCGAGTTGCTCAGACAGGACACTGGCTATTCCGGAATCCTAAAATCAACTCCTGATTACTCGGACCATAGCTGACAAGTGACAGCCTCAGACACCCTAAGGAAATTTCCTTGCCGTTAGGCATCTCCAGGGTCCACTCGCTAACGCCCTTTCCCTCACTGTTCAGCGCAAAACACCCCCGGACCAAAGATCATCCCACGACAGGTCTTGATCGGCTTGCGTGACCTCAAGACTTGGCTGGCTCTCTAACCCTCGCGGTTCCAGCACTAGGCATCACTGCCTTCAATGTTTTCCGGACCCACATGTGTGCGAGCATTTGGCTTCGACACGCTAACCGCGCAACTCTACATGATCATCCCGTACTCTTTCGCGGTGGTCTCAACACCCTTAATCTGTTGGACATCAGACCGATACCGACGCCGCGCAGTCCCTATCGCTGGGTGTCTATTGACGAGCGTCATCGACTCTGTAATCCTACTAAGCATCACAAACAAAGTGGCCCTGATGGCAGGCTGCTGTTTCGCAGCCATGAGGGGCCGTACCCTGCGATCGGCATCGGAGTATCATAGGTCTCAGCTACGTACGATGGATACACGAAATGATGCGCCGCGTATGGCATCTGCTAGGTCTTCGTGTAGGGGTATAGTACCATGGGCACGCAGATCTAGGACGAACCGTTACGTTTCTTCACTGGCCACGGCGTCATGTTGGGCGTGTACATGTTGGCATTGGTCTGTGATGTGGTGCTTTATGTCTGGTTGAAAAGGCTGAATGGGCAGTGAGAAGACGAGACCACCATACGCCGGGACGGGAAGATACCGGAGCTGGAAGCCAGCGGTAGCTTTGAGGATTATCATCCAGATTGGAGGTGTATGATTTAGGTCCGATGTATATTTATGGTTCCAGAGAGAGGCAGCAACAGGGTCTAAAAGATGGAGGACTGATATGGGACACCAAGTACATGACATTTCAGGTATCCCAAAGATACGGATTGCGCAGGATGGATCTAGGTAGATCTCGTGCACACGGCCTCGCTCCACAATATTTCCCGTCCGTGCAGCATCTGATCGTCAATATATGTAACGCTACGGTCAGGCTGGCCAGTCGCCAAATTTCATACAGAGCGCTACAATGACGACTAGCCGGCTAGCCGGGGCCTAAGGTACATCGCACAATCTGATCCTCAGGGCTAGTTACTCGTTAGTGATGGATATGTGGTGCCTGATCGACATCGTGCCGTTGTGGGGGAAGCTCTATCTCAACGTGGCCCTTCGTACATGATGGCCTGGAGATGTTTGATGGGAACTTCTCCAAGCTTGAAGGTACCTTACCTCGTGGCTGTTTCACGGGAACACTTGATCAGGCGCTGTTGGGCTGAAAGTCAAGACTAAGATCACGTAAACCTACTGTGTTGATCTGTTCGAACCCCTGGCAAGGCCACATCGTCTGCAAATGATATGTGTGACGCTGGGTTTGTCATATATTATGCCTGGGTCACAAGATCGGAAGAGCAGACATCTTTCTTTTACAGAATAACCACATTGGTATTACCTACACACAGTCCACGACGCTGAAGGGGTATTCGTCTGGGCTTTGACGTTCATAGCTGTGTCTGTTTCATTCTCAATCACAAATGTTGATAACGATCGACGTATTGCTGTCCGGTGTCATTCATGTTGTAACCGTAGTGGTAAGGACTGGTCTCAAGGCCGACAGCATCGGCATCCCATCCTTGTGGCGTTGGAAACTCGTTCAAACGAAACAAATTTCAACGCCTCAAGGAGCAATTCATGCGGACTCGGACTTGGGTTCGGGTTCTTCATGTTTCGAGTCTGCAACTGTGTACTCGTCTGAATCGAATTTGTAAAGTTGTGGGGGAGTAAGTCCCTTGCGGCGAAGGACGAAGGTCTTGAACCAGTAGGGGAAGACCTGGGTAGTTTGGTAGTGCATATGTGTACGAGTGGGCACGGCGAAGACGTAATCCAATTCCTCCAGAGTTCGTTGTTTGGTTTCTGGAAGCCAGAAGAAGATCATGAAGAAAGCAATCACGTTCAGACCAGCGTAAAATCCGAATGCGCCTTGAGGCGTGAAGGCCTGGAGCATACGCGGGAAAGTGAGAGACAGGACGGACGCCCAAAAGTTGTTGGTTGCCACCGCCCAGGACATGCCGACCTCACGATGAGATAGAGGGAAGACTTCCGCCGAGTACGTGAATGGGACCGGCCCTTCTCCCGGAGAATAGAAGGCGTCGAACAAGAAAATGAACAACGCGATCAAACCGAGATGAGCATCGCTACTCTCCGGGATCCAGAAGCAAAATCCAGCGGCCAACAAAGTCCAGCACATATTGGGGAACGTGAACAGTAGCAAAGCCCGTCGTCCGAAAGTATCGATCGTCCAAACTGCAGGCCACGCAAAGACGAAGTTCACAAGCCCAAAACCCCAGGATGCGAGCAGTGATCCCGTCACGCTAGCTCCGGCGTTGGAAAACACCGTAGACGAATAGAAAGCGATAATGTTGATGCCACACATTTGCTGAGCGATCATGACGATACCCGAGGCTTGTGTAGCGCGTCGAATACGGGGAATCGTAAACAGCTCAACAAATCGAGTGAAGAAGTTGCCATGAGTCGCCACAGCAGACTCCTCCACAAGAATGTCTTCCTGGATCAATTGAGCGTGAATGTAGTAGAGATCTCGGGCAGCTTGGAGAGGTGTATTTCGGAGACGAAGCAGAGCATTGTATGCCTTTGCATGTCTCTTCTTCTTCATAAGCCAACGAGGAGACTAGATATGGTAAGGTTCACGCTCTAGAATACCGGGGTACCTCAGGTATTGACACTCACCTCCGGGCAGAAATAGATACCTAGTACCAATGGAATGGCTGGAATAAAGGCGGAGCCTAGCTGGAGACGCCAGGAAATATCACCGGTGTCTTTGACCGCCAAGTTTGCACAGGTACCAAGGAAAATTCCAAAGGCCGTCCAGACTTGCCATGACATGACCAGACCTCCTCGAATGTTTGTAGGAGAATTTTCAGCGGAAAAGACCGGTACAGTGACTTCTTTGAGACCCATTCCAATGCCAAGCAGGATACGAGTAGCTACAAGCTCACCCCAGTGTTGTGTGCAGGCAGATCCAAGAGGGGCTAGGAGGGAGAAGATGGCACCAATAAAGATAGTACCACGACGGCCGACCAAATCATTGATGGGGTCCGAGATCCATCCCGCGCTATTTGTGTCAGCAAGATCCCCATACCCACGGGACGAAAAAACGTACAAGAACGCAATAGCAATGTAGGGGCAAGAGTTGACGAAGCCAACAAGCCAGGAATTGTCGTCGCAGTTACCGGCAGCCTCGCACGTCGGACCGGTATCGGCAATACCGAAGTCTTCGGGGAAAGACAGGTTGGCCCCATTGGAACCAGTCTGATCCCAGCCCTGGATGGCAGCTGCGATCGAGTTGAGGATGATGGTGAAATAGAGAGTTTTGGGGTGTCTCCAACGATGAGTGACCTCTTCACGCAATATTTGACGCTCTGACTCGTCCAACTCCGGGATGTGTTCGATCGCATGGGGGCTTTGGGCGACCAAGGCTCCCTTGCGGAGTAGAGGTAGAATATCGTTGAGGTTGTTTTCCGCGGCATAATTTTCGACATCTTGGAGCATCTGTTCACGTGGGATACCGACGAGAGGGTTACGGACTCTTTGCTGCAGGTTAGCACGTGTGTCTTGTTTAATTCAAGTTTGACTTACTCTCCAGTGACGTTGGAGGTCAATTGGGCAACGCTTGCTTTGCGCCGAGACTCATCGGCGTAGAGCACGCTGGGCCGTCTGGCCTCACTTGAGATGGCCTCTTTGAGCGTAGACATGGTTATCTCGATCAGCTGAGGATGATGAGAGTCGTGGGCAGAGGATACAGAGGAGGGAAGGGAGAACAAATGAGAACCGGGGGGAAGATTAAAGTACTCTTTATGAAGCAGAGCTGGAGGACGGTGGTACCAATGAGATCATGGGGGGGAACAACGAGGTATACCTGGAACAAGTGAAGAGCTTCAGGCAAACTAGGTCCAAACAAAAAAAGGAAGTGCAAGAGGGCCGAACTGGAGGCCTCATGGTAGATCGAGGGGAAGGTTCCCTGGTTCTAAGTTCAGACTGGCGTCTTCCTGGCCAAACAATGCCATGGCCTCCACAGAACTAGCATGTTGTGAAGCCATGAAATCCTGCGGCGGACAAGAATCTTAGCATGTGAGGGGGGAATTGAGCAACGAAGGCTGGCCGGTGGATGGCAGTGGTGTTTTGCATCACACGACACGACGAGGAGGTGAGGACGACATTGCCAGCCCTGGTTTGGTTTGGTGCTCGAAGGGGCCGACGAGGGTAGTATCAACAGGCAGCGCAAGGCTCAAGCCATTGAGGAGGAGTGGATTCGGCGACGGGCACTACTTAGCTCGGATGCAAGGAGGGCGAATGAGACGACGACAGTGAGGGAGAGCATCGAGAGACTGCATCTCTGGTTGCTAAAGACTAGTTACATGCATCCTGATTAGCTTCACACCCCGCCGTCGACATCAGCGGCACAGGCGTAGGCGCCAACTGGGGAAAGGCATTTTCCTTCTCACCTTGACGTACTGCGCATCAAGCAGTATCTGCAGATCTGATGATGACTCTCACTCACTCACTCTCTAGCTTCTTGCTCCCTGGCCGTGGTGATTGAGCTTGACTGAAATGGGCCTCCCCAATACAACGAACATCCCTTCCCCCCAATCAATTCCCTGGCGGTTGACCGATACGCTCCAATCCCCCGTCCACAAATCTCGCCAGAAAAATCCATGGCTGGCTGTTTTGCGGCATCGGGACTACTGCCACAACCCGAACTGCATGCAGAACCTCCTCCACCTCTCCTAATGCCACCCTTGCTCTTATCTGAATACAAACACTCGACGACTCCGAGGTCACGACAAGGCGAGTGGAGATGCTTTTTGCCAAAGCTTCAGCATGCTTGGGATCAGAAGAAAGAAAAACTTGGAGCTTGGGAAATTCTTGGTGCTCAGGATCGGCCAAGGATTTTCCGGGGGAATAACGGGGTAGGGCGGTCATCCCACCATACTCGAAACCGCCTAAATTCCAAGATGAGTGGCCGGGATCAAGGCTTCCGGTACCTGTGGGCTTACACATTGTCCTCCAGAGCGAGAGAGGCCAAGGGTTAGTGGCGTCGGCGCCGAGCAGTTTCATTATTGATCACAGTAGAAATTTTCTGTCCAAGCGGCAGGAAAAAGTCGAACCATCCATCAGCGATCAGCAGACATTCCGATATGGAGGACGGAGGGAGTTCTTTTGGTACCAAGTGTCCAATTCCTTCAATCCCAAGGTGATTGGCTATTCTAACTCTTGGGGCCCCTCAGACTCACCGGCCGCGGGCCACAGGCTCTCTCACTGATGAATACGAATCTGCCTCGCTACCATCTGTCTGCATAGCAGTTTGTCTGACATCGGCCCCCAGCAGCTTTATGAATGGCCTTCTACTCGCATCGGTACCAAATCCCTGTTCACGACAACAGGAGGCAAAGATTCCTCGTCGTACTCCTCACCTATGCGTACCGTCTCCCGCAACTTCGTTCCTTTTTAATCCTTGAGTTTAAAGGGTTTTTCCATCAAAAGAAGGGTGAGAAAATAAACTCTAGAGAACTCTCCAGGAGACACTCCATGTGGTGGGTCAAGGTAGTAAGAAATGGCCCGTCCAACTTTGCCGCCACTTCGGACATGTCACGGACAACTTGGTTCAGCTCATCTTCGACATCCATCACCCAATCTGACGAGAACACCCAGATACGAATTCTCGTGTCTCCCCAGACTCCAAGATCCGTCCATCCCACACCACGACACAAACGGTTTCTTCCCCTCACGGCGTTGAGGCCAGCCAAAGGAAATGGTGTAGCTGGGCTGACTTTTTCTCGAACATTTCCAGCTTCATCGGTCCCATCTGATCGAACTCAAGCCTCGTGTCTGCCCTGGCTCAAAACGCCACAATGTGGGATCGTGGAGGTTGATGAGCATTTGGTGCCCTTCGGGTCGCGAAGGTTTCTGCAATGCATCGTCACCTTGCCCGTCCTGGCCAAGGAAAACCGGTCTATTGGCCTGTCCATTCTGGCGTCTGTATCACTGCTCTATTACCCCACACCTCGACTTACAATGACTGGACCAAGAAAATCACGCAAAAGACACTTTTCATCCTTGATCTTGCTCGGGATATTACGAGTTTCCTTAAACCAGTTGAAGCAAGCCAGCAGATGGTGAGCAGGGAAATTCCCAGTCTACCCAGCCATTTCAATACCTGGCCCGAGTGTTTCCCCCTTTCTTCTTCCACAGCCTTGCTTGGTCTTACCACCGAGTCTCCACGTCTCAATGCAAAACCCCATGAACCCCCCAGTGGCACGAGAGAGAGTTGCAGAAAGGCATCCATCACTGTCCTTCCAGTACAACGCTAGGCTTCACCGATCGAATGATCTGTGCACAAAACAATCCGATGGATCAATAGGCAACCATGCGCCTGGCGGGTTCACGGAATCCGACAAGTGTACATGTTGGATTCGAAAGAAATTCCAGGAAAGTTGCCCTGATTATTTTTTGATTTTTTGAATTTTTTTTTTTTTTTTTTTTTTTTGGTTACACTTCCGACTTGTCAAGAGTCAAAGTCAGCCTAACACCAACTGACTCCCGATCCTTCTCCCTGCATCCGCAGCATCCGGACTGTAACACCCATCGCTGTTGTGTCCTAAGGAAAAATATCCCGTCTAGCAGTACTACTTTTACACACTACAACGAATATCATATGCCCATTCAAGCACCCCGGGGAGGGTGGAAACGTGAAATCGTTCCGGCCATGGACGTTGAATGCAATAATAACAATCGTTCCTCTTCATCCCATTCATCTTGTTCTCCTGACTCGATGCTCATCTCGCCTTCTCCTTCCTTTCTTTCGTTTCCCCTTACCGGGTCCCAGTGGGATATCCCGCATCAGATAGGATTGCAACTGGATCAAGTATTCGTCAATGTGGTGGAAAGTTTCTCCGTCCGCCTCGGCCTCGGCCGGTGCCGTCTCCGTGGCGGCTAATGGCCCAGGAGTCTGTGCTTCGTCGGTTTGTGGTGTTGTACTGGCTGTCTTGTCCTCAAAGTCCCCATCATCGGCGTGTTGAACTTCTCGGGCGGCAACTTTGGCTGCAGCTCGATCTTCTTGATCTTCCGCCTGCTCTAGGACGGCCAGGTTGCCTTTATCATTCCCAAGAACTCGGTCCATGGCAAGACCTGCGGCGTCTTCCTCCGCCGTGTCGTCAAGCAGATCCCGGTAAGTGAGCTTGTTCATATAGTCCGTCGTGAAGTCACCTTCTTGGATTACCACATCGTCAAGCATTTGCTTCTGATTGGCCTTCCGGAGGATATTTGACTCGATAGTATGCTCGGATACAAATCGGTAGATGTGGACGTCCCGAGTCTGCCCAATTCGATGCGCTCGGTCGGTGCATTGCTTGTCCATGGCGGGATTCCAGTCGAGGTCATAGAAGATAACGGTGTCAGCACCTGTCAAGTTGATGCCCAGTCCACCGGATCTGGACGAAAGGATGAACGCTAGAATGCGAGTGTCATTGTTGAATCGATCCGTCAAAATCTGGCGCTGTTCAATCTTGGTGGCACCATCCAATCTCAGATACCGATGGCCATGAATATTTAGGAATTGCTCCAAAATGTCCAGGACTTTCGTCATCTGGGTGAAAATAAGTGCTCTGTGGCCACCAGCTTGCAACTGACGCAGGAGCTTGTCCAGTCGCTGCAATTTGCCGCAGTCGTATTGTAAAAGGCGCTTGTCAGGAAAAGCAATAGATAACTTCATCCGGGCTCGATGAAATGGGTCAGGACCGTTAGACGGGTATGCTTCTCTGATCGCAACGGCCCCCGCTTCCGTCACGGTTGAGAGGTTTAGATCGGTAGCCACAACGGCGGGAGTGACGCACCCGTATTGCTGAACGAAGGGCTCCATCTGTTCAGACCTTGACTGGATGGAATGCACAAGATTCAATGACTGTATTGGCATCTCCTTATCCCACCACTTTCCCATGGCCTTATGGGGAGAGAGTCTTGATAATTGGGCGTTGGTCGGATTTATGGTCAGCCTTTCAATCAAGCCTTGACCGTAGATCGGATGCCGATGGTGTCGGTAGGCTTCATAATACATGGTTCGATCCAGCTCTTGGATTCTGGACCTTCTCCCAACATTCTCCAGCGACCCAAGAACACCTACGCGGTTCTCGCCATGCCACCTCGAATCGCGAGACATCCTACGCGACTGCGACTCACGAAGGGATCTGAACCGGTGGTATGCATGTCGTTTGGTCGTTTCGATCACTTCAATCATTGACATGCGTTCATCCGAAATTGGGGCGAGTTGCAAGAAATTCAGGTCTAGATCGTTTGAGGCATCCAGCATCAGTCGTCGACGTATCAGGAGATCCTTTATCTCGAACTCGGCAGCCACAGACTTGGGCATGGCGAACGAAGTGTTGATAGGCCGTGTTTCAAAGAGGTCTGGGTGATTGCAGACTTTGCGAAGCTGCATCAGGGCATTGATGATGGACAGGTAATTGCCGGAAGCGAGTGTTTCTTTTGTCTGCGCCCTGGACATAAATCCATCGTATAATTGACGCTGTCGCTTGGATAATCGGCACATTTCAACGTGTTCGTACTTGAGTGGCATTTGTTTCTCGACATCCGCTTTCAGCCGGCGAAGGAGGAATGGCCGGATGACCTTGTGCAGTTTCGCAACCTGTTCCTTATCTTCCTCGTCCAGCACCTGACGGCCATGCTCCAGAATCGACTCCACAGGCCGCTTGAACCATTCTGACCATTCTTTCAGACCTGCAAACGCATCGTCCTCGCCTTCGTTTTCCTGACCATAGTGTAGGAAAAATAGCAAGGACCACAGTTCCGTCAGATTGTTCTGAAGGGGCGTTCCCGTGAGGAGCAGTCGAGCCCTGGTGTTGAAAGTCATCATGGTCTGCCATCTTTCCGAGCGAAAGTTCTTGATGTTGTGGGCTTCGTCAAGTATCATATAATGCCACCTCCGTCTCTTGAAAGAATTGGCGTCTTGCAATACCAGTTGGTAGGAGGTGATGCAAACGTTGAAGCTGTCATCGGCCATCCATCCTCTTCTCTTCTGTTTTCTCTCTTCGAGATTGCCGTAGTACGTCAAGATTTTGAAACCAGGCAAAAACTTTTTGAACTCCATTTCCCAGTTCAACATAACGCTTGTTGGTACGACAATGAGATGCGGACCCCATACTTCATGGACTTCAGCAAGGTGAGCCAAGAGCGAAATGCTTTGAATGGTCTTTCCCAAACCCATTTCATCAGCGAGAATTCCACTTCTCCCATGGGCGTAGAGGTCCGCAAGCCAATCGAGGCCCTCGTGTTGATACTCCCGAAGAGTACCCCGCAACAGACTCGGAACTGGCGTTTTGATGGTCGAATGCTTTGTCTCAGAAGGCGTGATTGGCAGGGCGGAATCGGCGTGAGGATCAATGGAAGAAACAGATTCAGGCTCGGACACCTTGGTGGCCGTCGTATGAGGCGACGTTTGTGCACTGGGTTCCTGGCTCGCTGGATCTTCGGACGCAAGACGAGCTATCTGTAAATGAACAGGAGCTGCCCGCTCCGCCATGTCTGTCTCCGCGGTCTCCTGTCCCTGATCTGATTCTGCATGTTCGCCGATCTCCTGATCCGGCTTTTTACTCTCTTCAGATGGCTCGACATCTAGCATGTCATGATCTTCCAACACTTCCACTAACGGGGAATCGTGTGATTCGGATCCATCCTTCTCTGAAGCACTTTCATCATCTTGGGCAGGGGCCATTTCCGCAATCTCTTTTTGGGAAAATAACGACAAAAGACCGCCTCGTGCATTATCTTCACTGCTTTCTCCATCGTCAGAGCCATCAGTATCAAACTCGCTGTCCATTTCAGTTTCAGGATCTGAATCTTCTTCGAAGTGATCAGGAGTAGCCTCATCATCCTCCTCCGGAGCAGGAGTCTCTTGAATATTATCGTTGTCTGTGAGCAAGTCCGGTAGATTTCGATATTTTCGCTTCAGCTCTTCGAGAGACATCTCCGCATCAAGATTGTCAGAAGCGCCTTCAGAATCTGATTCTGTCTCGCTCTCGGACATCTGCTCACTATTTTCAGATTCCGTTTCAGTAGCTTCGTTGGGCGAAACGTCTGATTCACTGTCCATAAGGGATTCGTCCTGTTCGGCAACCCGGCTCAGCATTTGATCCGTTCGGTCCAACACGCGAGCAAGGTGACCCTTCATCTTGGCTTGCTGCTCTTCTTCGTATTCTCTCTGTCGAATAGCCTCAACTTCCACCTTGACGGCAGTCCATAATTTGTCAATGTCTTTCACAACGGCTCGATAAGTGGCTTTGACCGCCTCCCGCTTCTCCTGTTCGATTTCTTCTGGAGATTTGACTTTGTTGCGCTTCTGTTTCTCTTCAACATATCTTTTGGCCTCGTGGGCAAGCACCTCAGCCTTTTTCTTATGGTCTCTGTGTTCCGCTCTAAGAAGATTTCTGAAGTGAGAGACGTGTGCAAGGAGATGGTCCAGGTGGGCAAATTGTCTCCTTGGTTCAGCTTGCTTGTCAGGTAGTGTATCAAGAATCTTTTTGTCTAGAGTTCCTCCCCGCTTCTGAGCCTGTCTCACCCGCCGCCGAGCCATAGCTTCCGTTTTGATTTGATCGGGCGTCAGGGTGTCCTCCCCAGCTCTCGGTTCCGTCTCATCCTTTTCGAGGAACTCTTCAAAAGATGCAAATTTTTTGGGCTGGGGTATGTTGGCAGGACTCGCGACGGAGGGCTTTGGGAGACGGACGCGGAAGGTCACTTTTTGTAAGGTCAGTGGTGGACTTGGATGTCTCCCAAGTTCTGATCCACTAGAAGTGTTGGAGTTGTCGGAATCGTCCTCTAATTCAGACTTGGCTATACCGTTCGCGTAGGGTTTATCTTCGTGACTAACACCATTGACCCCGGGTGAATTTGTATGGTGACGACGAGATGAGGCACCAGCTGAGCGGCGGAGAGACTTAGATTGCGCTGGATGGGCTGATTTGGAGCGGATACTCGATTCTCTCAACTGCTTCGGTACCTCCTCGGATTTGACAGCCGGCAACAGATCATGATCACGATTTTTGGGAGGGCGACCAGGGCCACGTTTGAAAGACGGTGGCGGTACATGCACCTCAACCTTTGACTTTCTAGCCGACATGTTGTAGATTGGCTTCGCATGCTTTTCATGTTGCTCTTTCGCCTTATCGAAAGCGGCGCGTGTCTGCCTCTTATTTGACTGTGGCTGCAGATCGAGGGGTATGATGTTTGTTCTTCCAGATTTTCGTCGTCCATTTTCCACGAAAGATGTCGGGCCTTCTGCCGCGATCCGTTTCCACGGAGGAGAAATGAGACGCGGTGAGGATTTATGGTCAGCATCTGCAACCTTCCGCCTCTTTGCCGGGGGTCCATCGTTGTCGTCGGGATCGAGAGAGGATTCTTCGTGGCGAACTGGTGATGGAGGATTGTTATCGACGGAATCTAATGCGCAATCAGTCAAATTTCTCAGAGTCAATGTGTATGATGAAACATGCCTTGATCTTGGTAGTTGGGATGAAAGTTGCCGGTAAGGGGAGGAGGAGTCGGCATTTGGCGCAAACAGGAGCGATGCGTTGCCTGGCATGGCAAAATTGATCCTTAGAATAATGACAAAGTGACGACGAGCATACTCCACGAGCACGACGCAAGAATGGTCAATTCGCGGATCAAAATTTTCAATACATCGAGTAGATTCAGTGTACGAAGTTTGAGGGTGCCTAGGGCAAAATTGAGCGGTTGACGGCGAGTAGAAGTTGAGCTGGTTGTCAAAAATGTCGACAAAGTCTAGAGGTAGAGAGAAGGAGCGCAGCCTGCAGGAGCAGCGAGGTTGCAGAGGGCACATTCACATTTAGGGTTCTCGGCTGTCCACTGCCTACTGCGCAGCCTGCCAAAGTCCCTAGCACCTCCCAAGCTCTCCACCTCGAGGCCAATCAGCGCCCAGCATTCATCATTCATAATCATTTACTTCAACCGTTCTCAAACTTCCAAACGGACCTCAGGGATCAATCTACATGAATTGACATCGGCCACTGCGTCTTTTCACCTAGCTCCTTGGAGCCTTCTACTCCAGATTCGCCTTCAAGATGTTCTCCCGACGAGCCGTGACTTTGGCCGCTAGGTCAGCCCGAACCTTCAGTCGCCCTCAACCTCGTATTCCTCGAGCTCAATTCTCTGTCACACGACGCTTACGGGCCGATGAAGAGGTGGATGACCCTGAAATGGTACATATTTTTCGCTATTGAGATGAAAGAGGCAAGCTAATCCACGCGTGTGAAGAACAACAATTACATCAATCCCCCTCGAATCAAGAGACAACACCGCGATCCTTATGGTGACTGGGACGACAAGCAGGAGCGACGCAATTTTGGCGAACCCGTGCACGAAGACAATGATGTGTTGGGCATTTTTGCTCTGGAGGATTATACGCATATGACGGATTCACAAGGTCTGCTGCTGTGGGCAGGCTTCATCTCAGTAATACTGGGAATCAGCTATGCTGTGTCGGTGACTTATCCTGGCAAACCAAGTACGCCAACAGAATACCCAGGAGGCCTCGATCGGGAACTTGGAGGTGCAGGTGCCCCGAGAGTGAGTAGTGAGTATACATTTCAAGTTTCCGTTGGCTGACCGTGATCAGGCCTTTATGGCAGGCGATGAGATTGAAGAGGAGTAAATGTTGGTTTAGGATGAACTTGTACATACTTGCGGAAAATAAAAGCCGGCCAAATTGAACCCAATTTGCAATTGCTCTATCTTTCCCACGGTTGAATGGTTTTGTTCCATCAAACAATCATGGAATCCACTGCATGCTACATTGACTTTCTTTGATGGAATGGCTGACTTGTTCATCCCGTCTGCATGTTCCTTCAACTGCCCCGAATCTTGTCCCGACAGAGGCGAAGACCGTGCGAATAGCAGCAGAACTCTGCTTTACGACTGGTTTTACATTGGTCTCGGTCTCGTTCACTTCAGTTCCCAAGTGCAGGAACGTCCACTATACAGGGTATTCCAATGCCTTCAGATATCGAGAGAAACGCAAGGACTTCAAGTTCATTTCTTCGATGATGAATCGTTTCATTTGATCATCTGACAAGCCGCCATGTATCAATTGCCAATGGGCAGGGGGTCAACCAAAAAGACATTTTCGATGGGCTCTGTCTGAACGTCTCATAATTCCCGTGTTTGAAATCAGATAGCCTTGTTGCCTTGGGACCCGAGATATCCTGGTTGATATTCTTCATCAAATCTGACATGTACCCAAAAAAAAAAAAAAAAAAAATAGGGCGGGCAGGATGTTGGTCAAGACTATCTCGTCCATGTCTACGAACGAAGCCACCCCCCGAATTGGAGTCATTTCACCAAAAAGTATTCCAAACGAAACATACACTTGCTCAGCAAAAGCATGTTCCAGTCGACCGCCCGGAATCTAATTTGACCAATCTTAAAACGCTGCAGTGGAAGAAAACACCCATTCGAGTTCTCAGACAGCTATCCACGTCCCCATCGCCACCGTAGCGACCATCACCCAATATCCACCATAACTCATAGCCAGCCGCATACCGGCGCTGATCTGTGATTCGTTCGAGGGATCCGTCCCGCCATCTGCCGTGGTCCCATTCGCGAGCGACCCATTGATATACGTGGCCGTAGTTCCATTGCCATAATCAACCGTGCGGACGAGACTAGAGTTGACTGGCTGCCCTGTGCCGTTGGAAACGACTTCGTTCAAAAACGTACTGTTGTCCGTCGGATCGCACCCGCAGACCTGATATTGCTGACACAGACAAGTGACGTTGCTGGTCCGGTTCTGGCCATCGTGGACCCAGTGGTAGGGGATGCCGTAAGGGTAAGCCCAGACAGTGCCGTAGAGCCAGATGCCAGGAAAGAAAGCAAGGGCGGCGACGGGGAATGCGTACGGCGCAATGCCTCGTGTGGGAGATCTTGCGCCGGCCGTGTAGGGCACGACGGCGCCGCCTGTGTATCGGTTGCCGTAGGCTTTGGGGGTTCCTGAGCCGTCGCGCGTGCGGCCGCCGACGTTGGACGAAGGTGAGAAGGAGTATGAGGACAGAGGCCTTGAGCTAGAGCCGCTGGATCCGGAACTTGATCGCCCACCGCTACTACCTGAAGAACTGCTTCCCCCTCCTTTGCCGCCACCGCCGCCTTTGCGCTTTTCTAATGCATTGTACTCGAGTGATGGAGAAGACGAAGAGTAGTCGCGTATCGCAAGATCGGTGAGGTGTGAGACTGGTGGCGCCGATGCGACAAAGGCGATCAGACAGACGAGTGTTGACCAGAAGAGGAACTGCATGCTTGCGCAGCACAAAGTGCGGAATATGGAGTAAGGTACTCTCGATATCTGTATATCGGGAAGAACACGCGCACAGTTGAAAACCTGTAGGAGGATAAGTCTACCACCACGAAGATTCCAGCGCAGGCAACAAAGAGATCGATCAGTGTGCGTCCTGCTTATATTCACTGACAAAGAAGAATGGGGCTGATTAGTCCATCGCAAACAGGAACCAGCACATTCACCGGCTGAAACGGGATACGGAGGGATAGGAGTCGCCTCCAAGCCCCCCGTTCTGAAACGAACTTGAAAAAAAGTATACCCAGTGCTAGTATGACAATTGGAAGCAAATGCAGTCAATCAGTCAATGACGCCTTGCCACACGCTAAAAGTCTCCGTCTCTTGGGCTCAAATCATTGACTCGGCTCGAGCAATAAGCTCTCACTTTGAGAAGTGAGAAGTTGGCTGCACAGCCATGCGCATCCACAAGGATCTTCAAACTGTAAAATGCTTATACGGACTCTGGAGGGAACCAAACCTCCCCACCCAACCGAGTTTCTTTGGCATGATTCTGTCTTTGACATCACGTCCTGGTCCTCGCTCTCGTTTTGATTTCATCAGCACGATCCTAGCACACCTTTCTTGCTAAATAGTCATCTGCTGGGCCTCAGCCATGCTCGTCCTTATAAATGACATTGGTAATTATATACATCTTCAACGGCTTGCCCAGGCCGACTGGGCATGAGCTTAGCCACAATTTCAAGGTTGCTGCACAACTCCCACATGAGACGGTACCTAAGTATGTCCTGCCGGGGAACTGATTACTAGAGATCGTTTCTGGGCAATATTTATTCCAGATCTAGAATGATCATGTGCCGTTCCGGCTTCCAGCTGGCCTACTCCACTACATCCCGACGAGTCGCTTCGTATCTGTCATCACGGTCAGCAATCACTTGTCAATCAGATCAGGGAGCATCAACAACATACCTCTTTCCCCGGAATGCCCAGATACCCCAGTTACCACAGCTGATATCCTGAGGATCCAGGTCGTTCAGATCCCATCTCAAAGATCGAAAGCGATTCTCCCCAGGCTCCATGAGAAGATCCACCTCTCCGGCACATTTTTCCATAACCCATTGCCAGTCACGGGTCATATCCCATTCCGTATATCCGGTACATATTACGGGAACCTTGGTCTCCAACAATTGAGGCAGTGTCTTTTCCCACTCGTGCGAGGAAGCTGGATGGCCCAATCCGGGATGATACAACATAAAGCAGTCGAAGTAAGGATCGTAGGGATAGAACAAATTAGCTTCATGGAGGGTGTGAAAGTATTCCACGTAGGTCGTGATTTTCATCTTGTCCGATATCCGATCTTCCACCACTGCGCCGAATGGATTGGTAGGCGTCCGTTCCGGAAGCGGAAACTCGCCGTCACGATTCATCATAGACTCGGGTCCAATGAAAATGATGTGGATGAGCGCGAGAGGAAAGAGATACGACAGTTGAGTCCAGACATCACGTGGTAGTGATGATTCGGCTCGAGCACCGAGAACAAATATCCGCACTGGAGGAGCTTTCAGTCTCAACCCTTTGATATCAGGCCCGGCACCGGTTTTAGGCGGGTGTAGAGTATATCGCAGCGCTCCCGATATTAGCAGAACGGAACTGGCAGAGAACAGAACATTGCTTACCACTCAAACTCTTCAGCCCTTCTACCGTGAGCCTTCCTCCACTTCGGATGTTATAGGGGCTCAACTCGTGTAGAACGCTCCCGACGGTCAAAGGGTAAGTCAACAATTTGGTAACTTGCCGCATACTCCTCTCCGAGTTGATCGCCTCATACTGTCGTGTATAGAGATACGTGTCCCAGTTCGTCATGTTGACCAAGATCTCATCCATTTGAGGTCCAGGATATTCAAACTCTGAGAACCATCTTCCAGACCGCAGGTCATGGTCGTCTTCGTTGATTTGCTGCAATGTGTCGCATATTTCCAGGTGTGCTTCAAAGTCATCTGCCCAGTGTTCCTGAGAGCAATATGTAGCAATGCCACAGTATGGGCATTCAAAATCCACATGAGCCGGCGGCTGCGAACTCACACCTTTGATCTTTCTGGTCTCTGGGTCATGTGGAGAGGTGGGAATTCTTGTTTGCTGATGCGCGGGATGAGGACACAATGCGTGTTGTTTCATGAAGCGTGCTCTTTGCCGTATTTCTGGAATTGGTGACTTGGAAAAAAGGTGAAATAGATTGTCGGGCTGCAGGAGCACCCGTCCATGAGCACGCCAGTGTCCGTAATCCGTAGGGGGAATGTTGTGACGTTCAAAATTGTCTTCCTCTTGGGGAGGTGCTACAGATGCGGCAGCGGTAGACGCCACTCGAGTCGACGTTTTCGAACTTCGCGTTTGGACCGTTTCCGTTCCATTCGTAACGTTAAGTCGGGGGTGGTAGAGGGCAGGTCTTGATGTGAAGCAGCGGGTGCTGCTGATTTGTTGTGCAAGGCGGCTACTTGTACGTCGTCGACCTAGACCTGAGAGTGCTCGAGCACATCTCAGGCAGGTATGAAGCCCGTCCATCGGCTTTTAAGAGGTGGGTTGTCCTGAAGCTCTCAAGTTCGACGACGGTTGATGGACCGAGAGTCGCCAGCTGCGTCAGGCCATTTTTGCCAAGACCTGCACTTTAATGGCTTTATGGTCGACGGGACTTGTAGTGGCTGATAATTTATGTCCGCATCAATGAGATGGGTCTTGAGTTCTCTTTCCTCTTCGCGATCGTCTCCCTATCCTCCACACACGCCCTCGAACAGAATATAGATCGTTAACCTATGCACATCGGTTTTCACAAATACAGGTCCCCGAGTCCCCGATCACCATCCACTTCCCTCTGGCATTTCCCACACGCGCAACATTCACTTTCCGGCTGCTTGTCATTTTTCCACAAGCTCTTCGAAGAATGTCTTTGAAGTCACGGCTTGCAGGTCTTGCGTCATGTGAGCTTGCATGCTTGAGCTGGTGGATCATTTCACACTTTTCGTTGCAAGAATGATAGTGGACCTTTCATAGTTCAACCTGATTCTGGCCCTTTGGCCAACGTGGACAGGTTGACTCCTTGCGTACCTACATCTACAGAATATGTCACCAACCCTTGTAGTGTGTCGACAATCACGGTAATAAGACAAGTTACAAATCGTACTAGTACATCTTCGTTGTGTCATCCAAGTCATTGAGTCGTCTCCGCTTCGCTTCGCTCTGAACGCTAAAATTTAAACCAAGGCCATTCCAATACCAATTCATCATCTCAGGCTGCCGTTTAGGTTTCAGGTTTCGGCATTCCAAGGCTGGTATTCTGAAGCAAGTTCGCTACCTGCTCGGCTGAGTATCCAAAAAAGACTGGACCATTGAATATGATCTGTGTCCGGTCCCTCCGAACATCATTGAATTCACCATCATCTTGTGGTTCAGGTTTCTTTCGAGGCTCATCCCCCTGGCTACGGTCCACGGGATGTTTAGGCGACTTTCTTTCGGGAATCGCCTGAGAGCTCTCCGACTTAACTATCAGATGAGCCACTCCATCCTCTGACTGCAAAGCACTGGGTGACGGCTCTTTGTCCGGAGGAACAGAAATGCCCCAAGGCCGACTAGGAGATTCTCCCACCCGGACCTCCCGAAGGGGCTTTTCAAATACTGATATTCTTGGTTCACCGTCTGAGATTATAGGTTCCTGGGTAGGACACCCTGGATCGTGGCTGACGTGTTCTGCCCATTTCTCAACCGTATGGCTTGAACTTTGGTCTCGTTCTTCAGTTCGATCCCTCTCCGGTAAGTATGCCTTGTGTTTGACTCCCAGACCCTGTATCATGTTTACGAGGTTGCCGTATTTGGCGTCCAGTTGTCGAGCACTGCTCTCGTTCTGCTGATATCTCCTAACACAAATCTCGTGACTCCGGGGAATTTCATGTTTATGATTTTCAAAATATTTGGCGACTTCTTCCGGGGAATGTTGATCGAGAAAACGAATGGGACATTGACCGGGTCGTTGGTCAGGGTTGGGCAACCGGACAGAATTCCCATCCTGGTGGAACTCCGCCGCTATGGGATCTTCCTGAATATTGTGTATGTGAGGTCGACCATTTGACATCTTTGCAAACGGGCATCCCAAAGTCCCTTGAATCCCAGGTGTCGTAAAGTCTTGTTCGAGATCTTCTGGATCTGCGGCCCGATGTGCTACAGGGCAACGGGCACCATTCGTCCGAGGCTGACGTGATTCCGACATTTTATAATGATGTACTGCTTGTTGCGCTTTCCGGACGGGTGAAGATGATTCTATACCTAAGGTGATCTCGGGCGACTGGCGGATCTGTTTGATAACTTGACTCGGAGCAATAGAGGATGCAGAGACGCTGCCGTCAGCAGTTAACAGCCTCTCGTACTATCGGAAGGGAGTCAGTACGCTGGTATCATGGTACAGATTCTTTGAGAATGTGAATAGAATATCACAAGTCAGGTAATACATGCAAATGTCGCTCATCGCTACGAAAAGCAGCTCTTGATCTAGAGCTAATCAAATGTGTCTCATCATGGTAGAAAAATTGCAGGGAGAGACAAAGATGGGCATATCACTCACTTCATCCGCAGCAAAGTCAATCTTCTCCCTCAACGCTTTCTCGTTCTCAAGAAGTGTTTCGAATCCAGATATTAGAGACTCGACAATTGGCGCGAGGCGGTCGTCGACAGAAGACGACGCATTCATTGGGCTAGTTGTGGCTCTTCAAAGCAGCAGGCAAAGAGCTCCGGCGAGCATGCGCAAGGCCTCAAAAGGCTTTGGGACTGGAAAGATGACGGGCGCCACATGACGTGGTCATGTGACCGGCCATTCATGCGCCATACCAGATTGGGAATGATAACCGGGAACCGAGGCTCTACTCCCCGCCAATCGACCAGATTTATCGCTTCGCAGCCAGCATTGAAATGTTTTACTTCCCTTGCGTTGCGATTCGTGTATCTGTTCAATATTCCTACAACACGCCAACCATAACTCGCCTTCTTACCTTAACAACAAAGGCACGATGAAAGCTATACAGGTCACCAAATACGTCTCCGGACCGCAAGATCTCTTGGTGACCACCCTGCCGACCCCAACTCCTCATCCTACCAAATACCTGATTAGGATCCGCGCATGTGCCACGAATTTCTTTGACCTCCTCCAGATCCAAGGCAAATACCAACATCAACCTCCTTTGCCGTGGATCGCAGGTTTAGAATTCGCCGGCGAAGTCATCGCAACTCCCATCTCGGACGGGACCGGGAGCATGAAGACAAAACATCTATTCAAAGTAGGCGATAGGGTATTTGGTGCTGTCCAGGGAGCCTATTCAACCCACATCCTGGCCCCCGAAGAGTCCTTATTCCCTGTTCCCCAAGGCTGGAGCTACGCGGACGTGTGTGGGCTCTATGTGACGTCTCCCACCGCTTACGGCGCCTTGGTCACACGGGCAAAGACCCAGCCTGGCGAATGGGTCCTTGTACATGCGGGTGCAGGAGGTGTTGGCTTGACAGCGGTCCAGATTGCAAAGGCCCTGGGAGCTGTCGTGATAGCCACGGCGGGAACTGAGCATAAACGACAGGTGTGTTTAAACTATGGTGCCGATTATGTGGTGGATTATCGAGATAAAAACTGGCCACAAAAAGTGATTGGACTTTGTGAACAACATAGAACGGGTAACGGGAAGCAAGGCGTGGATGTGGTTTATGATCCAGTTGGTAAGTTGAAAGACCGCATGGACGCGGTGGTGGAGCTAACAGGTTATACAAGGTATGATTGATCCGTCAATCAAATGCATAGCGTGGAATGGTCGATTACTCGTCATTGGGTTTGCAGGCGGTAATATTGAGAAAGTCGCTTTGAATAGGGTGCTTTTGAAGAACATCAGCATAGTCGGTCTGCATTGGGGCATGTACGCCACCAAAGAGAAAGAAACGGTCCACGTGGTTTGGAAAGGGATCTTTGACTTGATCAACTCGGGCAAATTGAAGGGCATCACTTTTACCGACAAGCAATACAAGGGCCTGGAGAGCGTTCCCACAGCCCTGATCGCGTTGGGTGCGCGGGATACTTGGGGCAAGGTGGTGGTTGAACTAGGAGATCATGAAGGTGAAGAAGGTCAGAGTAAGCTGTGATGTAGATGATAGCTGGACTTTAGATTGTGAATAGAACACTTTGGCGTTCTTGAACACTTATCCGAGGAAGCCTGGTCTCAACCTGTTACGTCCAACATCGGTCCATTTATTGGATTGCAATGGCTTCAATCTCGACGTCAACGCCTTTAGGCAGCTCTCGCACAGCGACGCAGGTTCTCGCCGGCTTATGAGAGAACCATTTTTCGTATTCGCCGTTCATCTCCGAGAAATACTTCATATCGGAGAGGAAGACCTGGAAGAAAATGGGAGTCAGCATGTGAAATTTCCGCTGGGACTCAAATTCTCTGATCCACCCGCCACTCACCCCGACGCGGACAACTTTGGGTATCTCACTTCCAGCAGCCTCCAAGATAGCCTTAATGTTCTTACAGCATTGCTCGGTCTTCTCGGCAATGGAGCCTGTAACCAACTTGCCAGTTGAGTCCGCGGGGATTTGTCCGGCGACCCAGACTTGTCCTGCAGCTTTAATGGCCTGGCTGTAGGGACCAGCAGCTGACGCGACACAAATCAGTCAGTCGGTGATTCTCTTTGAGGCCTTCCTTTGGAAGTTATTTCCACAGATAGAGTGAGGGGCGTTCTTGGATCGCACGAGACTGGACTTACGAGGGCAGGCCTCTGGGGAGAGAACGGGAGTCAATCCGGAGGACATTTTGGCGGGGTGGGAATGGAATCGGTGCTGATGCTGGCGTTGATGGACTGCGGGCGCCAGGCCTATATTCCGCGGTAAATGTTTTAGACGAAGAAGACTGGTTCGATAGGGTGTTGACATGAGATACGATGGGCGTCCGTCCGTAAAAATCCGATATCGCTTGTAGGGCGTGGTTTTCGATGACTTGGGACAAAGTCAATCGATTGCTGTGGACCAGTCTGTTGTCGTACAAAGTCTCCGCCGGCCCAACTCGGAGGATCATGCCAGCTCTGTTGCTCGACCTGACGACTTTCCTTGTGGCCACCTCAGATAGTCTAGTGCCATCAAGATTTATCGGTTCTTAAACGCACTGCCTAAAGGTGTTGAATGCTACAAGGATTGGTATGCCACCGGATGAACTAGAGGCGAGAAAAATGAAGTGCATTGTCAAGACCGGCATCAAGTCCGAGCCACTACTCCTATAAATACAGAGCTGTCATCACGATAGGATTCAATGGAGTAAACGCAGTCCCTGCTCGGCGGAAACCATCAATGTCCTCGCCTTTATCACCCCAGTATAACGTAACTTGGTCAGCTTGCTCAGAAGCTGCAGTCTCCTGCACCCAAGCAACCTGATCAGCATCCCCGACACCGGGCATCTTGCAGTGCCACACGTCGATCAGATGAATGAGTGTGGGCAGATGTCCGAAAGCGGCAGGTTGTGGTCCATTTGGCCGGTAAAGAGCAAGACGAGTTGCCATAACGGCGAGTAAGAGTAATGTAATTGCCGTGTACAGCACCTGCGGAATGCGGATTTCAATGCCTTCCCACATCAGCCCAAACGCCATACCGAAAATCCAATGGATGAGGCATTTCAAGACAAACAGTGCTACCGTCTGCCAACTCGTGACGGCGGCGTAGATGGCACCGTGCTCCTTGGGGCGAAGGCCGCTGGCCGACGCGGTTTGCCGCCATAGGCTCTCATCGCGTGAAGCCTGAACGAGGAGCTCAACGATATGCAGGGAGAGGGTGATGGCCGATACAAAGGCGCACGTCAACAGGTACTTGCAGACGAACCACGGGCCGAATGAAAAGTAGCTCTGGCCAAGCGAGGTCGGAATCCCAATAAACGCGGTGGTGTCGACATAGTTTGGAATCAGGCTCCAATCATTAGAGAGCGAGCGGGAGAAGGAACCCCAAGCGGGCCCCGTGTCGCGTCGCAACTGATATGCGAGACAGAGGGCGGCAAACCACACAAAGGCCAGAAATGTGACGATCCACACAAGGATGAGGACTCGACGAACTCGAAAATGAGCCTTGAGTAAGGAACCTTGTCGCAATTTGGGAAGAGTTGGCGGCTCACGCAATGAAGTGTCTTGAGCGTCATGGACGCTTAACATGCTCCGGTGCGACAACCGTGACATCCAACCCTGGCTTTGGCAGACAGCCGCGACGTATATCGGATTGGTGGACCAGGTGGGAAATTTATTGACTATCAAAGCCCAGGTAGCAACTGAAGCTTGACCAAGCAATCCAAACCCAAGGAAGATGAGGGCATAACCAGAGACGACGTCGTAAGTGGCATCTGCATTGTTAGAATCGTCGCTCCCATACGTGTAGATCGTCTCGAGGATTACCATCGACCCGCAAGCGTAGGATGAGATTAAAGACCAGGCCCAGAGGAGATTGACCGGCCACCAATGTACGCGGGAACTCGGACAGCTCGTGAACAGTCGCAGGTTGGAGTTGAAGGTCAACTTCCTCGCCGCTAGAAGGGCGAAGCGCAGGCTGGTGGAATGGACCAGGCCAGCGATATCGGACAATGAAGTGACCCAAAAGGCCACAGCTAAGCGCAGAAAAGGACCCAGCGCTTTGTGATGATGCATAGACACGCCGATGGAAGAGTCTGTAATGGCTTGCACGATTGCTCCATATACGATCACTCCAATTCCGGTAAGCCACATCAGGCCCAGTCCGATGGTGCAGACTCGGTATGTCCACAGTCCTGGGTCCGCCGCGTCTAGAACATTGTCCTTTGTCAAAATCAGATCGTCCTCTTCGCGCGTCCGGACAGCTGGATCTGCCGCGTCAATGGGCTGAACATTGCTGTTCACCGTCAACTCCGAGTTTGTCGTTTTGGTGTGTCTCTCGATCTGTACATCCTTCATTCTGCTCAGCGGGCAAAGAGTAGCCACTATACGGCATCCCTGCCCCTCTTCTGGTTTTCTCTGTTTTCTTTTGACAGAGACACACTTCTTGCGGGAAAAGGAAGGTCAGGAAAAAATGCCCAGGAATATTACTGGAAAAAGCAATAAAGACGTTCGAGAGCTTGGAGTCGGCAAAGGAAAGCATACTAGATTCCACATTAGACGTAGCTCTCCTTATCAATTAAAGACGATCCCCCAGCATATGTGTCTTCGTCGGGCGGGCAGTGCAGCCTCGTGGTGTGGGCCTTGGGGCCGTTTCGTGTGGTACCTTGAAACACAGGCCAAGATTAACGGCCCCAAGTCACCTGCTATACACTGAGAACGGATTGACAATACTTCATGCAGAACCCTGCTTCACCGAGATGGATGTGAAGAGACAAATAAAGGTTACTTGCATGAACCCAACAAAGCAACATGGAATACCAAGGAATTTAGCGAGTCTACAAAAACAATCCGGGTTCTCCGTACCTGGATGAAGCTTAAAGGGCCGTAACTCAACTCAGAAGTCGGTGATTCGCGCTTTAGCGTCTCCCCTTGGGGGCTGATCTAATTAGACGAGCTCGATTTCCCACAGGGGGTTGGGGCCGACAGCGCAACTCCACCCTGGTTCGTGAGGCGTAGCGACCATGCATGGACATGGGGATGCCCCATAGCCAGTCGCCACTACAGATTTCCCTAGGACGTTACTGCAGGAATTTGTGGCATAAGGTCCGCAGAGGTTAGCAATATATAATTCAACATTCAACTCTGCGATCCGGAAGTTCATTTGCCGGCAGAAACGAATATCGTACACGAACCGAGTATTTCTCGCCGAATGGAGACTGGGAGGCGTCTCGCGCGAGGAGAACAGGAGCTTGCAGACGTGGTTGAAATGACAGACGGAGACAACGTCGGCCATACTTCTCTACTGTGCTTGCTGGATTCCTATCCAAAGTCATCTGCCAGCCTTGTTATGCCTGATCATGTACCAATCCTGTGAGAAAAGTGGGGTTGGTATAGATCTTGCTGGTCACCCTCAAGTTCTAATCGGTAGCAAATCAATGCCACTGTTCTTCTAGAATGCCTCTTGTAGTTTTCAACCTTGCTCTCCACAAATTGCTCCCTAGAATTCTTCCGCCAATTGTATTTATTGCAATTCTGATGTAGCGTCTTTCTCCCCGAAAGTGGTCCACCAGATGCTCAATTCGCATGTATCGTCATAATGCTGGCTGGGCGTTCCCTTCGCAGTCTGATGATGATAGGGGTGATGCCTGGGGGAATTCAAATACTCCGGTAAGAGCGTCGTGCCCTACACGGATAGAGAAAATAGGTATGAGATCGAAGACGTGGAGCGCAAATACGTCCAGGGGCCAGTTGATATCCCGCCAAATAGCTTCGAAACGCGGAAGAGTTCCAGCAAGGCTCATTTCCTATTGCCTTCCTATTCAACGAAAATGAAAGTCTCGATCTCGAGCAGGGATTACAAGAAACGACAACCATGGCCATGTAGATGGAAACTATACTGGCCTTCCTCTCGATCTCTTTTCAAAGTGATATATCTCCTCAAAACAGCGTTGACGACACTGTGAGTCTACAACCAGTTCAGTATGGGCATCCGATTGACCATCACCAGAGGGCTGCCCCCGATGAACCGGAATTAGTATCCGGCCTTCGAAAAGATACATTTCTCCCTCCCAAGTACAGGAGACCCTTGGGATGCAACTCTCCCATAACAACTACCGGTACCGAGGACCACTCTACATAGCCGTTCGAGCCGGCTATACGGGAGTCGAAGCAGATATCAGGCATTTCCGCGCCGAACTCTACGTCGCCCACACAATCTCAGGTATTCGTCAGAACAGAACGCTTCAAAAGTTTATATCTGGAAACAGCCCCTTATCTTGCTTATCGATCACAGGAATGACCCGGGATATCTGAGAGAGAATGTTCTACTCCTAGCATATTTCCGCGAAAGGAGATATTTTAACGGAATTGCCCTTGTTGGCGGGCCTCCTACTGCCGGGGTGTCAGGTGATGCTCCTTTCAAACATGTGACGGAAAACCCGACATCACCGCGACATATTCTACGACGCACCCACTCGACCTCATGATTTCATTGTCATCAGCCAACACCGTGTCAAAACTCAGAATCCGACACAGACAACTCCTTCCCGTTCTTCTCTGCATACCAATGCCCCTCTCCGTCCTACCAACCCGGTTGTCTATTCCGCCGCAAACTCGTATTTCGCTTCTGTGTTCAATCATCAAATCCATCGGATATCCCTGGCACTCTCGACTGTCACAAGTTCAACTGGACCTTCTGCGGCAACAGTTCCGCAGAGTCCGCACGCGCGGCTTGAGGGTCCGGTATTGGAGCATTCCAGTCTGGCCCGATCGAGGTGCGGAATTACTTGACGTGCACGCGTAAGAGGAGGTGTAGAGTACCTGAGTGTCGACGATATTGATGCCCATGACTCGGGATGATTGGGATCCAAGGAAAGAGGGCTGCAGGTAAGAAGTGGTGGTGACGAACTATTCAGAATATTTTCAACCCTAACCCTATACTAACTCTTTCTCCGCGAGACATCCCTGATCATGTGAATCTTTTCGTCTACACTTTATCCGCCACACTCTGCCCCGTTTGCTCGCCTGGCATCTTAAAGACGATCTTGTGCACCTTCCGGGCCTCAAAGTCCTTGTACGCCTGCGGTGCATCCTCAAGTGACATGGTCTTCCCGCACAAGAATGCGACCTTCTTCTGCTCCTGGACCAGCAACTTAAGTGCATCCTCAAAGATACTCCGGACTGGGCATCTTCCAAATGCCATCGTGACATTCTTACCATAGCAAAGCAGCCCATTCAGCGGAATCATCTCAGTATGCACGCCAATAGAACTGATCTGGCCCCACGGCCTAATCATGTCGAAGGCCAACATGAATGCGTCCGCGTGGCCGACGACCTCGAGCACGACGTCCGCCCCACGTCCGCTGCTGACCGCTTTGATTTTTTCGACCGGGTTGTCGTTCAAGTTGATGGGAATGGCGCCGATCTTCTCGGCCTCGGCCAGACGTTCAGGCACAGAATCGATGGCATACACGGTCTTCACCATCGTGAGTGCACAGGTGATCGCACAAATCCCCACGGGCCCACAGCCGATGACCACGGTGGTGAATTCGTCGCGATCGCGTTGCGAGAGGTTCTTCAGGAACCGGGACGCGGCGAAATAGCCCGTGGGAAAAATGTCGGCCATCAACACGAGCATTTCCTCGGGAATACCTGGAAATACAGGAGCTTCTGTTAGTAACCGAACACCAAAAACGGATAATCAAAGAAGATTAGTCAAATGGATAACACCGTCAGGGAACTGATTGATTCCAACAAAATACGTACCCTGAGGTGTCTTCACACAAGTCGTCCCCGCTAACGGAACCCTGACATACTCCGCCTGGCCGCCATCGATGGTATTGGCCGGGACGGAGTTCCCAAACAATTCGCCTTTGGAACAACGACTCGCCTGGCCACGGACACAGTAGTAGCATTCCTGACAGGCAGTGTAGAAGGGGACAACAACATGGTCTCCGATTTCGAAGTTTTTGACGTCGTCACCCTTTTCGATGATGGTACCGACGAATTCGTGCCCGCAGATGAATTCGGGTGGACATTTGAGATGGCCGCGGTAGAAATGGAGATCGGATCCCTGTTCACAACCGAAAAGAAAGGACAAAAGTTATATATATATTTTTAACAGCCCTCGCCAGGAGCATAACGACAAGTGAAGAGGAACATTGGATGGGTTTGATAGGACTTACGCAAAGCGCGGTTGAGGTCACTTTGAGGATTGCATCGGTTGGCTTTTGGATCTTGGGGTAAGGCCTGTCTTCAACGGCCACCTGCAGCAAGTCAGGAATGGAATGGAAGCCTCTTGAGCAACATTTGATGCTATTAATAAGGGAGACAACAAAGAATGCTTTGCGGCTACATGGTCTGGTATTGTAGAGCTCCTTCGGGTCTACCTACCTTGAAGTCTCCCTTGAGGACAACTGCACGCATAGTTGCTGGAGGCATTTTGGTAGTGGCAAGAGCTCTTTTGTTCCGAATTGTGGTGACGAAGACAAGGAGGATGCGGGTCAAGCAAGCGAGACTCGGGATCCCAGACAGGGTTTATTTAATTATGTGTCTGCCGCGCACGTTCTTCAAACTGCCGGGAAAGCGGGAGCATGTGGAGGGTGCTTTCCCCGCCTCTGCCCCTGCGAAAGCCGCGGTTATAAGAAACGCGGGGGACGAGGCTGAATTCCCCAATTGGGAGTTGGAGATGATATCATCATATTCGTGTTATTATCATTTATGAACAAAAGCCGGCCTTGTCGTCAATGTCCAGATTGTGTCATTTTGTCATGTCAATCGTGATAAGCGGAAAAACATCCCCTCGCCGTTTTCAAAAAATCGTACACGAACCAAATCGCAGGCACAATTCGCACTACCTGTCAAAATCATCATAAGCACTTCCATCATATCGTCTGCTTATACTCCCAGAAATACTACTCAAGTCCACACTCTGCCGGTCTTGAGGATGAAGGAAATCATGTGATTCATTCGACAGCTTCCTGCCCAAGGTCGATGCATATGCCAACGCTTCTTGAGGCAGGTCCGTGGCTTCATAGGAATTATCGCTAACATTTCGTGTCCGTGGTGGCTCCGGTTGGTTGTAATTGGGGTACCGTGCTTGCTGACTGGGGAGTAGAGCACGACCAGTGGCTTGAGACGTGACCTGATTGTAAGTCGCAGCCGCACCCGTCATTTGGTCCCGAGCAGTATTCCTCGGGGAAAGCGACGTAACAAAATCAAAACTCGGGACCGACGCAGGAATGGAGTTTCGGAAAGGATTGCCCTGGTCTTCGTATGGGCTGTCGTTTCCATCGTTCGCAGCATTGGAACCAAAGAGAATCGCAGAAGTCGGGGTCGCTCTAGCTGTGTGAGACGTGGGAGTATTGTCATTGCTACCATTCGGCGAGTAGTCGCTTGGATTGACCAGAGAAAGTCTAGGCGGTCCGCCGGGCGCCAGATCAAGTTGCGAAGCTTGAGGAGTATAGTCACCAAAAAGACGTTCGGGATCTGCATTGGGGTCAAAGAACTTTTCGTCGGTGAGGTAAGGATTCGATTTGTCGTCAGTGTCATCAAAATTGGTGGTGGGCATCTCCACGACACCCTCGGGAAGGGTGTAAGGCCGATCATTGAGGGAAACGCCAGGTTTGTTATCTCCCGATGGGGAAGGGCTATCATACAGCCCGGTCGGGTCGATTTGATAGTGATTTGGTGGCAAACTGAAAGGTAGTTCGGGAACGATGCTTGATCGGCTGGATGTCTGATCTGCTGGTGCACCGGGTTGAGATTCTGAGGCCAGAGAGGCTCTGGTTTGGTCTTGCTGACCGAGACTCTTCCCCACCAGGCTGGTCCTTTTGCGTTCTCCAGGAATGCCTGCATCCTGGGCATCGGGGCCATCGGCATCTCGGATTCCAAATTGGGCGATAGTTCGCAATTTTCGCGTCACCCATGAAGCCAGAATCTTGCCTCGTTGTTTCTCCGACAGTCTGCTTCGGGGGAAGTCGCCTTCGCCGACGAATGCGACAATGTCGACGACTATCTGATGCTCGTGGAGGACGGCATTGACAATGACCGGTACAATGGAAGCCAAGTAGGCTTTTCGGAAGACTTCCACCAGCACCACGACCATTCCGCCGGCCTGAAATACCGCGCTACCACCAGGGGTGATATTCCGGTGACATTTTTCTATGCTGTTCTCAATGTCTATGGGGAAGTGATTGAGACCATGAACCTCGAACGTCTCCCCAATACTTCCCAAGACAAACAAAATCTGCATTTCTACCGGTTGATTTCCGGGCCCAATAGGTCTTGTAACGTTGTGAAGAAACCCCAGATCGCCGGTACGGACATATGTCTGGTTGGGGTCGCCTCCCATGATGCGACCGTTGAATCGTTCCTCATCGAATATTTGCTTAGACATGTAGAAAGACTTTGCACAAGCTTCCGATTGCACCCAGATCTCACCATATTCACCAACATGGCATAATTGGCAGGTCTCAGGGTTCACGATGGCGATACGAGTGGATACAGGGACCATGCCAGAATCCTGGACACACAGAGCAGTGGGGTCTGTGTCGGGATCGACAGGGTAAACAAGACCTCTTCTCAACGCGCGAATGTCGAGCCAAAGTTCGATCGGCTCGATCGACATGTAGCTTCGAGACGCTATCATTGGGTTGAGAACATGTGCATAAATTGTGCTGATCGCAGTCCTTTCGAGTCCGGTTTGAGCAAAATGGAGCCTCGCTTTCGAGAAAAGGTCCAGGCGTGGCCTGGATTCAGTGGCGACCATCAGGTTCTTCAACTCATGCAACGAGAATCCTTTACCCACGACATGGCCCATTGCAAAATCCAACATCTGGCTTGTAGCATAAGTATCTTTGACTTTATACCTGGACAAGGCCAAGAATAGCGAACCAGGATTCTGGGCAAAGTCCAACGGTGAGATCAAATAGGTGGTACTGCCGTTGTACACGCCCATCACAGCCGTGTGCAGAAATCCGATACCAACAGTACTTCTCACGCAGGCGAGAACGGGCTTCGAACTCGTCATTTGGCAAGTTTCTTTCTGGACCTTGCACATCCCCAGAACGGTATCATGGCCCAATTGGACTGAAACTCGGCGCTGGTCAGGCGTCCAGTAAGTCCAGATAATGACTGGGTTGGAAGGAGAGATCCACGAGCGGTTCATTGTGAGGCCGAGATCTCTGCAGCCATGCGATTGCCTCGATGGTTTTGTCGTGTTGTAAACACTGGGGATATGGGTTTTCAGGTACTGTGCAGACTGCTTGAGATGCTGTGAGACGATTTTCTGTTTGAACAGGTGATCAACTTCGGTGTTGCAAAGGACCGCTTTTACGCCCATATCGGCGACAATGTGAAGATACGCCGGAGCATCTTCCGACAGTCTGTTGGCGTCCAGAGGGGCAACCGGAATAGCAATCGCCCCCAGAACCATACATGCGTAAATGGCGAATACGTAATCCTCAGAATGAGTGTACATCAAGATAAGGTGGTCACTCGGTTTCACCTTGACCTTGTTCCGCAGGTATAATGCCACTGCGGCCACTCGTGTGTCAAACTTCTTCCATGTCAGGCCCTTGCCTTCTTTGCCTCTGCCATCGATTGTGCAATAGGCGAGCTCATCGGCTTGTCGCGCCACTCGCCACTGCATGAGATCAAATATGTTGGTAAAATTGCTCAATGCGGTTGAAGTGCGGTCATCGATCACCACTTCTCGGGGATCAACTCCCGACCACTGCGTTTCTTGTTCATAGAGAAGTTCCGTCCGGGCGGCACTCGCGTTCACAGACCAGATGCCTCCGCTGATATCCTCTCCAAATGGTAAGTTTTGGACGGCTCTCTCAACCCCAAATTTGACATGGACGCAGGGCAATGACCCATTATCGAATTCCTTTCGGCAAAGCATGTTTCCGATTTCTCGTCGACCATTTTTGGTCACCCGTGGCAGAATGCCCGGCGCTGTGATCAAGACGCAGTAGACCCTCAGATGATGTTCTTGATACAAAATCTCCATCGTTCTCTCTGCCAGAGAGTCAAGCAAGGCAATATCGAGCTGTCGTGGAGGCCCACCCGAGGATATAGGAGCAGTCGATGCAGATGCAGATTCTAATAGGACGATTGGTAGATGCTCGTCATTGACAAAACAATCGAAAGCAGAGCAGTCGTGAATCTTGGGAATGTTCCTCATGATACTGAGAATAAGGTGCTGAACGAAGAAATAGCGATGTTCCTGCACCGCTAAACCATGTTCGACCCATTCCACCCTTTGTCTCAGCCGATCTTCGTAGAGGCCTAAGACATATATTTTCCCCTCGATCACACAACCGAGCAAGCCAGTGCGGAGAAATTCAGGATCGATGGCCGTTGGCGTCGGATTGCCTTCCTTGAAGCAGAAAGGCCGAGCATGGAAGATGGTTTCGGTATGCTTAGGAAGCGCCCAAAACCCTCCCGAAAGAGAGGGAGAGTCGACCCAGATCTCGCCGATTGAGTTCGGGGTACACAACAGACCCGATTCGGGATCAACCACGGCGAGAGTAGCGTCAGGAATTGGATAGCCAAAAGCTCCACATCTTACGGCATTGGGAAATGAGCTAGCCTTCGCACGCGCCTCGGACCCCGTCGCTAGCACGACGATGTCGTTGGTCTTCAAGGCTTCTTTGTCCAAAAGCACTTCACCAAGGTCCTCCGTTGAACGGACTTTGGAAGGTTTCGTGGTGCCACCTCCGATAAGGCTACTGCCAAAGCCCGATTTGCTGGTAGCATTTTCGTCTTCCTTTCTCTCTTCCACATTGCGGTCATGATCCATCTCGTGGGTGAGCGAGCAGCCCATTCGTTCTTCGCCTCCAAGCCAGTCTCGCATGCTGATGACCATTCCACCATGCTCGGGCAGACATAACATTGGCGCCACAATCTCCCGCGCTCTAGGGTTGCGCAGGGGTTTCAGCCATCGGTCTGCCAGGAGTTCGTGGAACTCAGCATCAACGGTCAAGGTGTCGATCATGCACAATTTGACGCTGCTAAAGTTAGGCTCAAAATTGCGTCGGAAATTCCTCGTCGCCATCGGATCTGCTTGGTAGTTGTAAACCGCTCTTTTTAAGCCGGGGTAATCTGCCACCAGCAAGGTTGTCTTGTATTTGGTAATCAAATTGGCGTAGAGGCCTGCGGTCTCAATCGTCCGTTGGTCGATGTAAATCACCGTATGGCCACCATAGACGTTCAACAAGACTCCCAGGATCATCCCTATACTTTGCCTCGGGTCCAGATAGCTAAGCATAATCTCACCGTGTCTGGAGCCTGTAATCAAATGGCCTTGTTTGTCGCGCAAGGAAGGATTGAATGTGTCTGCCCGGGTATTGCTCGTTGCCGAAGTAATCATTGCACTGAGAGTGGCCATCTGGTGCATGATTGTCTTATGGCTCATGACGACTCCACGAAGATCTCCGGTAGGAGCTGTGGAGAATTCAATATATGCAAGATCGGGCACCACAAGAGGACTCTCCTCGCCCTTTTTCTTTGGGTGGTAAGAACCAAACTCGTTGGTTTTCCACCATTCCACGCCCCGAGGCCAATTGAGTTTGGCCGCCGTGATATCACGTTGGAAGTTCTTTAAGTTCGCCTCCGTCGTCAAGGCTAGGTGTGCTTGGGTGGATGTCAAGACGACATTCAATCTCGCATAGTTCTTCAAGTCATTGATGGGCACCGCAACCACGCCTGCAATGAAACAGCCCAGAAGTGCCACCGCAAATTCAATGATTTCATTCTCAGTGTAAATCAACGCCACGCGATCGCCTTTATACAAGCTGCTTTTATCACGGATAACTTGAGCAACTTTTTCGGCCCGACTGCATAGCTTCTCCCATGTGACCGAGACCAGCTCTTTGCCTTTTTGATCCAAAACCCAGTAGGCTGCTTGCTTTGGATTCGTCTTGGCTCGATGTCGAAGCACTGCAGCAATGTTCTCGAACCCTGACATCTCAATGTGCGAATCGTGAGGGTCACAGATGGCGAAGGGCACTTCCCGAGGTTCCAAGGGCATTTGGTGGATCGCAGCTCCTCCTGTGAGTTCTCCCGCGCCCAAGAGCGGTGGTGCCATTTGCGCTGTTGGAGAAGTCACCTCACTCTGGGAATATCGGTGTAGATTACCTCCATAATTCTCTTGCTGGTCTTCCCGTTGTTGTCCAGCAAAGTCAGAGAAGTAACCTTGTTGAGAATCGAGCATGGTGGAATTGCGCGCGTCCGGGCCAGCATAATTCTGCTGTGTGCCAGGATTGAAGGCGTAGCTCTGGCTCATGAGTGTCTGGGAGCGGGGTTGTTCATTGGCGGTTATAAATGTTTCGTGACGGTTGTCGTGTGAGGATCCCGCGAGCGATCCCTGCGATAGTCCGCCTGCTTCCCGTTCTTGAAATCTTTGGGCGTGGCTCTGCGGAGTGGTACTCCTCTTAGGATCATTTGCATACTCATCCCTGATCATGGAAGCCGGTCGACCCAGGCTGGAATAACCCTCAGTCACTGTACCATTTCTCGACAACCCACTTGTGGATCGACCCGTGAGCGCAGCGAGGGACGCCGCTCTGGAAGCGTCATTGGACGCAGGGTGATCACTGTCGTCAGGGGAATGTATGCGAAGTCCTCGCGTGGGTGGTTGCGATTGGGATTGAGGCTGCACCACTTGCTGGGGGGGGATGAACTGGGACAGGATAAGGGTGCGCCGCTTTTCATATCCTTTCCTTGTAATATCTCCTTCTTCCAGCTCTTCATCCAGCTTGCGCAAAGCGTCTTCCAGCTCCGAATTGATGCCCGACATTCTTGCACTGCTTCATGTACGGCGGGCGTCGCTGCGTGGATTGACCACAGGAAGGAGATCGCGAACTGGGCGAAACAGCCCGGAAGACTGAACACAACGACGGTGAAAATTGGGTGAGAGAAAAACCAGAACTAAGCGAATGACAACAGAAAGCTTGCGAGGTCGTGATGATGGAATGGAACGAACGCTCAAAGAACAACTTTCAGAGTGCCCTGAACCCCGGAAGAGGTGGCACATGTGGGGACGTGATGTTCAAAGCCATCTGTGTCCATTTTCGCTCAAGCGGCAGCCCACCAATTTCAGTGCTGCAAGCTGTTGCAAGATTCTCGATCACCGTCTACAGTACTGTTTGACCATCACAAGAGAGCATTTACACGAGCGCGTCGTATGTGCTGGATAGCGTAGTCACTTGCGTGACGCAAATTTAGTGTATCATTGAAGGTAATGTTGAACGTATCTCTCTATCTGCCTGCCATAACGCCATGACAGAAACTTCAGGCCCTCATACTGGGCTTTATCAGAAATCCATCCTCGCCAGAGCGGTTAAGAGAATATGTCGGCGTTGTGGTACTGTAAAGAGCTGCCACCTTTGATCTTGTGGTATCCCGAAAACATCACCTTCTGGAATCATCAGTCGCAACAAGATCCCTTCATTGGGGTGACCTCCTCCGTCCGAGTCCCTCCTGGGCATCATCCGCGAAACGCCCTGGCAACTACTCCATCGCTGGAGAATCATGTCGCTTTGGATATAAACATTAGACGGGCCTTGGGCCGTATCAAGTCTAACAAGGAGAGCTGAAAGTTTCAAAAATGCCCGAAATGCAGAAATCCTGGATTGAGGAATGAAGACATGTAGCACAAAAGGCCCACCGTTCCCCGTGGTATAGTGCTGATGAGAGATGAGAAACGGATGTTCCCACTGGTTTCGGAAAGTTGTATTTGCGATCGCCAAGCGGCCGGTGAGAACATTGGGGTGGTCAGGGCTGAATCTGAGAACCTGCCCCCCCCCCTCTGGCTGTGACCGTTCTGGTGTTCGTGCAGCCCCAATCGAGGCACGCATCACTCTGATTGACTTTCCAGCAGTGCGTAAACGGGAGCTTTGAGCTTCTCTCGACCTTTGAGGAAGGTAAGCTCGATGATAAAGATGTAGCCAAGTAGAGTTCCTCCACATTTTTCGACCAGAGTTCCAGCCGCTGACGCAGAACCGCCAGTTGCGATCAAATCGTCGACGACAAGGACTTTCTGACCAGGATGAATCGCGTCAGTCTGCATGGCAAACGTATCGGTGCCATATTCTTTTTCATATTCTGCGGTTTCGATTTTGCCGGGGAGCTTGCCCACTTTCCTAACTGGGACGAACCCGGCTCCGAGTCGCAACGCCAGAGTTGGTCCGAAGAGAAAACCTCTCGCATCGAGACCGACAATCACATCGGGGATGTTATCGGGCCCGAAAATTTCGAGGATTTGTAGTTCGTACGCTCGGATGAGGTCCTGGTGCAGAGCGTGTGATGCAAAGAGAGGGAGGATATCTTCGAATACGATGCCCTTCTATACGAACATTGTCGGTGAGAATAATTTTATTTTCAGAAGTCTTTCGGACGTACCTTCGGAAAATCTGGATACGTTTTCAGTCCAGATTTAAGTCGAGCTTTCAATTCCGGCAACGCTTCAGCACCGGAGAGTTGGGTGGCTAAGATTGTTAGCCAGGCTGAATAGTTCAAGCGGCAAGGCTCAACATACAGGAGGGGGTGGCATGGGACTCTGATCGCGCGGTGCCATAGTTGGTATCAGTATTTTCTGGAGTCATGCTGAGAGGAAACAGTCGAGGAGGCAGGAGGGTAGACAGGATAAATATGGAACGAAAAAAAAAATGATGACAACAAAGAGCCGTTGCCCAAGACGAACAGCGCAGGACGAATCAGTCGTGCATGCAAGGGCGTCCACATTTCGGGAGGGATCTGGTGGGAAGCTGGTGCTTCTAGGCTCGGGACATGCGGCGCCATTCCAGAGTTTGCCTGTGGCCTCCGAGTATCCCAGCAGCGAGTCAACCACCGCAGCGACAGAGGTTCGGTTGCATGTGTTATGTTACAAAGGGAGTCAGCCTGCACGACCGGAATACTCCCAGTAGATTTCGACCTGGCTTGACATGGATTGCACCCGACCGGCGCCTGGTGGGCAAGCCCTTCTCTTTTTGGGCTTCCAGCCGACAGCGGTGTGAAACCAGAAGCGATCCACTCGGCAGCTTGATCAAGGTTCAATAAAAACGAGACAAGTTGACTAAAGAGGTCGTGACATGTGTAGCTGATAAAACTTACCCGATCCACGATTAGAGCACTAGAAGAGGGGCGGCTTCGTTGTCCCGATTGAGACCACAAGGCGCCGTACGCCGCAGACCCCTAAGGCCAGAAGTGGGATGTTTGACGATAACAGTCATGATAATGAACGAGGGCGTGGGCGCCGGCGTATGGTTCGTTAGCATTCAGGATTGGTTGGCGAGTTTTTGTTCGAGAGCCAAAAAAAAGTTTTTGGGTTGTTCTGACAAGCTGGCGGATCCGGGTGGAGCAATGAATGTGTGGCTGACGGCCCCTGCAACTTTGATACCAAATGTCCATCCGTGAGAGGAAGCAGCATTCGAAAGCGCATACGGTATGTGCCCTGAGATCGGATCCCTGAGCAAGAAATCCAAATGTCATGTCATCCCTTCTGTCTTGGATTCGTGTCTCGTCTCCGCCAGCCTGCAGGACGATGGGGGTTCTCAAGGAGGACTAGATACAAGCTGGCAAAGCACATTTTGATTCGTTCACTCTGAGCCATTTTCTTCCCACACGTCTTGAGCGACAAGCCACCACGATCCTTTTCGATCACCTCAGCTTGGCCCGCAGCCCTGAGGCTCGGAGGGTTTCGCTGCTTGCCGGCTGGTCCTGTAAGAGGGTATGTTCTGGATGGGAGGATCAGCCATCGCGTACATCGACGATCATTTTGTGATCTACATTTTTCGGCACACTTCAATCGCATCTCTCGAGCCTAGATCCTAGGGTCTTGCCTGATTTCAAACAATGCGAAAGGAGCCCTGCATCGCAACGCCGACATTCCTGTGGCTCATTGCGAGAGCCGATGTCTCAAGTAGCGGTGACAACAATGCCATTGTTACCAAGGATGTTGTCATGGAGCTACTGCGAGCCACTTTTCCTAAACGGTATCCTAAAAGTATTCGTCACACTTTGTAGGCCAAGGAGACATGCTTCTAAAAAGATTTATATAAATGGATCTGGGACTCGGTTCGCCATAGAGTCCACCGAGTCTGACCTCGTCTATCGTTTCGGCCAGTTGTGGGATCGTGGTGTCAAATCACTCAACCACGTTACTGTCATGATTCAATGTTCGTTGTCAGGTCCACCGCGCCAATCAGATGTCGGCGGTCTGAGGTACATGTCCAATTCATTCGCGCAAAATTTGAAAGGAAAAATGCCGAATCTACTTCGTTCAAAGATCCAATCACTCCAAGCATGCACCACTTTCTTGTAGTTTCCGATCCGTCGAAGATATGCGTGGGGGGTGGATTGGACGAACTTTTATATCGAATGATTGGCCTCGTTTCCATTTTTTTCTACTTTGCTCTGTCGTTCGAGTATGCGACAATGAAATTGATATCGATGTGATTTTCAGAAACCCCGTTCAAGTCGGAGATCAGTGATGATTGGCACGGGAGCACTCTCATCAAGATACCGTCATCATTACCAAGCCCAGTGGGTGGGGATCGATGTTTGAGGACCATTTAGCTTTTGTTGTAACCTTGATGATATCAAAGGCACCAGACATCGCAGGGCATTGCGTAGCGTATAGAGGGGTTGCGGTAGATACCGGCGACGATACTACCAGGGGGTATACTGACTCCAGCCTGTAGGATAGGAGGGAAGTTTCCCCTGCATTTCGTGGTCCTCGTTTTCTTCCGTTGGATACTGTTTTGCCGGCTAATTGTGTGTAAGGGTTGGGGGTTATTGTAGAACAATTATCCGGTGCCGCGACCTGTAGTATTGTAATCAAAGATGAAATATCACGACATGCTGTGGACTGACTGTGCAATATCACGACAAAAATGCGAGGCAGCGTTCCGGCAACTAGAGGCCTAGCACTGAGCCAGCGTGGGCGGTGGAGCAACAATTGCTGGACAAAAAAGGATTTGCAGATGGACGATTTCCAGAAGGATTCCCTTTCTGGAAGTCCCGGCGGTGGGCAAAAATATCATTCTGCCACCTCCATATCAACCACGAGAATGACAATGATTTGTGGTCTTGTGCCAACATGCTACTGATCTTATAGATTCATTTCTGCAATGGTCAAATCAGTTCAAGAGGACGATTTCGTCCTAACCATCTCGGACAATGAAGACCTACCACTTAGTGAGCCCGGCTCGAGCGATTCGGAGGTTCTCCAACCCGCCAACGGCACAAAACGAAAACGAGCAAAACTCTCAAGGGGAACCATTTCCAAGAACAAGAGACAGGAAAAATCGCAGAAAGGAAATAACAACCGAATACATGAAGCAGCCCAAGCTGAATCGGAGAGCGAAGCAGACGAAGGTGTTCAAGATGGTGCGATCGACCCAGATTTCGAATTTGACATTGGAGGAGACGTAGTCTTGGAAGATCTACAAGAATTCGATGGCTGGGGCCGAGGATACACAACAAAGAAAACCAGCGAATCGAACAGAAAGGGCGTGGAAATTGACGAAATCATTGCCCGTCGAGCAACAAAGTCACAAAAGGCCACACTGAATACCTCTGAGAGGCAAAATCAGGAAGAAGATTTCGACACAGATCATAAAGATGGTGCTCCTGACGACGAAGAAGACGCAGAGATGCTGGATTTCGAAGACGACGAACTCTTGGCACCAGATACCTTTGGCGCAGGCGCCGAATCGGAGAATGAGGACTCTGGATTAGTCAACGAGGAAGAGGTGGATGATGACGAGGACAAGGATGAAGATGCGTCTGGAAGTGACTCTATTGCATCCCCAACCGCTCATCCAGACGACTTGGCTTCTGAAAAGTCCGACGCCGAGTCACAACCCTCGAGCTCGGATCCGGAAGAGCAGGTGAAGAGAGCCGCATTTTTTGCTCCAGAAGACAAACTGAAGAAGAAAGACGTAAAATTCGCATCCTCATTCCAGCAATTCTCTCTGTCGCGACCCGTATTGCGTGGCCTGGCCGCACTATCTTTCACCACCCCTACGCCTATCCAAGTCCGAGCTATTCCCGTTGCTTTGCAAGGCTTAGATGTGGTTGGATCCGCGGTGACAGGTTCAGGCAAGACTGCAGCGTTCCTCCTCCCAATCCTCGAGCGTCTAGTCTATCGACCAAGAAAAATACCAACAACTCGTGTGGCTATTCTAATGCCGACTCGTGAATTGGCTGTTCAGTGTTACAATGTCGCCACTGCTCTCGCCCGGTTCACAGATATAACCTTTGCTCAAGTCGTTGGTGGGTTTTCGCTACGAGAGCAAGAGACTATTCTCAAGAAGCGCCCAGACGTGGTCATTGCGACGCCTGGTAGGTTTATTGACCACATGCGCAATTCGGCAAGTTTTGCGGTGGAAAATATTGAGATTCTGGTGCTTGACGAAGCAGATCGGATGTTGGAAACCGGATTCGAAGACGAACTGAATGAGATTCTGAAGACAATCCCCAAAGGTCGACAAACCATGCTCTTCTCTGCCACCATGACCGACAGTGTTGACAAGCTGGTACGTGTTGGAATGAACCGTCCTGTGCGCCTATCCGTCGACGCAAAGAAGCGTACGACCGCCGGGCTGGTCCAAGAATTCGTCCGGCTCCGACCAGGCCGAGAATCCATGCGACTGGCGACCCTCTGCGTCCTTTGCAGAAATACATTTACGGAGAGAACAATCATTTTCTTTCGGCAGAAGAAAGAAGCACACCGCGTGCGCATTGTGTTCGGCCTGCTAGGTCTCCAAGCCGGCGAACTCCACGGCAGTATGACGCAAGAACAGCGCATCAGCGCAGTAAACGCATTCCGCGAGGGTAAAACAACTCATCTCCTCGCTACGGACCTGGCAAGTCGAGGTCTCGATATCAAAAATGTCATGACAGTCATCAACTACGAAGCACCACAGACGCACGAAATCTACCTACATCGTGTCGGCCGAACGGCTCGTGCCGGCCGGTCTGGTCGAGCGTGCACAATTGCCGCCGAACCAGACCGCAAGATCGTAAAGGCAGTTGTGAAAAGCGCCCGTCAGCAGAGTGCCAAAGTGGCGTCACGTGTGATGGACGTCAGGGATGTCGACGCCATGCACGCGCAAGTCGAGGCTCTGGCGACCGACATCGACGAAATTCTGCAAGAGGAGAAGGAAGAGAAACAACTCGCGCAGACAGAAGCGCAGCTCACACGCGGCGAGAATCTTGTCAAGCACGAAACGGAGATCATGTCGAGGCCGAAGCGAACGTGGTTCGAGACCGAGAAGGAAAAGCGCGATGCTAAAGCACGAGGCCGTCTGGAACTGAACGGTCCCAATGGCATCGTCAAGGTGAAGACGGAGAAGAAGAAATTGAGCAATAAAATTAAGAAGCGATTGGATGATCGCAGAGAGAGGGCAGAGGCGAAAATGTGGCGGAAGGGCAAGAGCAGTGCGGGTGCTGTGAAGAGGGAAAGAAAGCAGCAGAAGAGCAAGCAGAAACAGAAACCAAAAGAAAAGAAGAGATAGCCAGATAACCAGATAAATGGAGAATGAATATGAATGTGTGCCGCCTAGATTTGATCTCTTACAATGACAATAATATTAATGTATAAGGGGCAGAAGACGGAAAGTTTATATTCCACCCCGATGTCAGGGCATTCGGAACCCGACTGGGTTTGAGCGGCGTTGAAGGTTCTAGTATTATTGTTCACCTCACCATATTGAAGGGCTCGATCTCAGAAGTATATGTGATCTCGCGCCGTACATGTGTATTATGTCATTGTGTCCCCATGTCAACAAAATGCTCTTAATGTCGCCCCTCTATTCTTCTTGCAATGTGAGACTGGCTTCCTCCACAGTTCCGTAGGCATCAGAGGTCATTTGAAACCTGTCGGCTTTAACTTGCCTTGCTTGATTAAGTCGTCCACCTTCGGCGGTAATACGGGTCCGTTTCGATCATTCCGCTTGTAGAAATCTGCTACTATTTGCGCTGTTCGCGCTGGTTGATCCTCTTGGATGAAATGACCCGCCTCTGGGAATACTTGGAGTTGATATTTGCCTGTCAAAGTCAGAAAGGAAAGAGGTCGGCTGTAGAATAAGCTGGACTTGCCCTGCATCTGCCCGATCATCAGCTCCTTGTCAAGTCTGTCCGTGCCAGCAAGGAGGAGAAGTTTCCCTCCACGAGACTCTAGGAATTTCTTCGATAGACCAACAAACCAACCCTTCCAAAATGGTTTCGTTGCTGCCAAGTCAGTCCGCCATAACCATTTGTCTTTGGATTTCGACTCGATAAGAAGAGATGGTACGGAGACTTTGGCGGACGTATTGTTACGAATGGTCCGAGACTTAGTATGCCACTCGATCCCGGACGTGAGGGATGGAAAGGATTTCGGTCTCGTAGAGAGATAGGTGTCCATGCTCAGTAGTGCGTCCATGGCTGAGCCCTCGACAACATCCAGGACGCCATATGCCAGTAGTGAATTGCCCAAGAGTCTTTCATGAGCCACTTCGGTAACAACAGCGCCTCCAAGACTGTGACCAATAAGCACGATATCGGGTAGAGCCGCCCACCTCAGTTGTGTCTTGACAGTGTTGACGACAAAGGCTAGATCCTCTGCTAAAGTTGTCAAGCTCAGGTCCTGTGATGAAGGTATGCTTCCAGAAGAAGTGGTCGTGGTGGTTTGGCCGTGACTTCTAGCGTCCAATGAAAGAACGCCGGCATTGGGGAGAAGTTTCAAAAGCTCTGTAGCAAAAACAGCAAAGGACAAGCCCGAAGACCCAGCGCCATGATGCGTAACGATCAGGGGACCGGAAGAAGAGGGTGGCGTTAGATAGACGTGATGCTTTATGGTCTCCGAGGGCGTCTTGTGTTCCAAAAACAGATCCTGGGCAAAGAATTCCTCCCATGGGAGCGGCGCCGAGCGGCCTCTGATATTAGAGCTTTAAAAGCACGAGATGTCAGCGCAAGAGGCAGAAAATGGGGTAGGGTCATCGGTACCCTTTGGGTTTCTCAAACAGATTTCTACTGGGTGATGGGACTACGGTGCCAGCCGAGGACGTCGAAGAAGCAGAAGATGATGAATCATTAGGAGATCCAGGTCGAAGGTCGGGTAATTCATCGTGGTGATCGTCCCGATCATCAAACATAGAGGGGGGTTCGGGAGGTGGTCGGGATAAATGAGCTCTGGCAAAAGATCGTTGAAGATCACTCATGGTAAGTGATCAATCGGGCTGAGATGGGGTAGGGAGTACAAGGCTGTCGAATTGGGGAGTAGAAAGAGAGGATGTTTTTGGTGCTCGGTACGTAGAATAGGGAATCATGTGGCTCGTAAGGTTTGGTTTCAATGCCGTGGAGATGTCCTCAGACATGGGCATGGGATGGTGTCGTTGATCAATGGATAAGTAATTAGTTAAACCCTGGCCTAGATCATCGGTAGGGGTTATCGAAGGCCTGTCTCCAGGTATTTGGGTATTGTCCTGGCCCTCGGCTTACCTACCACGTTATCCTGCCGCTTGCTAATTTTTTTCCCCCTCTTTTTTTCCAAACGACCTTGGATGAAATCACATGTGCATTGGAAGGCAAACCGTGAGCCTGATGTCGGTCCAGATCGTGCTCTGTCCTGTGATGTGCCCAGTGATGCCCTTGCGCCTATCTTTCCCATCCCTAACGACATCGTAGCCATGTAAGGTTTTCCAATGACGTCGTGAACCATTCTCCCGTTTAGCAATCATCACCTTGTTCCCTGCTAATCCCATTTCTTTGCTACCCTGGCCTCTCTGGAAGAGTTCCATCAAGAAAAGATCTCACAAATTTTTGAAGATTGCCACTTCCCCTTCCACCGTTTCGCAACTATTCGCAGCTACGGAGCTGTGTGTACCTGCTCTGCCTGAGTACCGAACGCCTTGACCGACATGGTGTCACTTTGGGGGAGCAATAAGAAAGACAATGGTCATGAACCTGAGGACCAAAGGGCTCCTTCACACAGTCAACCGAACAGACCGTTTGAGAGCGTTAATGAACAGACTAGGCTGCTATATGGTCATGATCAAGGCCCTGGGTACCTTAGTCCTGATGATCCAGCGGTAAGATTTCCACTGATACAACCCCCTCCCAGGCTAATTGGCCTCTAGGTATCTCCCTACAACCTCTGGAGCGTCCGAGCTCTACGATGGCTCGAAGTTCTCTTCCTCATGATCACCTGCCTGTGGTGGGTGCTACTACTCATCTCTATCTTCGCCAGCCCTCCTCGTCTGCATTCAAGAGGTTCGGGCTTCTTTGATGTCGCCTATACCACTCTCACAATTGGCAACGTTTTGACGGCCCTCCTATTCTTCTCTACCCCTTCAACTCCAATGAGCATCTTGAGCATGGCCATCTCTGCGCTCCTCCTTATCGACATGGTCATCATCCTCGCCGTTCCTCGCCTCAGAGTTGAAGAAGGTTGGATTGGCGTCGTATCCGTGGTTTGGGCTGCTTTCATCGGCTTCTACAACGTTATGACAAACAGGGCCGTGAGATGGGGCAAAGCTGAGGAGGAAGAACGCCTGACCGGGCGCCAGGAGACACGTCGTCCTCTACGAGAATGGTGCGCCGTCTTCACTGCGACCATCTTGATGATGATTTACGTCCTCATCACTACCCTGCTCACCGCAACTCTCGTTTTGCGGTCAAGGGATGCCACCTTGGAAGCTCCCGGCAAGAGATACCTGGTAGACGGCGAGAAGTACAAAGTACACTTGGCATGCATGGGTAATCAGACCTATGGTCCAGATGGCAAGGCCCATCCGACCGTTCTGCTTGAGGGAGGATATATGCCGGTGGAAGAAACTTTTGCGGTTTGGGTGCATGATGCCTACAAGAATGGCACAATTGATCGCTATTGCTACTGGGATCGACCGGGTTTGGCATGGTCCGACAATGCGCCATCCCCGCATTCTGCTGGGATGTCTGCCGACGCGATTTCTGAAGCTCTGGCGATTGCGGGTGAGGAGGGTCCTTGGATTCTCGTCTCCGCCGGCATCGGCAGCGTTTACAGTCGAGTTTTCTCCGCCAGACATCCCCGCGCTATCTCCGGTATGATGATCATCGACGGTCTTCACGAAGATCTCCTCTATAGAACTGCCAATCCTGGCCGAGGATTCGTGTTGTGGGGACGTGGTATCATCTCTCCCTTAGGTCTGGATCGGTTGGCCGGGGCTCTCTTCAGAGGTCGCACTAAAGAAGACCGGGTCTTCGGCAAGTCATCCTATCAGGGAGGCAAATTCATCAAGAACAAACTGCAGGAGAACCTGGTTGCCGATTCACTGACGAAGAATGAAGTCGCTAGTGCCCGAAATATCCAAGACCGCAAAGTCCCTCTGGTGGTGGTCACCTCCGGAGTCCATCTCAAGCAAGACAAGGAATGGGAGCGAAAGCAGGAAGATTTGACTAACGTCACCGAAAATTTACTGGCTTGGGACATTGTCAAAGGAGCGCCAGCAGAAGAGGTTTGGCGGTCGCCTGAGGGTCGCAGGATATTGGAGAAGAGGTTGGCAGAGCTGTACAAGATCTGCTTTGATTTTGACTGGCAGGAGGCAATGGCCTGATTTTGACATTATTTGAGCAAAGGACATGTGTGAGCAATCGGGGGCGTTCTGGATGCAAATATACAACTCTTATTGAGCAGCACATGACAGGCGTATTGGCTTACATCATCCCTTGTACATCCTTCATAATGCAGCGATACTCAATTTTACTGTATTCAACGAGGCGCTTCGTATATTACTGATATCTGGCATTTTGACTTCTACAAAAGAGGAAAGTAATGCGGGATGAAGTGACGCAACAATCGGCGCCTGGCCGTGGCAGCGGGTTGAAGACTTGCAAGCGCGGATAGCGACCCGGAAAGGCTGTTTGATGCCCAACCATGTGGAATCAACAGCCTCGTTCAGAAGTCAGGTACCTGGCCACACAAATCACATTCATAGAACCCTCGAGTCTATCCTATTTGTGACTCTCGCTCTCCAAACCTCGCCATCATCTTCTTCTGATTTCCCTCGCATAATCACACTCCTTGCCTTGTCCTTTAGAATCCGTCATTTCCCTCTTCCTGTCATCTCTTCATCGACATATCCACCACTCTCAAGATGTTATTACGATTCGAATCAAAATGGGGACAATTTCGGCTGAATGTCGAGCCTAGCCAACAGTTCTCCTCTCTCACTAGCAAAGTAAGGGTGCCCTACTGCTGGACAAGCCGAAGACTGATCAGGTCACAGATCCTTGACAACCTCCCTCCCAACACTGATGCCTCCTCCATAATCCTAAGCAATAAACCTGTCAGCTCAAAACCAGATCCTGGGCGAGAGAGGCGGTTGGTTGATCTTCCAGGCATTGAGTTGCAACAAGTTGGGTTGAAGTGCGTACCTCTTAAAATTAAAAACCGTTGCAAGGATACTTTTGACTGACGCTTCTTGGTAGACATGGCGACAAGCTATTCATTGGATACTCCGAGCTTGAGAACTTGTCCAACGGTCACACAAACGGCGATGTCTCTTCCGCACCTCGAAGACTTAATGGAACGATCGCCCTCCCGGAACCCAGTGCTCCTGCGACTGCACCGACGGTTACCTCGCCAACATTAATACGGAATCCCTGGGAAGTCGTAAAACAGTCTGCCCTCGATGACCGATTAGACAAAAAAGATGGGAAGATATCACGACCGCGAGATCAAAAAATGTGTCGGCACGGTGCGAAAGGCATGTGTGACTATTGCCAGCCTTTGGAACCATATGACAAGAAATATCTGGATGAGAAGAAAATCAAACATCTCTCCTTTCACGGCTATCTGCGCAAAATCAACACTGCCACCAACAAGCCGGAATTGAAAAGCTCCTATATGCCCCCACTGACAGAGCCTTATTACCGAGTGAAGAAAAACTGTCCCTCTGGTCACCCTCCCTGGCCCGAAGGTATATGTACAAAATGCCAGCCCAGCGCCATTACACTCCAGCCACAGGAATTCCGCATGGTTGATCACGTCGAATTTGCTTCGGCTGACATGGTGGACAAATTGATCGATTTCTGGCGAAAGTCCGGCAGCCAACGTCTAGGATATCTGTATGGTCGATACGAAGAGTATACAGAAGTTCCTCTAGGTGTGAAAGCCGTGGTTGAAGCTATTTATGAGCCTCCTCAAGTGTGCGAAGTTGATGGGCTCACTTTACTAGAGTGGACAAATGAGAAAGACGTGGACGAGGTGGCAATGTTGTGCGGACTTGAACGTGTTGGCGTCATTTTTACGGATCTGATGCCCCCAGAAGACGAAGAAGGGCAGGCGGTTTGCAAACGACACATCGACTCTTATTTCCTATCCTCTCTTGAAATTGCATTTGCAGCACGACTTCAGGCCCAATATCCTAAGCCGTCAAAATGGAGCGACACGGGAAGATTTGGTTCGAATTTCGTGACCTGTGTGGTTACCGGAGACGAAGATGAAACGATTACCATCAACGCTTATCAAGCCTCCAACGCAGCCGTGGAAATGGTTCGAGCGGACATTGTGGAGCCTTCCGCCGATCCCACTGTGATGCTGGTGCAATCTGGACACGACGAAGGCACAGGAACAAGGAGTCGTTACATCCCCGAGGTGTTCTATCGCCGGATCAACGAATATGGCGCAGACGTACAGGAAAATGCGAATCCTGAATTCCCCGTGGAATATTTGTTGGTGTCACTGACAGCTGGAATGCCCATCAAACCAAATCCTCTCTTCAGAAATGGCAAGTTCCCCATTGAGAACAGGGAAGCAGTGGCGGAAGGACAAGACCCTAGAGACGTGGCCAAACAACTCCGTTCGTCACCATCAGTGGGGTCAGTCTCGGACTTCCACTTGTTATGCTTCCTGCACAAGATGGAGGTATTCAGCCAGGTAAGTTGAATGATCCCGTGGCATTCCACATCTAACCTGATCCTAGGAAGAAGAACGGCTTCTGTGCAATGTTGCGACCAAGCGGGACCAAGTCGACGCAATTCATCTGACGGATTCTTCGGGATGGGGAACATTGATGGCGATACTCGAATCATACGGTGAGCGGCCCCTGAAACGTCCATGGCCCTTGGAAACGGAGGACGAATCATTCAATCCCGGCAGTCCATCAGAAAATCTGGCTAAGCGATTCAAACAGGCGGCTAGCCTCGAGCGCTGGGAGTAAACACCAGAGCACGCGCGACGACGTTTTTGGAGAGATGGGGGAGTAAGGACGAATTGAGTCCCCCATACTCCTTGCATAGCGAATGGGGGCTCTCTGGAATGCCGAAATGATTTGCATTGGGAGCAAGTAGGGACAGGCTGGACCAAGTCGATCGAGCCAACCAAGGAAATTCCGGGAGTGGACGGAAGGAAAGACTTGAGTGTCGAATCCCCGTGAAGAATGGCAGCGAAGATGTGGGCGTTTTGGTCTGGAGGTGATGCAGCCGGGGCGGGGGGGGGAAGGATGGCGTTGAAGGTGCTTCAAAACGATGCAGAATCCTAGAACAGTTATCAGTGGGAGCCCTCGAAGGGGGATCGACGCAACAAGGGCGTTGATCGACAGAAGCGAGCTCCGGAAGAGGTGACGAAATGGACAGATCCCCGACAGGCTCCAATTCAGCAATGCATTATTTCGTTGTTGGCCAAAGTACCGAAAGTTTGAAGTGAGTGAAATGATAGATGTCATGGCCGGCTGCGCCGGAGAGAGGTAGGAATCAAATATCCACCCATTCAGGCCAATCGAGTGCAGTTTGGTAGAGAATGTAATTTCTGAATGAGTCTTTTCTTTTTTCCATCACATCTCTCTGCTAGCGAATACATCGTGTGCGATAGAGAAAGGCCAAGAGGCTAAGTAGCACCGTCACAAGGACCTCATTTGAAGCCATGTGCGATAAAGAAGATGAGCGGCTTCTAGAAGCCTGATGGAAAGGACGGAGACGGGAAGGGGGAAGGGGGATCGCAAGGTTTGGGGGCTGAGAGGAAGAAATTTAGGCCTTTCGTCGGCAGTGAACGAAACCAGACTCTGGTTGGCTTTGGCATGGATCATATAAACAGGGTCGGTCAGTGAGCGAGGAACCAGGGACTTGGACTCGATGGATGAGATTCAGAGAGTGAGCAACTCTGAAGGGCCTTTGAATGCTCACCAAGTGATAGGCCGAACTAAGGGAGGGGGTGGAGATTCTGGCATGAGGGATAAGTGGGCCGTCTGACAAAGTGGCTACAATTTTCCAGAGAGTGATTCTGGTGTCAGACTGAGCCACTTTGTTTAGGTTATCCCCTCAGCAGCTGGGTCCTGCGCACCTGGCAGTCCACTAAACTCAGATCAGCAGGTTCATTCTGGAGGCTTGCTGAAGGCAATGCAGCACTAGTATTGGCACGGGTGCTATTGCTCGCTCCGCATTTTCCAGCAGGCGAATGCAGAAGAAGCAGAAGAAGCAGCAACAGAAGACTCGCCGCCCGCAGAGAAGTTTCCTCGACGGGCTTCCCTCGCGCTTCCCTTGCGCTTCCTTTTTCTTTCCAGCCCCGATCCATTCGCTGTCCGCCATTTTCCACCAATCCTCCCTGCCGCTAGCTGATGCCCGTTGCCAGTCACCCACCAGCACTAACTAGACCAACGCTCATTGTTCTCTCTACCAGTTGCCAGACGACCGCATCTACCATTACTGCTCCCACTCCCCACTCCCACTCATCGTCGCTGGCGCGTACCCTGGGCTCTGTAGCCTTTGCGCCATACTTACCCTGTGGTCTCCTGTTCCTCCGTTCTCTGTTCTTTATCCACTGTTACCATTACCGTCCGTGCCTCAACATCTACCACCACCCGTCTGCCAGGGTAGCATGAGATGACCAAACGTCCAACCTTGACCTTGACCTCGACCTCGTCCCCGTCGCTGCCTGTACGGCCCTATCATTACGTTCTCTGAACATCACCGTATTTGCGCCTGCGTTTTTGCCCTCCTCAAAGCCTCTTTCTTCAATCTACAGCAGTATCACAAGTCCCCCAGCGACGTCTGCGACTCGAAAAAAACCCTTGACAGCTGCTGGCTGCCACCCACCCTCCATTCCTATCCATCTTTCGCAGTCTCACAGTCCAAAAGCTGCGCAGCCGAGCCGTTGATTCCGCACCAGTCGGCCTCGTCGCAAACCCTTCCTGCTCTCACCACCACTTTTCTAAAGACGGCCTTGCGCGAAATGCACCTTCCCTAGCCTGCCTTTCGCCTGTCAGAGACTCTGTCGGTAGAGCTACTACGATTTGTCTCGACGGACCTGTTACGCTCCGGTTCAAAGTCTCACAGTTCCTCACGGCCGTCCTCTGATCGCATTATGGGCCGATAGTTCCCTCCAAGCAAAGGGTGTCTTCTCTTTCATCCCCAAACACCTCTTCAACGCACAATGGATCCTGCTGCCTGTCGGGTCATATATATTGATGAGCGTTTTAATACGGAGAGGTGGATTTCGAGGGAGGGGCTACCTCCCAACACACCGCAAAGAGCAGGCTCACAAGTGGGATTCTCGGATCTACCCATGGATCTCCAGACAAACGTCAATGCGTTTCTGACCGTCTTCAATCAGGGTGAGAGTGGATGGGGTATACTTGTTCGTATGGAGGCTGACCTAAATTCTATCAGTGTACGTTTGCCGGTCAGGCAGATCCTTTTCCACCAAACTCTCCGAGCTTCACGACCAAGTACGACTCGATTGCACACCTATTCTTGCCTGTTTCGATGTCGGGTCCGAGTCAAAGCATGAGACGTTGGAAGCCAAAACACAGTTCTTTCCACCATCGGAATCACCATTGCCTTCACCCGGCTTGCTGAGGAGGGAAATCACCTTCTCTTCCGAGTCAGATGAATCATATGGCCTCCAACTTTTATCCAGAATAGCATCTGACCTCCAGGTCGATGAAGGGGTCAAGCTAATAATACCAGTCGCCGTCGTTCAACCTAAGCGGAAAGATTTTCATGATCAGGCTCTCGACGACCTCCATACTAGTGAAATTTCTCGGGCACCATACGGTCCTGAATCGCAAGCGGTCGAGATAAAGGATAATTCAGACATTATAGATGCACAATTAATGCTTCAATGCCTCGATGCCGGTGCCCTCGATGTCGTCAAGAGCCCGCTGGACAAAGCCGGAATTATGGGGCTCACAGTGCATGCATATCGCATTTACAAAAATGCGAAGAAAGAGCAGACAGGCTTCATGGCTATGACACGAAAGAACCGCAAGCAATCATGGGTGGGGATGGAAGAGGAGAAGCCTTATGCCTATCTTCGTGAAGCCATGGTGAAAAAATTGCTCAAAGGAATTTGTGAGCCGCAGAACCTCATTGAAGACTATCAGTATCGCGATTTGTATGTGCAAGAGTCGCGGAAAGAGGTCATCGCACAGGCTGTCGCCAGCTGGGGCTTCTCTGGGCACGACTTTACGGAAGATGAATTGGTCTATGCTGGCTATTTTATGCTCAGCCATGCTCTGCAAATGGAGTCCGCAGAGAAGTGGCGGATGAGTCAAGGTAAGTTCTCCCGTTGATTTCTGTTTTCTCTGCCTAACGTCGCTCACAGCCGATCTCCTCCATTTCATGCAAGGATGTCGAGTCGCCTACAACTCATTTGTTCTCTATCACAACTTCAGACATGCTGTCGATGTTCTACAGTCGGTGTTCCACTTCCTCGTCCAAATAGGCACCCTCCCACCATATCCTGGCGGCGCCGAGCCATCTCCTTTCGCAGACCAAAAGTCGCCAATTGCCCGATTATTGGGTCCGTTCGAAGCCGTAACCCTTCTGATCTCTGCCATTGGACATGATGTCGGCCACCCCGGAGTTAACAACATGTTTCTGGTCAAACTCAACGCCCCTCTTGCGCAACTATACAATGATCAATCCGTCTTGGAAGCTTTCCATTGTGCCGCCTATTCCCAGATCCTCCGTCGTCATTGGCCTATTGCATTCCAAGACAAAGCTCTCCGCAAACTCATGATCAGTACCATCCTGGCCACTGATATGGGTATTCACTCGGACTACATGCAACAACTGGGTAACCTGCAAGAGAAGATCCACGAAAGCAAAGTCACCGACGGATGGTCTCCGAAAGACATTGATTGGGCCCGGACATTGGCCTGTGGATTGTTGATCAAATGTGCCGACATCAGCAACGTGGTAAGTAGGATCGTTCCCCTTCTAGTCAAAAAGACTTCACATCCTGACAGGTACAGGCACGGCCGTGGGCGGTGGCAGAAAAATGGACCCATTTACTACAGAAAGAGTTTGCACATCAGGGAGAGATGGAGCAAGCTGTCGGAATGGAGACAACCCTTTTTGGTGGCCCTCCCGAATTGGGTAACATGTTGAAGTTGGCCAATGGCCAAATTGGCTTTATGACCATCTTTGCACATCCGCTCTTTGCGAACGTGGCCGACATCATCCCTGCGATGCGTTTCGCCGCTGACGAGATCCTGACCAACAAGGGCATTTGGTTTACTAAAGCTGAACACGAGAAGAGAATGCAGGTCCTCCAAAAAGGCACTGGTCCTGGAGACGGTGGTTCAGTCAGTCCAAGAACACAAAGCCCGGTTGGCCGAAAAATCGCATTGGAAAGTGGGAGAGACAAACACAGCCACCTTTCGTCGTCTCCTCTTTGCGGTCGAACAGAATCTCCGGAGAAACTCCAGAAGATGTCTAATTCTGGTCGAAGAAGTGGAAATACTACACCTCAAAACTCCTCTCGGCGATCCTCCCTCACCGCCGCCGCCATCGCTTTGCCAGCTCCTGAAGCCACTCCCCGCCGGGCATTGGGCTCGTCGAAATCCAACCAGAATTTGAGACCTTCGATGGATGGAACAAGGTCAGGTTCGGCAGTCGTCAACGGAGAACCCCTCGCCAAAGGCCTGGACTTAAATGAATCTCACAGTAAGGAGAACGATGATCACATTGCTAGCAGCACTCCTCAACGATCCTTATCGAAAGAGTTGTTATCGGAATCGCTCCAAGCACTTAATGACAAAAGAAGAGATAATGCTGTTTCGATGCATACCGGAAGTGAGGCTATCCCAGTGAAGGTGTTAAAGGCTGAGAATAACAACATCTCTGATGCAGAGGCTCTGTCCAAATTTAATTTTGCAACATCAAAAGAGGAGGAGCCTGTTCGAACATATGATCCGCGGCAAGAATACTCCACCGCGAATGCCGGCGCAAGAGCCAGCGCACCAGCGAGTGACGGGGAACACAGGGAGCCCCAGAATGATGGTGCTAATGACTCTAGGCAGACTCGATCGGCGCAGAGTGAAACCAGCACAAGCACCAAATTACGGGGTGGTGGTGAGGAAAACGCTCTCACTCCGAGTCAGAGCACAGAGGCGACCAGCTATACATCTGACAAGAGCGAAGATCTAGCCCGAAATCAAAACAGCTTCCAGGCGATGCGCAATCGTGCCGCCAGTGCTCCATTGCAGGCTAGAAGCCCCGCCTTGAGACCTAGCTTCAGCATGGGAAGCCACAGCGCCACCAGTCGCGAAAGCAGCAAACTTGATATCCACACGACGATTCTCAGCAATGGCGATGTCGACTCGAATAGTACTAGAGACCGAAAAGCCAACGCTAGGACAATGGGCCGGAAGCGAAGCAAACTAAAATTAAATAATCTGGCCTTTTGGAAGAGGACCCGAAGTGAAAGAAGCATTAGGGATGAAGAGCGGCCCGACAGCCAAGGTAGTGAAGGAGTATGAGCCAGGTGAATGGTAGGGAGGGTTTTGTCTTGATTTTCTGTCCTGAATTTCAGCGTTACGGCTTACGTTCATGTGGGACCTTTTCAAGGGTGGTCTCGTTATGGCGGTTCGATTCGAGGACTAACAAAATGTGGATGGGAATCAGAGGAGTGTGCTACTCCCCTCCAGGGCGGTGTTTCCTGTATGGCATTGATCTTTGTTGATTAGATGCGTGACGGATGATTCGGGTATGAAAGTGGTCGATACCTGCTCTAGGCTGGGAGGCATAGGGATGCTCATATTATGTGATTCTCAGGAGCGGGGTGGATGGTACGAGATGGCATGGAAGACCAAGAGATTAAAGCTTTGTGGATTGACGACGTGGTTAGTGTACGAGTGTATGTTTATGATTACAAGGAGGCGTGATGAACCCTATGAAGGCAAAGGCGACGTCGAGATTGATGTTGAGTTTGTGGACAAGGGGTTTATCTGAAAGACAACTTCTTTCAACCCGAATAAACGCATTCAACAAAATTCTGAAGTGTCTGTTAGAGCTTCGACCAAGTAGGGATTTTGGTCCGAAAAATCTCCCAGTCATGGAGTCCACTACAACGTGCGTAGCGTAATCTGATGGAGGCTTACGAGATATGGGCTCGTCGCTGGTCAGATTTCTCTGTTCTTGATCTCCCCTCCATTAAACATCCACCATTGCTTTGCCTGCATCCCATTCTCTTTCCTCCCCTTTCTTCCGCCACCTGACGTCTCTCACATCTCCGTCCACATCGCCACCACCATCTAGACGACTTGCTCGTGATGCCGTCTTCTCCCACCGGCTGATGTCCTTCTCGTCGAATCCGGCTTCACGCATCCGGTCTGCCTGTTTAGCGCGCCAGGCTCGGCGATCGCGCAGAGCTTCGAGCGCGTTGTCCCAATTGACGCCGTCGGAAGCGGAGTCGGGATCTGCATCACCCTCAACGTCTAGAGAGGGATTGTATGTCGAGGCGAAATGGGCGTCCATGTTGGAAGCTCCGGGGCTGCGTTGGAAGCCTCGGCCGCGTTTGCTGAGTGTGGGGGCCGGTCCGATCAGAGAAGACAGGGGATCCGAGGTCGTTGTCGATGCTGAAGAGAGGGAGGTGCTGCGACTTCGGCTCCGGAATCGAGATCGGCGTCGGCGAGAGGCGTGGCCTCTTGGCCTACTTTGTTGCCTTTCTTCTTCCCCCTCTATATCTAAGATAACGGGAGAGTCTCGCCGTTGGTGTCGGTCGTGCGTGCGCCGGGAAAGGCTACTTCTGCCCTCACGACTCCTAGATCGTGATCTGGACCGTAACCTTCGGGACGACTCCTTATGCTTAGATCTTCCTTCATCATTACGCTCATCGTCGTCATATACTCTCTTTTCGGGCCGGTCGCGTTCTCGTTCCCTGTCCCTCTCGCGTTCGGGGCTTCGACTTCGCCATGAGTCTCTTCTCCCATGCCGACCATGACGAGCCCTTCTCGTGTTATCTTCGCCGTCATCATCACCACTCAGACGTCGCCTATGGCTCTCTCTTTCCCGCTCTCGAACATGTCGACTTTCACGGTCTTGGTCTCTGTCATGCCGATATTTATGGCCATGGCCAGATTTATTGGAGTCCTCAGAATCCTTAATCTTTCTCAGCCGGATCCTCGCTTCGAGTTCTTCCTTTTTCTTCAATGCTGCATTGTGACTGTCGGCTTCTCGGACGAGATTCTTGAGGAAGCGGGTATTTGGCTTCGGGGCTGCTTTGCTCGGTCTTTGGCCAGAGAGAGTATCTGTCAGCCTCTATCATCATCTATGAGATGCAATACGGAACGGGACCTTACCTTTTGGGTAACAGCGCAGACATGCCCATTGAGGAATATCGGACCGAACTCTTCCTTGCGTCTTCGGCGAGGAGTTTCGCCACGTATTCGTCATCGTCGAGATCTCCTGTGAGAGACATGTTCGAGTTGTAGGCCTTCTCTGTGTTTAGTCTTACAGTATGGAAATCGACTTTAGCTCTGAAACTTACCTTGCAGAAGGGTAAAGTAAAATCTCGAGGCCGCTGAAGAGATGACATCTATCCCAGAGGCCTTCGGAAGACTTTCCCGATTTAGTAGATGCAAAGCGGCAACTCAGGCAAAAAGACGCGAAGTTGGAGCAAAGGTTGGATTGAGCGACAACCTTCAAACATCAGTCAAGATGGCTGCTGTGGCTGTCAAGGTCTAACCTTGATTGTGATAAACTTCACTTGCTCAAAATGCTTTCACGACTGCTCAGATACATCCGCGTCGATCCCCTTCCCAATACCGGGTCTGTGGCCCGCGATCTGCTCGCATCCGAGAGAACATTTCTCGCCTGGGCCAGAACAGGTCTCGGATTCGTTGCCTTGGGTGTCGCCCTTGAGAAAGTCGAAGCGTTCGCAGCCTTATCACCCACCTTGCTCCACCTCTCGGACTCAAGGACGAAGCTCGCCGCAGGCGTTCTTGTTGGCAGCGGCAGCCTGTGTGTCGGCCATGGCACGCTGAGGTATTTCAGTACTTTGAAGTTGATCCAGGAGGGGAAGTTTAGACCGAATACAGGCGGCATCAGTCTCATGGCTGTCACTTGCATTGGAATCGCCGTTGCGGGAAGTATCCTGGTTGTGGAGAACGAGGCTGAACAGGGGAGGGAAAAGGAAAAGGAGAAACATAAAATATGACACCGACATCTACAAGATTGTGACGGGAAACCTTCCAAACTGTCTTTCCTTGCATTTGCGCAACATCGGATGTTTCAAGGAAGATCAAGTCTAGCGAGATATCGACATGGTGCAGGTGACCATCAGGCCATGAGTTTCAACGAGAGCATAGATCTTTTGGCGATGAGCTGTATCAGCCTTTCGATGTTTCCACTCAGCAAGGAGGCGGATTTTGCTAGGTGGATGAGGGACATGGGGGCACTAACCTCTGATCATTGATCGATGACATCAGATCAGATGGTATCCATACGAGGAGGAATTGAGTCAAGCGAAAGCGAGAATCCTATCGTTTGATGCCAAGTTTTTTCTCGCAGCAATCTGATATACCCATTTCACAAATCGCTATACACATTATCTGAACCAGGTTGGCGTACAGCTCAACGGTTTGCAACTTTTAAAACCGGGCTTGCACTTTACTCGGCACATCTTGAATGGCCCAGTCCGAGAAGTTTCGCTGGCTGACTGTCCTCTTGACCTGTTCGGTTGTGAAGCCTTTCGCCTGTGTGGCAGGGTTATATCCCAGACCGTTGATCTTGCTGACCTGCTCATCGGAGACGGGAGTCGCAACCTTGCCATCGGCGCGCTTGTACACGGTGACGACTACGGCGCCGCCAAGACCCAAGTTTTGTTGGAGGCAGTATTTGGTGTTCCCCACCAGACGATTGTTGGCCCAGCCTCGGAGGTGCCAGGTTAATTCGGCGCATTGGGCGAGGCCGGTAGCTCCTGTGAAGATATCAGCTTTACTTCATTCGACAGCATGAGCAGGGAAGAGGCTGACCGAGAGGATGGCCCTTGGAGATCAAACCTCCAGAAGGATTAATAACATATTTTCCTCCATAAGTGATACCACCATTTCGCACCAGTTCGTGAGCTTTTCCTTTGGGACATAATCCTAGAGCGTCAATCACACACATCTCATTGGCGCTGAAGCAGTCGTGCATTTCGACCACGCTCACATCGTCAGGGGTGATGCCTGCCTCGTCCATGGCTCTCTTGCCAGCGAAGGCGGACATTTGATATCCAATGAGATCCACGGACGAGCGGCTGAACAAGTCGGGAGAGTCAGTGGCGAGTTGTTGACCGGCAATCAGGATAGCTTGGGATTTCAAATGGGGTCGCTGGTCGAGGAAGTCTTGAGAAACCACGACCACGGCAGCGCCACCGTCCGAGGTAGGGCAGCATTGAAGCTTTGTGAGAGGGGCGTGGATCATGGGTGACTTCATGATTTGTTCGAGGCTGTACTCGTCGGTGAATTGGGAATATGGATTTCTCTTGCTATGCTCGTGATTGACACGGGCGATCTCCGCAAAGTCCTCCGCCGTGGCACCATACTTTTCCATGTACTCTCGACCAGCGTTTCCAAAGAGCTGAGCGGCGCCGGGAGCATTGGTGATTCCTCGAGTAGCCTTCAGCATGGCGTTGGTGGTGCCGGTTGGATTCTCGCGGTCGTTGAAGTAGGTTTGTAAACTGCCAGGAGACATCTTCTCGAAACCGACGACGAGGACGCAGTCGGCGGCGCCATAGGCGATGGCTTGTCGAGCCATATTTAAACCAGTGCTCCCGGTCGAGCAATTGTTGTTGACATTGTAGATAGGGATCTGGGTCATGCCGAATTGGTAGAAGACACGCTGACCGCAGGTTGAGTCTCCGTAGCAATAACAAGCGACGCCTTGGTCGACGTCATCGTAATTGATCTGAGCATCGAGCATGGCTTTGATGCCGGCTTCAAAACCCAGCTCGGTGTAGTCGACTTTTCCACGGGGCTTGATGAATTTGGTCATGCCCACGCCGAGGACGTAGGCCGGGGCCGGTTTGCGAGGCATGATGACGGTGGTGAAAGAGAAGTTGTCTAGTTGAGATTAGAGGATATTTGATGGACGGGCAGAGGATGGGATGTAGGGCGGTGGAAGACAAAAAAGGTGAGATTTGATCAAGTCGCTGATATTTGTATTCTTATTTCGGTTCTGAGAGGCCGACATCCTCGGCTGAGGCTCCCTGGGAGAGGACCAATGGCACAATGCAAACAGTGCAAACACCGAGGTTCAACTTTGGTACACATCTCCTGTCTGATCTGCCGTACCCAGGTACCGCTTTGTGCACAGATGCATCGCCGTAACGGTCGACGTGCCCCTCAGAACTCCTTGTCAGGCAAGTAAGTAGACCGGGCAAGCTCATTCCTCATCTATTACGCACCTGGTAGTCTCGTGGACCATCTTTCCCGCCGCCAATGATCGCCTTGATCAGGAATTATAAAAAGAAAAGCAGTTCCTCGATCCAGCAAGAGTCAAGGCTTGTTGACAAACCATGAAGATGCCTTAACGACAACCAATGAGCGAGAGGCTGACTCCTACCAGAGAACTCGTCTGACTAGGTTGACTCCCAGGCACTTTGAACTAAGGTTTTGCGAGCCTAATGGCCCTCAAGTTTATACTCAGCCTGCGGGCAGCGACGTCACTGATGCTCATTGTCCATCCATTGGTCGAAAAGCAGCAAAGAAAGCATACCCATCCCATTGCGGGCATAGCGGCAGGCATGGTAGCAGCCAGCCAGAATTCGCCTCCTAACTGCACCCCACATCGTCGGCCTGTTGGACTCTAGCTGCTTAGGCGGGCCGGGCTCCCTGCACACAATCTCTTCCCAATCCAGACAAAGACGTTCACCACTCCCATTTATTCATTGCACATGCAGTCCAAGTTCCCAGTCTGGTGTGGTCTGCATTGCTGATTCCCAATACCTTTCCTTACCCAAGTTTCCCTCATCTCTTCATTCTTCTTCTCTTTCTCCTACCCAAAAGAACCTTCTCGACCTCTTGGGCATTTGAAAACGACCATCTGCACCCGTTGCTGTCGAAGACCTCTGATTCTTTCTCGCCGGTAGCTTGAGAGCTCAACATTTTTCTCGGCCCCTCCTCGAAAATCCTTGGTGAAGATCGAACTTGGGCCCTTTTTACCTGCTCCCCACAGTTCTCTCCACGCCTCACAAAAGGAAATTCCTAGTCGAGAGCCTCAATTGACAAAGCACCTCCTCTGATCATTCGTCTCAGCACGCCATTTTCCTCCTGAACGCTTCGGTGCCGTTTCAAGGAAGTGGTCTTGTGCTCTGTTACCAGTTGTCCTCGGTGACTTCGGCCATATTAAGAAGAGTTCGCACATAAAGGGGGTTTGATATGGAGTGTGGAACGCGGAGAGATCTTCTCATATGATTGAGAGATCTTCTTGCGTTCCATCGGGTCCCGCAGCCCAGTGCGAATAAGTCACCACGAACTGCTCACCCCTTGCGACGACATCGTTATAGACAACGGCTTAGTCGTCCTGGTCGCTGCCAGATCTTCATCGTCTCGGCGATGAATCATGCCAGCAAAGACAACGAAGGCTCGCCTCTCGACCATGATCCAACTTCGAAACTTCCCTCCAAATCATCTCAACCACCCTTAACCATGTCTTCCCCATCAAAGTTGGACACTGGTTGGAATTCCACCGATACTCGAATCTACTATGCCAAAAAGTACCGACAAATCCTTTCTTCTGCTCCCGCTTGCGCCTTGGCCGTTGTTGCAGGGGTGAGTGGATCTGAAAGGAGATTCATGGACAGACGCACTAACAACTTTTAGGCTCCTCTCGAGAATATCAAAGTTCGAATGCAATCGTATGTGGTATAGCGAATGGAACGAGATTCTAAGAATAACAAAATCCAGGCGCCACTTCCAGAATGCTTTCCAAGCCACCAAATACACATATCGTACTGAAGGACTTCGTGGTTTCTGGGCCGGTAAGGGGTAACAAGACACACCAGGACACCATAAATAACGATTCTTCAGGTACATTCAATCCACTCGTTTCAATCACCACCTCGCGAGCACTCGGTTTCTCCATCTATCGAAAAGCGAAATATACTTTGGATGGCTGGATCGAAGCAGCTACGGGCCGATCTCCTCTCCAGCATGTCAACAAACCAGGAACTTATCCTGACATCTATACACTGACTTGTTTCACTGGCGCTGGAATGGTCTCGGGTGGTGTAACTGCTGTCGCTCTGAGTATGTTACATGAACTGGAAACCCAATTTTTTTTGTTTTTTTGGGGAGGGGGGCAAAGTCTAACAAAGCTATAGCGCCCGTTGAACTCATCAAAAATGCCACCCAAACCTCCGTTCTCATGGCGTCTCAAGGAAATATCACAACCATCGACCCCATGACCCACAAGAATGCTGGACGGGTAAGCTCCTGGGCCTCCATGAGACGGATCGTTGAGCGACGAGGACCTTTGGGTCTGTGGACCGGTTTTCGTCTTCATCTTCTCCGCGACGTCATTGGAAGCGGCATCTATTTCGGAGTATATGAGACCACGAAACAATCGTTGAATTCATACTATGGCGCCGAGAAGGCCAATTCTGCTGGTGCTGTTGCAATGGCTGGTGCAATCTGCGGTGTCGGCGCTTGGGTTGTGGTACGTCTTCCTGTTCTTATGCACTTCAATTTTTACCTCCTCTAACATGAAATACAGACATATCCACTTGACACCATGAAAACTCGCGCGCAGAACAATCTCGTTGGCTCAGACTACACTACTACCGCATCCACCGTCGCCTCCAAACCCTCTGCGGCGCTGTCTTCCGCTCTCGACACTGCCGCCAAGGCCGCTGCGCTCTCCTCGAAGTGGAAAGGCGTCGAAATGATCATCCTGCGCTCGTCAATTCAAAATATGATCCAAATGTCCTTTTTCGAGCAGGCTAAAGTGGTCATTGACAACCTGACCTTCTCCGACGGCAGTCGCACCTTGCCAGAGGTCGAGCGGCACTTTGGTCGCGACAGTAAGGTCCACAAGAATGACAAGTTGTAGTGGGAAGTCTCCTGGGTGGCCAACATATTTTTCGCCCCTTTTTTTATATTATTAAAAAAAAAAAAAAAAAAAAAAAAGAAACACCATAACCGCAATCAAATGAAACGAAGTGGAACGAGAAGATCTCCTGAGACAAAATGCTTCGTTCTTGTTCAAGCCAATAGTGTGCCCCTGTTCCCATTATCGTGCTTCGCGAGTCTGTATTTCCAGCGTGTATTCCCCCTATATTTTGAAAAGTGGATTTCCCAGTGTCAATGGCGGCTGATCTCGGGATGTCGACCGCTCTCTATGACATCGTCGCATTGCCATGCCATCATCGCGTATGCTACATGTCCCAGGTACGGTCTTTTGAGATAGATAGGCTCCCAGCCTTGCCAGCGCCCATAACTATCGATGTGCATAGACCCGGCTTGGGCTCATATTCAATAATGTCAATGGAGGAATTGGTGATCAAGAGGAAATTAGTCACCACGGGTTGAGATCCTCGATTCCATCTCCAGGCTGATATCCATTATAGACCTCGCAACGCTCTGCCATTCCCTTTTTACCGTCCTAAGGGGTATCATGTTTCTATTCTCACATCCCACATCTCATTCGCGAACAACAAGCATTCGCCTGTGTTTCGTCCCATGCCGTCGATCAATCAATCAGTCCGCATGCGCAAAATTAAGCTATCCACGCCCGGACTAACGCTTCCATGCACCTTCATTCAGACGTCCACTCATTCATATCACATTCCATCTCGAGCTGCATTAGCATTCTTCCATTCCGCATTTCGAGGAAAGGGGGCCGTTTCTCATCCTATGAATCAATTTTCATCCAAGCCCATTTTTTCTTTGTCCAACGCCTCCGATACATCGCCAAGGGCCGTAGAATGCTGAATCCCTGCACCTGACCCATCCATCAAGGGACTGGTCGGTGCCGTGACTATTTCACTCTCCCGATCCTTTTCTCGATCTTTCTCTCTCTCTCTCTCCTTGTCTTTCTCTCGATGATCCCTTCCTCCTCCCATACTTCCACTGGTGCTGTCGTTTCGACCATGCCCTACTCCTAGCAACCCGCTACGGACACTAGCACCATCGCCGTACTTGCTGCCGATGTAGCTATTTCGTTCGCTTGCAAATGTGGGCGCAGTCGCCCCCGAAGCTGAGATTAAACTGGCTCTTTCAGCGTTGAGGTTCGATCTGGTATGGGCTGCGCCACCTGCATCCCGAAGTGAAACGGTATCCGCCCCGGGATGAATGACAGTTCCGGACAAGACAGAAAGAGGGAGGGATTCACGGCTTCCGCCAAACATCGAAGCTGGGGCAAGAGCTTTCATGGATGCGTTGGTATCAACCGAATTCCGTCGGCGCCGTTTGGACGATGAAGCTAGAGTCAGGATGGACGCGTCATCCGTGAGGATGTTGTTAGCGGTAGCGGAGTGATATGTTGTAGGATGTGCGTGGGGAGCAAGGTGCGCTGGAACAGCAGTAGCCGGTTGGCCGCCATAGTATGAGGCCGAATTGCTCACAGTGGAGGTGTGGGTGAGCATTGGGGCTGTGGGATTGTTTTGTCCAGTCGCTATGGATTGGACGGTGGTCAGAGTGGTGGCCATGGACCGGATCGAGGGCGAAGGTGAAGAAAATGTACTATCTCTTCCGCCATCTGTTTTGGCAGCAGTGGCACTGGTCCCTGCGCCCGAGGGAGCCGCATCCGACAGAGCCGTTTCTGCTTGTGTGGCCAGTGTGGGAGCCCTGGACTTGTTGCCTGTTTGGCTCTCATGAGACATGGACACCGAATGTTTACTTGGTGACATTGAGCTTCGTCTAGATTTTTGAGAAGATAGGGGTGTCGAGAAAGAGAGGTGGCCATGATTGTGAGGATCGGCACGGGACGATAGAGGGTAGGGATTGTTGCTCTTCTTGGACTTGTTGGTCATGGAGAGGTTCGACCGCCGTGGGTTGGAGCCGGCGTCGTTGGAATCGGTATGGAGAGCCTTGAGATTCGCGAGGCGTCGCACCCAAGCTGTGAAAGGGCGACGTCGGCTGTGTCGGTCTGAGATTCGAGTTAGAATCGTGAGGGAGTCCATGAGTACGATGACAGCTTACCATGAGGCCGATGTTGCGTTTCGGTTGAAGCCATGGGAAAGGGGAGGAAAGTTGGTGGGTACTGAAAAGGACAATTCAGTCACAGCCTTGATAAGTGTGACACGGTTAAAGGAGGTGATTCTCGGTTTATGAAGTGTTGGGACGAGGCTTTGGGAAAGTTGATGGATGTGCAGATGGATGTTTTGAAGCGAATGAGCGTCGAGGGAGGGGATCGCGTAGTGAACCGTGTGTAAGACAGAAATCTAGCAGAATGGTCCGACGAGAAGTCTAGGAGACGGCATGAGGCAGAAATAAAAGACCTGGACGCAAAAAGAGGAGATGTTGAGGCCAGATGTAGTTGTCTTGGGGAGGACGTAACATGGGTTGAACAAGGGCACAAGGCAGCGAGCAGTGGTACGGAGTAGCAGGTCGTCCAGCCCAGTCGTTTGGGTGCCACTGTAACGACCACAGCTCAGTCCGTACGCCACGTGGGCGCTCCATTAGGGACCACCCCAGGGTATCTGGTATCTCGTACTGGATCTCGGGGCTCTAAGCGAGTTGTAAGTATACTGGAGGGCGCGGGGAGCGCCTCCTGCTTACACGCAAATGCTCCCGGTTCATCGTCCCGGTCAACACCATCCCCCACAAATCGATTCTCCCAACTATTAGCTACCCACACGAGTACTGACTTCCTCACATGAAGTCGTCTTCATAGAATCCGGCGTCCCGGTCCTGATTGCTCACCATATTCTCCTCCGTCATCAAATCGTCGTATGCGTGATCCTTCTGCCACCGCAATTCCTCCCGCTGCCTCTTCTCTTCACGATCTCTGGCCTTCTGCTGCTCGCGTTGAATTCTCTCGGCTTTGCGCTTTTCCTTCTGATCCGCTTCCCTCTCGGCCCCCAGGTCGGGAAATTTCTCCACCTTGGTCTTGTTCAGGCGGTTGACGATGGGATTCTGCCGCATAGGAACATGGACCTTTTTCACCATTTTAGGGTTATGGAAAGAAACTTGACCTGTTGTCATTGAGTTATCCTTTCTCAGATTCGACCATGGCGTGTAGATGACTGTGATGTTGTCCTTCTTATTGCCTATCAATAATCGTCACCCAAAGAGTCCGACGGATATGCCGCAGGGCGTAGCTTACCTTCTATTGAGTTTGCTTTTGTCAATTGTGCACAATCTTCAAGTAGAGCCGGCGGGATCGAAGTCCATGATTCGCCAGGTTTGAGTCGGAGGTAAACGTGGGCGCTCGACAGATTGTCAACATGGAACTAACAAACATCAGCAATGAGATTCGCTTCCGATGGAATCTGCCCAAATACCCTAACAGAAGTGAGTGTTGAATTCCCCCCTTCCGGCCCGGAAAATATCTCACCAAACATCCTCATCCCAGCCGAATTTGATCAGGTCTTCATCTGTGGCACCATAAGATACATGACACTATGACCTCCTTCTAGATCTGTGCGCACTTTCGAACTTGTCTTTTCCTACATATATGGAGGCAGACGGTTCCACCGCCGTGGAGGTGAAGTAGTATACCATTGGGGAGGATTTGAGCCAAATTTACCGTTTTGTTGACCGTGAAGTATTCAAGTCAGACCAAGACTTGGCGTCGTCAGGTGTCTCGAACTTGGGAATTGGAGCGATGATTCCAGGCTTGGCATCAATATATCCGTTTGATATCAGAGGAAGTGGGGCTGCCCTCCGTCTTCAAGACTTGAACGTCCTATATCTCCTGGGATCATGCCATGTTAAATGTTGCCAACAGCGTGTGAATAGGTAGGAAACGCTTTCAATATTCTTTATACCTGCTGGCGAGCTTCGATCCTGACCCGCTGATTGATGCCGAACGCAACTATTCTCGTGGTACTGCGGAGCTATATGCAGAGATACTCAAGAGTCTCAGTCCAGAAGACGTGTCAGAGGAAGAGGAAGCTCGAGGTCAAGTGGACACTCTCCGCCTTAGGCTCCGGGATACAAGTCAACCCGAAGAGAAGAGAAAGAAGGGAGGGAAGATGGAAAAGAAGAGGAAAAGGCAAAGGAGGTGGACGTGTCGAATGTGATGATGGATGGACCCAAAGCATTCAAATCCAAGAACCAACGCGGAAAGAAGAAGCAGAAGGGTACCGAGAGGAGGAAAGGAAAGAGGCGAAAGAGACAATTTCGGCATGGTAACGATGGATGGATTGATGCGTGTGTGCAGTCACCGTCTGACCTTGCACTCCTTGTGTTCGATTCTCTCAATTCTGACTACCCCCGTGCCATTAACGTTGGCAGCGGCGGAGTTAGAACTTCGATTGAGAGCAGACCACCGCCTCCGGAGACATTATACACGCGGAGGATAGGATTGATTACCAACCCGAGAGCTTTTGTGCAAGTGAGCGATCCTTGATCCGCAAAGCCAATCACATGGCTTCACTCCCTGCCTTACCCACGTATAAGGACGAAATCAAAGCCAGTAGATTCGACCTGACACCAATCTAGGAGGTCAGTATTGCTGGTCCGTTACGTCTCTTTTCCAGAAGGTCTTGCGATCGCGCGCAGGTCAGGCGTATAGGCATGTGTTGACCCATTGACAACGTCAGGCTGCCACATGTTGTGGGGTGGTTGTATGCTAGGCTACAACACAGGCAGCGGCGCTGATGGACACTGTTTAGGTAGGTACATAGATGGGCTCTATCCTGCATTCATTTGGAGAGCCAGAGCGCACTCTTTCAATTCAAGAAGTTTGACGGCATGTTGGGAGGAAAAACGACACATCGCTACAACCCCTACAAGACTGCAGACAGTAACGTTTGATAAGCGTTCGTGGCTTTGCGAACTACATCAGTGACGTTAGCCATGGGTTGAATCGCAACCCAAGTCCCCAAACGGACGAAACCAGGCGAGCATGATTCGCCAATCGCCAGCAAGGCGGCCCACGTGGAAGTAGCTGACAGAGAAGCAACAGCGACTCGACGATAGTGAGGTTGCTTTCCTAACTACGGAGTTTGGAATAGAGAAGAGGACAACCCACTTGGCTATACCAAAAGTAGAAACCCCGCAGCTATTCGCCCAAGGTCATTGATGTATGCACGTGATCTGGATATGGTTGTGATCCTTGTGTATTGTATGTCGCGGTTTAGAATACCTTGTCGTTTCGAGAATACGTCTTCCTCACAGTCATGTATATACCAGACTTACCCAGTCCTACGCACAACTCTCTACTATGTTAATCTTTTCGTATTAAGTTACTCGCAAGACTAGCTTCTACAGGTAAGGTAGTGTTAGCAGAACTCGGGACTGGCTTCAAGCTCCCTGCAAGAGCAAAGACGTAAGTTTTACAGTGGGCAATTAGGGCCGAGCAAGAAAAGGGAGGCAAAATTTATGGGCTTTTGACTAGCAGTTGGTCCACCCCTTGGCAGATGGATGAATGAGGCTGTACCTAATCTTCACGGGAAATATCAATTCGAGATTAAAACTGCTTGCGGATGAGGGTAATAGCATGTCTTTAATGCCATGAGCCGAAATGATATCTCAGAGACGGTTAGCAATCTGCTACTAGCTCTTCATTACAGGATTCTCGCTGCTTCGGGACACCTACCCCTGCAACAACAAAAGGAATCTTCCCCAGCCGAACTCTCTCAGAATGCCTTATGTGATCATGTTCTTTTCGTCCAGAAAGCTCTGCCGGGACATTTGAAAGATAATCACGTCCCGACTTGGAGGACAGGTTTGGAAGCTGGTCGGAAGACGGTTGATTCTTTCCCTTCCCGGTGTAGGTCGAACTTCGCGGAGGAGTACCAGTTTGGCTGCTGAATGTCGGAGTTGGCCCGCTACTATTCTGGTATATCAATGTACCACTAGCAGCGACTGGGCGTACTGCTGTTGGTTTGCGTCAACAAAGGCCACTTTTCCTGTGCGACAAGCCAGCTTTCAAACAAACTTGAGATGTATTCGCTGTCTTCTATCAGCTTGGTGTGCTCCTGAACCTCGTCGTTGTGCAGAGCGACCCTCGGGAATGCTGTTGTCCATAGAAAACCCTCTAATGGTATGCCGTCGGTCGCGGAGTCCCTGCGCGACAGCACTCTGTCCGACCAAGAGTGACTCTAAATCACTGCGCCAGCAATAACATCAGTTTTTGTATCAGCTGGGAAGCCTCCAGAGTTCGATGTCATGGATGTCCGTGGAGGAGGTGTGACGCACGTCCGATGCGAAGCTGGCATTTGTGTTACGCTGCCTGCAGAACCATTCTACACAAAGACTCCTGAATCCGAAATCTCTTCAGCAGTCCCGGCGGGCTCAAGACTTCCAGGCACAAATCTGAATACTCAGCAAGGAGTGGCATCAACGTCGTCAGACGGGAGGGAAACCCTTCCTGATGTGCGTGTGCTTGTGTACACATTCGCCCGAGGTCCATCGTCGGAGTAGTCTGTAATTATCTGAGCTCTCCATAATATGGGTGCCGCCGTCAGGCTGGCTTGGTATAACCCAGTCATCTTGCGTGGTTTGGGTTCTCGAAAGGGAAGGAAATATCAAGAGGAGAAGGCTGTTGAAGAACGACATTCTAACATCTCACATTGTAGAAAAGAAGATGCAAGTGATCGAGTACGTTATCAGGGGTGTTCAAAGTTAAGTGAAAGAGAAATGGCGATCTTCTAGATCGGCAGACTGTTCGATACCTCCTTGACCCAAAGAGACTTGCCTATGGAGATTTCCAAGTAGATAGTAGATAGCTGGAGAAAGCCGACCTTCCCTGTATTATCAAGTTGAGTCTGCGTGATGTCTTGAATGGCTGTGAACATTTTCCAAGCTGCTTCACAAGATGTACATTGATGCCTGTGATTTGGTGGAGGATAAAAGCGCTCTCGAAAGCCTCTGGGCATGGGATGTATCGTCGATCGTCGATCGTCGATATCTGTTAATCCAGGAGGAAGAAAGGTGACCGCACTCACGGTCCCATGTTGGCTAGCGAGTCGTGGCGTGTTAAAATAGCTACGACACGCTCAATTCTCTTCAGGCTTGTACCGTCACTGCTGAGTATTGCTCAGTCTCGATCATCTTCTGGTCTTCCGCTCCTCATGCTCTGCTCCGTTGAGCTCAAGATCCAGTTTCTGAGCCTTTTCGTCAGTGGAATGGGTATGGCTTGGTCGGCGGCCGACCCTGACTAGGCTGTCAATGGTACGCGGACTATCTCAGGTTCTCAATTTTGGGGCCCTTAGGCTGCACAGGACTCGAGCCGGTTCCCTGCCTGAGCATCCGGCTGAGTGGTGGGATGGGAAACTCGCAGCTTCTTTCGATTCAAACCATGTGCATAGCGGCTGCAATAGCCGCTGGAACCCAAAACTGTCTCATGACTACGTTTAAGCGCTGATCACCGCCTCAGTCTCTGCATAGTTATTCGTGGGTGGCTCGGTTCGTGTGTGACTGCCTGGGGAATTTCTCAGATGAAACCGGCCCCCAACACTACCGCGTTGCGCCGACGCAACCTCCTTACCGGGGTAGGCAACCAACCTATCTGGCCGCCATGTGCACATCTTTCTTCGAACTTTCTTTCACTCCCATCTGATCAACGGCGAACTGGTTCACCATGAGTATCGACATCAGCAAAAGTGCCATACCCTTATTTCAATCCCGGGAACGACTTGAACTTCTCAATGACATCGACAAGTTCCGCCAACATGGCCTCGCTAATCTTCCTCAGATCGTCGTATGTGGAGACACAAGTAGCGGCAAATCGTCTGTCCTTGGAGCACTGTCCGGAATTCCATTTCCCATCGACAGCACCGTATGCACAAGATTTGCCACGGAGATTGCCCTGCGATACTCCCCAGACAAAACCATTACCGGGGAGGCTTTTATCAGTCCTGGATCGGGGTCGTCTGAAGGTCACCGAGCTCGGGTCAAATCATTTCAGCGAGCTATCACAAGCCTTGAGGCGATCCCCGACATTATGCAAGATGCTAAGACGGTCATGGGGATAGGTGAAGCCGCAGGGATCAGCCGAGATGTCTTGCACTTGAGACTTCATGGACAGCCGTTGCCCAATCTCACCCTAGTAGATCTCCCTGGTCTCATACACGCATCCAAGAATACGGATGATATTGCGAAGGTCCAAGAGCTGGTCGAACATTATTTCAAGCAGGAAGAAAGCCTTATTTTGACAATCGTCTCTGCCGAAAACCCTATCGACAACCAAGGTATCCTCACTTCTTCTCAACGGTTCGATCCTGCCGGGGCCCGCAGCATTGGGGTTATCACCAAGCCGGATCTACTCCATCGCCCGGATAAAGCCAGACTGATGCCCACAATCTTGGAACTCGCAAGGAATCAGCACAGTGCATTCAAGTTCAAACGCCCTTGGCAAATCATCAGATGCTTGACCGATGACGAGCGCCAAAAAGGGGCTGACGGAGCTGCGATCGAGACTGAGTTGTTTTGTAGGGACCCGTGGAATGGATTCTCTCGAGACCGACTTGGAACAAGATCTTTACGATCAGTTCTATGCCAGTACCTGGAGGACCACATTGTCCGAGTCTTGCCTCAACTGATTGAGTCCTTGGACACGAGAATCGCTGCGGTCAAGTCCTCTCTGGGGGAACTCGGACCCCATCGGGCAACTCGTGACGAGCGTATGCAATATCTTATTCGAATCAGCAGACGCTATGGTCAACTCGTCAAGGATGCTTTGAATGGCGATTACTCGGATTCTTTCTTCCACAAAAGTGAGCCAGCAAAAAGGCTTAGGGCCACAACGATGGCGCTCACGGATGATTTCGAACATGCAATGCGCACACGAGGTCACATGTTTGAGATCTCGTTTTCCCCCCCTTTATCAGAAGCTTCAGATGGACCACGGCGCATTAGCAGAACCGATGCGCTCGTCAAAGTCGGTAAGCTCCTAGAGGGCTATCGGGGACCAGAGTTGCCATTTCTCTTCAACCCACGCCTAGTGGGAGAACTGTTCAAAGAGCAGTCCCAGAAATGGTCGATAATGGCCTCTGAGTACACTGGTCATATATGTCGTGCCGTCAGAACATTCCTGCGGAAAGTTGTTGAATCGATCTGTCCCTCAACCGGACGGACGGCCGAACTCATTCTCCGTCATGTCTTTGATGACGCTGTATACGACAGTCAGGAAAAACTGAATAAGAAGGTGCTCGAATTATTCGCCCCGTACACCAGTTCATTCTTGTTTTCTACGAGAGGTCGACTACAGGCAAGTATGAAGACAGTAGAAAATCAAGATGAGCCGTTTGCCAAAGCCGACGCTACAACAAGAAGTCGACCGCGTTCTTCTAATCTTGAGAGCCCAGGCTCGGACAACGATACTCGCCTCAAATTACTTCAGTGCTCGAGGGCATATTACAATGTAGCTCTTGAGACCTTCATTGATAATGTCGTCGTACTCGGCGTTGAGTCCTGCCTGCTCTCGAAACTGGAGGAGATGTTTTCTCCCGAAACGGTAGCACGGATGGGAGAGGATAAGCTACAATTGCTCGGGGGCGAATCCGCAGAAATGATATCTGAACGCAGAGACCTTCAGGCGCAATTAGAGACACTCGAGGCGGCTCTGAAAAATTGTCGCAGGCACGCAAGCAGAGAGTTTGGCTTTGGAAGTGACGAAAAGGAATCGGGGACAAGATCGTTGCTAAGCGCCCAAAGTGTGTTCACGCCACGAGGGCTCAATGACGGCAAAGCGAACCAGATCACAGGCGCTGCTGAGCCAGCGGCTCGTTCCGAGACTCGACAGCAAAAGCCATTACCTACTTTAGCCGTTAGCAACGAGAAAGACTCGCCACAGGTCCAAACACTCAGCCGCACAATGCTACCGTCTAGCGAACGAACGAGGGCATCTCCTGTTCCAATTAGCACTGAGACCCAAAAGAACGTTTCTGAAACCCCAAAACGAAGTATATCGTCTCTAAGTGATGCAAATGACACGTCACGTGCTTCTTCGCTTTTCGGGACCTCTACGCTGAAGCAGCAGGATTCGCTTTTCTCAGCTCTGACAGGCCTTGGATCGGAAGTGGCTCCTGGGTCAAGCGGACTTTCTGGGCCAACAACATCTTTTGGGACATCAGCGGTTCCTGGGTCCTTATTTTGGACAGTGCAGTCTTCTGGATCCCCACTTGGGGCAGTACAGTCTTCTGGATCCGCAATTGGGTCATTACAGTCTTCTGGATCCCTATTTGGGCCACGACAGTCTTCTGGATCTCCATTTGGAACATCGCAGTCTCTTGGATCTAAGGAGCCTTTTGGCGCAGCAGCACCCTTGGTGCCAGGAATCTCCTTTGGAGCACCGACAAGGGAAAGTAGTGGAGAAGAAGCAAAGTCAAAATCTCCAGGGCACTCCGAATCGGAGGATAAGTCGTCAGGTTTTAGTAGGTCCACATTCACAGTCGACAATAATGAATGATGTTGTTCATTGACTCAGAAATCAGGTAAATTTCAATCATGTCGAATGACATTCAGTCGCCGTGACATTTCCCTTCCAAGAGTATCCATAGAGGATGTTATTGGCAAGTTTGAGCCACACCAACTTCGCCGGCTCAGACATGGTTTTTTGTACGATACAAACTTCCTTTGTAATAATGATAGGTTCCTGTGCCTCTCCCTCTACTATAAGAGAGGCTTATCTCGGCTGTCTATGTCTTTCGAGGTAAGCTAGTTTCGGATTCCACTCCCCTGTTCATCCAGCCTTTGCTTTTTTTGTGGTACTTCACGCCGATCTAACCAGATTCTCGCAGGAGCACCGCCTTAAAGAATATAGGTACATCTTCAGTGACGAGGTGAAGAAATACGTGGCCACATCACTGTGGCGCAAAAGCACTTGGACCGAAAACAAAATCTCCTATTCTACTCTGCGGTATGATGAGTACCTAGACCTTGTCAGAAACGCAGTTCAGGAAGTCCAGAGTTCAGAAGACAGCTCCTCCAACTCCGACTCCGAATCTGACCGTTTACAAGCTATTGAAAGTCTCCCGAAGTCCCTGTTTCAAGCTCCCTAAATAGGGAAACCTCAGCATAAGAAGACCCCTCTCGAAAATCGAGGAGGCGGTCTCTTCAGATGCCTCTCACAGCGCCTTCCCCTAATCGACGAGGAGTCTTCTAAATGCGCTGACAGGAAGCATGTGCATGAAAGATCAAAATCAGCTTTTGGCTTCTAGATACATCGATACGTCTAGTTGCAGCTGAGCGGAGTGGACTTCTTTCTCAAGCTGAGATGTGATGTAGGTTGGTTCCCCCCACCGTGCTCAGGCTTTCGTGCTTGCGAAATCGTGGGCTTGCAAGAGAGGGAAAAATGGCAAATGGGGTCAATGCTGGGTGGTTGCAAGAAGAAAGGCTTATTATTCTATGAAATTCCATTCTTTGAATATCTTTATGTCAAAACTACAACAACACTATTGACCCTATCTTTGCCTCCGGAAATCTTTCCCAAGATAGTGAGCGTGACATCGTCTTTCACTCTAGGGAGAAAGAAAAAAAAAAAAGTGTCTTTCGAAGCCAGGCGGCCGAATGCCTCATGGAGAGAAGAATACGAGCGTATCAGTCGTCTGCAACAGGTCTGAACCTGCATCACTCCTTGTGACGATCGCGATCATCTATTCGACATTTCGGCTTGCAAACCTCATTGCGGTTGAGGTTGTTGACACTTGCGAAGCTCCTGGAGCATGGCGTGCAGAGGTGCTTCTGGCCGTTATTGGAGGGGTTCTCACTCTCGAAAGAAAATAAGAATGTCGTTGATGCTTGCAGTCACCTCAGGGGCCTGAGATGACTCTGTGTAAGCAAGATGCTTGATGTCAGGAGTTGCTATATCTGGCGTCGATGAGGGTTGGGTGCTCGTGTCCTGCATGTCATAGCTGAACGATCACACGTTTGAACATGTCTATTTCAAGAGCAAGGTCAATCTGGACACCCATCACATTCCTAGTCATTGTCAATAGAAGAGAATCAATATTCCATCCCCATTCCAGTTCCAACGAGAGAGTTCTGCCCTAATCAACCCAAAATACAAGGACAAAAGGAAACATCGACAGCTCAGTTGTAGAACTGAGTGGTGTCCTTCATTGGACTTGGGGCAGGAAAGCAACATGCTCGTTGCAGGTGATACGAAGGATTGCCATCTGCATATTTGTCGTAAATATCAAGCCGTCCCCCTGACAGCGTCACATCCACGACCAGCAGCGAGATTAAACGTCATCGACCCGGCCGCAGCGCTCGTGAATCCCCAGAATGGAGAATGATCAAATTCCAAAGCAGAGATTTTCTTGTGAAGGCCGAGGTCCAATCGGCTGATTAGCAGAAACATCGCGTCCTCGTGTGGGATTCCGTCTCATTAGATCTGGTGATCGGCACGTCTTGCTGGGATGAAGAGCAAAGTTTCTGTATTCAAGTCTTGTTTCAACATGAAAGCGGTCAACCAAAAAAAGGAAATGTCGGGACGCTGTAAGATCAGGGAATGCCACCATGGCAAAGGTTGACCGAAGAAGTCGTCGTTGTCTCTCTGTATCTTGTTCTTCTGGGGGCTGGAAGAAGTAGTCGCTGAAACTCGAATGGGCTAGTCCCAACCAGGTCTAGTCCGTGTCATGTGACATAAGATCTCGTCGTTGCTTGAGCAATCAGGTTTAGGCGACAACAACCAGATCGTCGGACGACTATGCCGCACACCGACCTTTTGCACAATCAACTGTGCTTTGTTCGAGATCCATGGAAATCTTATCAATCCTACGGAGCCGAGGTCGAATTGATGCTCCTACCTTCCGACTCAGTGGATGAAGTCTAGGAGATGAAAGGCCAGGAAACATCATCTGATGATTTCAAGCGCATGTTGAGCTTCATGTCTGAAGACAGGCTGCCCAGGAGCAGGAAGGACATAATTCGACCAAGGGGCTTGAAAGGTGCTCGAGTGACTAGACTCTGGGGCTGATGTGATAAACTTCGACCGCGTATGTGAGCCGGGTGGAATCACGATTGAAGCCCGGCATTAAGCCATATAATAGGGGATCAGATAGATGAAAAGGGTATGTTGTCGTACAAGATTCATGGGCACATGGAGCCAATTTGCAGGTCAAGGGGAAGGCGTTCCGATCCCGTTGGGTCAGGCCGCCCGATTTGATGATGGCCATGTGGGCATTCCTGTTATTTTAGTAAATTTTCTTAATGTTGGAAAATGTTTGCCCCCCAAAGCAGCACAATATACAGGACTCGTGTTTGAGTATGGTGGATTTTCTGGGTTCGGTTCAAGGCAGCCAAGGTGACAGAGGAACGATGGGTAAAGAAAGATTCACCGGGTGGCTAAAGGCTGGCTACATTCAGTGGCCGGTTGCAACACTAAGGGAGGAGTTTGATTGGCGACGGTGATATTCCTTTTTTGTCGATAGATCCAGCGATTTATGCCTCACAGCTGGTCAGCGATCGCAGCGCATTATGAGAGAAATGCAACACGAATTCTGCACAGGATGCAGTGCCGCCCGGTTGGGATGCTCGGGACAAAAATGACTTGTGGAAAAAGGGAGATCTGGACCAAGTTCAAGTTAGCCTTGACAAGCAGGTCATGCGAGGAGGAAAACTTTCTGCTGTATGTGTACTGAACGGGCGAGGTATTAGCCTGAGGATGCTGAGGTTAAAAATTTGGGTTTCAACGGGAGAAAAAGGATGAGACAATGGCACGACTCCGTCACATGGGTTGTCCCCTCACGACGTAAGTTGCTCCGTATTGCGTACGGAGTAATCCGTACCACACACTTCTCGGCACCTTATTGAATGTATGAGGGTACGCAGGAAGCACCGATGTACCTAATGCTAGTGCAGATACTCCGTACTCCATACCAGCACTTATCATTCCTAAGTATACCCAACATAACCTAGGTACCTACAATAGATAATGGCGTGCCCGGCATTCTTTGGCCGAGAACAAACCAGGAAAATCATCCACCACCATATGCCATAGGGGGACCTGGATTTCTGAATACGAGGTACAAACACCGCCAAGCCACGTTCCCCCTCATTCAGAAAGTTGCCGGGTCCACTGAAAGCCACAAAGCCTGGTTCAGCAGATGATTGAAACCGCAGCGCAGTTGTTGTGCGGGACGGGGACCCCGTATACGACCACCCACCACCGGCTCCTTTGTCGAAGGGCGGCCGATGCGGGATTGAGGCCTCGAAGGTCCTAAACTCATCTTCCTATTAGCGGAATGTCCACCGCATCAATGGGCATCACCCACCACAGATTAGAGCTCGACCTTAATTGGGGTCGCATGTTGTCAAATACATCCTCCTCCACACCGGACTTGGTCGCCTGTTATTAAATGGCGGTATGCAGCCACTAGGACGCTCGTGGTTCCCAAATGTTCCGATTCGAAAACCACAACCCAGGTTGGATCGACGAGACAAGAAATATCATACGGCCAAGTTCGGCTCCGCGTCCCTCTGTGCTCGTACGCCCAAACGGCGGCCATCATCACAACCGAAAGACGCTTTGTAGCCTTGGACATCGAAGTAACCACCACTCAATGCACTTCACCGGCGCTCGATCCCCCCAGGCGGGCCGATATCGATGACCCCGAAGCTGGATTTAGTGATCTCATCAAGCATTGCTTAGCTTATCCACCGCAGCATTTTTTCCTGATTGGACGCCATACAATGGCCATGAGTACGTGGGACAGTTGTATCTCAAGGCTTCAGATGGGCGCTGAGAATTTACTGCCGAGCAATCCTTTTACGTGATATAGTGTTGTTGAAGCCATGAGCCATTTGAACAACGTCACGCTTCTCTCGAATGGTCTGAGCAGCCTGATAGCCATTGACTTGTAGCTAGCCTCAGAAATTAATAAGCTAAAGTACACGAGTCGCGCAGGCACATAATTTTTCTCAAAAGCTCAAACCCCGGGTTCGGACATCCAAGATTGTCGTCATGCAGCAGAGAGCCAAAAAAGTAGGAGACCCACGGCACGATTGAGTTCGGTTGTCACTCAGAACAAGGGAAAATTCAGCCATGCCGCAAGTTCGTCAAACCCTTGGATAATATCGAACGCCATCGGGGATGTGGGGCTAGACGCGAAGGAGGACTGGCCTATCCTGTCTGTTCATAGCCTGGCGCGCCTGGTAACTTTGCAAAAGATGAAAATCCCATCATCCAGCTAGTCGACGGCTTGTTGGCCATGGGCGGTGGAAGCCTATTTGGTACACGGGATGATTGCCTTTTATTTCCCTAGGACCTATTGATGGCGTTTAGATTTTTAGCTGGCCGGCCCGCCCCTTACTTTCTCAACTACCCGATCTCTGTTGTGGTCACCAGATAGCAGTAGAGAGTGGGGGATTTTTGCTGATCCCGGTTTACATCTTGCTGCTCCATTTCATCTTCACCTGATCGCCCCTTGGTGATCGGGTGGTCAAAAAGGTAGCACCCTTCGAGACAAGGACGTCAATGTTGTCAGTTGTAAAGCCGACCAAATTGTCCTGCCGACTGTTAAAATGGTTCTTGACAACCTTGAGCAGGTCCATGTCCACTCCTAGACGAACTTTAAGCAATCAAAAGGTCAGAAGGAGATTCATACCGTGCTCCCTATTGGCTCGTTCATTCCAACTTACTCAGGGAATGGGTCGGTCGCTCCACAGGGTGGGGGGTCCTTTTTCATTCGTTTCTATGCAGGTATACACTTTTGGTCAATTCGGCTAATAAGTGACGCTTGACCGGCGAGAACCTTGACTTGAATCCTAAGACCTTAAACGTTGCGAGGAAAAGACCCCAAAGTCAATTTTTGCGTCCTGGCAGGTCGACATTGATAAAAGTTCAAGATGGGTTTCACCCACGGCTTTCTGGGCGCTAGTGCTGGGGCTTTCCGTCGCCGCACCCGAGTGCTGCAGAACCCCTCCTTCCCCAACCGAACAACCGTGGCCAACTTCGACCCTTGATCTGTTGGGTTTGCTACAGGCCCAAGCAAGGTACAAGCGGCTGCGAGAAGCCCAAACTGGTGCCCCGTCGGCGTACCCAGCTTGCAGTCCAAACGCCCAGACGGTTGATTGACTCTGGGGACTCGAGGATATTGGTGCCGATAACTCCGTTACACGTGCTCGGCACCCAAACCAGACTTTCTGTTTTAGAGTATGTTAGTCGACTCGATCGCAATCACAGGTGAGTTTGATGCCGTAACCCGGTATGTGCCTCCGTGTCACATCGAACGCGTGACATTTGCGATGGCCCATGTCATCTGTGTGGAGCCCTGTTCGCGAGTTATCAGCAAAAGCTTGATGGACGAAGGATGAAAACCAATTCTTGACCCCCTCCAGCTGCATGGGGTCAGGATCATGTTCTTGACACCAAAAGCACGCTTTTTATGTTTCGCTAAGAACGGTCACAACGCGCCGCACGCTGGTGGGGCTTTGGAGGACTTGTTTATTTGGCCTAAAATGTTATTTCTCTTTGGCACGACCACATTCTTCTCCATCATTCTCTGCCTGTGAGGCTCTTACTCAGCTTTGAAAAATCCCTACCTGCCATGGACTGTTGCTCGATCTCGAGGTGCTTTCTGAACCACGATCAGAGCTAACACCAAACACTTCCTGTCTCTCTCATCTAAGTCCGTACTTGACTTGCATTCCGACAAGTACGACCAGTTGGAGATGTCCCGGACACCTAAGTTGACCGTTAGACAAGCCCTTCAGATAGCTCAGAACAGCCAAACCGGCCAGATTGACCCTCAGATTCTCCAAATTCTGGAAGAGGCTCTCGCCCAAATCTGGACCCGCATCCAGGCTCAGCCCAACACTTATTTTATGAACGAACTCGAATTCGCCATCTTCAACCGCTATAGAGGACGGTCCGAATTTCAGAACGAAACAGCGCGGAAGGCTGTGTCACGGTATTGGAATAGTCGCGGCACCAGAAACAGGGTCTGAGGCATCTCTCCGCGCTATTAATGGGCCATCTAAGGAACACGCGGCACCAATTCCCGTCTGAAAAAGTTCCACGAAATCCCCCCCAAACAGACGGGAGAATTTGCTGGGATTCATGTGGCCGTTCTCACTCGTTTCTTCAGAAAGTCCCTACTTGGCACCACTGCCTCTCCGATTTTCAAACCAAATGAAGGACTCATCCATGGCCTCCATGGATGGGGTCTATTTGCAGGATTACTGCACTCGTTTGCTCTCGACCAGGTGTTAACGCCCCTTAAAAATTGCAAGTGCTAGGGATGGAGGATTTGTATCTCCCCGCTGCCGAGAGGGATGGGAGAGGTCTAATTGGACATTTGGCACACTTGTCTTGGGCATGTTTGATAGTGGACAACAGTACCATCTCGGCCGGGTGTGGCCCATCTCTAGGCCTGGAGACTTGCTCGAAAATGGCCAGGCAACCAACCGGTAGGGCCCCTGTGTCATGTTACCAAACACTTTACGCTCTTCATCATCTTTGTTCATAGCTTGCTTTCTTTGTCAGAAGAAGCATCCTCCCCCTTGCTCATATATACGGAGCGATCCCAAAATACTTTCACCAGGCATGCAAGGCATCATTCAAAAGAGTATGAGAGGTATCTAGGCACCTTCATCGCCGATCAGATGCCCCAAAGCAACATCCTGTCCTGACGAAGACGAAGCCGATGCCTATGGCCACGTCCTTGCTATACTTCAGAAACATTAATACCAAGAAATATATCTGAAGCAGGTTCAATTGTCAATAGTCCAGGAAGAGATGGAAAGGAAACAATCACATTGTGCACCAACGCGATTGACTGCGGTATGAAGGTATATTAATGAGGCACATCCCGATGCTGACTTTGAATGTAGGGACCGTGCAACCACAACATCTACTTCATCTATTAAGATGGCACTTGATTATCGTCCCCCACCTTCTTGATGAATATGCGTCTGTTACATCCCACGGTTATTTTAAGCCCTTTCGCTGATATTCGCGTGACCCTCGCCGCCGGCGGCCTGGATGGACATGATGTCCTGAGGGCGAATCGACCAGGCAGAGCGATACGCGCTCCTGTAAGACGGGATGCTGCCAAAAGAGATTTCAAGCAGGTAAGGACTGAGATCGAGTCGTGATTTTGATATAGATTTCTCACACTGTTTAGCTTCAATCGCAATAGTCGCCTCCCATTAGGACAACCTCCGTCTGTGATGAGTTTGATGGTTGTCTTTACGTTAATCCACGAAATGACACCTGATAGCTGCAGGGCTTTACCAAATACCGGGGGGATCATATCACAGGAGAATGCCGCCAATTTTCAGCGCCTGCATTGACGCTTGCATCGAATACAATCGGGCAGCATCGCCAGGAGCATGCTTGGGCATCTATTTCCACCATCCCAATTGAGGCGCCGTGGGATTATATACGAGGTACTCAGATGTCAACGATGTCGCTCTTGCGTACGAAAAAGGAGGCAAGACTCTCACAGCCCCTGGCTCTTCGTGTACCGTCTTCCATTATCACAGATTCAGGCCTCGAAATTGCTGGCTAGGTGCACCTTCTTGATCGCTATTCGATTGAAAATACCAAGGCATGGACAAGAAAGGCAGTAATATGAAAGTTCCAGATGTCCCGGATTCAGCACTTCTGATCCGTGGCTCCAATGGACAAATGTTTGCGGCGTTGCAATCAGATCCGACATTTTCTGGCACACCAACTCAACCACCTTCGGTCGATCCTCTACCTAGAAGCACAACTACCTCAGGAGAGCTAATCGTGCCGACGCTATGATCGAGCCCGACTTTAATGCCGCAGACCCGAGTACCACGTTTGGGATTTTGACTACAACGACGACTCCGACAAGCATTCTCTATCTCACCCCATGTTCTCCTGAACACCTCCCTTGTTCTCCTGGATCCAGCTCTCTTTCGACCACCGCCGTTCCTAGCCCTAGCTCAAGCAGGACAACTCTGACCACGACCTCCTCTTCGATGAGCACCATCATGGCACTATCCCAGCCCACAAGGATCACCTCGATTCAGATCACGGATTGTGGATCAAGGCCGGCGACTTCTCTGTCATCCATATCCACGACTGGGATTTCCCCTTCCGTGCTAACTACGACCACATCGGCAGCTTTCACCTTCAAAGCGCAGACCACGTTCACAACCGCCGTATGGTTTACTGAGTACAGAATTTAGATTGCCGAGATCTGCGCAGCGACACCAACCCCGGACTCACAGTCCACTATTATCTCTACAACAGTTGGATATAGGACGGAGATATCGTGCTCACCGAGTGCCTGTTCGGATGTGATGCTTGTCAACAAGTTTGATGGCTGTTTGTACAGCGACAGGAACATGTGTAATTCTTTGAGAGGTGGGATTTTTGGGGGGTTTTCTTGACCACGCAGCATCCTAAGAGAATTTCTGGCCTCTGGGGCTTTTCAACAATCTATTCTAGACACCATTTGGAAATAATTCTGCTTACCGTGTCTGATATTTATCGGTGATCACATGACTTCCGGCCTCGGTTGGTGCGCAGGATTTCGGAGAATAATTTGAATTTCGCTTACGGAAAAATCCAGACAATCTGGCAGCTTCGGAACCGGAACAAGTCTGCCGAGTAGCTGCCGAGCAATTTCTCAAAGCCAAATCTGTCCTCCCTTCACACTCAGCTCTGCCAGTCTTATCGCCATACGAAGTTCCACGACAGGCATTGGATTGATCGCAAGTTTGCATTTGCTCTCTGTTTCTGACCTGTGGTATTTCTACCGAATCAATTCCGCACCATGTCTCTGCCGCGAAGTGGCCCGGCCGCGGTCTCCAGCAAGTGGCCTTCAATGATAATGAACCTTTAGCAGCTGCGCATTTAGAGGCCCACAGTTCTCTGAAAATGCCCTCCTCGTTTTGTGCAACCAGATTCCTCATTGTCACGTTTTCTTTGTTCGCGATTCACTAGAGTGTACAGGTGGGTGCGCTGTCGCTTTTACTCTCTACGCGGAACACGATATCTTCTCAGAATTCTATCGCCCTTCCAATTCTCCATAAATGGCCTGTGACGTTTGGAATGCTCAGTACAGGCCTCACCTAAGGAAAAGAAATCCTGCTCGCCCCTTCAACGATGGCGGTCTGTGGACACGTATCTGCTGCTTTGGCCTTGGTCATGGCCCTATTTGGCCTGGCGAACGCAGACTCATGTAATCCCTTGAATTGTTAGTCTCCAATATCAGCATGCCTTGCTCTTGCTGACTTCGTATTTTGTAGGACCGTGCGCTGCAATTCCTGGCTTAGCAACAAGTTCATACCTCGTTGATTTCACACAGCGAACATGAACTCTCTCTGATTGGATTCTCGCCGATACTGCTACTGTCACTTGCGACGGCCCCAACGGCGCGAACTTCGTAAAACCCTATGGTGTTCCTTACATTTGATCTCCTTTTTCCGGAAACAAACTTTGCTGGATTCAGCGGCAAAGTTCAGACCAATTACTTTGGTAAAGGTATGGCCGGATACTATGATAGAGGCACTCAACCAGCGGTAACCTCGCCTCAGGACCAATTTCACACTTATCCCTTGGATTGGAAACCCGGCTCTTTGACTTGGTCCATCGATGGTGCGAACATTCGCATTTTGAAGAATTCCTATCAAACATCTGGCGAGTATCAATGTCCTTAAACACCGCCTCGCCTCCATCTGGATGTGTGATGCTCTGGAGACCCAGACGCCAATAGCGCAACAGGAGCATAGAGAGGTGGATACGCCAACTCTAACGCCGCTCCTTTTACAGCATATGTGAAATCAGTCAAGATAACAACCTCAAATCCTTGTTTGAGCTGGCAGTACCCTAACCATTTGATGGCACTTCCAGGTCTATGCAATGTACAAACCAGACTTTATTCCCAGGCTCCCCGTGTACCTACACGGTTATCTAGGGCGATGACAGTTACAAGATTGCGAAGACTTTGGGAGCCACTTTCGATGCCATGAAGACTGCAAATCCTGGCGTCAACTCAAACATTCTGCTTGTAGGAGAGTCTCTCACTGTTCCTGGGGAAACTGCACAGCTTCTTCAATCACGACGGCTTCAACCACCACTGCGATCACATCTACGCTGAATCCCCCAGATGGTTCGATCCCCACTTCCACGGTCACGATGACTTCTTCACTGATCTCATCAATTACTTTAACGTCAATGACTTCAACCACAGTCTCCTTGAGCATGACCGCTTCAGGCACTATATCTGCAAATTCAATCCCCACACCCAGCACGTCAATTTCTTCGATGGGTTGGTCTTCAAGCGTCTTATCAACCAGTACTTCTTCAAGCATGACTTCATCCAATATACCTGCAACTTCGATCCTGACACCAATAAAGTATTCCTCGACTAATTTGTCCACGAGCGTCACGGCGACTTCAATGACTGGGAGTGGTGTCACCACCACCACTGCCACAATCTTCTTACACTATCGTCGCGGGCGATTACGGTCATGTTATTGCAAAACAAGACTGGCTGCAGTTTTGATATGCAACCAAGACAATTGCTTACGGAATATGATTGGTCCTCGATACTCGTTATCGACGCACGCTTTCTGCACTGGATACACTACTGTGACATCCAACACTACCGCTCTCTCGACGTTCCAGGACGGTCGTTCAAAAGACGTCAAGAGAACCAGCAGTGCTTGCAAGTGCTTAGTGACTAGTTGTGATGCGTGGGCGGGGACCTCTGGCACTCTAGCTATAACAGGACCACCGTCGCAAGCTGAAACCCCGTCGTAGAGGCTGAAGAGATCGCCTTTGAAACCGTGTCGGGCTCGCTATTGGGAGCTCTATCATATTATCCGTATTCTCCATGAAAGACGCAAGTGTGATTATTTTCGTGTAGTTTATTATCCCTTGGGATGCTTGGAATTGCGTGCCTGCCAGCTTGGCTGTTATTACCCTTTCCCTGCTGCCATCATTGATTGCGACAAGGCTGCGCCACGTGACTCGAGTTCTATCTTGGCAATTTTGACAGTTTTGGGACGACAATCTTGGCACCCACAATAGGCACAGCCGAAACATTTTGGGTTTGCGAGAGTCAGAAGAACAAATTTGTCAGTCTCTTCGCTCCACCGACGATTCCCGTATGCTTGAAAGTCCTTGGATGAAACGACAACTGACCTCGACGCAGAGCCTTCGACGAATAAAGAGTCAAGATGACGAAGGGAACGAGTTCTTTTGGAAAGAGTACGGCTTGCAGTTTCATTGAGATTTGAAAAGTTAGGCTTCTGACGGTGATGGACAGGACATAACAAGACTCACACTCTCTGCCGGAGGTATGCCAAACGGGATGTTGCCCTTGGTGGAACGTCGATCGCTGAACAATCATGCAGATGTGGTCACCGAAGCCTTCATATCCAAAAACATACTTGCGCTAACTGCGGAGTACGAAGTTCCCTACCCTCTTGACCCCGGAATCCGGATCTCAATTCTAGGATACATCCAACTGACATGTATTTTATAAACAGTATCCTGCCGCCAAAATACGGAAATATGAATGGAGTGAGAAGGCTAAGAGACGCAAGACCACCGGCACCGGTCGCATGAGATATCTACAGTCTGTCGCTCGGTAAGGACTGACCCATTCTAGTTGCTACGTCGTTCCACTGGAGAGCACCACACCGCGCTGAGAGAGACAGAATTGAACGGACCAATTTTTTATTTTCTTTTTGCCTCTTGGAACAAGGGATGGACAGTCGATTGGTCTTGATTGCTGCATAGAAATATATCGGCTAACGGCTCTCAATACAACAGTAAATTCAAGAATGGCTTCCAAACCGGGGCACCAAAGGGAGCACGAGGACCCGCGAAAGCATAAATGAAAGAGTTGTCCGAATGGTTTGGTTTCAAGTCAATGGGAGCAAAGGTTACGTTGAGGGAGGGGATAGTCACGCAAAACTACCATACAGCGTATCCAAAGATGAGCCAAAGAGAGAGAACTTCAGCATGGATGGAGAGAAGCGTTCAACATCAAGCACATCTCAAGCTTCTCATTCTTGTTGCCGCGGGGAGAGGGTTGTTGGTGGCATGGCACGTCATGGCTCAAAGATCTCGTCGAGACTTGACGGGAGTTTATTGCACACTTGCAGGGATTCGGTAGGGCTCACGAGGAAAAATTTACTTCAAGAGAGCGACAAAGAAAATATTTGTTCAATTTTGATTTCCTTGTAGTCGATTGAATTCTCTTAACCCTCTACCTGGCGGATATGTATCAACTCTGTTCCCGACCAGAAGAACAATTTTCCTACTTCGGCAAAAGTCTTTAGCCAGTGTCCTCTACATTTGATATGCTTTCACCTTCCTATGTAAAACCTGTCCAGTTGAGCTACCACAAGATTGACACACAAAATTCTCACTCTGTAATCCAATTCTAAAATTCTCTTTCTGGTAGCACTGAAGATGCCACCTATCATCCCGCCTGCTCTGGCCGCATTTATTCAGCAAAGCCTCTCGCCTCACACACAGACGCTGATAACTCCCGTGCTCAGCACATCGTCGACATGGCTGTGTCTCCGTTTCATCTATGCGGCGCTATATGGGTTCGAGGATGTCGACGGGGCGCCACAAATAGGGACGGGCTCAGACCCCACCACCGGTATTGAAAAAGTCATCTGTGTCAGTCTCCTCATGCCCTTGAGCTTGTGGGTTGAGATGGGGAAGAAAATGGTACGGTAGTCACTCTTGCACTCTTTCTTCTGCTTCTGCAAGTACTTCTCCCCTACGTCAGGATTTTTCTTTCTAGACGTGGCGCGGCTGTGCATCGAGGTTTTACCTCTCTTCTCCAGATGTGGAGTTTTTGCTTCTTTTCTGCTTAGAGCCAGATGGCGCAGTGAATCACGCATGCATGTACTAACGGGCCTTTCGATATTGAATAGGGTTTGGATATTTTGTCTCTACTGAAGAGCACGAGACTCGTATACGTCGATGGTCTCACCTGTGGGAAGGCGGCCAGCGTGGGATCTGGGACTGGAGTTGGAACCGCAACCTCGCATGCACCTACAACGAGACTGAAGTCCCTGGCGTTGAATGATGTGCGAGACGCATTGGACATGGCGTTGAAAGCTGTGTCCTCGTCTCCGTCGACGCCTCCGCCTATATCGACGTCTGTATCAGCGACGACAAAGTCTTCTACAGGTCCTGCCCCTTTCCGAAGATCTCCTGCTTCCACATCGCTCCCCGGTCCTGACTCCTGCACGAAACCCTTGATCCTTCTGGACGGCATCGACTTCCTCCTCGCTTCGCAGCCGTCTATCACTCCCATGTCGCTTCAATCATTCCTGTTCATGCTTCGCACGCAGTCCCATACGTTGGTGGTAACCTGCCATGCCGACTCGCCGTTGCTCCATGCCTCTTCGGCTACACCCACAGGTGCCGATGTTGGCTCACAACTGGAACGCAACCACGCACATTTCCTAACGAATCTGGCGCACCAGAGTCGTTGGGTGTTTCAGCTACGAGGTCTGGACACGGGAAGTGCGAAGGACGTCACTGGTGTAGTCCGAGTGAGTCGAGGCGGCGACATAGGTGTCGATGACGAGAACGAGGGGAAGCCAAACATCCATGCTCTGAGAGGCAGTGATGTATTAGCGGACGCTGAGTGGCTTTATCAGGTCAAGTGCGATGGCTCAGCGAGCGTCTGGGGGCGTGGTGAATGATTTTCGCTGGACATCGAGCCTTGAGGAAAGATATTGACGTTCGCAGCCCAGAAGACTCGTAGAGAGTTTGAAGTGCCAATGTATGATTGCAGTCTTTCTCTTTATACCTCAATGAGTCTGTAAACTCGGGATTTAGGGGGGGTTATTCCTGTATGTGAGAGACATCCTGGATTAAAGACGCTACTTTCGTTTGAATTCCTGGTGAATTCAATCGGAAGCAATTCCGCACTCAAGCTGCCTTTTTCATGATGGCAAACAGAATGATGCCATTCTCGCTTATTTGACTTCACCAGTGTAGTTCGTATCCGGGGTTGTTTACGAATATTCTCTCCTCTTGTGCTATGTGCATGCCGAAGAGAGAATTCCCTGCTCCCGTGCAGATCAGTATTCTTCATCAATCTATTGTCGCACGGTGAGACGAATTCCTCTCGGATCGCTCATTGGCTTGTTCCATAATGTCGGATCCGTTCTTGTACTCTTACCCGTCCCCCTTGAAAGGCTATGAGAACCTTCCACCTCTTCCTAAAGACTTGAACGAAGATGGAAAATCTTTCAAGAACACAGTGACAGGCATTCTGAGCGAGAGTTACCAGAGATTTACCTCTGGCGTGACAAACGGCCGTCGAGGCGGATTTGACATTCATATTTACTATCACCACAATAGTGAGGAGCAGAGAGAATTTGCGAAAGAGTTGTGGGAGAGGGTTCGGAGGGAATTTCCAGAGTTGAGGTGAGAATCATGATGTGTTGGCATACCGACACTGCACTCCGTTGCTTCCAATGCTGATATGAATCGTCACAGAATATACCGACTCTGGGATCGTCCGGTTGGACCACACACGATGGCCATGTTTGAGGTCAATATTTTCACACCAGCACAGTTTGGGGCTTTCATACCCTGGCTGATCATCAATCGAGGGCCGCTGTCTGCTCTCGTTCATCCCAATACGGATGATGGCGATGAATTGAGAGCACACAGCCAGCGAGCGACCTGGCTGGGAGAGCGTGTTCCGCTTGATCTGGGCATGTTGAAGAAGTTCCAGGACAAAAAGCGACAAGAACAGGAGAATGGGAAGAAAGAATAGCGGGGATATGTTGGTGCGGATACCTTGCCGCGTACAAGTCACTTTTTGGGGACAGCAGTTCCTGCCTGCTCAATGCCTTCTCTTGTCCTCTTTGCCCACCGAAGTCTCTCCAGCTCGAAACTTTCCACCAGTGCCTCGGATAGTCAACGGTCTGCATCTTTAAAATCAAGCTCTCCTTCGTAGTGCGCCGCTGCCTTTTCGACTCGCACAAAGTTTGCATTCTCCATGTCATCTCCCGCGTTGTTTTCACTTGAGCAGTCTCTTGGGCCGCGCCGACTCTGTCTCGCTTGACTTCAGAGAACGGAAGTAACTCATCAGACCAATTTCCTGGCAGAGTCGACGTCGAAACTTTCCGACCTAATCACCATCCAAGTCCCCCCGTATCTCCCGTCTGACTTCAGAACTGCTTGGAGAAATAGAGGAGATGCTTTCTTGAGAGTATCATCAACTAGGAGTGCGACTATGACTCGCGAGATACCATAAGGATCATTTTGTGAGAGGGATGATCCTGGAGGTTTCGAATCGGATTCCACGGTCAAGGAGGATGGGTCATATGAAGAGTTCAGAAAGTCAAACAACGCTTCCGCTCCGCGTGTTGCAAGATTGACTCCAAATCATTGGACACCGACACGACCGTCTCTTCCATTTCGCCGCTCCCAGACCAGATCCCCCCCAAAGCCAAAGACTTTCGAGTACCAACACCGCACCTTATTCCTCGCAGAACCCAGATATCACCATTGTATGACCGACACAGCAGCCAACACGATACACACCAGCAGCAAATGACGACATAACCAGAGGAAAAGTCATGTGTCGAACAGAATAACGGGGACGCTACTGGAGATGATGATACCCAAGATATTGGGGAGCCGAGAGTTTCGCAAGGGATTCCTAAAGCAAATTGAAACCACACAAATTTGAAAAGCATCAACATAGACTCACGCGGACCACGGGCCAAAGCAGTCGAAGCCAGAAAGGTTGAAAAGGTCGTCCAGGCTGAGATTGGAGGCACTCAGCAACGACACGCAAAGAAACAGGGCAGAAGTATGAGCGAGAGATCCAGAAGCAAAGCTAATGTCTCGTCTCCCAAGCAGCATGGTCCCGAACGACGCCATTCGAGTTCGGCTGTCTCTTCCACCTCATCGGCCCAGATTCCTGATGGCAACAAACCTGAACCGGCCGGAACAACTTGGCTCGTCGGCTTCAGCTCTAACGAACAACACTCGAGGTCTGCGGCAGTGTAGACCAGCTGATGGACTTCATCAAATTGTGGAGTTGGAGATTCAACGACAATACAATCTCTTATGCAACAGCATCTTTTCCATGGTTGAATGATGATTCCAACATCCTAATCCGGCCAGAACTAGAGGAGAGTTTTCGGAAAATGGTCCTCGAGATCGAGAATTCACCAGTCTGGACGATGGGAGATAAGGCGACGTGCCGGGTGAAGATCACGGCGTAACCTGCAATGATCTCGGAGCCTAACTAGAACGAGGCATTAGCGTTGCATTGGTCCAATCCAGCTCGGAAGTGCTAGAGCAATCCCGAAGATGTCGAAGAATCGTGGAAAGGGAGATTCGCAGCATAGGTTCTGGTAGGATGGTGACATGCGAGCTTTAGTGTCAGGGCCAGAGCGTGGGACGAACGGCATCGCGAGCGAGTATTAGGGGGAGGAAGATTAAGAAGACGCTCTAACCTCGATGCAGTGCTAGTGTGACAATTGACCTGAAACGAGCAGGACTTCTTTAGCCTACCGTTGACCAGTAGCCAGTCGCCTTCAGATGAAGAAGAACCACTTCCCCTGAATATTTTCTCATCCGCCAACGACCAACGACCTGAAGTGACCGAACGAGGAGGAAAGAAAAGCCATGCGGCACTTCATCGTGATCGATTTTTTCTCTCTCGTTCAATTTCTTTGACACTCTTCTCTTTGTCCTGCGCAAAAACACCTCGGCCATTGGTGCAGATTCTTTCGCCCATTGTCGAGCATTGCTTGCTTGCCTGCTCGTAACCACGTTATTGATTGACGTTGGACGATCAGTGGCTTCGGTAGCCTGTCACACGGCGGATTGGAGGACTTTTGTCCACTACAGACAGTGGAAGACGTGGCCGAGGAAAGCCCCTAACGCAGGTGTAAGTAAGTAGGTTGCAGGACGAGGGGCAGACTAGCTAACAGCTATTACGGTCTAACCAAGCACAGGCGCCCAGGCACATTGTTGCAGTACGACGCTACTGGCACCGCTCCATACTGCCGTTCGATCCATACCCCATACTCTATCAAACAGGAGCAAACACCTTTGCTTCCACTTCCATTTCAGTTTTTTTTTTTTACTCTCATCTCGACCATCGAGTTCAAATCTCGATCTCCATATCAAGCGAACCTCTGGTCTCAAGACACGCGCCATCTGCGAGGCTCCCTAATTACATCACCTTGTGCTATCGAACAAGCCTTCGCACCCCCCGACTTCGTCCCTGGTCGCGCAAGCTTTCGGAGTTCACCTGCGCTGGTCGCCCCTGCTACGAGTGCGTCGAGTCTGCAGCTGGTTACATCGCCCACGAATGATCAGGCATTAAGCAACCACCTTTTATCACTATCTTGCCTTTCTCCTCACGTCAGCGCCTGCCCCCGGCTCCCTTAATCGTCCCTCCGCATTGATTCTTCGGCAACAAGCCTTCCCAGCATTCTTACTCCTTCTCCACCATCATGACAACTCCCGCTCCTCTCTCTCGCAATGAGTCGCAGGCCTCTAGCCGTCGAAGCACAAGTCTAGGATCCCGACTTTTTCGATCCAAAAGCGGAGAAGCCTTGGGTGATCGAAAGAACTCTACCAGCCGCCTGAAAAAGAAACAAGGCGAGATGGATGAAGCCTCAAAAGTGACACAGTCTCCTCCGCGCCTTCCAGGTTATACCCCGCAGCCATTGGGCATTCAGACATTCGGTGGTGAAAATTACAATCCTCGTTTCTCGTCGAGAGAATACACGAATGGCGCAAGACAGCCTCCAGTACCTCCATTGCCCGAGCACTTGGAAAAGGAGGTCGTGGATCCGTACGCTCGAACTGAAAGCATGACCCATCGTAAGTCCATCGATCTTCTTCAGGGGGTGGCCCCCAATCAAAATACTGACAAACCATTCGCTTTAGGTGGCCGATATTCTTATGCCAATTCAACCGTTTCCACCCTTAATTCCCCTCGACGAGTTCGACGTCGCAAAGATCCCACCCCATACAATATTCTAATCATTGGCGCTCGAAATTCGGGCAAGACATCTTTTCTCAACTTCCTCAAAAGTTCTCTCGCGCTCCCGCCGAGGAAGCAATCGAATCGAGCGCCAGACGACGATACCCCGCCATCTTCCGCGCGAGCGAATCCCAACTTTGTCCACCATTACCAAGAAATTGAAGTTGACAATGAGCGGATCGGCTTGACACTGTGGGATTCTCAAGGTCTGGATAAAGGAGTCGTGGACCTCCAACTAAGAGACATGAGCAACTTTGTGGAGAGCAAGTTTGACGACACCTTCATTGAGGAGATGAAGGTCGTTCGTGCCCCTGGCGTCAGAGACACTCACATCCACTGTGTCTTCTTCATTCTTGATCCTTCCCGACTCGATGCGAATATCAATGCGTCGCAGGGACTCACCAATGGAGTTGAGGGTGGTCGAATTGGCAAGCCACCTCGAATTGTGGGAGCCCTTGATGAGGACTTTGACATTCAAGTGATGAAGACGCTTTCGGGAAAAACCACCGTCATCCCGGTCATCAGCAAGGCAGATACCATCACAACCGCCCACATGTCGTTTCTCAAACAGAAAGTCAGCAGGAGTTTGAAAAAGGCCGGTCTCGATCCTCTTGAGGCCTTAAGTTTTGAACCGGAAGAATCAGATGACGAGAGGCTTGACGAGCGGGACGAGGATGAAAATAGTAGTGCCGGTGATTCAGAAAGCGGCGCGGCCTCACAGAAGAGCGACGACTCGGAGGCAAATCAAACTCCCTCGAATATGAAACCACCGATCGACCACAAAAATCTTTCTATCACTGATCCTATTCTTGATAGTGGTTATGTCCCTTGGTCAATCATCAGCCCGGACAAGTACTCTCTGGAATCGAAGGACGGACCGCTTGGTCGGCAATTCCCTTGGGGATTTGCTGATCCGTACAATTCTGATCATTGTGATTTCGTCAGACTGAAGGACGCGGTGTTTGGAGAATGGCGATCGGAGTTGCGAGAAGCAAGCCGCGAAGTGGTAAGTTTTCCTTATGGAGGACGGGAATCCTGGCTGACGAAATTCAGTTCTATGAACGATGGAGGACGAATCGCCTTAATCGTCGAGGCATGAAGTCAAATGGCCTACCATCAGGACCGAGACAAAGTGGAGGTGGCATACCGATTCCCCTGCAACCTCGAATGCGTTGATGGAATCACTCTCTATACGACCATTGTACCTCAGACAAAATCAAAAATTATCCATTAACATCGGCCATGGCCAAAGAAGAAGATTGGACGACCTTACAGCTGGATTGGTCGGCTTTGGCAATGGAAGAAAATGGAAAGGAGGATCGCCTCCGTCTTATCGCAAGGAGCCGAGACCGGATCCGGGACCTGAGCCGGCGTCGGTGGAGAATATTTGTCTTGTGTCGTGTTTCTTTCACACCCCTTGCATCGCAGTGCCTTGGTTGGAGCTTGGAATGAACCCCCTTTTTCCATGGGACCAAATCCCTCACAGTCACGAGTCCATGACACCACATCAATTTATCCTGTTGAAACCCATCCAAGCTCTTGCGATGACAGCAGAGCAGAGGTGCGTTTCGTTTTCCCTTTGTTAGCTTTCTTACATCAGTGTTCAGCGAGGAGCGAAGAAGGCAGCATGGTGTTGAGCTGCGTTGAACGAGTTGAGCTGAGCTGAGCTGAGCTGGACTGGGCTTGGTGTTGTGATGGTGTGTGTTTTAGTCGTGTACCGCAAGAGACATTCGAAATACCTTCTTTCGCCCATTTCCCCCCATTTCTCATGTCGAACAAGTATTGGGCAGATCATATAGATTGTATCACAGATTGTTGAGTCTTGCGTCCATGTCTATACGGGGCTTTCGTCTCCGCTTAGTCTTGTTCCCGTTAGAATTGATCAATGCTAATTAGGACTTTTCTGCTTGAATTGTCACCTGGACCTGTGGGTATTTATGGTCTCTTCGGTATTCTGAACCATTCAATGTTTTGCTGAACATTCCTTAGCCCCCAGATCTCAGCTCCCAGCCTCAGAGCAGCTTGATTGACAACCGGGAGAATGACGCTCATTTTCAAAAGCAGAGAAAGGAGAAATCACTGTCAGGACTCTTGTTCCGTGCTTTGCACCTCGGGACCGAATGAGAAAATCAATGTGTGTTGAGTTTAGACATGCCATGCCATGCCGTTGCATTCGTTGAAGAGAGACATGTTGGTCGTTGACAATGCCGAAAATAATGAATGATGTCGTACTCAGGATGTGGACATTGTCGTCTGCGCACTCTTCTCCGAGTAGACCGCTGACATTGTCTGCGCCGCTGGAGAGAGCAGTGAGATTGATTTGAACAGCCTCAAAGCTTTCCTTCGCGGTTGGAATAGCAGTAAATGAACTTCTGAAGCAGTGAAGGGGAGGGGGACATGTCGCAAGTGGCGAAATCGTTCTCATAGGACTACTATAAGAACATTCTTGCAAAGTAATAGTATCATGGCCTGATGGATCTTTCCTTTTGTTCGCCCAATTCAGAAGCTATGTTATCAGTGCCATGGTCCGCGTGTATCATCGTCAGCAGCAACATGACTCGCATCAGAAGATCCCATGTTTGATATCATATTGGCAAGCTACGTCATCAGATCGTTTTCAATATTTGCAGCCTGCATTTCAGTCTGATTGATCCCTCTGAGTTGATAATGTTTCCCGCCTGTGACAGCGATATCTTCTCTTCGTCCGAGTGTGTGCCGTGCAGATGCAGGCGGCGCCTAGAGCCCTAAAGTTTGGCCCGTTATCGATGACTAGAGTCTGGAAGAGGCCTGTCACTCCTGATGAATCTTGACCAGGCGCTGGTAGGCGATCTTGCCTTCTGTTACGTGGTTAGACCATGCCAATAAACAAGACTCGCAATTAGCTTTACCTCAGAGGAATCTTCGTCCTCTTTTTCATCATAATTCCAATATACAGGATCAGTTCATCAATTTCTTTTCGATATGGAAGGATCCTTAGCCACTGAAGTTCTTCCTCGTTACGGCTGATGAGGCTTTCTCCCTCTCTTCTTTAGCCTTCGTGGTCTCCTCCCTTCTGAACAGCATTGTCAGCATTGGAATTCAAGTGACAGGTACGATGGATGACAGGAAAACAAAAGCAATAACGCATTTTGTACCGGGCGCCGGGCCCGGCCGCTTCTCGCCTCGACCAGGTATGCTATCGGGTGTGGCGGCGAGGCCTTCTTCTCGTGAAACAATGAGAGCGGCGCACTCCTTCTCGAAGGCGTCACATCTACGATGCGAGGGAAGGAAGAAGTAAGACACCATGACTGGATTCTTGTGTGATTTCGTTCCTAATATGGGTATTGAAGGAAGAGTTGTGCAGATGGACACGAGTCGAAGAAAAGTAGCGCACTATATTGGCCGCTTGTGGAGAAGGGCCCTGGAGCAACTCCTCTGAGGTATACAATGATTGTGTGACTTCTAGTACAAAGAGAAGCTCTAGCAAGCGCTTGAGGCGCCGAGTAGTAAGGTGTTGAGCCCACGGTGCCGAGTCTTAATCACGTGGAGGTAGCGTAGGAACGCCTATGATTAATTGATCCTTGCGTCCGTACAGCCTTGTCCGCCCCTTTCCTAGTAGAACCATCTGAACGCGGGCGTGCGAGGGCCATCTCTCAGGATTTCTGAAGAAACATCTTTGGCACGGATTTTTTTGCCTGCTTTGATGTTTCGTCGTTTATTGTCGATAATCATCCAGCCACCGAGAGACAAAGTTAGCAGACAGCCTGTAGCGCCGAAGCACGCAGTTGTAATGAGAGCCGGAAGGTACTTGGGCGCATCTTTGTTTTGGAAGATGTTAGAGCTGATAATGCCCATCAAATTGGCAAGCGGTACGCCTGCGCTGGTGAGCATGACTCTCTGATTCTCGTTTGCTGTTGTTCTCCCAAACCTTGTATCAGCAATGTGGTCCAGCAAATGGGAGGAATGAAAGACTTGCGAGAGAACGTACCAAGATTGTTGCAAACCCATGTATCAAGCAATACCGATGGTGCTGACGTTCCCCACGTCATCATAAAGCAGGAGAAATAAGCGACGTTCAGTTGCGTGTCATTGTCGACCGCTGCGTAGATGATAAAGCCGATGAAAGTCAAGGTGAAACCGAGCGCAACGAAGGGAAAGCGCCAGCGGGTGAAGTCGCTAGCAAAAGCGAGGATGAGGAGCATCACCGCTCCCGACACATTTGGCGCGACAGTGTAGAGATTTGCCTTTACAGTACTATACCCAAGCTCCTTAATGATGACTGGCAAAAAGAGAGACACCGATTGTAGTGGGACGCCCAGGCACATTTCAATCAAAAGGATAACCCAGCTTGTTGGTTGCTTGAAGACTGCCAGTGCCGTTGCGAGATTGAACTTTTCATTGACGACCGAAGAGGAGTCCACTTGGATCCGATAGAAAGCGAGATGCTTTTCTTCTTCGTTCAGGAACCTGGCGGATTGCGCGTTGTAGGGTAAGTACCAGAATGCAAACGCGGCAAAGAGCATGGAGCATCCTCCTTCGATGACGAACAAGTAACGCCAGTTGGCGAGACTACCGGAGTGGATCTGGAAGACGCCGAATGACAGAAGGCCTCCCCAGGCCGAGGAAATATTGGATGCTGCGTAGAAAATAGCCAAACGGCGGGCGAGTTCACCCCGACGGTAAAACACTGATTGACATTAGCTTTGGATAAAGAGATGTCTGTCAGAGGTAGGAAGTAGCTAGGCATAACGCCACTCATCAAATGCACTAGATCGATCGATCGCTGTTCGAAGGACTTTGGATCGAGGGGTTGTCGATGCCGCAGAGCTGAAATCCTACCCAGATTCCCAGGTATCTACATGTTGGCAGTTCATCGACTCTGTCCACGAACATCCTGATCGGTGGAAGGTGTAGGTCCGGGCTTTGGGAGCACCCTGGAAAATGTAGAAGGAGACGATGATAATGATGATAATAGATTCGTGAGTTAGGGAGAAGCCACTTACATGTCTGATAATATATCACCAAGGGGAAAAATGCAGATTCCGCCTGGAGAGGGGGGCAATAGCATTAGTATATGACAATCAAGGAGAAGAAGAGGTTCACAAACCATGCCCAAGAACCACCTGCAAGCTAGTAAGCCTCCAAAATTCTGGACGGCAACCACCATCAGAGTACTGAAGCCGAAACAGGCCATCATGAGCGGCAGGACGCGGCTAGGCCCATACTTTTTGCCTGCGACGGCCAGGAAAGGTGCAGTCAACACGTATGGGATGAAGAAGATGGACAGAATGAGATTGTAATCGTCTCCTCGTAAATGCAATGTCTCCTCCAATCCGGCGGTCTTTGCATTGCCCAAATTGCTCTTATCCTGATGTAGAACTCAGTCCTCCTTGGTAACATGCGTTCAATAGCGGGTTCACTGGCTTACCAAAGCGTTGAAGAGGTACATCACAGCAAGAGTGGGTAGGATTCGAAGATCGAACTTCCACACCAGTCGTCTCTCTGCCACGAGATCAATTGCTATACTGGCTGACATTGATCGCGCTTCCCCAGTGGGCGTGACTGCGAGAATTTCATTCTCGACAGGGATTTTAGAATCATCACCAACAGGGAGTTTGTGGTCGCTGACACTGGATCGGGTATCCATTCTGCTTCAGTCGAGACAAAAAAGCTCAAAAAGATGAGAGGGAGCAAAGGCACACCTGGGATGATTTGCAAATGAGTTCAACAGTTCGCCCTCTTGGTGGTATATTCCCTTACTCTATGGAAACTGGAGGGAGAGGAGCTGTGTATTCGAGATTGAATGAACGAAGAGCGTAGCATTCGCCATTATCCTAGGCGCATGGCAAGCATCATATACATACTGATCTGATTTGGTAGGTCCATGGGGGGGAAGGAAAACTGTTCAACGACAGTCTTTGGTTGTGAGATAAGGTATGATTCAAAAGACTAGACTCCGGACCAGTTGCTCGATGCAGCAATAACGATCTGGGATTGACGACAGGCCACCGGCAGATGGTAATTCTTTGGATGGGATTACCCTGGACGTCTATGCATGGCTGCAGATCATGCTTCTTTCTTATAAGCTTGTAATAATCCCCAGAAACGTAACCAGATAAGACATAAGTGGGGGTTTTCAATCGCCGTCAAAGCCAGAGACGTTATCTTTGCAGCGTTGCACTCTCCTTCGTTTGGACATGGCCGCTCGAGGTCCAAGGCTTTTGAGTGGCTGATCAGCAGACGCCGGATGGAACACCACGAGGAATTTGTATCGGGAGGGGGTGTATTTTTCCTCTCTTCCCCCCACCCCCTTTCCCATCTTGCCCTTTCTCAGAGAGGAGCCGGGGGAGAAGGGGTGGGGGGAAAAAGAACCACGGAGTAAGTGATGGGCTGATATCAGAAATTTCCAATGCTGTACACGGAGAAGAGCGACTTTGACGAGGAGGAAGCCTCCATATAATATCCCGAAGCCATCACCGTATAATGGTATGGTATATGCCTGTAGCATATTGACTTAAGTACCTGCAGAATTACATTGGGTTGCTGCCACGGGCGTCAAGCACCCAGCTTCTCGCCTCAATTGTCGACTTATACCTGTACAGGAAAGTGGCAGCAAGGCTCGGCTTAGCAGGGGAAGCCACAGGTGATAACGGTTGTACCATTATATACGATATAGAGGAGATGGTGAGAAAGAGAGTGGAAGGAGGAAAAAAGCAAGGGGATAAAAGCAGGAGAACAAGAGTGGCGACACACTAGGATCGCCGCATTCAACAGGCCCTTTCTCGACTATATCTTTCTGGAAAATAGAAACCCCTAAATTCATTGGTTGCCATCCCCTCCCCCCTGACTCCGATTTCACTATTGCTCGCCGCTTCTGGTCTGTTCCAATTTGTTCATGCCGTCGTCTCAGTCTCGGAATTGCTCATAACTCCCTCCCTTGCGCCGATCGGCAAATCGCCCATCACGAGCTCCATAATCAATCACTCAATCAAAATCGTGTTCGGTATCCTACGCCTTGAACATCCGCACGACCTGTTTGATGCTTCTCCTGCAAATGGGACAGGACTCGCACTGCCTGGCACATTCGACGCAAGAACAGACATGTCCGCAGTCGAAAAACAACGCATCTTTCTCGGCTGAGTAACAGATCTGGCAGAGATCTGCTTGCTCATCAGCGACCTTCCAGTATGTCGTTCCCATACCCCAACGCTTTCCGTACTCAAAACCGCCAACATATTTGTTGCCTGTCCTATGCTCGACAAAGGTACCTTGCCCATGACGCTCGTCATCATCCCACTCGCCTTCGTACGTATCGCCATTCTGATATGTCATCTTGCCTCCTTTGCCACATTTTTGGTTGCAGACTAGCGGGCCTTCGTATGTGTTCCCATTGGAACTGATCCAGAGCGAATTTTCTCCGTGGAACCGTCCATTGACGAGATGACCTCTGTAGTAATCAGTCCCGAAGTCTGCCAGTTCGATTGGGTCAGTGGTTGTCTTGGATTCGATCGGATGTCGTCGGTCGACCTTTCGCAGAAACTTTGACAACTCAAATGGGTTGGAGAATTTACCCTCTCTGTCAAGCTCTTTGATTCTTGCCTCCGGAATGGGTTCGGAAACGATCAAGTCAACGCCATTGACGAATTTAGGATCTCTAAACGTGTCATCCGGTCCGATAGCACTGCCGTCCACCACCGACTCCCTACGCCAAATGTTCAATTCTTTATCGGCATCGTATCCCATGCGCCGTCGGATAAAGTCCCTCACCTTGTCGTCGCATCTTGCAAAGAATGTATCATGCACGCTGAAATTTTGCTTGTCAACCTCAAAGATCTGTATGAAGCCGTAGACATTGTCGACTGGCCCTTGTCGTTGAGTGGCCGATGCTGGGGCTGATTCGGATGATTCGGCCGATTGTGAGGTGTCATTTTCGGAAGATTCGGTGCCAGAGCTCATCACAAAGTCCATCGCTTCACTGTCCCCTTGATTGGCCGCGGCAGTGATTGTTTGTTCGGCAGCAGACAACCGGGTCTCTTCCGGGTTAGGAACTTCCTGAGGGCCGTCGTTCTCCGTTGCGTTTTCCATAGGTGTCGAATCTCCGTGGGCTGCTGCATTGATGAGGTGACCGTGCGGGACATTGGCGGTGAGACTCTCCTCGGCCGTGGGAGGTGGAACTTCCAGCTGCATCGGAGTGTCTGGGTTCTCGATGACCTCCTCTTCAGCTGAGGGCTCGCCAATTTCGGATCCTATTTGCGCACCACCGGTGGCAACAGCTGCCTGCACTGAACTTTGCTCAGTATCAGGAGCTGCGACCTGTTGCTCGACGGAACTGCCAGAATTTTCAGTGGAGGCAGATTCAGGTTGTGGAGACTGTAAACTATCCACGGGAACTTGGGCGACGGGAGAGTCAGGATCACCGAACAGTTCAAGTTCCTCTTGATTTTTGAGAGTCGACATCCACAAGCATAATGGTTGGCCAGTGGGTCGTCCGCTTCCCACAGCGTCTTTTAGACAGACAGATTTCATCTGTGCACTCATGTAATGTCCCATACCAATGTAGCTCATAAGAAAGAGCCGAATTTTTTCAGGGTCCCCAATCGCGAGCCTTTGAGCTAATTGGTTCCTAAGGTCCTGGTAGGTCGAAGTTTTCGACGTGCGCATGATGTGGAACTTCCCCTTGTGTTGAGATTGTTGCTTGATGTTGAACATGTCGAGGAGGCCCTGCCGACCGATCAGGCCTTCTTCAGAGTATATTTCGACGTTAACTTCTTCCGACTCGTCGCTCGCCCCGTCTTCTGCAAAGATATCATCTCCCTCCTGGAATTGGGACTCGAGGTAAGGCACAAGCCATTTGGGAAGTTTGTATGGCTCTAACTCGCCCGGCAGGTACTCTTGAAGGCGGTCAGTTTTGACGTACATGGCGAGATAGGCTGTCTGTCTCGTGGAAGTAAAATCCTTCAGTGCTTGCCCTTCGAGCCCTTCAAAGTCCTGGATTCGCTTCCGGGTGTACGAGAAAACCTTATTTCCGTCGCCGTCTTCAAAAGCAAGCCATTTGGTATTTGGTCCACCAGGCCGTAAGACACTGTAGAATTTTCCAGACTTTCTTTCGCCGACATGAACCATGAATCCATAGAGAGTGTATCTGCCCGGCTCGCCTTCACGGCAGAATTTCGAGACATCGAGCTCTTCGTTCAAGACGACACGGTCGTGTAGCAGCTTCCAATCTCGCGAAGTCTTGTCGAATTTCTGGCGAGCGAGCGAAAGCGGCAAAAAGTTGGGAAGACGGCCTTTAAAGTTCTCGGTGCGTAGAACTTGCTCGAGACCTTGCTGAACGTCACTGACACCCTCGACAGGGAGTGGGGGAACAGAGATGGGGCCTTCCGGCGTGTCAAAGATGGCGCTCAGACTTTTTAACGAAGACTCGTCGTCTGCCAATTCGAGTTCAACTGTTCTTCGAAGTACCTCCCAAAATGTCTTGACATCGGTGTAGTTTTCTCCCAATTCCTCGAGTGCTTGAAGCGCAGAATACACGTCAACGTAAGTCTCTCGATCTCTCCTCAGTGAGCGCATCAGGAATAGAATCATCTGAAGATGGCAGATAATCGGTCGCGGACGAATCTGAGAGTCTCGGCGCCATCCTCCGGCATCGGCATTTTGAAGAACCTGGCGGAAGGGGGCCAGAAGAAGCCATGCGGTCACTCCAGCGACACCAGGGCTATGGTAAAGCGGAGGAGTACCCATAGGGAAGTAGCCGGCGAGTGTCTTGGAGTCCCACTGAGACTCCGTGTCAGACGAATGCCACCATAACGCCTGGCTGGGGTCGTCGAAGATGCGAATGTAGGCATCGATGGCAATAGTGTCGTTCTGGAGGAGAGGGGTTCTTTGGCAATGCTGTCGGAGATGAATGTCTCTCCAAGGTCCAACAAAGTTCGTCCATCCCCAGTCGTCGTTGGACTTGGCAAATTGGTGTTCCGAAGACATGTACGTGCAGGTGCGAGGCTCGAGGGGATTGTAAATGACCATTCCAAGCTGTGCAGACACTCGCCAATCCTCCTCCGCATGATTCTTCGCGGCTCCGGCGTCCCGGGATTCGCTCTCGTCAGCTTGTGAAGAATCGGGCTTTGACTCTTCCGTGTTGGGATTGCTATCTTGCTTCTGGGAGTCCGACGAGGTCGTCGACAGCGCGGAGGTGGTATGCTCGTTCTCCTTTGGACCGGGTTCAATCTCAATTTTCTGGACCGGCACGGCTCCATCACCAAGATCAGCTTCGGGGGAGCCTTGGAAGAAAGAAAAGGTGCCAGGGATGTCGATTTCGGACTTGGGAGAACGTCTGCTGCATTTGATGTATGCACTCAAGGACATACATTTGTTCCCTCGCGGGTAGAATTTGATCTGCCAGTAGTTCCCATCTACCAAAGCCGGAGGAGAAACCATGACCCTGGCATGATTTGGTTTGTCCTTGGTCCCTCGGACGCCTTTGATGACCCAACTCAGCCGCAGTTTCTTGACCGGACGCTGGTCTGGATCATCCACGTCGTGGTAGATCCGCTTCTCAACACTGGGTACGTCTGTGGCACTCAGCTCTGTCCCTCTGGACTCCCTCAGTCTGATCTCAGTCATTTCATCTTCGGTAGGATTCGAGTGGTCATCCTCCCAAGTCACCCATTCAGGAACATCATGACGACGCTCTTCAACAACCGGCGGAGGGGGAGGAGGGATTTGCGTTTCTTGACTTGGTGTTTCGCTTGGCACCGTCGACAGTTGTGTAGTTGCTTCACCTTCCAGAGAAAGAACCTCTGTTTCCACGACGTCTGGGGCCTGTGACTGAGGCTCCTCTTCACTAGTATTCATATGCTCCGGCTCCTGCTCTTGCTGATGTTCCGGATTAAGCTCTGCCGGAGGCCCTGGATTCGGAGGAGGAACGTCGGCCATCTCTGTATCAGGCATTTCGGGCGTGGGAGGAGGCAGCTCGATTCCAACCTGTGGAGCGGATGTAAGTACAGGTTCGGCAGGCGGTTCCTGCAGTGGAGAAGATTGGTTTTGAGGTTCTGGGCTGAAGGTCGAGATCGAAACGACGGTGACTTCAGGGCTCAGGGTATGTGGGGGAGAGGCATGCTGAACTAAAACGGGAGAGTTCTGAGAACTGGACATAGCGAACGTATTGACAATGGCTGGTCTGGTGAGTCCCTCCGAGAAAGAAGAGTAATGTGATTCTTGACACTCCAAGTAGTAGAAACGTAATATGGGTAAACAAAGACAAATGACGCTACATGATCAAACGCCGAGCAACCACGGCAAGCAGGGCTGATGGCAGATTCAACGGGTTGTTAGAGCGCAGAGGACGGAAGAGGAGACTCAGGCAGGCTCGGAGGAAGATAGGTAGTGTGTTATACGAGGGCGAATTTGAAATGATGAGTGTGCGCACACAGGTTCAACTTTGTGAGGGAAGAAGCTGCCTGAACGAGCAGGGGTTTTTGGGCAGCCAACAGACTTTTGACCGGTGGGAGAGGATGTGGCTATGACCTTCGACGTTGGAGAGGAAAGTCAGGCAACGCGCATTAAAGTTTAGTGAGCAACGGTAGAGCGCAGGCATCACACTCCAGCGCTCCGTCTGCATGTATAGAAGTTTTGTCCAACCAGCGGCGTTGACGGCGCAGGCTGAGGGCCATGACTGGCTGCGCAGTTCGCCTCGCCCGCCGCACGTTACCGGACCAGCTTATCGGAGTGTTCATGAAGTCCCCCACGTCAAAGCTTCATGCCCTGAGCAATTGTTGTCTGGGTCCAGATGGTGCCTGGTGACTGGTTTACACCGGGCCATTTTTGAGGCTCAGCGCCACCGGTTAACCAGTCTATCCAATTTTCATGTCTTTCCTGTCATCAGGCATCATCCTCATCCGTGGATATCTACTGGCAAAATCTTTTGGTCGACTTGACTAAATCCCTCTTCTATTGGCGCGAGCCGCCCCTCATCGTGAGCAGATGACCACCAAGGAGTCCCCCCTCCAGATTCATATTTCTCCATATCAGCCTGACTCACTCCCTTGCCACAGAGAGTGCGAAAGCATTTCGGAGGATCTCAATGGATTTTGCGATTTCAGCCGATCAAGGGAACAGTCCTCATCGGAGCCCCAGCAAATTCCATCGTTGGCCCCTGATCATGCACACGGGTGAATTGCATGTGAAGGGTTGGGGACATTTCTTTCATGCTTGGAATATGCCCAAATCCCGTCGAAGAGCCAATCAAATCACCATCAGGAGTCTGGCTTAGCAAAGGTCCCTGCCACAATCAATGGGAAGGCAATAGTAGCTTCGAGGTAGACCTTTGGTCTCCAGATTAGCACCATGATGTAACCGACGGCGCAGTGGGGGTTTGCTCTTTTCTTCTTCTTACCTTGACACTATCCCCATCCGCTTTGATCTTACCCCAGCTCACGGCTTCATCTGGTCTGGCGCCGGCGTCACTCCCGTCAAATTCTTGAGCTGTGTTGATATACACCGCACTTTCGGCACCATTCCGCATCAGGCATGCATTAGCTATGTGGTGTTTCACAACGCCACCACCCAAAATGATCATTCCCGCCCTTTTAGCTCGCATGGCAATCGTGTTGATTTTTCGAATGTCCTTGGCGATGTCGATGCCGAGGTGCAGAGGTGAAGCCTTGAATGAATGGAAATAAATCATGTCTCCCAAGCTGCCATCGGTCAAGGCGGGACAAAACACTGGGATGTCGTTCTTGTATGCCCAATAGTAGACCGACCTTTCGTCGTTGATCTCTTTGCCCAGTCGACGGATGATGGTGCTGGGGGTCCACATGAATCGCTCTCCGTTGCGTGCAAATTCCTCCTCTTGTTCCAGTAACAATTTGTCCAGGATGGGAATGACCCAGTCCTCAAATGCACAGTAGTTGTTGTTGGGGACGACCAGGTTACCGATGCGATTGAGCCCCTTGGCGCGCAATGCAGGGCCCGGTGCGGAGAAAGAACCCAGGTACGTGGGAGCTAAACATTTGATGAAGTCTTCCTCTATACCGCCCGCAGTTGTGACAATTGCGGACACGTGGCGGTGCTGGACAAGATAGCGAAATGTGTCGCGCAAGCCCGAGGAGATCATATTGGACGTGTAACCCAAAAGGATGGTAGTTTTCTCACCCGTCTCGGGGTCGCTCCATGATCTCTAGAAGCAATCAGAACTGCTTCATCCGCTCAGGGAGGAAATCGGGGCCGACCGACCATGTCATTGATTATGCGAATAGCATCGCCTATCGAGCTTGACTGGAAGCCTTGTCCTGTGAGTTGACCGACAAAATTTGCGATGACAGTTCGTTGTTCGGGTGGTATGCTTAGCCAGTCAATGCCTTTGACCTCCTGCACTCCCTCAGGGACCGGTTCTGAAGGGACTAAGACAGCATCTGTGGCCTTTGTAGGAGGAGCAGACCCCATAATGTGTTTCTTGTGCTCGTTTGATGGATCGGTATAAAGGTGTATATTCAAGAAAGGAGAAGGGGGAAAAAAAAATATTTCGACAATCGATGCGACGTCATTTTCTGCCAGCCCATCATTATCAGAGGGACTCCGCAGGTACGAAAATGGGCGCGGTTCTGGGCGCCCCCCATGCTTAAATATTGATGTGTTCTGCCGCTTTGGCTAGCCGGGCTTTGCCACATTGTATCAACAAGGTTTGGTAACAAATCAGTATTTACAACTTCATTTTAGAACGTTCCATCAACACGTCTGCACCAAGAGCCAAGTCCACTGGGTAATGACAGCAAACCAGCCTCGTTATAACGATCTTTTGAGTAGGCAATCTAGCAGTAAAAGGCTCGGGCCAGCTAAGCAGCCAACCAGCCCCAGCACTCGCATTGGCGATCGGCGGCTAACCCTCACGCGCCTCTGCTTGCCATGATTGTCTCTTTCTGTCTTTCTTCTCCCCTGGCCACTCCATCTTTCTCTTCAAATCTACCCAACGACATCCGTATCCAAAATTGATTGCGTCGCTCCTGTGTCGCATCCCTGTCAATCTCAGTGTGGTGTCGCACTGCCGATTGAAAATAACGCTTTTTGAATTATTCCCACTGGCTATTCGCTCAGCAGCCCTCCAAAATCAACGGAAACGTGCTTTCTTAAATCACCAACATTGGGGATTTCAACTACCCCGTCCACGCGAGCGAACCTTTCGAGGATTCCATCGGACTTGTCTCACCTGGGTCTTACTCATCCTCTTCACCTTGCGACGGGCGATTCCAACTGTTGCGCAACGTTGACAACTCACGCCAACTGTTTTTCAAAGCGGCCTGCTTGAAGGAGAACTCTCGGCAAAAGGAAGCGTGGGTGGTTGCGTTTGTGAAAGACCAGCCTTTCCGGCCCCCGGGTGCTGATCCACGTTTCGAAGTGGAAGCGCGGAAGAGCGCCAGGGCGAGGCGAAGCGACCTCTCGGGGTGGCTTTCTGGCAGCGCGTTAGCTTTTGCCTCTCCAAAAGCAGAACGTTGCAGTCATTTAACACGAGTTCACCAGCAGAAGCGCAACTGTGGCCTTCCTTCGGCGAGATTAAATCATTTGCGTCAAAAACCCACATCGTCCGTGGTGCGACTCCACTGTATCAGAGACTACTTGACTGGACCCAAAAAGCCACAGCCAGAGGCACAGGCCCGGAGCCCGCGAAGAGGAGCAGCAACAGCAGTCATCGCACGTGATGTCCCCCCCAAGTCTCTGACGCCAAGGCCCTAAATTCGACCGAGTTAGCGTCTGTTCGGCTTACCTAACCAAAGTTTGTCCTACAACGTGCTATGTCGTCGTCGAGATATCCTCCACCAGCAAGAGATCGCTCCCCTCCTCGGTACGATCGTAGATCTTCTACCACCTACACTCCACTAGGCTCTTCTTACCGAGGACAGGCAGATTCCACACCACTTACTTCAGATAGGCCGGTGCCTCGTGGACCGAAGGCTGACTTTCGAGGCGCTTATCAATTTTCCCCCGCTCCTCGTGGCCGTGGGGGATTTCCGGCACGCGCCGGCGATACCTGGGACAGAGACCGCGAGCGAGAAAGAGAGCGAGACCGCGACCGCGAACGGGATCGTGACCGGGATGCTCGGCCGGGGCTTCAGTCCTACAGGTCACGTGATGACGAAAGGGCAGACTGGCCCAGACGGGATCGCGACTTCGGAACTGCTGATCGAGGTGTAACGTCTACCAGAGAGAGCCGCCCATATACCACCAGGGATCGGTCCGCTTCTCCAATCCGTCCTCAGAGAGACTCCCGTGAGTCCATTGCCTCCACTTTTGGTCGCCCGCCTGATTCAGCGTCATCATACTATGCTCCGGCAGCGCGAGGCGGCTTGGGTCGTGGTAGAGGTAGGGGTGATTGGGATAGAGGTAGAGGAAGGAACTCTTTCGTAGGTGAGCGAGATCGGGATCTCTTCCATCCACGAAGTCGTTCCCGGGAGAGTTGGCGGGATCGTGATTTCGAACGTGGCCGTCCGCCACCCTCAGACGTTGACCGTCCAGACCGATATGAACGACGAGACTATGATCGCAGTAGAGAGCGTGAAGGCAGAGGACGTGACCACGACATCTGGCAGAGGGACCAATCCCCCGCCAAGAGCTCCACTGGCAACGCCGGAGCATCCGTTGCGACACCCTCTGCCTCTACCACCGATCGAGCAGGAAAATCTGAATATGATCCTGGAAGAAGACTGTCTGTTGTGGCTACTCCGACGAGCTCGATACGGGATGGTCGACGGGATGGAGACTCGTCGGATTATTTTGGAACCTCCCGGGTGGACACGTCCCGTCGCGACCCTTCTCAAAGCACACAGCAAACTTCCACTGCCGCTGGACTTGATTATGGCCCTCCTCCAACGTTGCCGCCTGCCACCACGCCTGCAGCTGAAAAGCCGGCGGGCCCCAAGCCACAGCCTCCGAAGACTGAGCCAGCGACGAATTCATCGCCACCGTTCCAACCACCTAGCGGACCGAAGGCTGTCAGGGTAGCTTCCGCAGTAAATATCAATCAGGCCCAGAAGACGCCTCAGCATCATGATACGTGGTCTCGTCCTGAGTCAGGGTCACGGCCCATTCGACCAAGTCTGAGCGCGGCAACAAGAAACGCCTCCCCGGACGGCGGAGCGAAGAAAGAAGAGCCCGCAACCGACCCCAAACCTCCTGTCGCACCGGCAGTTGACCGTTCGATGCCTCCCAATGTTCCCTCTGGCCCTCGATTGAGCACGGCACCACCATATAAACAAAGATTGCCTTCAACTGAACCAGCAGGTCCTGCTCCTCCTCCTCCTCCTCCTCCTCCGTCTACTCCTACTCCTACTCCTACTGCGCCGCGAGAGCCCTCCAAATCGACAGCGCTGGATAATAGGCCGTCGGCCATTCCCACAGGACCACGTCTCGATAGAGAAGTTGCTAGGCCGATGCTAGGTACTGGCTCAAAAATATGGGTCTCTCCGGATTATAAGCCGAAGCCTTCCATTATGAACGCAATGATCAAGCCGCACCAATCTGAGCCTCGTGACAGGCCGGGATTTATCCCAACCGGGCCTAGACAGCAAACAATATTTCACGGTTCGGCAGATAAGGCCCGCATTTCGCAGTCTGCTCTAAATGCCATGCCCTCAGCGCCGTCAGGCCCTAAGGCGTTGGTGTCACCAAGTCCTAAGATTCAAGAAGCGAAAATGACTCTCCTTCCTCCGCGCCAACCCATTGATGAGCTCCAGCGATCCGACGATGTAGAGATGTCTGTACCCGCTTCGAGCGAGGATGAAGACGAAGCAGAGGATGATTCATTTGACGAAGAATACTTTGTAGAATCCGAAGAAAGGTTCCGGCAAGAGATGGATTTGCTTGAGGCTAGAAAGCCGCCCCCTCTTCTACAAGACGGGACTATCGTGTCCCTCCTAATCAAATTGCAGTTTCTTGAGATGATGTTGAAGGATAATCTACCCACCCCGAGTTCTGCTCCCGTGGAAGTCACTCAGGAGATCCCCGCTCCTATCGTTGTTCCAACAGGTCTACCATCTCCAGATCAAGCCTCGAATGAGACGGATGGCAAATTAGAAGAGGAGCCTTATCCCAAAGGAAGACCGTTGAAGCAGCCCCCGGTGAATCCCATTCCGACACCACCAATTGAAGATTTGCCATATCTTCAACCAAAAGCGTCTGAGAGAATTGTCTTTGAGGAATCTGACGACGAAGTCGAACATGAAGCTGTCTCCATACTTCTTCAACAGGAATTCGAGCGTAGTGCTTGGGACTGGAGGGCCGACCTTGAGGATATGCGTGTGGAGTTCAGGCGGAAGTATCCTTTGTGGAAGCAAGAAATCGCTCAATTGGAACAAGAAAGACGCGAGCAACAAGCAAGTCCTGCTCCAGCGTCCCCGGCCCCTTGCGCTGCACCTTCGGTCACCCCTTCATTGACACACGAACGGACTCGAGGGGCGAGGAATACCACCGAGGCAGATCTGCAGGCTGCAATCTTAATGTCTCAACAGTCACTGAAAGAAGAGGAGGAGCGAAGAGAACGGGAAGCAGCATCCAGCTCCTTACCAAACTATGACACAGAGGCGGTCATTCCCCCGATGCTTAAGCCTGCAGAGGTTGAGTTGGCCAAATTTGAGGAAACAAACCGCTTAATCCCAGAAGAAATTGCTCTGGACGTTTTCGCATATCTTCCCCCAGAAGACGATTTCACCGAAGACGAACAGACTCTCTTCATCACAGCCTATTGTCAAAACCCGAAGAAATGGGGTAAGATTGCTGAGTCACTCCCTGGCCGGTCATATCAAGACTGCATCGCACATTACTATTTGACCAAGAATCAAGTGCATTATAAGGACATCTGGAGACGGTCTCAACCTCGGAAGCGACGTGGCAGGGCCGCGACCAAGCCTCGTTCGACCGCTCTGATGTCGGAATTGGTCTATGGTGATGATTCGGAGTCAGTGCCCATTGCTGTCACGGACAGCGGAAGACCGAGGCGAGCTGCGGCACCGACATTTGGAGATCCTCCTAGCGAGGCTGATTCTTCGACACCCGTACCACAGTCAAAGAAACTCACTGCTGCTTTGAAAGATGGTAGCGCGGAGCCCGTTCCCGGGAAATCGACGCGAGGCCGCAAAGCGGGAATTGCCACCAAGACGCGAAGGACCAAGGCGCAGATGCAGGCAGATCAGCAGGCATTGCTGCTGAGTGCGGCCGAAGCGTCGCCAGGCAAAACTGCCGCTGGAAGTAAAGCCGAGAGAGGACGATCCCTGCTTCGTACCGAGAATGTACGCATCGGAGCTGATGGACCACCTATCCCTCAAGTCCAACGCGAGGTCGACGTTGTCATGCCAAAATATCCCGTGTCTGACCTTCCAGCGGTCTCTCCAGCGGTTCAGAATCCCATCACATCTCAAGTGACCAGTTATTGGTCGGTGCCTGAGCAACATAAGTTTCCAAATCTCCTGGCGTACTTTGGTCGTGATTTTGCCGCAATAGCGGACTTCATGAAGACTAAAAGCGCCACCATGGTATGTAACATGAACGGCAGTGAGCACTAGAGCTAACAAATTACAGATCAAGAACTATTACATTCGGCAAATCAATGACGGCAAAGAAGAGTTGGAGAAACTGGCGCAGCTTGGTGAGCAGAACCGATTGGCAGGCAAGGCTATCGGTCAACCACCAAGCCCAATTGCTCCCCCAAAACGCCGATGTGAAACCACGTCGTCGATGGGCTCCGTTAATCGCCATGCGACCCAAATTGAGCAGCATCTTGTCGACCCCGATCCGCAGGTTCCGATTATCAAGCAGGGTGTGGTTGAGGAATTCCCTCGCAACACAGTGGAAAGAAATGCCACCGGCGAAATCGTCTCTAAACCTCAAGCCGTCGTCCCGGAGGTCATTCGTGAAGCCTCATTGCCTGGACCGACTCCAGTCAAAAGCGAGGAGCTTGCAAGGTTATCCAATGACCGCACCCCCTTATATGCGCCCAAATCTATGCATGGTCCGAGAACTGGGGTGTTCCAGGAAGAGCATATCGGGTTCCAATCTTCTCGACACACTTTACGACTCCCTCTCCAAGAGCATTCGCCGCAGATGCTTCCTCAACGCCTTGCCGAGATGCCTCGAACCACGTTGACTCAGCCAAGTCCAATGCCCACAGGCGCGCCGAGCAACCTGGGCCCGCGAGAGCCTGTGGTTCAATCACAGCAAAGACCTCCAGCCACTTCAACGCCATCAACTCAGGGTCAGCAGTCACAAGGGGATAAATACGGGCAACAAACTGTATTCAGATCCAGTCACAGCCGCAACGGTAGCTCGACGACCCCCCGCCGTCTACCCTTGGACCCGCCTCCAGACCTTTCCTCGCTTCGCCGCGTGGAAAACCAACGTCCACCGTATGGAGCCAGTGCGGCCGGCTCTCCAGCACCGACACCAACGTCAATACCTGCCTCTCAGCCAGTTCGAGCTGAGGTGCCCCATCCTGCCCCTGCCCCTCCACCAGCCGAACCTCCTAAACCTCCAGCCAAACGTTCCAACGTGTTTGGTCTCCTCAATGACGATCCGCCGGATCCACCGCCCAAACGACCATCTTTGGAAGCGCCAAAACGACAGTCTCATCTCTCACCACAAATTGCACCTGTCCCGGCGCCACAGCCTTTGTTGCAACAACCCCGGGCCCAGATTCACGCCGATGATACAGGAATCAATCGAGCGGTCAGAGGGGCATTCAACCTTAGTGGTGTTCTTCAAACGGGCCCTGGACAGCAGCAATCGGGTGAGTATCCTAGCGGCTTTTCAGCTACTCCTGTAACTGCTCCCAGTAACGAGACGTGGATGGATCGGTTTGATCCACGCCCTCAAGCCCCCCCCCCTGATCAGCGGAGCCACCATCACTCTCCAGCTCCAAGTCATTATTCTGCCGTGCCCACGACGTCGCAGCAGAGTGCCGTACCTGCCTTGCATTCGTTGCGAATTGACACCCCGAGAACCTTGGAGCGGGCCGGAATGGATCATCGGCGGACGCTCTTGGGCCAGATGAATCAGATGCCACATGCTCCCTCTCCGCCGCCTCAACAACCGACGCAAGCCCAACCGGTGCAACAGTATCGATCAACGTCTAGTTCCTCGCATCATGCCCGAGTGCCATCCGTTGGATACCCTCCTGCTCAGAACCCTAGCCACCAACAAGTGGCACCAAGTCACCCGCAGTCAGCCAGCTCGACACCCGTCCCGGGTCTTCACCAACGTGCTCAACCGTCTCTCGATTATCAGCGTCGGTTAACTATCCAACAACATATGGCCCAACAAAACCAGCAAAAACAACAGGAGCAGCAACGTGAACAAGAACGACTACAACGGCCACCGGGAATGGAGGCCGCTCCGCGTGAACGTGAACGAGAGCGCGAACGCGAACGCGAGCGCGAGCGTCAACAACAACAGCAGCAGCAGCAACAACCACAACCTCCTCTAAGGCGAGAAATCTACGGGCTCGAACATCATCCATCATCTACTGTTTCTCATCAAAACCAATTGGGCGCAGTGGCGAACCAGAGCCATATGGCGTTCGCGCAACGTGAGATCTCAAGAACATTTACACCTCCTCACTCTCAATATCCCAGCACCGGTCCTGGCGGAGTAGGTCACGTGCATAGCCTGCAGCATCAACATCAACATCAACACCCACACCCACACCCACACCCACACCAACACCAACCTGGACCTCCTCCACCGCAGCCACAGGGGGGAACGGCAGGGCCTGGACCATCGCATCAATTGCATCATATTCACCACCACCAACAACATCTGTCGCAAGTGCTCCATCCTGGAGTGTCGGACCATTTTCGGGCTTTGAGCCAAAGTGGAGAGCCCCGGCGCGAAGATAGACGATGAAGATTTTCTGTGTTCAATTTATTCACACCTGGTCTTCTATCAACCCGCACGCACAATTCCGCCAAAAACATCGACGCCACTTTCAATGAGATCCGTCGATCTGTAACTTTAAGTTTGTACTTTGTATGTATGCATGGATTTGGCCTGCTATGTATGGACTACGGCGGTGGATATGAGTATGTGTTGTGGGTCAGTGGTCTGTGACGGGAGAGTTGGCGTCGGACTATATTTGTTTGGTCAGAGGCAACAGAAATGGTAAGAAGTTGAAATGGAACCGGATTTTGAAAAATGAATAGATAGATGTACCGAGTACTACGATGAATGATAGCCTTGTTCGAGACCGTGAGAGCGAGCTGAACTTCGCACCCTCCAGGAAATGATGTTGCCTGAGAGCGCAATGCGGCACAGCCACCGCCGATACCAATGGGATGCGCACTGGTGGACAGCCTCATTAGCCACAACAGAGTCGACATCCCGCTCAGGCCACAGAAGAACAGCTTCCGGCTCTCTTCCAACTGCCATTCCAATCACATCCTGCAGCCGTACGTCATTGCGAACACGCATTTAATTCGCTTGGCGGCTGCGCTGCCAGTGAGGTACCAACCAACCCACCCGTCAACGTTAGACCGCAGCATCATCAACCGTACCTTCATCAAATTTGCCCTTTCGACTGTTTGTTTAATCAAGGGCTTACGCGGTCTGCCACTTTCGCCGGCCACCCTGCATACCTCGACCTATCTCTCTTACGACACACGATCTAGATATACTCGCTACCTTTGCTTACCTCTTTCCTCTGCTCAATGACCGCCCTTCGACTGTGAGAGTGTACTTTGATCCATCTCCAGCTACCATGTGAGCCGCGTGCAGCCAACATAATATTGCAATCAGACTCGATCTTCTACCTCGTCTCCAGTCCATTCTGCCCGTTGACTCTTTTGACCTCGAGCAGTCATGGTGGCGCGCAAAACTTCTCTACCATATCCCGCCAGTCCCCCTTCGCAGCCAGTCCCTCCTCATACCCATGATTCCCACTTCAGCCTGATTCCCGATTCGGCCGATCTTCCTCCTGTACCTCCGACCCCACAAAGGGCTCTTAATTTCCAAGATGCAGACAATCCTTGGTCCGACATACCCGCCAAAGCACTGAGATCAGATAGACCCTTGCCGGACATTCTGAAGCCAGGACAAGGCCGCCACCATGAAGATGCGGCAATCCCTCCCGGAGGCCACAACTCTTCTTTGGCCAATATTCCTCACATTCTTCGGGCAGGTCAGTCGCAAGAGAATACGCCCCGATCTTCTTTGGACAGTCAACGATCGAAGGACTTCTGGGACGATTCTGATGAGGATCAAGAAGAGGGCATGAAAAGTCCTCCAAAGCCGGCCATGGCGCTGCCCGAAGCTGATAGCAGTCATGATTCCTGGGTCAATGTAGAGCCCCCTCAGAACTCTCCTGGAATCAAGAGGAAACCTGTCGGTAGTGGCCTATCGCCTCAAGTGTCAGTACCAGATCTGTCCAATACCCCAAGTTTTGCCTCCAATAATCCCTTCAGGCGCCCTTCCCAGCAAGCTCCTGATGATGGGAGCTCTGATACTCCACACTGGGGCCAGGAAGCACCTCAGCCAGGAAAGGGAAAAGAACCAGACAGAGGATACGCCCCACCTCCGACAGGCCAGTTCCAAGAACTGACTATTGGAACCAGTATGGTGCCTGGGTTGTCGTCCTACAACGCGCCATCCGTTTCTCACCCTGCAGCGGAAGATTGGGCCAAAGAAACCCAGATAGTGCCTCCCCCAATGCCACAAGCTCCCCCGCCTCCCCCGCCAACAGCAGAGCCTCTTTCACCTGCCAGCCAACAACCTCCTCTGATACCAGTTTCGCCGCAGCGTGATTCAAATGAAAATCCTTGGGCTTCGAATCGACATCTGGAAGCTCCCACACCGTCGCCCCTCCCCGCGTCCCCTTCTCAGAAGCACGTTTCGAGCCATAATGACGATTTATTGGATCACGGACAGCAAACTGGGATCGTATCGTTGAAGAAAGAATCAGAAACGTTACCAAGCGCTGCTGAGACAGGAGTGGCCTTACACGATGAACCTTCTTTGTTGGATGACGACGATGATGTTGGACCGCCTCTCCCGGTCAGACCGGCCCAACGTACCGGTACGGAATACTTTGAACCTCCAGAAGGACCACCTCCACCCAAACCACCCAGACCGACCATTAAGACCAGCATCCCTTCCGATGAAGAAGTTGCAAAGATGATTGAGCAGAGGAACGAGACGTACCAAGTGAAACATTTCAACTGGTTTGATCATCATTCGCGAAAACTGCGCAGATCGGCCATGTTGACCCAGAATATGAACGGGCCTTGCCCTCTGCTTGCTTTGGTCAACGCCTTGATCTTAGGGGCAAAAGATGAGTCCCAGGCTGCGCTCGACGAAGCCCTTCGTTCTCGAGAGCAAGTAACGCTGGGGCTGATCATTGAAACGTTGATGGACGAACTCCTTTCGAGAGGGTATGAAGCGGTTGGAGAAATCCTGCCTGATGTGGATGAGCTGAACAGCTTCTTGATGCGGCTACGAACGGGAATGAACGCCAACCCGAGATTTGTTCCACCATCCACCCCTCCACCAAATTTGATGGATGCTGATGATTCCATGCTCAACGTTCCCCAACATGAGAGAGCACGACATAAACTAGGAACATTCGAGACAACGACCGACATGAAACTATATGGGGCCTTCTCGGTACCTTTGGTTCATGGTTGGCTCCCAGAAGCTGGGTCAGATGCCGCCAAGGCGTTTGCTCGGTCCGCTCCCACTTATGAAGATGCTCAGGCCTTGCAATTCGGCGAGGAGGAATTAGAATACAAGCTGATGAATCAAGGCCTATCGGCAGCAGAACAGAACATGTGGGAAGACATCACCTCCATCAAGAACTTCTTGAAAAGTTATCCGACACAACTGACGCCCACGGGATTAGAAGCCATTCAAGACTCGATATCATCAGGCTCTTTTGCCATCTTGTTCCGAAACGATCATTTCAGCACCATCTACAAACACCCTGAAAGTGGTCAACTGTTCACGTTGATCACCGACGCCGGATATGCAGATCGAGACGAGATCATTTGGGAAAGTCTTGTCGACATTAGTGGCAGACATAACGAATTCTTTTCAGGAGACTTCATGCCAGTCAGTCATCATGACGTCGGGGGCGAATCGTCGACGCACCCCGCGGATCGACGTTCATCACAATTTTTGACCGTCAATCACCCCACTGGAGCGACGCCTTTGTCGCCGCAAGAACAACAGGAGCAACATGACGCTGATTTTGCCATGGCATTGCAACTGCAAGAAGAAGAAGAGCAACGACAGCGCGCGGAAAGAAATCGGAGACGGAGTGGTGGCAATCCTGTCACCAGCAGTGGTAATCAGAGGCGGTCGACAGGAAACATTCCGATCCCCCTTCGACCACAAACAGAAGTTCGACCTTCAATCCCTCCACGTACATCACATGCCCCCAATCCCGGAGTCAGTCGACCGGCAGACGCCAGTGTTGAAGACGCTCCACCAGCATACGAAGAAGCCGCGAAAGGAAGGCCATATATTCCTCCACTTGGGAGCCCTCTTCATCCCTCTGCAGAGCCCAGTCCCATGAACTCAAATACTCAGCTAACAGGCACAATCAGCAACACGTCGGCTTCGGGGCTGGATGTCCATCCGCCCGGTCCCAATGTTGGGATGGGGAGAAGACAGCCCGGAAGACGGATGAGCGCATACAATGAGACAGCTCAGTACCATTCTCCGCAAAGGACACATGGGTTGAACGTAGTTCAAGGGCTTGGATCATCGTCAAGACCAGGGAACATGCAACGACAGGACAGGGACTCGTGTATTGTAATGTGAATTCAGATAGCCTCGGGGATTATTGGTTGGTGAGAACGGACTCATGGATATATGGATGTAATGAGAAAAAGATTAATGAGATTGATGAACCAATCCAGACCAGGTCATGGGCTATTCACGTCGATGCTGGTTCGTGACCAGGAGCTGCGACTATACCCTCTCCGTCAATGATGCCCTCTGTATCCTCCCCGAAGCCTAACAATTCCCTTGAGTCAACCGGCCTCGTGAACTCTCGTCGGTGATACACGGCATCCTCCCCCGACCACCTCCGACGTGAACGCTCGATCTCGACACCGACGGACTTTCTCCCCGCAAAGGCTCAGTCCCCGTTCAAAGATGTTCGTCCAGGTTTCCGAGATTCTCTCTGCGGAGAAGTGCTGGCGTCTTGGGTGGCCCGAAGCGACCATATGCTCCGGGATCGGACACAGTTCTCGGACAGTGCCACTCCCTCTGTTCGTTGTTAAGTTCGGTGTACGATATGCCGTCGAGGTGGGTGGGGAAGAAGGCTATATCTGGATCAGAACCTGGTTTGGGCGTCAAGTTTTCATTCTATCATCTTTTCTAGTGAGTACTGACGGCACAGATTGTATCTTACTGTCATTGAGGCATTGGAGAACAACTCGGATTCTCCGTCAATTCAGCCAGATTGTAAACTTGATCTCGATATTGCAAGACATCCATCAGCCTTGTTTCGGAGCTTTTGGGAAGAGCGTCGGTTGGAGACAGGGGGGACAACTTCTTCGCGCTTGAGTTTGGGAGACTGCGACGACATCAAGAATCCTCATCAAGAGGTCATCTTTTATACACCCGGTTTACACCGAGCGAAAAATCTCGATTGAATTCGTCGACCAACTGAAGACGAGAGAGTGCTGGATTCGGTTCTCGTCTGACTTCCCCCTCCACGCACCTCCGTCCAGAACGCCTTCTCAGCTTATACGGCCCTGCATCCTCACATCCCTGAACTCTCGAAATGGCCGCTCCAGTCCCAAAGACCACAACTTCCAGCTCATCACCTCAAACGTTCCGCATCCTTGTCCTTCCCGGTGACCATGTCGGGCCTGAAGTCATGGCGGAAGCCCTCCGGGTCTTAGATGTCGTCCAAGCCTGTTCCCAAGGAAAGGTCAGGTTTGAGTACAATCATCAGATCGCTGGCGGGTGCAGTATCGACAAGCATGGTACCCCGATTACTGACGAGGTATTGCGCATTGCGAAGGAAGAGAGCGATGCTGTACTCTTTGGAAGTGTCGGCGGGCCTGAATGGTGAGTCCTTTCTTAATGGCCTCTCCACCAATTTCTCTCGTTTGGGTTTGATCCTGCTTATCATGGTCTGCTCCAAAAGATTCTGCCCTTCTTTTCTACTAATCCCAGGAGATTCACTCATCAAACCTTGCTGAACAATTTCTACTCCAGGGGCACTACCTATCCGAACCCTGAGTCCGGCCTCCTCCGTCTCCGTCAACACCTCGATGCATTCGCCAACATCCGCCCCTGTACATTCTACTCACGGTCATTGGTCACCTTATCACCCCTGAAAGAGTCAGTCGTCGAGGGCACCAACTTCATCCTTCTCCGTGAAAACTGCGGCGGAGCGTACTTCGGTCCCAAGGTTGAGCAAACAGACTTCGCCAGCGATTCCTGGGCGTATCGACGAGATGAAATTGAGCGGTCGGCGCGTGTTGCAGCCGCACTAGCCGTCACCATGGGCAAAGACGGACGGGGGACAGGGAAATGCGCGGAAGGGCCCGCAACCGTCTGGAGCAGCGATAAAGCCAACGTGCTGGCGTCGGGGAGGTTGTGGCGAAAAGTGACTAGTGAAGTGTTCGCGAAGGAATTCCCCCACGTCGAACTCAAGCATCAGCTCGCCGACAGTCTGAGCATGCTTATGGTCAAGAGCCCTCGCATGTTTAATGGCGTCATTCACACGGACAACACGTTCGGCGACATGCTCTCCGACCAAGCCGGCGGCATCGTAGGCACGCTGGGCGTGCTTCCCAGTGCCAGCCTATGTGGAATTCCCGGCGGCAGTCGTTGCAACGGCATCTACGAACCTGTCCATGGCTCCGCGCCCGACATCGCTGGAAAAGGCATCGTGAATCCCACGGCCCAAATTCTCTCCGCTGCCATGATGCTACGATACTCATTCGGCCTGGCCCCCGAGGCCGCCGCCATCGAAGCCGCAGTCCAGAAAGTCCTCGATGGCAAGGATATTGGCGGCCTGGAGATCCGAAGCGGAGACCTCGGCGGCCGCGCGACCACCGAGCAAATTGGCGATGCTGTCTGCGCGGTTCTCGAGCAAATACTCGAGGGAAACGGGAGTGGTGTACCATTTGAGATGAATGGAAATGGCAACGCTGCTATGTCGCCGGTCCAGACGACACGTGGTCAAGAAAAATAAAGAAGTGGGAAGACAAGTTGAAGACAGAGGGTGTTGCCACGGGATCAAGAGAGGCGTTGGATTTGTGATTGATTCTGTGGAGAGCTGCATGCCGGTATTTCATTCTGAACCTCGGAAAGCGAAGTCCCTTCGATGTGAAGCAGGGAAAACAAAATTTCAAGATCTTCGGTGAATTTGGCAAATTTATACCTGGAACTAGGTATGCAAGTATATAAGATGTATGTATTCCAACACCATCCAGGGACTGTATGAAACATGTCTTCTTTCCAGAACCTTTGCAAATAGACGTTTTAGTGTGCTCCCCGAGGGATCAAGTGTAAGAGCGAGAAGTGGAGGAGCAAAATAGAAGTCTTGAATCTCACCGCAGAATCAATTGGAAGTGTCAGATTGGAGGGAGATCTTCTGGTAGGTGCCGAGGACCTACGGTATAAGAAGCAAACGGAACTCCCCTGGTTTCCCAACACAGCCGGTTGAGCCAGCCTTGTGATGCCCGATACCGAATACCCTCCATCACTTGCTGTGAGGTATTCCTTATCCTTTCGTGAATCCATCTGTCCACTCACCAACGGAGATCACGATCCTCAGTCATAATTTCTTTGCAGCAACCAAAGAGCTGAACCACAACCACAACCACAACCATCCACAGAAATGACCACACCAGAGACCGGTTGGCCCACCAGCACCTCTGTCCCCGAAACCATCAAACCGCTCCTAAACCGCTTTTATGAGCTGGGCGATTCGAAATCCGCAGAGGCAGCCCGTCGACGAGGCAGCAAAGTCTTTTACCCCGACGGGTATATTGTGATGAATAAGCGGTCCATCAGGGAGAACGGATGGTGGCTATAATTTCATAGCAATTTTGTTGATGTTGAGTTGTCGAACCGACACTTAACGATGAACCAAACACAGACTCAGAAATCTCCCGCTCGATCCATGGTATATTTTCGGGCCTGCAGAGCCGACAATACAAGGTGGACAAAGTATACGTGTGCAGTGACGCGGCCGATGACCTTAAGTTCATCGGTTCCGTGAACTGAGTATTTGTCGACGGGACCACGGTGGACGGCGGATTCGCGGCGAGAGCGGTGATTGCTACCTCTATACCTGAGGCGCCTAAGTTGAGATTGTACCATGGTTGGGTGGTAATGTTCATTTCTGCATATACTGTCTTTGTCCCTGGCTTTGTTGTGCCTGCGGCCGGATATTTCTTCTTTCTCAATGCTTTCTCTTTCGATCCTGAATTCTCTCGCCGAGCATAGGCTAAGGAGTACACATGGTATAGATGGTGATATGCTGATAGAGTCTTGAATTTTAGAATCTCTCAGAGTTTCAGGCTGCGTTGGGCAAGCAGAGGCAGATAGTGGCTGGAGTCATGGACCTCAGTTTGGATGTGAGCTGCTAGAGTTGAGTACAAGAAAAGAATGGCCGGGTGTCCAAACATCAAAAGAGTTGCAATTTATGACACGCATAAAGCATCGAGATATTTACCCGTTTCAGGTCCTCTTCGGAACAACGTCCTCTTTCCGTAATACGGAAGATTGCCTGACTCACCATATCTTCAATGCGAAATAGTATAAGTCCATGGGGAAAGGACGGGGTTGTCCTGTTCAAAAGTCTTGCGTAGAAGAATGTTGCTTGCAAATGTATCCAGTACAGTCCGCTGATTTTATTCCACGGTCATATCTAGCTCCGTAGCCGCTCAACATGGACTGTTGCCCAAATTGCTGGATTAGCAGAGACCCAGGATAGTCAGCCATGAGGCATCCAAAAATGTCACTTAATCAGAATCTTGGTCCCGAACACCTCGACCACACCAATGTAGCCGGTCATTTCCTGACTCAAGTTGATGGAAGTGTGTTTCGTGCCTCATAACGGACGGAATGTTCGTTCTGAAAGGAGGGATAGGAACAAAACGGAGGAAACTAGAAATACAAAACGTCTCACATGTTGTCGCGACCACAGAATTGAGATCGGTCGGTGACAAGCTCACTGATGATTGATTTTCATTTCGTTGTATTCGAGTCGCTAGGGTCATTACGCACTGCACAGTTATGTTGTGCTCGCCAATTGAAAAAGGATATCGGGGACATAACGTAACCCGTACGGTCCCAGGGTCAAAATTGATCTAACAGCTCCGTGTTAGGATCACAATGGACGAAAGACACCAAACACTTACCTAATGTCATGCTCATGCTCACATCCGTGTTCTCGACCATTTGTGTGAACTCCTCAAAACTAATCTTTCCATCACCATCCTTGTCGGCCTCCATGATGGTCTTGTCCACAATCTGTTGCAACTGTTGATCTTTCAAATTGCTGCCAACCATCATCTTGAGGACAATGAAGAGTTCTCCGTTGGAAATGTAGCCATCGCGATCGATGTCGTAGACCTTGAAAGCGAACTTCAATTTTTCTTCTTTGTTCCCTTTGGAGGAGAAGGCCGAGAGACCCAGGACGAATTCTTGAAAGTCGACATCACCACCACCGTCTTCGTCGAAGATGGCGATCATTCTACAGATGAGTGTTAGGAAGATATGATAGGATGAATGGAAAGGAGTTGGGCGTACCTCGTCGCTAACGGGTTCGACGAGACTTGGGGTAATGACAAGAACTCTTCTCTTTCGATGGTGCCACTGTTGTCCTGTGACCAGCCTCGTCAACGAAGTAAACGACCTCTTGGCAGAAGTATTATGTACCTTATCCAGCTTCATGAACCTTTTTCGTAGTCTGTCCACTTCATCTCGGTCAACTGTATGTATTCCAGTCAGCGCGTGCTCGGTTGAGATCAAGCTCGGTGTCGCAGGAGCAAGGGTAGCCAAGTCCGAACGCACAATTGGAGAAAGAAACGATGTTATCGAGGATTTGAGAGCCTGTGACCTGTTGCCGTCTTCGAGCATCGTAAAGAGCGGCATTGTTGGGTTCAGCGGCAGTTGAGGGTTGAGCGCCATATGCTGGCGTCGTCATGATGAAATTGAGAGGCGACGGTCGGGTCTGCTCGAAGGGAGGAAGTGGCACTGGTTGGTCGGGTGAAAGAAGAAAGGTATACAGTGGTCGTGGGCGAAATGCGAGATGTAAGGAGTCAAGGTCCTCCGTCCTTGTTTGAGAGCATGCAATAAAAATGCAGGCCAGCCGCATATGATACAAATCCTTTGGGACGGAGGCCGAAAAGATGCCACTAGCCACAGCGAGTCACGAGCCACAGATCAAAATGCCAATCCAGCTAAGCCGTAAACGGGCAGAATCTCAGGGGATGCCAAGATGGGGTCGGTTTAGGCTCTCGAAGGGATTTCGAGCTGAGTATGGAATTAGAGCAGTGAATGACCGTGGATCAGCGGTGATGATCAAGTCGTCCAACGGCCATTGTGAAGATCTGTAATGAGGTTGATCGGCCGATGTTTATGATCATAGATGCACTATGTGACAAATTGTGCCACCGTTGGTCTCTGCTTTCCTACTGCAGAGCGTTGTGTCTGCACATGCAGATGTAGTGATTCACCCATATTAGGCGACTACTAAGGGGGCCCCCTTGTCAGGGTAACATGGCCTATCATTCTACAGTACAAACGTCATTTCAGGCACCACACGCCCAATCTCCCTGCCCAGGTGACAATCAGTCCCCGAGCCCCAGCCACTGGCAATGCAAGTGTCTAGAACAAAGAGTCCCAGGAGGGTAGGACATGCGGGTGGCCCAGCGCCCAGTCAGTCAGTTTTACAGTTGCAGGCTTCCCGCGTGGCCCCAACTTTTTCGTGCCTTTCAGCCCTCAACTGTCATTGTCCGGGTTCTGCGGGTTCCTCTCCTCCTTTCACACTCTGTCCCTTCCTCTCTGCCACTCCCTCCCCAACCCTAATTCCTCAAACCCTCCACCTCCGACGCGCTGCAAAATTCACCACTTACCTGCCGCAACCACCAACCACCACCACCTGCAAAATTCTTCATCCATCACAATCATCAACAATCCTGGACTTTTTCATCACTTTGACCCTAGTATTCATCTCACCGAGTCAAGCGCTACATTTTCATGTCCTTTTGGTGAAATATCGATCACTAGGACTTGAATTGTTGATTCTACTCTAAGGTGAGGTGGTTTGGCGGTGGTTTTCCTCCCTTCATGAGGTTGTCGCCCCAAAAGTGTCCATGTCCCGCGCGACAGGCAGGCATACCCGCCCCAAGAAACTCAACGCGAAACAAAATGTCCAGATTTTTCGTGAGGATCAAGTCGATTCCCTTGTCGACTATGATACCCAACGTGCTTCAATAGAAACCGGTGTCGAGAAGGCCGAAGAATCGGTATGTTGTTGTTGTTCCTCCTGCCCCTTTCAAATTGTTCGTTCAGTCCTCTTCTGCTTAGTCACCACCCAACTCTTGGCACAAACACCGCCAAAAATCACGATCCCGTTTTTCCATCATCATATTGACTGCTGTGGGATAGGAATACCATCTTCAACAGGCCATCAAAGCTTCCGAAGCAGCAAAAGCAGACGCCAAAATCAAAGATGCTTATATCCCCACTCCACCTACCATTACCAGTGATGTCAAATATGACCTTCTCTATCCCAAGGGTTTTCAACAACCCGCCACATATATCCGCTCCTCGGCCACGGTGGAAGATTGTGCGGGAGTGGCATATTGCATGGATGAGGAGGATGAGGCCGCCTTGAACGAGCTCAATGCCAAGTTACCTACCGGTCAGGATCGCTGCACCGAAGACCAATTCGAAGAGGTCATGAATTTTTTCGAAGAGGCTGCCCAGACAAAACAACCTTTTGCTGCTGTCGATAGTCCTCCTGTCTTACCTTTAGAAGAGCTGCAAGAGCAGTTCGATGACACCATTCCCGCCTTTGTTCGCACGTTTTCCAAATATGTATACGAACATTGGAGGAACCGCCGGGATGCCACCGGTAATCGTGGACTGGCTCCTCGGCTGAAATTCGAAACCGGTCAAGAGACCGATGATTCAGATCCTTATGTCTGCTTCAGAAGACGAGAATTGCGACAGATTCGAAAGACCAGGAATCGTGATGCTCAGAGTGCTGAGAAGCTGCGGAAACTCCGTCTGGAGTTGGAGACGGCTCGAAGCATACTGCTTATGGTTAAGAGAAGAGAAATGCTCCGTAAAGAAACCCTCGAAATTGACCGCTCAGTGTTTGAGCAGCGACTGGTGTTCAGAGACACCAAGAGAAAATTGGGTCTGAAAGGGGATGATGACCTTCTGATCAATCAAAAGGTAAGGATTACCCTTCCACAACAGAAAAATGACCCAACTGACCTGGATTGTAGAAGCAGAAGCTCCCCCCTGGCATGACTCCCAACCAAGCCGCCCTCGCCCAACAACTCAGAATGCCCATGGCTCCCGGTCCTGGTTCGGAACTGCGCACTCTAGAAGATGTTGTCGCTGCTAGGGAACGGGAAATGACCAAGGAAATCCAAACCAACATCGAGAAACACATCAGGTGGAATGAGGGATTTGTCGACAAGACCATGGCACCACTTACCCCTGAACTTGAACACGACTATCCTTTGCTAGATGGTCACTTCCGAGAGGCCATGGCTGCCACCGAATATCTCCCCACTCCCCCAGCCAGTATCTCGGATGAAGAATCGCACAACCCGCCCGACGGAACCGATGTCGTGATGAAGGATGTTTCTCGGCCTTCCACACCTTTCCGATATGCCAGTCCAGCTGATGAAGATTCGGTTGGTCACATGCCATCTTTTCGGCGCAGAATAGGTCGAGGTGGACGTATCATGATCGATCGAAGACTTCCTCGTACCAAGCGCGATTTCTCAGAAGATGATAGATTCAAATTTGATTCAGACGATGATGAATCTTCGGACCCTGGTCTGATAGACGATGACTTTGCTCGCATGGCACAGCGAGCGTATCTTCTCGGCAATAGCCGACCAACCGATCCCCAGGCAGTATCGGCCCGACGAGCACAACTCGAATCTGGCGGTCCTAGTCAATCTCCAGCAGGGTCACATACACAGTCGGTACCTGCACCTTCTTGAAATGTTTGATTTGTTTAGAGGGAAAAAAGGAGCCAATGTGTTTTTTTTTTAAAACCCTGTCCTTGAGAGCACAATTCGAAAAACTCTCATCTCACAACTCGAATAGGCTCAAGCTCGTTCGGAGTTGAATAATCGCCTGGGGTGTGCAAGATGATGGATGAAGTTGAAGGGGGAGCTCATAGATTGCTGGCTGTGGAAAATGATGCCGGTCGGGAGACGTGATGGATTGTACATAAATATCGAGGCCAGCGCCTTCGAATGGAAAACATCGTGAAATTAGCGATTCTATCCCTTCCGCGGTGTTTTCATTGCTTCCATTTCCGAGCTGCCGTACTTTCGTTTCGATGAATGCAATGCGATCTCTTCGGATTGCCGTTGATTGTGCGTCTGGCGTAGAGTGATGACTTGTTCCAAGATCGCTTTTTCTCCCATCATCACCCTGACAGCCATCGAGTATTGATGGGGATCGCAGCCAGGTAGGACAATGGCACCTGCTGACTTGGGATGCAACACCTTCAAAATCTCCCGATCTGATCCGTGAGTGGTGCAGTGTTCGCACCACCTTATCTGTTACGGTGCAGATTCTTCAATTGTCACAGCTTCTCGAGGTCTTTGGATCCTTTTCGCGGGAATTTTATGCGCGTACAGGGCCCTCGAAATCATATGCACAATGGGCGGGATGGCATCTCTGAGACCTTTCGAGTCTTTCATGGATCGATGCAAAGCATACCATCCTCGTGCACGTCAAACTCGTGAAGTTATCGCGCACATTTCAGCGATGAATTGGTGGGAGTCTCGTGCGTCTTGCCGGCCTTAAATGGGAGCGGTCCGGAGAGATCACTCTTCACTATCACTGGCAATGTCATAAGCATATGCCATGATTAGGATAGCAGCCAGACGCGCGAGTCCCGTCACTTCGATTGTTCGCGTCCACTTCCCTGTTACCGCCACGGCGAACGGTGTCGGATGTTATAGCACCACCGGAATGTTTGTGTTGTCCCAGAACTCTTGCACCGGCTTCGTGTCCAATCTTACTAATCTGTGGATTGACTTGCAACTCTTCAAACTCCTTCCGGTGCCAGAACATGATGCTGTCCAATGCGAAGGGCGAGACCCAGAAATAGCTTTTGCCAGGGGAAGCTTCTTTATGAGGATATTCGTAAATGGCTGCAACGATCAAAGGCGGATATACCACGACCCCGTGAGACAATTGTAAACTGTTGGTGGAAGCGTTGGAGTGGTGGTGGTGAGCACTAGGAATCGAGGAACGGCGAAATAGTTCTCATCTTCGGCAATATCCCCTTGGGCAACTATAAAGCATTAACAGGCTGTCTCAGTCGAGGTAAGTATAGCCTTCTAGCTACTCTACCAACATACTCGCTCCTCAGATCCCACGAGCCTCTTTCAAGCACTGAAGTGAGCTTTCGCCGGATCGAGACTCGAACAAACAACCATTCTGTGGTTCGCTGATATTGCCGGTGAGGGCTTGGACGGGCGAGTTATGAGCGAATGTCGGAGGAGGTCCATGAATACATGAGGAAACAGTGGCGGTGATATCTACAGAACGGTGGATGGTGGGATGGAGGAAGTCCAACGCCAAGGGTCGGCAGACAAGAGTCCGGGTGACGCTCACGTGAACAGGGACATGCCAGAAGTCCACCCAGCCACCTTTGGCCAACTGGGGCCCATTGACCACAGGCACCCATATGGGCTAAAAATTCTGACAGCGCACTCCATCTCTTCCTCTCTTTACATTGTTCAAATATTCCTGCGATGCGATATAATGCAACCTATTGCCATTCATTCATTCAATCTGTCTGGTTGACAGCCAAAGGAAATGAACCATCTCCTGTTCGAGCCAATATCGGTCTCAGTGGCCCCCCCCCCCCCCCGGGGCAGATGGCGGTCCTACCAAGTGCCGCCTGCAGGTGATGATTTGACAGGTGCCATCTGGCCGTCAAATTGTCCAATGTGCACCGGGTCAATGCTCGATCAAACTTTCGCGCCTACAAGCTGATTCCCTGCCACTTGACACTACTGTCGCTTCCCTGTCTTGTCTCGACCCTTCTCCAATGCCCTCGATGGGCCTATTATGCCTAATATGCTTAGTCTTTGACTTTGATCCTTGGCATATGTCTCTTTGCTCCCAGTCCCGTCCAATCCCTCCCCCCTTCTTCCCAGCATTTAGCTGGTTGCAGTTACATACCTTCTTCCTGTATTCATCAATGCTGCTGTGGGTAGCATCTTCGCTCTTTTGGGCTGTCGAACATGCTTCCCAGCATACTTTTTGTCTGCACTCTTTAGTATATATCCTCCCGATCAAACCACACTCGCTTTCTTGCATCTCCGCGCGTCGAAACACACCCACCTGCATGAGAGCAAAGGACGAGACCGGACGGAACGAGCTTCTCTTGAAATGTTTTCGATGAGACGAATGCGCTTCTGCCTCCTCACCCTCCCTTATTTCCTTGTTGCGCTCCTCGATCCTGTTTCATGCCAAAATATCGTTCCGACCACTTCGTCGAGCACATTTCCCGCCTGCGCAGTCGGTTGCAGCGTCCTGTTGCAAGCTCAGACTCAATGTGAGCCTCCGAGTGTTCCAGCCACAAACCAAATCACATACGAGAATTGTTTTTGTCAAAATAGTTTGTTAGGCGCTCTCTACTCCTCACCCGACGCCATATGCGTTGCGGAATGCCCTGTCGGATCCGATCGCACCCTCTTGCAAACATGGTTCATCGGGTTTTGTCAATCCGTGGCTCAGGGTATCGACCCGTTGTTGACCACAACGTCAACCACGACGCCCATGTCGACAACAGTGGTGACCGTAACCAGTTATTCAACTCCGGTCCCTGAGCCTACGAACCCGGGTACAGGTGCTGTCTCTGCTACACCGGCACCGGCTTCCAATCAATCTTGGTATGCTGAAAGAGCTTATGATCTGGCATGTCGATACTGATGTGGAACGGCAGGATTGAAGGTCATTGGCGATGGATTCTTATGGTGTGCATTCTAGCAGTGGGATTTGCACTTCTCACCGGGCTCGCTATCTGGCTCAAGCGCAGACATCGCAGGAAGGTTGAAAAACAAAGAGCTGCTGTCTCTGGCTTCCCCACTGCGACAGAAAAAAAAGATGGAGCTCGTTCCGCCACCCCGGATCTTTGGGGCCCCCATCAGGTAAGTAGAATGTTATTGGGGCGCAGCTTCATTCTAACTCGGGGCCAAAGCACATGCATCATACCAGAGGCTGGGAGTATAATCAAGATCCCGCCATCATGGGAAGTGGTGCTCTTGTTGTGACTAGCGACAGACGTGGTTCTCGGAGATCGAAGAAGGCCTCATCTTCTCAACGGAAGCATCGTTATCGCAACGAAATGGCAGAATTGGACGCCAGACGCGCTCCCTCCAGATACCAGTCGTCAAAAGGCAAATCCAGGGCTCCTGACGAAGCAGTTCGGCTCGACCCTGAAATGGGTCCTGCGGATAGATGTCGTAGCAGAAGCCAAACAAGAAGAGATCCGGAAAGAGATCTGGAAAGGAATAGCCAATCTGAGCACCAAAGGCGGCTTCGCGAGGTTAGAGGAAGTCGTCGAAAGAAGAATATGGACCAGAGTTGAGAATAGTGGAGCCACCACCCTTTCCTTCAACAGCTTCGGTTCGCGTGGCCGGTGATAGACATCTGCCCGCCATCAATCCGATTGGCCCAGTATTATTATCTACGAAGCATGAATGATGATGTTATGCCTTATGGGCTCGTGTTGAAAGCATGTGGTAAGTCAAATCATTCTTTCAAGTCTATCATCTCATAAAATATCGATCAGCAAGGCAAGATACACTCTGTCGCTGTATGAGCTTTGTGGTCATTCTGCCTTTACCCGTGCCAGCCCTAATGCGTCCCAGGTCATCGCTAACGTGCCCCTTCTCGATGAAAGCTTACGCTTTGAGTCCGACGATTTCCCCCCAAGAAGTCTCTCGACGAACACGAGGTCCACTTCGAGATGTTGTCGCAAGTCAAGTTCATCCGTCTCGAATCAGATCTATAAACAATCTCATGATTCCGGAATACGGCCGGTGTCGCCAGAATTCATCCTATTTGGTCTGATAGTTTGAATTTTGGAGAAAGAACTCGATCACGATTTCGGCAGCCAGATTTGAGTCGTCATCCTTATTTGCCAACTTCAAGTATCCTTCAGTCACCTCCTTTGACCATTCAGTTGCTCCGATCCATTTGATACACGCGCCATTGATGAAACGGTCGAACTCAGGGTGCCCTTGATACGTCAGAACGCGGCCCGGCCAATACATCCCCTGTGTCTTGCAGAGAATACTTGTGCCCACCTCGACGCATTCTCGAGGCAATTCACTTTTGGACACAACGACGACATGATCTTGATGCGAAAGTTGCAGATCCATTTTCGGAGAATTTGTTGGGGAAGTGAACTGTCTTGGAAAACAGGCGGCAAATTTGGGCGATATATCAATTTGCTGGACCCCCAGTTCCCATCCCGTCGGGTTCTTTTCTACCCGTATGCCATGAGTGAAGAATAGCGACTGGTTAATGATCTGATGGCCGAAGCAGGTCCCGAAAATCTTGACGGATGGATGGTTTTGGAATGCATCTGAATAACTGTCAACAAAGCGCCAAAAAAACACGACGTATTCTGTTGAACGATAAAACTGCACATGGGTCTGCACAACAATGGTGTCCCGTACCTTGCAAGTTTTTGCTGAGCTTCTTTACCCACGGTATGTCCTCATAGGCCCCAGCTGTCGAGCCCGTGACAACAAGAGCATCAACCTCGTCGAGTCTCGCTGGAAATTCGCCTACCGTACAGTCGTATGGTGTTGTCCTAATCACAATACCCCGAGAAGCAGCATATTCTGGATGACGCCTGATACTTTGGGCCCCGCGCTCGAAAAAATCTTGGAAGATCTTGTCAAAGGGGCCCCGGATATCTGAGATGTCATCAACGAGGTTTTCGCAGATGAGAACGGCGATATTAATCGTGTGCGATGGTAAATGCATTTTTGTATCTAAGAATTCCAGAATTCTATCTCGGCAGAAGCGAAACGTCAGAAAAGGGAGTCCTGCTTCTTTGATAAGAGGTCTGAGAAGGTTGTGATCCCATAATGTCCAAAGCTTCGATTTTGTCTGGAGTGACCAATCAGCTTCGCCAAACTCACCTGCCATAAACGGCAATGGAGATTCATCTCCTGCTTGGACTGAGGCGAGTCAATTCCTTGTGAATCCTTGCCTGTCATATACATTATATTGGGGCTCATAATTGCTCAAGAAATACTAGACAGGAGGACTCAAATCCAACCCTGTGACATCAAACCTGGGGGAATCCGCCATTGAATACGGACCCACGAGATCAAGATCCAATCTCCCTTTTTCTCATCTTCAATATCGACTTAGCAAAAAGAGTCTCTTCCTCCCAAGAGTCCAACCAGGTATTCCCCCGTGGGCAAAACAATCGTCGACCCTCCCTCCTCTCCTGAGCACCTCATCTTTCTCTCTCCTGTCATCATGCCTCTCACTGCTCCAGATCCACTCAGGTACTTCGTTCGTTCGCGCATGCGGCGTCGCGCGACCATGAACGTCCTGCCCTCACAGCCGATAGTCTGCATTAAAGGGGTCCAGACCTCTGTTGCGTGAGCTGTAGGCGTGAGGGACAAGTTGACGTCCTGCCCATACAAGCATTGGCCGAGAAGGGCATCCAGTTCTCCCAGCACAGAGCACCTCACCTAAACGGTACGCTAATTAATATTCATTGTGGCAGACTCATCTCGTCATACCAGGCTACTTGTTCAGAAGGATGGAGTGAGAAGAGGTCCAACTTACCTGCCATCATCAACCCGGTCACCCTTCCCAGGGCAGTAGGCATAACGTTGCGTCGTATCCCAAAAACACCTACCCTCGGACATACGTACACCAGAGCACTGTAGAGCGTTCCTCTCGCTTTCTGGAGGAGTCCTATGACGAGAAATACACTCGTCTCGTTCGCTATGCTCTCAAGATGCTCTCTCGTCCCACCGGTGAATGGCGTAGATACTACTCGTATCCTCTTGCCATGCATGATCCGATGGACGTCTTGAATGTGCACGCTCGTGGAAACTCGCCGATGAAGAACTCCGGAAAAAGGTTGAGGTCCACACCTTGAATCACGGCTTGTCAGACTCTTGCCTCGAGAATGGCAAGGACGGTCCCTGGGTGGGAGACTGTCTCGAACTTGCGCAGCACCGAGTTTTCAGACGTTTTGAACATCTTGTATGTCTGGGAGAAGACTAGGTCATGAGATGCCCAGAGGAGAAAGAGTCAGATAGTAGTGTCAAATGTTGATTTGCGGAGAAGAGTGATGGTATCTGGCTATTAAATGTTCGATAGAGTTTGAGACCAGGTTTCCTCTTCGTTGTGGTGTGGAGATCAAGTAATATAGCTGATGTTATCTTGCCTAAATTGATTTTGTATCGTTCCAACATGTTAGTGTGAGACCTCTATCACAGTTTGCACCTAACTCGATCCGAATTTCTGCCTTGTTACTGTCGCGTGAGAATGTTGCGCCCTGCTCACAGGAAAAAAGAGGACAAGGCTAGGACTTTTGGGGGGGTTCTGGACGTTGCTGGCTCGTATTTGCGAAACGACTCATTTCATTTAACTGTTGAGGACCTGGATATTTGTTCGCCGCCCTAGTTATGATCGTGGGTATTCTCAAGTGGTAGAGGCAAAACGTTCGAGGGCTGAAAGTCCTCTGTATATCTTATAAAATGGTCGGCCCAACTATGCCACGCTTGGGTGCCAACATTGGCTTAGCCCTACAAGACAGCTATGCCCCGTTGATTGTTCTTCGTTGCCTTCAGAGCTTGGACAATAGCCCGACGATTGCTCTGGGAGGTGGTATAGTTGCTGACCTGTCCCTAGAGCAGAGCGCGGTAATACATTGGATTTGCCATCATGGGAGTAATTCTGGGCCCCAGCTCTTGGACCAGTTTTGGGGGTCTGCTGAATCATTTTCTGGGTTGGTGATCAATTTTCTGGTTCTTGGTCATCTTCTGCGCAATATTCGCCATGTGATGGTCACCGTTTCCTTCCCAGAAACTTGCCGAGGACTCGTTGGTAACGGATCAGTGCCGACTAACAAATGAACTCGATCCGTTTGGCTGATCGTGCATCAAAAGCTATGGCCAAAGGAGAAGACCCAGAGCGGACTATCAAACTGTCCAGAGAGGTCGTCGACACCCCAATCCGTTCGTCACTGTTCGCATAGCTCTGGAAAAGGAATGTGAGATAATCCTTACGTATGGGCCACTGACATACGGAGGGTAGATGGCAGTTTTGAGCACGTTGACCTCACGACGCGAGAACAGATGCGAGTTCAACAGTATTCAGGTTGGGCTCTGCTACCTACCTTTAGGAGTAGACACACTCACATCTCGATGGACAATTGGTTTCCTGTTGGACTGGAACCTCAAGAGAGTGGCTCAGCATCAGGGGTGGCCCATGATCAAGAATCGGCAGCAAGATATCCGAAACTTCAATATCGAAGCTGCCCGCTCGACGATATCAATCCCGTTGCTGTACGTGGCATGTTTATGTACCATTACTTATGGATGGATCATGGAGTACAGATCCAGCTTTTGCTGGTCCTTTGGCCCCGTTGTTCTTCAACGGTCATACGATCGCTGGTGCTTTCATGTGTCGTTGAATACCACTAATTGTCCGTGTTGACAGGCAGAGCCTGACGACTGCCACAGCTGTGAGCAACCTATTCCCGTGCTTGACAGGTACCAGTGCAACCGCCGCGGTCGCTCTTGGTTGATCGAATCGGAATTGGCTGGAGGACAACGGCAATCGCATTTTAATGGGTTCTCTTCAGTCCATGTATATGGGCTGTCTTCAGATGGGCTTCAAATGGAGAGAGAATCTTCGAAAGAAGGGGGAAAAGGGGGGAGAGCAGTGTGAATGAGGATTTGTTGGTGCGTGTACTCCGCCGTACCATCCATTATACGGCGAGACGGTAGAAGGCCTCTCGCATTCCACATCTTCAGAATCTAATCGACCATGCTCCATACTTATGGCCTCTGGGACCATGTTCGTGAAGAAGGCTTTAACTTCTGTCTCAGTCCTTGCGCGTCAAGGCTTGATGGCAAGGTAGTTGTATCCACGATACATGAAAGAACGTCCCAACCAGCACTACCACCACCTCATTCGCTACACACGCAGCCATGTCGCTTCCCAAGCCGAACTGCTCTTTTGTCATCCCCAGCATCCATGACGCCCTGGAGCTCGATTGCCGAATCTACTACCCAAGAAGAACTGAGCAAAGTTTCCCGCTCTTTGGAAAATCATTCGCCATATTTGCCCACCCCTATGCACCTCTGGGGGGCTCATACGACGATCCTGTCGTAGCACTTTGTGGCAGTGTTCTGCTTCAGCATGGTTGCTTTCTAGTTACCTTCAACTTCAGGTAGACTTGCCGTCAATTTCTCTTATTGTGACTGACGAGTCTCAGAGGTGCCGCTGGTTCTCTTGGTCGAACCTCTTGGTCTGGGAAGCCCGAGCTGGGGGATTATGTTTCCGTCTATGGATTTCTCCTGTGTTACATTGACGCTGTCTGCCGACCTGTCGTCCAGAAGGGACAGGGGGCCCCTATCTTAATTCTTGGAGGTTACTCCTATGGCTCAATGATAACATCATACCTCCCATCGATCGACATCGTTGCCGACTTGTTTAAGTCGCCAGCGCCAGGTTCGGCGGAAAGCGAAATTAGACTCCGTGCCGAAGACTTATCTCGGGATAGCCGAGCCTACTTGGATATGCATTCGGCTGGTGTGGCATTGACGCTACCGCGTACGCGAAGCGGTCCTGAGAATGACGAGCTAAAACTCAGTCGCGGTGTAACTGTCGGAGGATACGAGTCAGATGCGGCTAGCCGACGAGTGAGTCGGGAGTCATCAAGAAGGAGCATTGACGGAGACAAATTCAGACAAAGCATTGACAGAGTTCGTCGCAAGCTCAGTTCCCGAGTAATCAACCCCTTCGAGTCAGAAGCACAGCCTCCTCCTGGCGCGACAACATTCCCGATACTACCACAGCTCGCCTATCTCCTCGTATCACCACTATTACCGCCGATCGCGGGGTTCATCACAATGTTCTCGAAGTTGAGATTCATCCGGAAAGACCGCGAGATTGCTCCACCTCCGGGGAAAGAGTTCCATGATCTCACTATTCACCCTTGCTATTGTCTATACGGCGGTAAAGATATCTTTACCTCAGATCGCAAACTGCAACGATGGGCAGAAGATCTAAGTTCACGGCCTGGTTCCCAATTTGTTGCAGTCAGAGCGGATACAGGACATTTTTGGCAGGAAGCCGAGGCCATTGTTCGACTTCGCCAGGGCCTTGCAGATTGGCTCAAGCTGCTAACATCAAAACCCGGAGATTTCGAGACGAAAGTCTCCGCTGATGCCGGTGCCAGGTGGTCAATACATGGATCGACCAAACCGGGAAGCCTCAACCCACCTGAATGAATCCTAAACCTTACTTTAGTGACGCTTGGAGGGTGATGTGATGATGAAACAAACCCGGACAAAAGTCCCAAACAACCTATTTACATGGTGCCGTCCAAAAATCGAACGTCTGACAAGGACACTGGCCTCGGCATCACGAATACTTGCAGGGATGAACGAAATTATTCTTGTCAGACCATTCCAGGGAGAACAGCATCTCGGTTGAATTCGATCTTGCAGGAAGAAAAGTCAACGCAGCTCAGATCGTGGGGAGAAATTCTTGGCGAGAAGTGCTTGGGAAATCTTCTCCCCTGTGGTCTTGGGAAGATGGAAGTCATAGATAGTCTTGCATGTGAAGGGGGTGGTCAGTGTGCGTACGCAGGGGTGCGCCAATACAGAAAGTCCCGGTCAGCTCTCATTCGATATCGGCAGACATCACGCGCCAGGTCAAAAGACCAAAGACACCCTCATCGAAGATGGAGAAAAGAAAGGGAAATTTGGAGCGGCTCGGCTGCTCACATTTCAACTGGCCAAATGACCCGCCAGCATTTAAGCTGAACAAAAAGTCTAAGAGTTCAGGCCCAAAGGAGAAATGTCAGTCCTGTAAATTTCCCCGGAAGTCGAGGGAAGTCAAAAATGATACTCCATGCAATATTTTTTGTTGAATCCAACACAGCTCTATGGACCAGATCCGCGTCGACGATGGCGACGTCGACATTCGATGTTCGATGTTCGATGTTCGATGTCATCACGAATTCGCCCCACACTCATATTTCTTTCGCCGGTTCTGTTTTCCACTTGCGCGGTCCCCTAATCCGGTGACATCCTCATGCAGTCCATCATCTGCCGCGATTGTTTGGCGTAGATTCGTTCTTTTTGCTTATTTGGTCGCCCACAATCCATCGTCCCTAAATTATGGTCACGCTCCATAGCGACCCTTTGGACTTGGATGACACAGGCTTTTCATAGCACAACTGATCCGTCCACGTCGACACGCCGCTCCAGATCTCTTGTTCCCACTCCCTGCGAAGACACGTTCCTGCGGTCAAATGGCCACATACGTACCATCGCCATGGCAATCCTCATGTCTCTTTTCCCTCCACACACTCAACTCTTCTGGTCATGCGTGGGCATCTACGCCGATGTCATCAAGCTTTGTTCTCCAAGCAAACGACTGCAACGACTCGCTGAAGAGTTAGCCAAATTCAGCAGAAGACCTCCCGAGACTGCCGTTGAGTCCTTGACGAGATGCATGAACGAAGCCACCTCGCTCGCCCAGTACGAGAAGTGCACTATTGCCTTGGACAAGCTGCAAGGACATGAGGCATGGAAAGAGGAGAAAGAGTCGATTGAACCTGGTTACAATCCGGACACCATCCAAACTCAGGTTGACATGCTTCACAAGGCGGTGGCCGCCTCGGACCTGAGTGCGATGCGGCACCTCCTGAGAACGGGCCTCAGTCGCGATCTCGGAGGCATGAATATGTTACGCTTATACAAACATTCTTGGTTCGGCACCAAATTTCTGATAGACGAGTACATCAACACTGTTTTAGACACGATCGACGCCTTTGCCGACACAACCATCCGTTTGAATGCCCATACGACCGAGGTTCGAGCATGCCAGCAATCGTTAGAAGACGCTCTTAAATATTTTGGACGATCGGCACTAACGTTATCTGGTGGAGCGCTGCTCGGTATGAAGCATATTGGCGTAGTCAAGACTTTGTGGGAAGCCGAGTTACTCCCCGAGATCATTTCAGGAGCATCAGCGGGAAGCATAGTCGCCGGCATAGTTGGAAGTTCGACCGACGAGAACATGGTTGAGGTCCTCGAGCATTTCCCGTTTTCCGACTTGGCTGTCTTCGACCCTCCTGGGACTGATCGACTTGGATGGCTCGTTCAGCGAGTTCGGACATTCCTTTATACTGGCGCGTTTTTCGACATGGAGAATCTGAAAAGGGTAATGAAAACATGGCTGGGGGACATCACTTTCCGGGAAGCACACTACAAGACCGGTCGAGTCCTCAACATATGTGTCTCTAGCGCCGGAAGTGCGGAGCCACGACTTTTGAACTATGTGACCGCTCCAGACGTTTTCGTTTGGTCTGCCATCTGCGCTTCATGTGCCGTCCCTAGTGTCTTCTCACCGGTCAACATTTATGAGAAAGATCCCATCACGAGGGCCGAAATACTGTGGATGCAGAGTGCCCAGCAAACATTTGTGGACGGTTCTCTTGACCATGACATTCCCATGAGAAAATTATCTGAAATGTTCAATGTCAACTTCTTCATTGTATCTCAGGTCAACCCACACGTTCGGGCTTTCCTAGAACCGGAGGAGAAATTCCGAGGACGACAGCCCAAGACCCCTGTTCCACGGCGGAATCCTCTCCAGGTGGCCAAGGGCGTCCTCAGGCGCGAAATTATCCACCGAGCCCAACAACTTGCAGATCTCGGCTTTCCACAAAGATGGTACCGATGGGCTTCGGTATTCAATCAACAGTATACGGGTGATATCAACATTTTTCCTGAGATCAGATCCAGCGAATATCTCCACATGATGACGAACCCAACTCCGGAGTTCATGCTCGAAGCTACTGTGGCTGGAGAACGAGCAACGTGGCCTAGGATGTGTCGAATCAAGAACTGCGTCGCCATCGAACTCGCTTTGATACAGGCTATACATATTCTGCGAGACAGGGTAAACTTTGGCCCGGAGGCCAGAGCCGCTCGCGAGCCTAGGCGGTCCAGCAGCAGAGGTCGTTCAAGCCGAGGCCGTTCAGCTCGCCCAGAATTTCTGAGAAGACGAAGCCTCAGCATCGAATCTCCTGTCGGAGGGCAAAATGGTCTGACCGTGCCAAACTCACTCAGGGTCCGCCGCAATGTCAGTCTAGGAAATATCTCTCTGAAACCCACCATGTCCTTCTCCCTCACTCCCCGAACCACGCCTTATTTGTCACCTCAAGTTGGAGTCGATCATGACCTGATGGGTGATGCCTTGTTAATGACAGCTACAAAGGATTCGGAATAGAAAGTCGTCGGGACTGGCACCCATACAAGAGGAAAACCACTCCCAACCAATCTTCCCCCCCTCTTTTTTGGGGGGGTTGGGGGGGCCTTCACGTGACCGTGCATACGTGGCGGCCACCGATGTACGTTTTCTCAAATTCGAAACGATACCACTGATGTACATTAAGAGAAGTGTAGAAAATAGTAAATGAATAAAAATCTTTTTAACAGTCTAGTACGGAAAGTGATGTGCGTAACATGCAGTGGGTGGCCTTTCGGGGAAAGTGCGGAGAGATGGCACTGGTGTCGCGCCGCAGCCCTGGCTTTCTCCTGCAGAACCGTGTCTGTGTGATGTCGACCTTCAACGAGACCACGATGGACGACTAGTCGGCCCTTCGGAGCACTTTGTTGATGGCAAAATCAAAGCGCTGTTACACAACTTCACGCCATATGGTGCTTTTGATCCGACTGTGGCAGCCATGGACCTGAAATCGATGCTCAACGACTCTTCCTCCCAACGCCAACCACCGCGACTTCACACGCCACAAACCTCCTATGACCAGGCAGCGGTACACACCCCCTCCTATGAGTCGCATTTCGAGCGGCCGCCATCATATCAACCACCTCTACCTTCCTCCGAATATAGGTCTTCTGCCAATGGCTCGTATTTTGCCGTACAGTCACCAAACCAGCAGAACTCTGGCGCCGGGTCCGCTCCCGGCGTAACAGGTCAGTCGATGTTTGCGCAGAGTCCAGGACCACAGGGACAGATACACACTCTGCGCGAAGGCATTCCACCTTCGCATCCGTATCAATCGCCCTTTGCTCCTTCTCCGTCGCCTTCGGGTCCTCCACCACCGACGCCAGGTTCTACCCAACCCTACCCGACACCCTCGACAGCAATAACGTATTGTCATCCTGGCGCACACCCTGCTTTCAGTACCCAGTCACCCAGAGATGAGGCGATACCTCCGAATGGCAATGCGCAGCCACATTCCCGCACTTTGTCGCCCCAAGCTCAATTCCACCCACCCCCGGCGACTCCTTTAGGTCCTCCAGCCTCGTATCCTCGCCCATCCCCGCACCCACATAGGCCAATATCTCAGGGTCAAGAGAGCTATAGGCGGTCGTCTGTGGGTTCCGTTGGTTCTACTCAGAGCAGGGAATACAGCCATCCGGCATACACGCAGGCAGATCATTCTCGGAGCGGGAGCGTACAAAGAACCTATTCGGGAGAAGTTCGTGAAAGAGAGCGGAGCATAGAAAGTGTCAGTCCGAAGACAATCCCCAAACCACCTCCTCAACGTCGGACGAGCATCGGAAGGTACCAGGAGTTGCAGGCGGAAGTATATACTGCAGCCCAACCTTCATTGGGGTCACATGCAAACGCGCAGCCTCAGGGAACACCAGACAGAGTTGTTGACGTTCAGCAACACTTCGACACCACTCCCAAATCTTCCACAACATCGGTGGAACCCAAACCAGCCGCTCAATACCAGACATCCCGGCCGAGTCCCAGTACGGGAACGGTCAATAACATGACACCTCAATCCACGCCCTCTTCTCTCCCGGCTCAGCCAAGTCCTCCGGCGACGGTACAACCGGCATTAAAGCGAAGTGCGAGCAACATGTCTGGTGGTGCGACAACGTCGTTACCTCCGAAGAGACCGAGACGCGATGAAGTCCCAACATTTGCGCAAAGTGCTCGAACAAAGCCCTTGAGGTTTATCAAGGCACCGCCAGTTGTCGCACCGGCAACGAGCGAAACTCAGGTCAAAAGGGATGACTCAGGCTCACAATTTCCAAATGGTCAGGCTCAAGCCCAAGGCGAACCTCGCTGGGAACCCTCGATCACGAATGTGGTGCCATACGAGGATCTTACGAGACGCGTTTGTGACTGGATCTTCTCAGTGATTGGTATGGCTGCTCCGCCCGGGGGGGGAGCGATGTTTGAAATTGAAGCCAAAATCGGTGCTATATTTGACGAACAATCCGGCTATCGATTGAGTCTGCCGGTGGAAACTGAGACGATCTTCAATCGTGAGAAGTATCGAGGAAGAACAAGTTTCAAGAGTTCTATGGACATGGTACGTCGTGGACTTCTGGGATGTCTCAATGGGGCTCATTGCTAATGTTTACGGTTAGGCCCAACACAAATTATTGAATACTTTTCTGAACGGTTTAGTTCAGGAGTCGATGCGTGAAGCTCAGATCTCAGATCGTTCGGTTATTGGCTATGATCATCCGCACGAATACGATGAGTTCTACGAGCTGACTGAAGAGGGAAAGAGAAATCTACCTCCATCCATCATGACCTGGCTCAATCCCCGCCATAAACCTCGCATACGAAGAACAATTGATGAAGGCACTGGGCAAGTCAAGGCACAGATCATCAAGTCGCGGATGGCCGATCTCGAGGTGTACAATCCTGGATCAGATTTCGACTTCAGAATATCCATTTCGATCGAAAGTCCTTGGGACGGAGAGCCGCATTGGCTTACAGAGATGACAGATGGGGGTCGTGATAGGAAGAAGGATCGTATGAGCTACAGGCACATGGCTTACCAGATTGATCTCACTCAGGTGAGCTACCCACATGCGCTAGAGAAAGAGCATGAATTGGAGGTCGAGATCAGCACGGAGCAGATTCGGATTGAACTTGCGAACCTCCAGGCTCAACGACCCAGTCGATACGAAGACCTTGTCAAAGGCTTCCTTGATAATGTGAGGATACTGTGTCGGAAAGGAACAGTCGGCAAGACAAGATGAAAATGAAGAGGAGACCAGATTATACGGCAAAGGTGTTGTAATGTTATCGCTGGCGATTTGAAGTTGAGGCTTGATGCGATGGAAACTTTTCCGGGAGGAATGAGCTATTCTCTTCTTTGATACCCTTGTAATATTAAATGTTGAGACGAGGGGCTGGTCAATCAAGGTGATTTTCTGTTTGCAAGCAAAAACTACCCAGGGACCTCGGCGCTGAGTGTTGATTCTGGATGGCTCTTGGTACCTGGCATTGCCAAGCCTCTCTGCGGACAAGGCACCAGAGGCTGATGTGTACGCCGCCGCTGGGAAGATGCGTCGGTGCAGACTTTTTGTTGCACTGACGCATTCGTTGCATCGCCTTGCAGCCGTCGCCGTCCTCCATCCATCACTTCGCAGACACGTCAATTGGTATCCTGCGCGAACTCTTTTCATCCCCTGCTCTGCTTCACCATCGTCGGCAGTCCTTTTTTCTCTTTGCCTCAACTTTCTTCCTGTACACTAGACTTTGTTCTCTCGGATCGGTTTCACTCCTTCCCATCCCTAATCCCCCCGTCCCGGTGTGCCCTTTTGACCCATTCCCGCGCGGACAAAGATTAACCGATCTCGGTCATCGAAGGAATTCCTCTCTGCCTACGCTTGTGCAACAGTACACCACAGCCATGGTTGGTCTGGTGTCAGCAGCTGGCCTCGTCGGTTTCTTGTCCGAACCAGACCCCGAGCTCAGAAGCTTCGCGTTGAAGCAACTGGACAGCCAGGTGGATTTGTTATGGACGGAAATCGCCAGCTCTGTCGGGGCGATGTAAGTATCTCCCCAACCTTGCCTTCCAAAAAGAAGGACGCTGATATCAAATTTCAGAGAGGCTCTTTACGAAGATGATTCCTTCCCGGAGCGCGAACTCGCCGCCATCGTCGCATCCAAAGTGTATTACCACCTACAGGAGTATAATGAGAGCATGGCTTTTGCTCTAGGAGCCGGAAAGCGTTTCAGACTTGATCATGCAGGGGAATTTGAAGATACCATCATCTCGAAATGCGTAGATACCTTCATCGCCCTATCCGCCAGTCGAGACCCTACCTTGGCCGCTGCCACGGCATCAGCACAACCCCAGCTAGATACAGCCTTCGGGCAAGGAGGAGATGGTGCCGCCAGCATGTCCGCGAGCTTAACGTCCCCAGTCACGCCATTCTCTCAGTCTGTCCTACCGTCCAAGTCCCTCCTCTCGAGGCAAAATACGGCAACGTTCGATCCAACTCAAGCCGGGGCCGAACTAGCACAAGTGGGCTCTCCCGAGGCTATCATTCAACAGCGTGGTCTCCAGAAAGCTTTAACTCGCGTTGTCGAATCCCTCTTCGAGAAATGTTTCCAAGAAAAGAGATATCGTCAAGTGGTGGGCATTGCGCTCGAAGCGCGAAACTTGGATATCCTGCGACGGGTGATCAAACGAGCTGCCGAAGACGAACGAAAAGATAATGGCGAGGCCACGAAGAAGGGAGAAGAATTGATGGACTACGTTCTCGATATTTGCATGAGCGTCGTGCAAGAGCGAGGTTTGAGAAACGAAATTCTTAAACTCATTCTGGAATTGCTCAATGATATCCCGTCTCCCGATTACTTCGCCATTGCCAAATGCGTGGTATATCTTGATCAGCACTCTATGGCTTCCAACATTCTGCGGCAATTGGTTGAGAAGGGAGATGCTCGCTCCTTGGCTGTCGCCTATCAAATTTCCTTTGATTTGTACGACAATAGCACTCAAGAATTCCTTCGAAAAGTTCGAGAAGAACTGGCTGAGATGTTACCGCAAGAAGACGCCAAGAGCGAAGCAAATACCCAGGATACCGATAACATGGAAAAAGACACACCAGGCAAAGCACAGGATCCGCTTCAACAGGAATTGCAGGATTCTGCTGGAGCGCCAGCACCGTCCGAGGACGTCAAACTGTCCAAGTCGAAACAATGGGAGGCAATAAAGTCGATTCGGGAAATTCTGGATGGTCTCACCTCAATACATTTAAATATCGAATTCCTTCACAAGTCCAATCGCGTCGATTTGTCGATATTGAACAAGGTCAAAGACAGCCTGGAAGCCCGATATTCGATCTACCACACAGCCGTCACTCTCTGCGCGGGTTTCATGCACGCCAAAACTGCCAACGACACATTCTTCCGGAATAATTTGGAGTGGTTAGGCAAGGCGGTCAACTGGTCCAAATTTACCGCCACCGCCGTTTTTGGTGTCATCCATCAGGGCAATATCAACCAAGTGCAAAGACTTTTGAATCCATATCTGCCAAAACCTTCTGGTGTCGGCGGTTCACATGACTCCCCGTACAGCCAAGGCGGTTCACTCTATGCCTACGGATTGCTCTGTGCCAATCACAAGGGCCAGGCAGTCGACTTCATCCGAGAGAAGTTCAAGGAAGCCACCGAGGAAGTCGTTCAGCATGGCGGTGCTCTCGGGCTCGGCGTGGCGGGCATGGCTTCTGGTGACGAGTCTGTCTTCGAGGATTTGAGAAACGTTCTTTGGGCGGATTCTGCCATCAACGGCGAGGCCGTCGGTTTAGCTATGGGTCTTGTCATGCTTGGATCGGGTAATACCAAAGTTCTGTCAGATATGATTCAACATGCCCATGACACTCAGCATGAGAAGATTGTTCGAGGACTTGCAGTTGGTATGGCTTTGATCATGTATGGCCGTCAAGAGGGCGCCGATGAACTCATCCAAGGACTTCTCAACGACACCGACCCGACAATGCGATATGGGGGCATTCTGACAATCGCCATGGCGTATGTCGGCACCGGTAGCAACAAGGCTGTGCGGAAGCTCCTCCATGTCGCCGTCAGTGATGTCAGCGATGATGTTCGACGAATCGCCGTTCTGAGCTTGGGCTTCATCCTCTTCCGCAAATACAACAGCGTACCTAGAATGGTGGAACTCCTCGCCGAATCTTACAATCCACATGTCAGATACGGTGCGGCCATGGCTCTGGGTATCTCATGCGCTGGAACCGGTCTTGCCGAAGCAATTGATCTGTTAGAACCCATGCTCAAGGATCCCACAGACTTTGTGCGTCAAGGAGCGCTGATCGCCCTCGCAATGGTGCTGGTGCAACAAAATGAAGCAATGAATCCCAAAGTCGGCACGATCCGCAAGACAATGCTGAAGATTATTGCTGATCGACACGAAGATGCAATGTGCAAGTTTGGTTGTGCCATTGCCATGGGTATTCTTGACGCTGGCGGTCGAAACTGCACCATCAGCCTGCAGACCCAGACGGGCAATCTGAACATGCTCGGCATTGTCGGTGCCGTCGTCTTCACTCAATACTGGTACTGGTTCCCTCTCGCTCATTTCTTGTCGCTGTCATTGACACCTACGGCTGTCATCGGTGTCGACCAAAAATTGGAGGTTCCTGTATTCAAATTCCACTGCAATACTCGTCCAAGTCTGTTCGATTATCCCCCGGAACAGCAAGCCAAAGCAGACGAAGCTCCTGAGAAAGTTAAAACAGCTGTTTTAAGCACCACGGCCCAAGCAAAGAGACGAGCTGCGCGCAAAGAGAAACAACAAAGACGCGATAGTATGGATGTTGACACGGTTACTCAAGTCACCCCAAAGATCGAAAAGGGAGACAAGATGGATACTGACGAGACAACCATCAAAGATGATGACAGCAAAGATGCCAAGAAGAAAGATGAAGGAGAGAGGAAAGAAGGCGAGGCTCCCGAGGCCAAGAAAAAGGCTGAGAAAGAAAAAGTCGGATACGATATCAGCAACATGTCAAGAGTTCTTCCAGCGCAATTAAAATATCTGACATTCCCGGATCAGCGATATCAGCCAGTCAAGAGACCAACTGGTGGCGTCATGGTCGTGCTTGATACGGAACCCGACAAGGAGCGTGAAATCATTCCTCTGCTCGTCAGCAAGGTCGAAACTCCGGCTCCCGCTACTGGCAACGTCCTGGGCGCCGGCGCGCAGCAAACACCGCAGACGCCCGCAAGACAGATTCCTGGACCAGATGTCGTGACAGGAACAGGCGCCGGGGCGGCAGCGGCAGCTGGGGTGTTGACAGCGATCGACGAGGATGAAGAGGGAGCAGAGGAAGCTCCCGTGCCAAATGAATTCGAGTACGAGACTGATGCCGAGGGAGAGAAGGACGAGTAATTTATCGGCTTCGGAAGAAGTCCTTGCAGAAAGTGGATGAAGCAAGACTACTCGAACGAGCCTGGGACCGTTTGGAAACTTGCCATTTCTCTTCGTCTGACTCCAACAAAAGTCTCGGAGATCAAACTTGGGAAGGATGACTCTGTCCTGCTTTGTATTACATATCTATCGAAACTTCATTATCAGTTTCACTTTGTGTTCAACGCAAAACCGGATCGTAGACAGATAGTTTGAATTCATTGCTTTCAGCAATTTTGCAAAAGGAGAGGGGAAAGGTTCTACTATGAACCATTTCTCTACTCTTGCGCCCTCTATATGGTTCGTTTGAGAATCTTTCATAAGCACGTGAAATGTTTTGAGGACGTCAGGGTTGTAGTCCTCCTCGTCACAATGTTAGAATTGACTCAAGTAAAGAATGTAAGAATCAAGTTTGTAGATTCATAGAGAAGAGGTATCTGGGAATTGAATTTTGCAGTGTTTGGTTATTTTGTACATTTATAGATTACATGCTTCGGTCAGAGCCCGTATCCATCCATGGGCACAAAGTAGGAATGTGCTGACATTCGTATTAGTGTCTGGTAGCATAAGATAGATAGCTGAGTATGCTTTGGTGAAACGAGGTGTAGATGCAAGTGTAGGATATAGCTTCATGAATTCCCGCTCTCTGCTGTGCAGCCGTGGTCGTTCAGTGTTGTTATACACCAAACCTGGGCCGACCTTGATTTGGTTTGTTTTGACTGGTCCCTTCCCTGTCCTTGCTCTCCCAACACACCTTCCATTTTTATCACGCCGGTTGCAATGCAATGTAACGCGCTGCAACATAATGAGGTGAACGCGGTTGCGAACGCCGATAAATCCACCTCCTCCCTTTTCCATATGCCGTCCCAATCACCGCACACGACAAATCAACATTCCTCCCAACTTTCTCTCCACACATTCTCTAGCCTCCAAAATCCCCCTATCGGTACTGACGTACAAACACTCCCCAGTCCTCGTCAACCCCTTGACATACCCACTATTCTTCCCCAGGACCAACTTCCGCAGCCCTGTGACGTCCATCCATATCCTCCTCGTCGGCTTACTGACTAGCGTCATCTTCTCCAGTACGGGCGTGCTTTCCCAGTACTTCAGCCCCAACCATAATCGTCGAGTCGCGATGTTGTGCCGCGTCACGGGCTCGATAGGGGCGCTGGGATCCGACAAGCTTGGGTGTGATAATAATTTGTGTGCGGGAGGTGGTGTTGGTCCGCCACGGACGACAGTTGAGATGAATCCGGAGTTCTGTAGCGCGAGCATTAGATGTAGGTGAAATTTCGTGTCTGGGATCGAGGTGAGGCCGAGGCGGGCGCGAGAGGCATTTTGGAGATGCGAGCAGGTGTTTGCCAGGTGGACGAGGGACATTGTTGTGGATTGTTATGAACCGAGCGGAGGTGAAGGGGAAGTCTGAACCTCCTCCGCTATTGTGAGAGGTGCAGAGATGTCGTTTGCAACAAAGGTTGTTCTGGAGATTGCGGAGGGGAAAAAAGTGACGGTGATAGTAAAGGTAAAGTCGATTCTCCTGGTGTCCCACAGCGGTAAATTCAGTACTGGGAACTTGAGAGGTATTGTGCTCGGCTTCAGACTCCGCTGCTCGCACGCTTGAGATACTCTCTGGTCGCCGCAGCTAATGTCTATGATGGTGATTGTCCGTGTCTCTCCTATTGTGCGGCGGGCATTGATTGTAGGCCGCTGAAAAACCGCAGCAGAATGCCAAGACCGAGCATTAATGAGCCATGATTGGTCACGCTTGACGTGCTTCCTTTCATCAAAAGGGAGACTTTGAGATTCGAGGGACTGCCTCCTCTGTACTAGCTTTCCAAGTCTAACTAATAAGTAGGATCATCCTTTGGGCTTGCTTCGGCATCATTGACAAGGAATTCTTACGCTACGGCACACGATGCCGCAAACACGGTCTGACCTTAAGGTGATCATTCCCTCCGGAGTTCGAATGTCCTCCCAGTTGTCGTGACACCTGCAGTCACTCACCTGCTAGATTTACACGTGCCCACATGCTGACGGTAAAATTCTTGATTCAGCAGTGCCTGCATTAGATCTTTCATGTCGGGAATGTCACCGGGCCACTTCTAAGCGCCAGGGAGGACTCTTTGTCCTGACAAATCATGAATTAGAATGACCCATGTGTGACTGTACTTCCTGCAGGCGTCAGATTTTTGCGTGGCATCTTTCGGAAACGCATAGTATTGACACCAAATAAGAGGTCCCGATCATCCTGGGCTGGTGCCGTGGAACGTTGCTTGAAAAGGTTGTTCAAGAAGCACGAATCGAGAATTCAATGATGTCTCTTCATAACACTGAGGACACACGGCCATGTGATGAACTCCGAATAAGGTTCCCAATTTGCCTTGCTAGACGGTGTCGATGAGTGCATGATCGGAATACTGATCGAGATGAGTCTGTAATTCGCGTCAAATAATGACGTACAGGTCGATCAAGCTGAGCAGGCGGTAAAAGTGGCCATGGACAAACCGAGCAGGACGGACTATCACTTTTTGCGTCAGTAATGGCATTTCTCATTCGACAACGGTTGACAATACGACGTGAGGAGGAGGCCCGAGCCTATTGGAGATGTTGTAAAATGGAGAAGGGGGCAAACTTCCCAGCCTACGGGGAACTTGAGAACAAGGTTCTGGAAAGCATATTTCGGTTGTCAAGAAATCGGAAGCTGAAAAGGCTGTCAATGTGTAGTTCTCGAACCTGATGACTCCAAGGAATCAATGTGTAAACAGAACATACTTTTCATCGTCATCACACAACAATAATGACTCATACTATCCCAGCAGGGACTCTATCAAATCCTCCATATGAAAGCATCAAGCATGTCTCTCACCAGCAAGGTTCGAATGGTAACAAACCAGAAGTCACGGCGGGCTTGTGACATCTTCACCGTCTTCACGAGTCCACAGACATCTCTACAGGTCATGTGGACCTGCTCCACGGTCAAAGCGCTTCGTCTTATGCAAGTGTTCTTAACCAAACCCCAGGAATTATTCGCGATTGGCTCATCTATCGCGCCGATTTCCGAGGCCAGGGTGACGAGCTCGCAGGAGTTCGTGGCTCATGGTTGTAACCGAGAATTGCCCTGTTAAGGTTGTAGCACATGCAATCCCTTGAGCTGTTGAAACGGCGGGTAATGACATTGTTTCCCAACCAAAGGTACACGAATCATATTTTCCATGGGAAGTTTGGAATTCATCACCAATCTGGAGCGGATTTTCCACGAGACCAGAATGCTTCTTCGGCAGGACGACCGGATGATTGGTTCGTGGACATGACCATTTGAGACAAATTGCAATTGCTTCAATGCAAAATGATCGGGCCCGAACCATTGGTATCCAGGGCAATCGCGCGCGCGCTCGTTCGGAACATGACCACGGCAGGCAGAAGATAAAGGAGAGAGGTAGTCGACGTGCTAGTCCAGTCAGTCAATCGACATTCAATCATTCAACAGCGGCCGACTCTGTTGCGGGATGATTTCAGGTGTTGTGTAGTGTAGTGCCGCGCGCTCAAGGACGCAATCCTGTCGTGCCGCATTTGGCCAGTCAGCCTGATGCTCTTCTGAAGCTGCGACGAATCAGAGCAGATGGACGGCAGAAAGCGCCGTGTCATTGTGTCATGGCGAACAACACAACAGAGCAACAGAGACGGCCAGGTGGTCAGCGGCATGCGAGAGCAATAGATAAAATCGACGCTGCCGCACAAAATGCTGGCAGAGGTTGGGGACAATCACCAAAACACACTTTGCCACTTCTCGCCGTGCGATTTATTATTTCTATTCTCTCGTTTGCCGATTGACTTGACTTGCACCTTCTCTTCACCCAGACCGGCCTAACGCGTGTCCGTACACCATACCTGGAACCCCCGTGTACCACCGACAGCGCATCCACGCACTTAGCCGGCATCCGTAGGTGCCATCGACAGACGCTTCGCCTATCCAGGACCAGCTCGGCGGGCCGACCGCAAGGGCGACCAGGCAAAACAGACAAACAAAGCGACGATTTGGGTACAGGCAAGAAGCTGGAAGTTGACAGTGTCGAGCGTCCAGCCTGTCGCCTGCAGCCTTTCTCACAAGTCACAGTTACAGGGAGGATCATCGAATCAGCAACACAGAGAGCGACAGCAAGCGCAGGAGCTGGACAGTTGAACTGGCTCGAGTGTGGACGGCCTACAGCCAATCAACATCCCGCCAAGCCACTCTTTGGGGCGGGCCCCTGCAAGTCCACTTTTTGCCGCCGGCGGCAACAAGCCCAAAAGAGCCCCCAAAGTCAGCCATTTGAGTGCGATTGAGTCTGTTCTCCAGGCTTCCCCTGTTCTCCCGCTGTTATAACGCCCACACCTTGCTTCTACCTACAAGCCATACCCAGTAACTCATACCCCATACCACGTCCTCCATCCTCCTCCACTGGACAACGGCTTTCCTGTCCTCCTCTACCCTCTCTCCCGTCCTCCAACCATTCACCCTTCACCCGGGCCGTTTCAACCCAATCCCCTCAGTCGCCCTCCTCTCCTGAGCGCCTCAATCGTCCAGTCTCATTGCGGCAATCCTTCGCTGGCTGGTCCTGCCCACTTCCTCTCTCCTACGCGCCAAAAAGCCTCCAGTCAGAGCTGTCTTGCTCCTCTCGAACTACGAACGAGCCTACTGCACCTCGCACACGCACCGGTGACTGAGCTGGTCTCCATCCTGGTCACGATTGTCGTGCCAGTGCAAAAAGCTGCTGCTCTGCGCGTGCTGTGCCTTCCCAGAAATAGATCACTCATCTCTCCCACTGCCTGCCCTTCCTACTCCTTGTCTTCACGGAACCATCCTCTCTTCCCTTCGCTGGTGTCCGTCGGGCCTCTTTTCGTCAGCTTCCTACATACCCGTCAGCGTCAATACCACGAGACTTTGAAGATCGACTCTCTCGTCGTCGACGTCAAGATGCCTGCGGTAACCAGACCCGTTCTCCCTCCTCTTCAAACTCCCAAGACCGCCTCGTTCCCCTCCGAAATCGTCGATACTCCCGTTTCAGCAGTAATCAAGCAGGAGAATGCCGTAGCGGGCACCCCCATTACACCTCCAGTGGCCTATACCGAGTTCCTCAAGGCCTTGACTCCGGTCCTGGCAAGTCCTCCTGCGACGGGCGTCCTCCAAAGGTCTATGTCGGATGAATCGACCTGTACAAGATACTCTACGATTTCCAATGCCTCTACATCTTCCAGCTTGTCTTCAAGCCGAAGCGAAAGCCACAAATCTCCCTCCAGCTCCGTCCCGCCCACTCCATATACTCGCAAAACTCCCACGGCTTTGAGGCGACTTCGAATACCTCACTCTCCAGCCTTTTCGCCCACCACATGCGGCCCCTCGCCGCGGACTACCGTGAGCGGGATGAGCACTGGTGGCATCTACTCTCCATTTTCCCCTGCCGACTGGAACATTGACAGTGCCTCTCGTCGTTATTTTGACCCACCGAGAAGCGCTTGTCCTAAGCCGGTCAGTGTTCGATCCGTGGTGAAAAGAACGGTCACGTACAAACGGTCACCTCTTTTGGACCCTGCTCCAAAGGGCAAGAAACGCAAGGTTGATGCCTCCGAAATGCCTCCACCCAGCACGAATGACACTGGTGTCATTTCAGTGACTAATTTCCCTTCCACATTGGTGGACTCTTCCTCGACGATCGCGAGCCCACCTTCTGCATTGGCCACCACTCCTCCAGCAGCAGTCACATCTACCCCCACGCCTGTTGCGTGAACTTGACAGTGACGCGGTCTCCAACACGCGGATCCCTCGTTCGGTGTTTGAATTGATCCCCCGATGAGGCTATCTCTATAGGCTTGCTTCCATAAAGGACGGGTCCTGGATATCACGGCATATTTCACTGCGCTTTTTGGTTTGTACATGATACCACATTATCACTGTTTGGCGACGGCGCTTGGCGTACTGGATGCGGCGAGCGAAAGATACAGAAAGCAAGGGTTGTGAACTGAACCGACTCGAGGGAAAATCCACCTTGCATGACATGGCACTGCATGAGATGGCTACGGCAGGAATGGTTTTGAAATTTACTCTACGACATTCTTCAATTCTGGAGCTGGGAAATGGTGGGTGGAATATTCGAAAAGCATCTGAACAATTTTCGTGGTAGTTGATATCGGATCCTGCAGCCGGATCTTGTGGTGAGAGCAGATTTTGAGATCCGAGAAATTTTCAAGGGAGCACCTCGTTTTGCTTCGTCTTTTGAGGAACAAGCGGAAAGAGACAGACAAGCCAATGAACGAAGAAGTATTTGTTCTGAAAGTACACATTACTATCTGCCAACGAATATCTGGATTTTCCTCAAGGGAGGACCATTCCAGCGCTCCACCTAAAGTACGAGCTGTGAGGCGAAAGCGAAGGAGGGGTTGCAGAAAAACGTGGCAAGGAAGATCTTCAGCCGCCCTTCCATCAACATGATTCTCCAATGAGACTGGCCATGAGCCGTTCTTCGATCACCGATTGAGTTGTGGGAGACCAGGACGTGGAATGGTTTCGATTCGTGGAATATTCAAGATTACGTAGTAGATGAGCTGAAGGGATTGGCGGGAGAAAGAGAGAGCTGTACCAGTATGCTATGTATAACATCAACGGACATGGAGACTCTTCCGTTTTCAAGGTGTTTATGGGTTCTTATTGGTGGGATAACCGCGTGCTTTGGGAGCTGATCAGCCCCGTACAGATGCCGAATAACTATCACTGAGGGGTGGTGGAAAACAAAAAAAGTCTAAGGTATTTTTACCTTGCCGAAGACTTCCACCTCAGCACCCAAGTACTTGGCCTCCTATGTATGCGGTCCTGAGGGTTTTGAGGGGTCTGTTTTCGCATCGGTAATCGTATAGGAGAGGAGGCGAGAGAGGTGCGACCACCTTGGGTCTGACGCAGGGGGTGACTAGTTTGTTGTCGACAAGGTGTACGCATGCGACAGAAATGCCACCAGGAGGTACATCCCATGCTTACCTAATTATAGATGTCTCCTGAACGGGGGCCGGAGCACGATAGATAAGAAGAGTAGTCGGTCCATTCAGTGGGAGGACGAGATCGTTTGATGGTAGTGGTGGCGATAAAAGCGGCGAGGAACTTGGATGTTGGAATTGACATCACCGCCCTCCTTTTCCCAGGCTGCCAACGACATCGGGCCAGGATCAACGAGGCTAAAACCAATTTCCTACCTTCCTTCAAACCCATAGGCTGCATTCGAGTAATTCTAGCGTGCTTCAGGCCCTTGTTGATTGGATGTTGGTCCCACGGGATTGGGAGCTGGGGATCCGCTGTACCGCATCGCTGGAACCGGACGTGAATTAGGGTCCTGAAGACATTTGATTATTGGCTTCCAAATGGCTCGGTAGGGGTGGAGTCGGAGCGCACTCGGCGCTTTCTCGAACATGCGCAGCCAGTTGTTTGAGATGACGGACAGGGGGTTTGAGACCGGTCAGGAAGAGAGAGGTGATGATTGGCCAAGAGGGGAGAACGAAGAGGGTTATTTTTGGTAGACTGCCAAAGGATCTCTGGCCAATAGGAGAGGAATTTTCGGTGGAGTTTTGGCTGGAGAAGGGGGCGGGCGCTTAAATCTTGCTTCGCTCGACGTCGTATGTTTTGCCTTGGACAACCGGCAGTACAAAGGCTAGAACGGATGCGACTGAAAAAAGCGGTATTGTGATTGAAATGATGGGATATCTGCGCTTCGCCCTTTCGTCGGAGATCGACAATTTGTCTCTGTAAGTTTTGGATCAACTTTCTCCCTTGCGGGATCCTATTGATGAGACCTGATGCCAGGGTGTAAAGCTGCCGCAGAACCAAGTTTCGGCCTGACTAGGGAAAGCGGTATCCACGACCTTGGTCCATATCGAATCCGGCCAGGTACGTACTCCGGCCCCTGAAACAGGACGGAGTAACGGAATTTGGTTCTCGACACCCTCTAGTTGGCATGGAGCTGACGCGACATGGTGATGGCCAAGTAACATGTGATCCCTTCAACATTCCCAGTCTGCAAAGGACGCAAGGTACAGTCCAAGTTCGTGCAATCGCCTTGAATTGGCTGTGTTTTCGAAGAGACCCCTGCTCCAGGCTCTCAATGGCGTGCTTAAAGCGCGCTTATCCACAAAGAATTCTGCGGAGTGCCTGTTTATTGACCTCTGAGGTGTCTGGATGGCAGAGCTAGGCTATGCTGGCATGTTCGGATCTATGAAGCAGCTTCCTCCCTGGCCCAAGAGGTACGTACTCCAATGTTGAATGTGAGCCAAAGGCTAGCGGAAAACATCGGGTCAACCTTCACAACACCACATCCGGGTTCCCACTGTGATCGGTATCAAAATTGTGACTGGTGACAATGGCTTGCACGAGCGCACACGTCCGCTGTATGTGGTCCATTTTCCTTGAATTTGCGATGGGTCTTGAGAAGGTAACAAGCAACTTGAGTGCGTTGAGCGGATCCATTCGGTGCCGCGAGCTTGAGAATGGCACTTGCTATCTGCAGGAGGAGATGCGATTGCATAGCAGTGACTTGATCACGCCATCAGGCAAGACTGGATTTCAACGATTTGATTCGTTACCGTTCAGATTTCGATCTTCGATTCCCCCCAGCTAGACACCAAGTCACGAATGCGCGTATAGAGAAGATGCCCGAGGTTACGACAAAACTCAGATTTGTACTACTTCTCCAAAAAAGGAGTCTTGAGAAGATAAATTGCCAGAATCTCCACATGTGTCGTAGACATGGGTCCGTAGGAACATCTCGTTCAATCTGACAAGATGGGGGGTCAGAAATGTCGTGTTGCTGAGCACCAGACTCCATGCCCACATTTCAAGGAGTATATCCATGCGATCGATGACGGCGACAGAACCGCTTCATGTTGTGAAGCAGTATGTCCCTTTGTCGAATCTGAATCCAAACGAAGGTGATATAACTATTTTCGGTGCTCATGCCTTCGGGTTTGGCAAAGTATGCGTATTTCTGTCGTGCCGGTAGTGTCATGGAGTTTCTGATCACCTTAGGAATATTATGAGCCCATATGAGGAGGCCTGGTTGACAAAGTTGAGATAGCAAGGTGTTGACGCTCGAGCAAGCTATGTCCTGAACCAAGACAAGCTGAGAGAATGAGCGTAATTGATTTAGTCATGGAGACTGTACGACTTACAGATGCCTTCACAGCTGAGTGGCAGGACCCGTGCGGGATCTGCTCCATATGGTCGACCTCTTCCGCAAGGAAATGAAAAGGCTCCTGATGGGAATTGCCCACCGCATGGGGGCTTGCAATTTGGTTGATCTTGCATTGATACACCCACGTCTGTTCACGACTCTCGTCCTGACTCAGCCTGGTACGCTCATGATCCAGGGAAATCGACCAGCCCCCCTCAAATATCGGCTAGACGTTGCGATCGATGGCCCAGTCGTGAGGGGACGATGCGAGAAACCCCTGTTTTTCAAAAGGTATGACGCGAGAGTTGATGATCGTGACGTCGTCCATGGCTTCGCAACTTACCGACTCAGTGGTATCCAGAAACAACAACCAACGGCGAACAGAGAGTGACTCTGACCAAACCTCACAACCAGGAGGTAATGCCCTTCCTCCGTCCAAATCTTCCAACAGAAAGCTATCCCAATCCTGACGAAAGACCCGATCGAAAAATCGGCCCTGATGTGGACCCATTCGCAACTCAGGTCTCTCGCCATTCTACTGTCCAGCCTCTGTGATGGCTTTCCACAACCTACCGCATTTGAGGCCCATTGTATTGTTCGTTTTCGGTGCTCTTAATATCAAGCAGGATGTCGAGGGCAAATTGACGGCAACAGAAGCTGGGATTGGAGGTTTACGTGGCGTCGCAAATGGTAGAGTCAAGCAGGTCCAGCTGAAGGCTAGACATCTTCTGCCTTTCAAGATAATGGAGCAGGCTACTGAAGTAGCCAGCGAGTGGATTATTCAGCAGGACTGGGAAGTGCTGCTGAAAGGGCCATGTATTCAAGTCGGGAGATCCCTGGTGTACTCTCGCCTCTCTATGCGAAGTCCTCAGCTTATGTACCGTCGGAACCGGATAAACGGGGTTTCCGGTGGCTTGGCGGAGCACTCTTATCGTTATCGAGCCGCCACTAACAGGAGGAAAAATGCAACATCAGCCTCCAGGTCATCAACAAGCTCTTGGGCACATGCATTTCCCAGCCGCAATCCTCCGTTTGATTACATTGCGAGTGTTGCCCCAGCCTTGAACGAATATCTGTCCCGACCTCGCTTTTGGCCTTTCTTTTAACGTTGAAGGACTCAAAGTTGCACGAAGCGACCGAAAAGCGTCCGCAATCGACATCATTACGACTACTGGTGTCATTCGCCGATTGCAAATTTACCCTTCCAGCGATCTGGCATTGTTGAATCACTAGCCAAGTGGAACCCTCTTTTTCCTGGACTTCAGACTATCGAGTACGAAATCTCGTGTAGCAATCCTAACCAAGATGCCTTCCGTCTCATTTGCGACTTTCCTCATTATCTGCCGTAAGAAGAGCCCAACTTTTCATGGGCAATGGGACTAACATGAAACTTCCTCCAAGCTGTCTCCTTTTTCCTGGGCATTCTCTTCTCCTTATTCCCCTACGACTACCCTCTCTTGTGGTCGTCGCTCCCAACCCCGTCGTCCCATTTCGACGCGATTGAGACGCATTTGAAACTGTTGCACAATGCGCCGAACCTGATCCAACGGATTCTCCACATCATGCTTAGCATGGGCATTCTCGGCTTGCTTATCAAGCTGTACAAACCTAGCGAGTCAAACATGCTCTTCGACGGCGGTAGTCTGGTGCTCTACATGGTTGCTGTGATTGTCTACATTGCCAACATCGTCAAAGGCTTGCGGATTGTTAGCGAAGGAACGTACGGATTGATCAACATGCACGAGTTGACGCAGGATCAACGTGATAATGTCGATGCCTCGGGCTACGACGTTGATACCGGAGATAGTGTGCTCGGTCGTGAGGATAACTTGAAGGTTTTAGCCGCCAGCAACACCATCCTGGCTTTGGTCCTGGTGGGGGTCTTGGTGTTGCAGGTCGGCCAATGGTATGCGGAGCGCACTGACGAACGTGTCCTGAGGGAATTCGAGGCCAAGGAGAAAGCAGAGCGCGAGAAGGAGAGCGAAGGTCCCAATCCCGGCGTAAAGAGACAGAGCAGTGGCAGAGAAAGCAAGAAGGCGAAATGAACAAATGGGATGTACGCTGCTTGGTGACATCTGTGCATCGGAATGTTGTTCATCCTTATCTCACGACAACGGTATGACATTTTACGCCGTCTAGGATACTGTGTGCAGGTTCCAAAAGTTCAGTAGAAGTGATATGAGACGCTGCATTCCATGAGAGCAGTGTTGCATGACGATAATGTACGTTGATCATAAAATAACCATACTTATCGTTGTGTTGTCTTCAGGCTGATTCCACTGAACTGTTCCGGCTCGGAAGGACGTTCTGCTTCAATCAAGCAATCGTACTTTTCAAGGGTGCCCAAAGGAGCTCGGAGAGACATGTATTCCTGCCCTGAATACTCCATCATTCCACTGCTTCCAACAGACCTCTCTCAAAACTCAAAGCTCCCACGACAACCAGGATATGCATAATCTGATGGCTGCTCCCCCAGATGTCAAAGGTCCGTGTGAACCATCTCCAGTATTCGAGCTGCAGAAATGGTTGCTCTAGTGAAATTCAAAACCCCAAGACCAAGGAAGTGGTCAAGCCACGTGTGTCGATTAACTTCGTCATAGCCGTAGTTGAAGAGGCCACGGATAACGGGAAAATATTGACGTGTCCTGAGAGTAAGCAGTTCACCACTCCCAGGTAGCAGAGGATGACAGCAGCAATATCTGCCACGTGTATCGACGACATTCTGGGCCGGACGGACACACCAAAATAATAAAGAGACGATGCGAAAGTAAAAGCAAGGGATACCACCCAAACGAACGCGCGGTTCGGGTTGATTTTCACTCATCACGAGGATTGATCATGTCGGATGACGAATTTAATTTGATCCGATTGAGACAACACTTTATATCCAGCCTCGGCCATGAGTACAGAAAGCACTTCGATCACTTTGGCCAGCATATTAGTACTTTTGGGTTTTTGGCAGAAGCCAACAAGCCAATCAAGCCATGATATCCTTCAATTGAATGGCAAGAAGTGAACATGCAAATGATCTCGGAGGAAATGTGAGAATCCATTTTCCAAGCACATTTGCCGAAAATTTCGGTCATCTGGTGATACTCCACATTCGCAAGTTGTCTCCTATGACGGCCTAAGAGTTTCCCCAGATTTTTGATGTCTCACCTGGAGAAGAATCATGAGACCCGGCATGTACTCTACATGTCGGACAACGAGTCGAGGAGGAGAAAGTCGGAAGGAGATGTCCAAGCCTCCTGGGGAAGGCGAAAACCGTACGAATTGTGATTGGCTGAACCAGACCTCAAGGGGCAGGCGAACCTCAAAAGCAAATTCGGCAGCCTTTTCTCCGCCCGAAGCCGCCTCGATTTTTAAGTATCTCCTTCTCCTTGTACGGGGGAGTCCTTTCACACCACAAGGACGCTTTGTTTTTATTGTTACTCCAGATGCCTTCCATGACGAATTCCAAACCCGTGGCGGAGTTGCCGCGGTTTCTACAGCCTCGTTTGAGCTGGACCGCCGCTTCCTTCGTCCAGACTGCTCCGCAGGCAGTGCCTATAGGACCTTCGATCAAAAACAACTCGATCATACCACCATTCAAGGGCGTATCAAAGCCTAGATCGATCCATACAAAGGCTTTCAAGAGTTTGATTGTCTCCAAAACTGCCTCTACAGGCTCCTCCAGACGACCTCGAACCTACGTTTCACCTCTCTCCCCGGACTCAACTCCGATCCGCCACAATGGGGTCTATGTTGCTGTTTTCTATCCGGCCCGTAAAGCTTTCTCCACGACTGCGGTGCAGAAGAAAGAACATCACTTTGACACCTTGAAGTTTGTTCAGAGATTAAAAGGGGAAGGATTCAGTGAAGAACAGGCTGTTGCTATGATGCGTGTACTGAACGACGTGATAGAAGAGTCAATCCAGAACCTCACGCGCACCATGGTTTTGAAGGAGGATGCTGAACGAAGTACATATACTCAAAAAGTCGACTTTGCCAAGTTGAGGAGCGAGTTGGCCAATGCCGACAGCACGGAAGCACAGTTAACTCGATCCAGTCATGACCGATTATCCAGCGATCTAGCCAAGTTGAATGCAAGATTACGAGATGAAATTGGCCGAACACAAGCTAGTGTGCGTTTGGATCTGAACCTTGAAAAGGGCCGGATAAGAGAAGAAGCAAACGGACAGGAGATGAGGATCAAGGAAACCGAAGCGAGAATCGAGCAAGAGGTGGCCGGACTGAGAGAGCGTGTCGAGGCAGTCAAGTTCTCGACCTTGCAATGGCTGATGTAAGTATTTGGGTCCACATTCAAGACGCTGGGGAAAGGTTCTAACTGATATGACAGGGGTGTGTGTACCGGTACAGCAGCACTAATTCTAGGTGCCTGGCGTTTGTTGATGTGAGAATTACCTCTCCCTGGATCCACCTTGAGACGAGTATATTCTCAACTATAGTGCCTACGGAGCATCTTTACGCCGGATGACAAGGCACCTATCCGTGTTTTCGACCGGCTGCCGTTTTATACAAAGTCGTTGCATCGACGGACTTTGATAGGGCCATGTACGGAACTCAGAACTGCAAAAGAGGTCAAGTCATAACCTTCCATACCCGAACATCCCTTAACCTCGGGTGTGTTGCTGGTCGTTCGGACAGAAGAACCTATCTTGACAGTCTCCGTTAATCTGCAGCCATCAGCAGTTCAAATCGTCTCCAGATCGGAGGTACGAGGCATGAGGTATCAAATACTCAAACAACAGACAACACCCCTCGACGCTGGTCTTCAAAACCAGCGCGAAAGAACGAACATCGACACTGCTCATTTGCCTACCAGAAACTGTCGAGATGTCAGAAAGTACCATGACAGGAAAGTCATAGGTCTACATGACACCCTCATACATACACTAACCCACTCAAACACAAATATTCCTTCCACCCCTTTCCCAGGCCCTCTTCTGGTCCAAGTCTATGTGGCAGCACTCAATCCCGTGGATATTCAACCTACGAACGTCCCACTTAATTCATTGCCCTATCTCAACGGCCTCAGAATCCCCGGTCGAGATTTCTCCGGCACGGTGTTGGCGACAGGGCAAGGCCCTGAATTCGAGAAGGACGACGAGATATTTGGCATTATCATAGCTCTGAATGGGACTGGATCCTTCACCGAAGTTGTTCATGTCGATACCAAAACCTCCTTGCATCATTAAAACGCCTGAGCATCTATCCTGGACACAGACTACCAGTCTGCCGCTTTTTTATCTCACGCGGGAATGTCATTGAAAATGCGAGCTATTCATGAAGTCCTCCACCATCGACAGAGAACATGTCGGTTGTCCTTGGAGGTCCTTCCGCAACGGGAATTTGTACCATCCAGATCGAAAAGTCACTGGGACAGTATTGTCAAGCTGCAACAACCGCAATGCTGAGTTTGTAAAAGGCCTTGGTGCGTCGGAAATCGCGGACTACATTCATGGCCTATAGCTGTGGTCGACGCTATGAGAAATTCTCTCCGCATGCTATCGCAGAGTGCGTTGGTGGCACGGAGTGTATCGGTCTCGCTTCTCAGTATGTGACTATCGTTGGGGACAAGACTGCTCGACCAACAATGGGTGGAAGCGCCTCATACCTGACACATCCCCGAATGGTTCTAAAGATGGCTACCGGGACACCTCAGACTGGACAATTCGTAGGTGTCTCATCCCAGATGCAAAGAGGGACTGGTTAGAGGAAACTAAGAAGTTGGAACCAGCCCAAGATATCATCATCTACAGCGTTTTTGAGTTCGGAAGGGCCAAAAAGGCGAGAGGAAAAGTCGTCATGGAGATCAGACAACCATAAGGCCGTGAGTTAGGCGGATTGAGACAGGAGGTCGGAATTCACTTTTTGGACTAGGCTTTCGATACGAGGCCCAGCCTTGCTATTCAGTGGGTCTATTTTCCTATGGCTCTGGAATAGAGTTCATTTTACTTAGGATATATGTGGCAGCCTGGTTTCCAGATTATAGTTCATGCAAGACCTCACGGCAGTAAGAGAAGAGTATCTGAAATGACTCATGCCAGTGACAAGAACCATGATCAAAAGGTGTGTGTCGAGTACTGTATCATAGAGGGAGCCTGGGAAAGGGCTTGTTACTAAAATGGTCATGTGTTAATTTTTGGCCCTGGCACCCACCGCGCACATGCACATTCGCACGATCACTGTAAGGACAGTGTATCTTGCTCTCACGCATGATCAAGTGAAAGACTTGCGCGCTTGTCGCGTATATGAGCTCTCTGCCTTGATTTAGATATTCCCCATAACCCTTGGGTTTGGTATTGTTATAATACCTCATCGCGTACTTCTCAACCCAGCGTGCTCTTTTCGCATCCATTTACTGCATGCTCGCCATGAAGAAGTCCTTTATTGAAAGAATATTCCCACACCCTTCAGGGAGTCTTCCTCAGTATGAGCCCGAGTCAGCAGCGCCATCTCGATCTCCTCGATCTCCTCCCCGAATTGTCCTAAAAGATTCTGTCGCGTCCCCATCGGGTAGCCGTAACGCCTCTACCTCTCCTCGCCATTTCACTCCCTCTCTGAGTTCGCCACTAGTGCGATACGACGACCCCTTTCTCCAGGTGGAGCGAGCAGCAAAATCCCTCGAGCGGACATTCCAGAGCCTCCTCGACGCACAATCTGAAGGTCTGATTGAAGGCATTGGAGCAGAGCCCAATAACGATGCTTCGTCAGCGGGTAGTCCTACCCCTACACCCTCTGTCTCAACACCGCCTAGAAGGGAAAAAGAGCCCAGAGCTGTGCCGGTACGGCAGCCCCAAACCAAAAAGATATCGCTCCGAGGAGCTCGTCAGAGGATAGCAAAATCAATGCGGGAGCTTGCCGCGGTGAAGGACTGGGAATTAAGACTGATTGACAAAGAAGTTGTGGCCCGTCACAATGCGTTGAAGCATGCCTCTGATTTGGAAAGCCGGCGGAAGTTGCTGCAAGACGAGATAGAGAAAATCCAGGCCGAAACGGGAGCTACAAGTTTGCGGTCTGAGGTCCAACAGGTCGAACATGACATTCGGGAATTGGAGAACACATTGTTCGAGCTAAGGGCTCGACACCGACAGCTTCAAAACCAAGTCCGAGAGCTAGAGAGTTCGAAAGATTCCAAACTGAGCTCCTTCAAGGAATCCTTCATCTTGAATGAAAACCAGGTCAAGCGCTTTCTCCGCCAACCGCCAGTTCCGCAAAGTCTGAGTACAGCCCGAGATCCTGGCATGTACGCGCTGAAACCTGAGAGACGTAGCCTCCAAGGGGCTCAAGACCAGTGGACATCCGAGATCGAGATGCTGAATCTCCGAAAATCAGATGTTGAGAATGAGAAGCAAGCACTGGAGGTGGGCTCAAAGCTCTGGCGAGAAGCAGTACACCGTATCAGGGAATTCGAAAAGGAACTTCGAACTCAGACCAATAACTTATCTCAACCACAGCTCCATTCAACTACCGGCGGCGGCGATACTTTTGCTACAGGTCAGTCAACGACGGCGGCGGCAGCAGGAGATACCTCCTTGCAAGTGGTCTTGAACAAGTTATCAAGCTTGATCACTTCTCTTCAACAAGACCTCGCCTATGCGGAATCCAAGAATTGGAATCTCCTCATTTGCTCAATTGGAGCCGAATTGGCCGCGTTCGAGCAAGCTCGAGATCTGCTCCAAGAGACAGCCAACTGGCCCCATGGTACTTCAGTTCATGGTGGCAATGAGCAGAATCTTGTAGACGAAGACGACCAGATCACTCCCTACGAAGATCTGTTAAGCGGTGGTGTTATCCAGACCAATGGCGCCGGCTCACGGAGCCCAGGAGAGAGCAGCAATCACAGTCTGGAGGACACGCTGCGAGAATTTGAGAAACGAAAGGAGCAGAGCAGCGGTGCGGTCTACGAATCTTCACGGCCTGGCGCCACCGATTTTCTCGACGACGGTTTTGGACCTAGCACTGTCCCTGGACCAGTGTCCGCTTCGACAAATCCCCCCGATCCAACATCTGAGAGCGAGGACGACGACCCTGGTCCGGACTTCCTCCTTTCTCATACCTAAGTCTGTAACAACGGCCTTCGGAGGTCTTCATATTGTATAAGTAGATTTGAACATTACATGGTGTTCCGACGTCATCGGTCTAGCTGATGTGCATCTTTGAGAGCGACTCTATGACCTCTCAATTATCTAACAACGGAAGTACTACTCATGAACTAGATGCCTTCGATTCTCTCTCCTGTAACCTCTTCCTCATCTCGGTGCTACTGATCTTGCTCTCGAAGTTCTGCTTCTCCTTTTTCGGGCCATCACTGGTGTCCTCCCCATCCAAGACACCGACTTCGAAGATTTCGAGTTCCTTCCAGCCCTTTCCCTTCCGTTTGTCGTTCACTGCCTTTCCGCCCGCCCTTGTCTCCATTGAAATCACCAGTGCACTGATCTCCTCGTCCGTGATGGTGGGTCCAAACGGATCCGAAATCTGCGTGTAGTTGATACTGATTTCGTCCCCGTATGTCACCCGCACGACTTTCCCATTGGGGCCGGCCTTGTCAATGTACTCCGTGTTCGTGATCGAGGGCACATTCGGATGGAACACGAGTATTGATTCAATGAATTCGGCCGTACGCTGTTGACGATCTGACCAGGATTCAACAACGGTGCCGTACTTTTTGTTCACGAGCAGTGCGTCGCCTGTTATTCCAACTGTGATGAGACGCGGAGTTTTAGTGGGGAAGGCTAGATCTGCGGGCTCGGAGGCCAGAACCGTGGCTGTCAGGAGCAATTTATGTCCGATATGTAAATGATCGAATGTGCCCCCCACAGCGACCGACTTGTGGGTAGTTATGGGGCCGTCCTCGGATGAGAAAACCGGGGAGCCTTCTGAGTGAGTGATCGCAGGTCCGCTGGGCAGCCTTTGGACAGGAGGAGCAGACTTGCTCGTGGATTGCCAGGCCGTGACAAGGGATTTCAGAGATGCTTCTCCAGTCTCTCCTTCAACGGAGTAGAGCGTTTCATACGGTCTGGAAGAGAGGACAAAGGTCTGAAGGTCCACGATCGGACCTGATAGGATTTGCTTGCCCACCATAGTCTCTGGAAGCTCGCCCAGGCGGGCTTCGAGCATAAATATCCGCACATCGAGACCGCTAGGGAAGTCTAATTCGACGTTGTTCCGAGCGGCAACCCCGCAGATTAAGCTATAGGTTTCTTCCAGCAGCTTTTGAATCAGAGGAAATACAGCGCAACGTGAGATGTTCGGGGTAATTGGGTATGAAGGGGAGAGAACAACAGCCACGTCAAGCCGAGAGATGGCCTGGGTCTCCGGCCGGACTAGTTTGGGGAGGAGGGTTTCAAACGTTATCTTGTATGCTGATTTCAAGGAGGATGTGGTGGAGGGGAGGAGAAGGGCAGGAAGGAGGAGAAGAGAAAGCTGTTCTTGAGGCAGGGGGGCCATGGTACTGAAAGATTGATACAGATCAAGGATGGTTATGTTGCCAAAGCGGTCTCGCTGAGTCGACAACGGGAGCAACCGGTGGACAGAGTAATAGCGGTAGTATCGAACGAAAAACCCCGTCGTCCCTCGTCCTATTCTGATTAGCCCCTCGCCGCTTCGCTCACCCTCGGCTCACCTTCTACCTCCTGAGCACTCCCTGAAGTTATACGAAGATTAGCAGAGACAAAGAGGGGAACCCACGGAGAATAAGTTACAGCAGTGTCAAGCCAAATCCAGTGCGATCTGGTTACCACGGGCTTACAATACCCCAATACTTGCGCAGCAAACACTCGTGACGACGATCCCGCCGCTCGTCTAGGTATCAAACTCAAATTCAAGTCCACATCGAACGGGGAGATGAAAGAGCTCTGGGCGACACTGGGTGGAGAGGGTAATACTAAGAAGCTGAATTCGTTGGTCGATTTTCTGGACGGAAAGGATGAGCAATGGACTGAACAGCAGCCTAGACGGTTTTTGGACAAAAATAAAGGTCGAGGGAGGACGAAATAGTATTGTGTTGGATCGCAGAAGTGCTAACTCTCGTACGTCGCCGTGTGCAAGTCGAAAGACTCTGCTCCATTGTTCCTAGTAGTGCCAAAACGTTGTCTATGTAGATATCTATCCATTGTGAATTGTGATGATAGCATCCCTGTCCAAGGCTAGCATTCGCTCACCCTCTAGGATCAAACCGTATTGTGGTATTGCAGCAACAAACTGAAACCTTTGTCACGTAACAATCTGTGGGAATCAGAGAGTGGATGCATGGCTTTTCCCAATCCCCAGGCCTCGGTGGGCCCGATCCCGGCTCTGGTGTTGAGAGTCTGAAAGATTACGCAGTTGACCCAGAGCCTCACAAGTCACCGACACCAGGGCAGCGACTCCCACTATCCGTCAGGCTCATTAGGCCGATCCTTACATACTGTCCCGTTCCTCACATTACATATTTTTGGACTCTGGAAAGTTATTATGCCCTTCCATATTCCCCGCCATCAGCACAATCTCTCTGACTCCCAATTCCCTCACGACAATTACTACAGTGCCGCCAATGCCATTTACGCGGCGGGCCAGACTTTGAGCTCTGTTGGCGCCCCAAACACTCAGTGGAACGACCCGTCCTTGAACAACACGCCCACCACGGCTTCCGAGAATCGATCCTATCAGCCACAACCCAATACCAATGGCAATGGCACCGTAATCCCCTATCGCCCGGGTCCGACAGCATATAGTGGAGGCCGGCCTCCAACGTCTTCAGACCCGTCGAGTGGGCAATATCAACAGGGTCTAAGACGCTCTCTCACTGTTGGCCGCCAGACGGAGGAATTACATTTGAACCAGCAGGGCACGGCCATGAGCGACGTCCACCACTATGGTGCGCCGCCAGCCTACGGAGGGGAAGGACTGTCCATCAAAATTGACCCGTCGACCCCCCAGCATCCCAACTGCAACCCCATACCGAGCACTTTACAACCAGGCCTCGCGAATAGACCAGCTCCTCTAGGAGCCAACAATACTGCCCCAAATCTCCCTACACTACCTCAGATATCGACCCAATTACAGCAGCCACCTCCGTCTGCGAGGCCAATGGCGCTCAATCACACACACAATTACTCGAGATCAAGTCCTGGGGCAGTAGACCAGCCGAAATATAAACCTTTCTCCAACACTCCTGAACAGTCAAAATATGCCTCTCCTCCGACGGGATATATTCCCCAGACGCCACAAGGACCATCGTCCTATTCTCCCCTCGGTCTTGCAGATATCCGGCCTCGAGCAGACACGAATTTCTCAGACACACCCTTTAGTCCCGGCGTGGCACAAGAAAATGAGTTGGAACAATATCCTCGAAATAGCACTTATGTTGCGCCTTGGCCCATATATGCAGTGGACTGGTGCAAGTGGCCGCCGCGGTCAAACGGGGCCTCGACGGGGAAAGTTGCTATTGGCAGTTATCTGGAAGACAACCACAATTATGTGAGGATTGATCTGCACGATGGGAGTGGAACCATGACTGACACAGGACGCAGATTCAGATTTTGGACACGCAAAGGTCTCAAATAGACCCAGACAACCCTCATGGCGAGCGAGGCCTGGGGTTCGTTAAGACTGCAGAAGCCACTCACGCATACCCTGTTACGAGAATATTATGGGAGCCTCCTTCGTCAAATAAACAAACAACGGACCTATTAGCAACGTCCGGCGATCATCTACGATTATGGTCCCTACCAAATGACCAACATTCATATCAGTCCAACTCCATCAATCGATCAGCTAGCACGAAAACTCCTCCCCTACAAAAGCTCTCACCCCTGGCTCTTCTCTCGAATTCCAAATCCCCTGAACATACGGCTCCGATCACGTCGTTGGATTGGAATGTTGTCCAGCCTTCACTGATAATCACGTCATCAATTGACACAACATGTACAATTTGGGACATCCCAACGTTGACAGCCAAGACTCAACTCATCGCCCATGACAAAGAAGTTTACGATGTTCGATTCTGCGCAAACAGCGTCGATGTATTTGTCTCTTGTGGCGCGGATGGGAGTGTGAGGATGTTCGATCTCAGGAGTCTCGAACACAGCACGATCATTTACGAACCATCGGAAAAGCAACAGGAGAAAAATTGTAAGTTTTGCCCCCCCCCAATTTTGCATCTCTTTGGTCTGATATCTTAACCCTTGAACAGCACAAATCTCGGACCCCCTGTCCACATCGCCGACACGGTCATCCGGCTTAGGCATGAACACACTACCCTTCCCGCCTCCACTCCTCCGTATCGCCGCCTCTCCCCATGACGCACACCTTCTTGCGACCTTCTCCCAAGACTCGAGCATCATCCGTGTCCTGGATGTCCGACAACCAGGCCAAGCCCTACTTGAGCTCAAAGGCCACAGCGCGCCTATTAACTGCATTGACTGGAGCAGTACACAGCGTGGCGTCCTCGCCTCCGGAGCTGATGATTGTTGCGTCCTTTTGTGGGATCTGATAGGTTCTGCAAGCAGTATGCCTGGTGGTGTAGCGCCCGGCACTGATGCTGGTGGTACTGGCGGTGGAGGCCAAGACAGAGGCCCCTCCGCCGCCTGGGAGTGTAAGTTTGAAATCAGTAATTTAACTTGGGCCCCAACAATGGGTACACTGGGTGTTTGTGGCGGTAAAGGGTTTTGGGGCGTGCATTTATGAGACGAAAACCTCCAAGGAGATCTCAAAAGAATGCAACCTAGAAATGGACGAGCTAGTCGGCATGACTCTTTTTCTGCGTGTGGGCAACAGATGGGCAGGGCATGACGAGAACAGAAGACTTTTGACCTTTCGTATGAGTGGGTTGACCGGGGTTTGAGTGACGATGATGGCCCATCTGCGTCTCAATTTGTGCACTTGCATGTTGGACATGGTTCGTTCTACGATGTGATTCCATTCTATAATTAAATCATAGCGGTGGTAGTCCGCGACTTGAATGTGTTTGCATCTTTGAGTTGATGTCTCGTTGAGAATCCTCGGTACATGATATTGTGTTCTGCCCCTATTTTTGGTTTTTTCTTTTTTCCCTATTGCCCATTGAGACGAAGATCAATCCAGTCGGATCAGTAGATCTTACACCTTATTTCATTCTCCTCGGTTTTGTTAAAGCCGTAGCGGCCCATTTCTAGCATGCTCTTTCGTCTATAAGAGTCTAAGTGGATGTGCTGCCCCAAAAAGAGGAAGGGGGAGATCATGTGCTACAAAAATCTAGTCTCGCACGGGAAGCTGCCCACTCAAGGGGGCGCGTTTCATAGAGCAAAAAGGAAAGACGGATATCTTCAAACCAATTCTATTCTCTTCTTTTGAGATCAATTTGCCTTGACCTTTCCATTGGCAATGTACCCATTCCCCTCTTTGCCACTGCTAGATTGGGCATCGATCACTGTCGGTGCGGTGCAGAGGAAACACGTTCTCTCGACAACCTTGAGCACCTCGTCGAGGACGATGACCGGTGCGGAAATCCACAAGACAGTCGTCCATTCAGTGTAGTTCAGCGGTTCGATCGAGAACAGTGTTTGGAGGAATGGAGTGTACAAAATCGCAAAATGCAGTGCCATGGACAGGCAAATGGCGTAAATGAGCTTCATGTTCTTCCAGAGGGGCATCGTGAGGAGAGACTCGGAAGACGACAGAGCATTCATCGCGTTAAACATCTCAATTACGACCAGGATCGACAGGGACACGGTCGAAGCAGTACGTGTGGAGATCGAGCTGGGGGAGAAGATGGAGCAATCCACGTCGGCGAACAATGGGTCGTTTGCCGAGCATTTGTGGAAGCTGCGGAATTGGTGAAACGAGATCTGAGGGCCGGATGTGTAGAACATGAACCACCACACATACCCGAATACCGTGGCGGCACCCACGTAAGTGCCGATGACCATGTATCGGAAGAACAACCACCCACTGACAAGCGGTTCGTCACGCTTTCGGGGTGTGCGGCGCATAACATCGTGGTCGGCCGGGTTGAATGAGAGGGCGGTGGCTGGAAGACCGTCGGTGACCAGGTTCACCCAGAGGAGTTGCACTGGGATCAAAGCCTCTGGGAGACCGAGCGCGGCTGTCAAGAAAATGGATACTACTTCACCGATGTTGGACGAGATGAGATAGCGGATGAATTGCTGGGTGTTGCTGTAAATGGTGCGGCCTTCCTCGATGGCAATCTCAATCGTGGCGAAATTGTCATCGGCGAGAACCATGTCAGCAGCCAGTTTAGCAACGTCGGTGCCGGTACCCATCGCAACTCCAATGTCGGATTTCTTAAGGGCTGGGGCATCATTGACACCGTCACCAGTCATGGCAACGACTTCCCCAGCGGCCTGCAACAAATCAACAAGCTTAGATTTGTGGGTAGGCTCCACCCGAGAGAATAGGGATGCTGTCTTTGCTGCTTGCAATTTCTCACCCTCACTCAAAGATTCGAATTGTCGTCCGGTGTAACTCTTTCCCGTGAGATCTTCATCATGGCCAAAGACGCCAATTTGTTTGCAAATCGTCTCTGCAGTATTTTGATTGTCACCGGTAATGACAATGACCCTTATTCCCGCTTCTTTGCACTTTCTGATGGAGGCTGCCACTTCTGGACGCGGAGGGTCGAGCATACCAACCAAACCGATCAAAGTCATGTTTTGCTCGAGCTGAGCGTATTCTCTGGAGGTCTTGGCGCTCCAAAGCAACTCGTTGCCGCTGACATTTTCCACGGTTGCAAGGGCCAGAACACGCAGACCCTTTCGGCCATATTCAACAACTTCTTCGGCGATGAGGCCCAAATGTTTCTTCGTCACGGGAACTTTCTTCCCATTCGAACCAAGGACGACATGGGAACATCGTTCGATAATCGACTCTGGAGCACCTTTAACCAACAACTTTTGCTCTTCGCCCGTTCCAGCCAGAACCGACATGCTCTTTCGATCTCTCGAAAATTCGTACATTGCCTGCAAGGGGAGTTTGGTTTCGTAGTGTTTACTAGCAAAATGGACTCGGTCAGCGCCGGAAAGACCATTTCGGATGTTGTTTGTCGAGATATCGTCGGCTCCAATTTTCTCCACAAGAACGCGAAGTGCACCTTCGGTAGGCTCCCCGATACTGGAAAAAGTGTTGTTTTTGGGATCATAGGACAGGTGAGCCTCGTTGCAAAGAGCTAAAACCTCCGACATCTCTTTCAAGGTTCTAGAATCGACGGCAGGATTGTCGAGTTTCTTCCCGTTGTAAATGAGATCGCCAATAGGAGAAAAGGTGGTCCCTTTGACTTCAACTTCTTCCAAATCGGAGCCGGACTCATTGAGATACACAATTTTTCCGACACTCATTTGGTTCGTGGTCAAAGTACCCGTCTTATCAGAGCAGATAACGCTGCAGCTTCCGAGAGTCTCCACGGATGGCAGACTTCGGACGATAGCGTTCTTAGCTGCCATCTTTCTCGTCCCCAGAGCAAGGCATGTTGTAATGACCACGGCGAGACCTTCTGGAATGGCGGCCACTCCTAATGAGACCGCGATTTTCAAGTAGTAAATGGCACCTTTGGCCCAACTACCGCCATGGGATGGGTCGTTGAAATGCTGGATATTGATCAGCCAGACCAAAACGCAGACCACAGTGATGACTTTGGCCAGAGTGTCGCCAAAGTCGTTCAGCTTTTCCTTGAGAGGCGTGGCCTCAGAGATCTGCGAGGTAATACTCTCGTGAATATCGCCAATAGCCGTGGAACTTCCAGTAAGAACAACGATTGCTGCGGCATGTCCAGTGACCACGGTAGTGCCGGAGAAGAGCATGTTGATCTGGTCTTGTTTCACGGCTTGCGCATCTTTGATGGGCTTGCAATCTTTGTTCACGCTCTCGCTTTCGCCCGTCAGAATGGCTTGATCGACTGCAAAGCTATTGCTCTGAATTGAAAGTAATCGACAGTCCGCCGGGATACGATCTCCGATAGCAATTGTGACAATATCACCAGGAACCAGCTCTTCTGCCTTGACTTTTTGCATTTGCCCATCACGAACCACTTTGGCTTCATTTGCGGAGTATTCCTGCAAAGCCGCAATCGCCTTTTCTGCGCTGCTTTCCTGCGTGACGCCCACAATTGCGTTTAAGATGAGAATTGTCAAGATCTGTCCACGAGTCAGGCTCCCCCTTCCAGCGTGGGTGATGGACTATTCAACATACCACCACAGGATCCACAAATGCAGTCCAGTCATCAGATTCTTCAAATAAGGCCAGAACAAGCGATATCGCAGCGGAACCGAGAAGTATCAGGACGAGTTGATCTTTAAACTGTTCGAGAACCAATTGCCAGAGAGGGGTCGGGGGATCTTCTGGGAGCGCTGGGTTTGCGGTTAGTTGACGCCTTCGACCGGTGGGAATTTGGCCTTACCATTGCATCCATACCGCTTCCGAGCTTCTGCGACTTGCGCAGACGACAGACCGGCTGATTCAGTGACATTGAAATGTCTTAGAACCTCCGCAGTTGAGCGGACGTATGCTTGCTCCATAGCGAGGATCGCCGGTAACGGAAAACTTAAGATAATGGCTCGTAGGAGAAAAATGAACTGGGGCCGCAGCGAACCGTCCTGGAAGACTCCATACACCCCAGAGCCTCTAGGTTTATATGTCTCTAATGCCAGTATTCCAAAATTTCTACGTCAAAAGAGTGACTGGTATTGAAACGCCCCACGTGGAGAAGTGAACACGGTTGTAACTTTGCCTTCGAAAATTCCAGACGCAGACTCGGGATCACGGAGAGCGCAGCCAAGGACCAAAACGGCCAAATCCTTTCTGCAGGATGATGATGTGCAAAGCCACAAGTCACAGGGGGAAGGTCAGTTCACCATTTACTCTTCAGCTTCGATATCGATGTCAAGAGGTTGCTTCGCAGCAAAAAGTCCGATTATATCGGTACTGCAAGGGACAAGCATGCTCAGCACATCAGACTACAGAGAATGGAAGGGCCAAGCGAGAAAATGCCTAGAATCTTTCTCCTTCGAGACAAATATCATTGAACAAGACATCTGCGTTGGGAAGTGTAATTAGTGGAGTCTGGGACCAAGGAGGGCGGATAACGAAGGGTTTGCCTTGCGGCTTTTTGGTGTAGATGGGTATCTTTTGTCTCCCGCACCAAGCTTAACATGAACGAGAGTGACACTGGCGGACAGGAGGGATAAGCAGATCAGGTTACGAATTGGCTGAAGTACGCAGCCAGAGTTAGAAGGGACCAAAAGATGAGCAGTATCAGGTCGTCTGTGAAGCGCTGGTCGAACAAATTAGCTGTTAGAGATGATCGACCCGTTAAAGCTGCAGCCTCCCTCGCCTCTAGCCAGCCCCCCCAAATCCCCCTTCCCCATCCCATCACCGATCAGTGGCAGGCTGGCAAGCTGGCGACAAGTCAATTTTTGCCTGGCACTCCAAACTTCACGCCCAAACTCACACTCACACCTCACATTCGCACCTCACAACTCACTTACGCTGCGCCCAATTCTACTCATCCATTCATCCATCCGTCACCCGACTTTTCAACTTCTCTTGCAATTTCCATCCCCATTCTCCCAAAATCCAATCCTGTCTCTGTCATCCTAACACTCTTTCTCTCGTCCACCCTATCCGCGTTCCTCATCATGGCTACTGATGTAAGTGTTTCTCCCCACCTCGATGTCTGGGCCTCAGCTGGCCCTGTCCAACCTCAACCACACCAGTCCTCGTTGATAAGACATTCTGCTGACCTCAATGCGATTTCTAGCGCGAAAGGTATTCCTACGTTTCCGAAGCCTCAGTCCGTCTTTCCTCTGACCCGTGACCTAGTAAAACTTTCCTCGCGAGGCTCTGTGAGCAGGCCGAGCGCTATGATGAGATGGTCAACTATATGAAAGAGGTGGCCAATGTGCGCTGATATTCCTTCAAGTAGACATTCAGGATCACCAATCTGACATACTCCAGATGGGCGGAGAGCTGTCTGTCGACGAACGAAACCTCCTTTCGGTTGCCTACAAGAACGTGGTCGGGACCCGTCGTGCTTCCTGGCGTATCATCTCCTCGATCGAGCAGAAGGAGGAGTCCAAAGGCTCGGACAAACACGTCGCCACCATCCGTGAATACCGTCAGAAGATCGAGAGCGAACTCGAGAAAGTCTGCCAAGATGTCCTCGATGTCTTGGATCAAGCCCTCATCCCCAAAGCTGAGTCGGGAGAATCCAAGGTCTTTTATCACAAGATGTGTGTTAATCTTCACGTTACTGGGTCCCAGAAGGTTCTAACATGGTGGGCAGGAAGGGAGACTATCACCGATACCTTGCTGAGTTCGCGTCGGGAGAGAAGCGCAAGGTTGCTGCCACTGCCGCTCATGAGGCTTACAAGGTATAGCAGCCGCCCTCCACAAGCAGAGCACACGCCAGAGCATTAATACTGACCCTCCACATAGAATGCGACCGATGTTGCACAGACCGAACTCACCCCGACCCATCCTATCCGTCTCGGTCTTGCGCTCAACTTCAGCGTCTTTTACTACGAGATCCTCAACTCGCCCGACCGTGCTTGCCACCTTGCCAAGCAAGCCTTTGATGATGCCATCGCCGAGCTCGACTCGCTTTCTGAGGAATCCTACCGTGACAGCACCCTCATCATGCAGTTGCTCCGAGATAACTTGACCTTGTGGACATCGTCCGATGGAGCTGAAGGCGAGGCAGGCCCAGCTGGCGAGGCATCCAAAGAGGAGAAGCCTGCGGAGACTGCTGCAGCACCAGCGGAGCCGGAGAAGACAGAGGCTGCCCCTGCTTCCTAGAGAAATTCATTGGCCGACAGGCAGCTGTGCATTCACCCGCCTTTTGTCGATCTTGCTTATGATTCCCCCATGTTTTCTGGCAGGGTTATTGCTCAAATGGCAGTACTTGCACTGCTTGTCTTGTGAGCACGGATTCTAGGTATTGCACTGGAAGGCGCGTGTGAAGTGATTTGTTCAAGGGCCAGATAAAGGCAGAGAGAGAGAAACTATCCCCACCCCCAAGACCACGGCAACTTCCCCCCAACCATCCCCCTTCTATGTCGAATGCGATTCAACGCAAACACTGTTTTCCCTTTAGTCTCCTGCGATACCACATAGCTTTAGCTGTGGTGGACTGATGAGCGGAGTTAGCAAGCGTGCGGACGGTCCAAATCACACTTTGACACCTGGGGTTCTGTTTTTGACTCAGACCTTTTTTCCTTTTCGCTTGTAGATGATCCTCGCGTTCCGTTCTTCGACTCTTTTCGATGTATAAAAACGCCTGCATACTGCAGCCCTGCTCACGTGACACCAATCTGCCACCAAAACAAACATGGTCTCAAATATGATTTGCCCGCATCATCGCTCGAAGTTATGAACTCCACCAGTCCGCTTTCTCTTGACCATTCAAGTTCAGCCTGTCATAAAAGACAAAATTATATGCCTGCCATAATGTTTGGCTCAAATCTACCTGCACTTTCAGTGGTACGTGTAAAATTCTTCTCTAGGTGGCGTCATAGGTGCCAAATATACTAAGGCCATGAGGTATTCGTACGGGGTCGGGTCCAAGGCTCCTTAAGCATTCCCTCTCTTCTGTTGCTTCCACCGTGATCGCACTGCAGATATTCCTGCGATTGATACTTTTTGTCAAATGTTCAAAACACGTAGTGAGAATCCAGGCTTTCTTCGATACAAAGAGTTTTGCCCAATATCTAGCTTCAAACAGATTCCTGCTGGCCTTATACTGGTACCCTCTTTCCGCTTCGTATTCTCCTGACAACCATGTGTGTTACCGGGGTTTCCGGTCCTGTGTCTTCAACAAAACCTTCCTGCAGTGTTCGACCTATCCCACTTTCACGACTTGGCCCTCGAATCTTTAGTCCGCGGTGTTGCTTTTGGACTGGTGTACGCTCTGTGGCCGGCAAGACCACTGCAGCCGCCTGGCTCCTCTTCGTCTGATTTGAAAACTCCACGCGGGTCCATTGAAGGAAAACGCAGGCACGAATAAACCGGGAAGAGCAACGGCCTACACAGCTCACTAAGGTGGGTGACGCAGTGAATGACTGCGAAAGTCCTAAAGGGCAAATGAGAATGCACCCTGGCGCAAAAATTTGTTATGCTGGTGTGGGGAGTGAAGGCATGAAGCATTTATTTCCTAAGAATTTGCAATGCTAGAGCGTTATTTACGTTGCCTTGGATGGAACTGATTGTTGTTGTGTTCCAATTGTATACTTCGCTGCCTTGGTCGACGCAGCCGACACAACTCCATCCTCGAGTCATTCTCAATGTATACTATCCACCATATTGGCGGTCCCAAAAAGATTTCGGAAACGGGAGGTACTCACAAAGTCGGTGGAACCTGATTAGGTAGACAATGGCGAGTGTGAGATCAGAAAATGAGCCGCGTGTCATCACTCGCCAGTGACGCATTCAACGTCAAACAATCTGCGAGTACGTCGCAGAACTGGTACGATGCTTTGATTCCGGGACCCGAGCCTAGAACGGAGGTGGGGGGGGAGATGGTATGCGTCTTTTCCCAGTGGCTCAGGCCGCGTAATATTGCAGTTTCTATCTGCGATTTATCTTGTTTCTTTATACACTCCCAGTCCCCATTGTTGGTCATATTCTCAAACCCTGCGAGCCGGCGCAAAAGGTCCTCAAACACACCATGATTGCCGCAAGACATACCTAGGCGAGGCCGACCCCTATTTCCTGCTCTGCCAACGCCGGCAACTTAGCTAAGCATGGCTCTGGGAATCCTCGAACCCAAGGCGGAACTCGTTCCCGGGACCGTCTATGTCTACGACGCGGAACAACGACATGCAGAGTTGTTGGAGACTGCTCAGCATTTGAAAAGAGACAAGGCTGGTCGAATTATATTGGTTCCTCAGCCATCGAACGACCCGAACGATCCCTTGGTGAGTTCTGTTAACTGCCTAACCTACCTTGAAATTGACCCACCTAGAACTGGCCCCTCTGGCAGCGAGATGTGATTCTCGGTATCCTTTGTTTTGTCTCATGCGTCGCCACTACGGCGTCTCCCCTCCTTGCGGCGGACTCGGTGACACTTGCTATACTGTTCAAGCGTACATTCCAAGATGCGGCCCTTCTGACGGCATACCATTTGGTTGGTGTCGGAGTTGCAGGATGGCTGTTCGTGGCATCGGCAAGAGTCTGGGGGAAGAGACATCTTTTCCTCTTTGGAGCTCTGCTCATGGTCGCAAGCTCGGTTTGGGGTGGCTCCACACATGCAAATCATAACTATGCGAGTATTCTCTGGAGCCGTGTCTTTCAGGGAGTCGCACTGGCTCCATTTGAAGCCCTTGTCAATGCCTGTGTCGGGGATCTCTATTTCGTGCACGAACGCGGAGTGCGAATGGCAATAACCAACACCTGTCTTTTCGGGGGAGCATTCCTCACGCCAGTCTTTGTGGGCATGATCGCAGCACATATCGGGTGGCAGTGGAGTGTAAGTGTCCGATTCTCATTTCTTTCGCATATTCTTATGGGCAATGCAACATGGCCAACAAATGAGATGATATGATCTTTCTTCATCCCCGATACTGTCGACGGCGATGGATCGATTTGAAACCTTGGGAAGGCATCCTTACTGATGCATCACCGAACAGTTTTATCTACTTGCCATTTTCATGGCTGTAGGTTTTATCCTGGTATTCTTCCTGGTTCCCGAAACTGCATACCGAAGAGCTCATTCACTGGATCTTGATCTTCTCGCCGAAGACTTATCAACCGAATCGTTATCTCAACCTCAGGCCACGAGTGCGCGAGGCTCCGACGAAAAGCCGTTACATTCGACGACTGTGACTGAAACTCCTCCTACAAAGGATTCTTGGGTCAAATCTCTAATGCCATTCAATGGGCGTAAGACTGACGAGTCCTTTTTGAAACTCCTCTTCCGTCCATTTCCACTTTTTTTGCATCCTGCGGTTGCTTGGGGATGTTTGATCCAAGGCGTGATCATCGGCTGGACTGTCATGGTCGGGGTGATACTCTCCCTGATCTTTCTTGGGCCGCCTCTCTTCTTCAATGAAGAGAGAGCCGGGAAGATGTACACCAGCGCCTTCATTGGCAGCATGCTCGGGCTTGTTCTGGCGGGACTATATAGCGAAGTCGTGACCAAGCTCATGATCCAACGCAACAAGGGCAAGTACGAACCCGAGTTTCGCATTCTACTGGTCATTCCCACGCTGGTCTTTTCAGCAATCGGACTTTACGGATTCGGAATCACAGCACAAGATGTCGGACGTTACGGCTGGATCGTTCCTGAGGTCTTCCTGGCATTCATCATCATCAGTATGGTTATGGGAGCGATTGCTTCCGCGCAGTACCTGTTGGACGCCCATCGTGACATCTCAGTTGAGGCATTTACGAATCTGCTGATCTTCAAAAACATCTTCTCGTTCGTTTTGGCCTACAATGCCTACAATTGGGTATTTGCAATCCGCATCAAACATTTATTTATCATTCTTGGCAGCATTGAAATTGCCGTTTGTTTGTTGAGCATTCCGATGTACGTGTATGGGAAGAAAAATCGGGATTTTTTCCGTCGACATGATATTCTGAGGATTACGAAACTGAAATGAGAACATGAATTTTATAGTATCTACTACACATCTGCATACCATCATACACAACCCAGTGGGTGCCGCAGATAAAGTTTTGCTTCCCCCACATCTCAAAAGCAGGACTTGCCTCGAGAGGCTGGGCATAACGCGGACCAGCCAGGGGGGCCCTCAGAGCGGCCAGGGCAAGAAGAAACAGGCTTGCACGCGCGTGTCCTTTTTTTTTTTTTTTTTACCTACAAATAGACCCCAACGGTGATGTGATGCAATTCCAAGGCGCGTATCAGTTTGCAAGATTGCTGTTTTCTGAAACGCTTGGTTCGCGTGGCGTCCGCTTCGCCCTCTATTCGGAAATTAGATCTGGCCGCGTTGGTCGGCAACGATCTCAGGAGAAAAACCCTTTTTGATGAGCCCGATGTCAATCACGATGGCCCAAGTGTCTTTTGTCAACATGAACTGATAGGGAAAAAAAATAATAATAATAATTCTTTCACCTACATACTCGAAGAAGGATCAGGAATCGATATGCCCGGGAAACATCAACAGCGTCGACAACATGACCGAATTGATACCCAGCACCTTGTGCGTGGCATGCCAGTCGATTTTCCAGCCAGGCACGCTCAGAAGTGAATCAGGAGAAATCGAACATCATGGCCTCGAGGCACTGGCTGCTCGCGCAAGCAAGTGCCATCTATGCCTCACTGTGTTCATGTCCATCGACCCGGAGGCGTACAGGAGCTTTCGCAGTAAAGGCTCAACCATCGACACACTGGGGTTCGCATGGATTTCCCCAATCGCACGTGATCAGGCTCGCTTGAAATTTCGATATTTGAAACGAATGTCGCCCGACAGGGCCACTCCAAGCACGAATAGCTCGAAGACTAGCCTAGCTTTACTGGATTCGGACCCGGGGCTGGTCGTGGAATTAATCTTAATGAACCCGAAATGTAAGTCTGCTGATAGAAAGATGAGACCAGTCAAGCTCACTATTTCTATTCCAGATGCCGTTGAGCCAGGCGTAAGGACCATTGATGCAAGATCCACAAGTACGGCGTCGATGGAAAGCTTCGACCTCGCCAAACAATGGATCCAAGATTGTACTTTTAACCACATGAAATGCTCTGTCTCAGAGACCAATGCAACATGGAAACCCACGCACCTCCTGGACGTGACGGTTCGAGGGCCAAAGGGAGCCCCTGGCCTTAAACTGGTGGACGGCATGTTCGTGGACCCTTTGAGCGAATATGTGACCCTCAGTCATTGCTGGGGTAAGTCGAAAACGATACAACTGCATAAAGGAACCCTGGCTGCACTTCGACAGGGAGTGGGAGTGTCAAGTTTACCAAAGACATTCGCAGAGGCTGCAATCACGACTGAACGATTGGGGTTTCGATACCTGTGGATTGACGCTCTTTGCATAATGCATGACAACGAACAAGCCGTGCTCAAGGAGATGGCGCAGATGCACCGCGTGTACTCCGAAGGTACGCTCAATCTTGCCGCGACTTCGTCCAGAGAAGATGCAAATGGCTTGATCTACTCTCGTAATGTGGCAGCGCTTCAGCCTTGTATTGTGGAGGTGAATGGGCTGGGGATTGATGATGGCATGTACAAAATCCTTCGATCAACCCTTTGGCACGATCTCGTGGATTCATCCCCTCTCAGTAAACGGGCATGGGCCCTCCAAGAACGCTGTCTGGCCAAAAGAACTCTGCATTTCACAAGAAACGAGCTGCTATGGGAATGTCAACAGATGTGTTGTTCGGAAGTGTTCCCGAAAGGATTGCCTGCGACAATGGGACCGCCTGCCAGTCAAGAATCCGTTGAGTTTTTCAATAAACGCATCCACCACCAAAGACATGGCAACTGGCATCAACTCGTCAAGATGTACAGCTCCAAACGCCTGACGTACAGCTCTGACAAGCTGTTGGCAATGATCGGTCTGGCTAAGCAATATATGGCCCGCAACCGCTTATACCAAGAGGATTACCTAGCCGGTCTTTGGAAACCTCACCTGCCACATGCACTGTTGTGGCGCGTGGAGCAAGGTCGCAGACCGACCAAATATCGCGCCCCAACGTGGACATGGGCCTCGATCGACGGGGAAGTGAAATACCCGGAGCCAGCGCAATCGATGCAAGAGACGTGCATCGAGATAATCGATCTCCAGATGAAATACAAAGGTGATCACTTTGGGCTGGTGGAGTCCGGCAAGATGAAGGTGCGAGGATTTATGGCACGAGGCCTTCTCCGCCGAACACACGACTACTGGGGTCAGACACCGTGCGTAATTCAGTGTACCAAGGCCCAGGTCGAGCTCGAATCGGCTTCCTTCGACGATCGACTGCCCAAACTGTCCGAAGCATCGGGAATGTTGACAGAGATGCTGGAGATTTATTTGCTGCCCGTCATCGACGTGGTAGATCGGGTGGAAGGACTGATCCTCTGCGCAACAATGAAGAAAGGCGAATTTCGTCGCATTGGGGCCTTTGATATCTCAAGATACGATCAGATCAATTGGGACCGCTTCCGAAGCGTGATGAAGGGGGACGCCGACATGCATAATTATGAAGACCGGCTTGATCATACGAATGGATACTGGTTTGCCAGCGACTACACATACACTATCAACATTATCTAAATGGTCGGCCGAGGGTTTTCTAGAGCCTCTCACTCACACACTCTCTCTGTAATGCGACGGATTCTAATGACAGCAAGATATCAGGTGGGTTGGAGAACGGGGGGCAACACGGTATAGGACACTGATGAACTTTGGGTGATTGCACATATTTTTGTAGTATTATTGGCTCCAGGCGGATGGACTAAGTTTTGGATAGGAACCTGGTTCGTCGGGACTGTGGACTCTGGATGAGTGGGTGATGTTTTGACGACCGAAACGGCGTTGAGTAATTGTTGTGATTGAAAAGCCGTATATCTACATTTTTGTTTCAATCAATAGGACTCCACCCAGTTTCTGTCCTGAATCCCTAATCCATAGCTTCTCAGCTCTTTATTCATACCAGTCCAGAGATCAGACCACCCCTGGCAGGCGAAATGGGCCAACCAACACCCTGTTTTCCAATGAAATCGGCAGGAGGTTGGTGGAGATATCCGTTCCCTTGGAGCCTATGCCGGTACGCCGCTCAATTAAGATTTGGGAGATATGATAGAATCTGCGCTTGTTTTTCTCTTGCATGACGGGCCACCTGAACTGTATAAGTGCAGCTGGAGAGGATGAAATGACCAAGAAATACCGGAGGGCCATAGATCTGCAGGCAGCAAGACGGCGGAGGGGATGAAGATTGGTTGATGATGGTAGCTCGTGGCGGCTTCGACACACGTGTGAAATCTTGAGCAGAAGCGTCCATATGGAAAAGCAGGAAATCGATAACCGCAGACTCCTAAAGTTGTAGAGTATATCCTATCCTGCATCCTTTTCCTGCCTGTAGCTTTTCTCTTCTCTCAGCCTTTTTTGGCCATCTCAATCATCATTAAACCATCCATAAACATAAACAACTTGAACAATGTATCTCACCCTCCTCGGCATCTCCACCCTTCTCACGGGAATCGCATCGGCGCAGTCGCTGGCTGGCCTGCCGACCTGTACGTTTGTACCGATCCCTTCACTTCTAAGTTTTGTCTACTACGGACGGAGCCCTTCTCAAGATCTTCTGTACTGCGCGGCCTTGCTAACTTTCGTCTCTTCCGTCCAGGTGCCTATTCCTGCGTGACCAGCCTGCTCCCCGCCAACTGCAATCTCGATCCAGCATGTTAGTTCTAGCCCCTCCCCTCCAGCCCTCACGTTGAATAGGACCTACCAAAAGAACCACATACATTCCACCTTTATACAGTCGCTCATTCACGCAGTGGACGCTGACGTCGAGAAATGCGAGAATTAAACAGGCATTTGTACCTCCGAATCCTTTCTCGACGGCATTGCTTGCTGCGTCTTCAATGATTGCGAGCCAGCTGACCAACAGTCTGCCCTTGACTATGCCCACAGCATCTGTGATCCTGAAGGTGCTTCGTCACTTCTGGTACGTGCCAGATACTTACAATTCTTTGCATTCCTCGTTTTGGATGTCTCACGACCACTAGAAAGGTGGTTGTAAGGGACAACCATGGGTCGATCAATGGCCATACAACATGACAAACCCTTCTTCTCTTTTCTATCTTTCTCTCCCTCTGTCGCGTCTCTTCATCCGTTGGCCCCAAATCCATTCCGTTGAAAGCAACCGGCAACACCGAACTAATCCCCGTTTTCATCCAGCCCGCCACCGCAGGCTGCTCCAGCACCTCTGGCAGCGCCACCGCAACAGGAAGCTCAAACTCGTCTGCCACTGCGACCGCTGGCACCACCGGCACCGGCGCGGCTGCGTCTGCTTCATCCTCCGCTTCCTCTGCTCTCAGCGGCATAACATCATCCGCTAGCTCAGCACTATCCAGCGCCAGCGCAACTGTGAGCAGCGTTGCGTCTGAAGCTTCTGCCTCTGTGACCGGCGCTGCAGCCAGCGCAACATCAAGCCCCGCCGCGGGCAATCAGTTGAGCGTTCGGGGCGTCGGACTCGGCGTTGTGGGGGCAGGGCTCTTGGGACTGGCGGCGCTCTTGTAGAAGAGCGGGGCCGAAAAAGCTAAATAAGTGAGTCGAGAGAGACGAGGCAGGAAATGTGCCGCCCTTTGTGTAATGAAGATGTTTCGGGAGGAAGACACCAAGTATCTACACAGATCTCGATGCTATTTAGTATTGGAGTTGGAGATGAGATGAGACCCGTGTACCTATAATGACATTCGCGTCGAGTGCATGACTCCTTCAACCTGTACAACTGTCTGGGACTTGCATATACTCTGCGGTAACCTGTACAGCCTCCACAGAGTGAGCAAAGCCGTAAACCGGTTGTCTGCTTCTTGCCATGGAAACTTTCCATCACCTATATTTATATTACAAGTCAGGGTGCTTTTTTCCCTAGAGATCTTTCACCCACATCGTTCTATCTTCAAAAGTCAGTCCTCATCATCATCTAGCATCTGCCTCCTTCTCGCCAAAATGCTCGTGACCTCTCGTCCCTCCTCCTTGAGCACCGTCCACAGATATCCCCAGAACAGCATGTCCGCAAGCCCCACGGTGAGAATGACTCTATTCGCGAGCCGGTGGAGGCCCGAGACACCTGTGCTCGAAGAATGAGAATGGAACAGATATATCCAGCCTACAAGGACCGAAGATACCAGCACATGCAGACCTGCGAGTGTCAACCACCGCGACTGCGCGGTCAGGAGAGTGTGTAGTTCCTCGCCGTAGCGCGAGGAGGATTGGACGGTCGTCGATCCTGACCGCTTACTCGAGTTTGCCGATGTTTGCGCAGGGAGCAAGGTCAGGTCTCCCGCGAAGACGAATTGCATGCCCGCATACATGAGCACTACCAGGACCACGAGCACACATAGTTCTCTCTCAGCCTCCCCTCCCATGCCCTGGGTGGTTGATGTGTTCTGCAATAACGCCGACGCTTCCAGCCTTGTGTTCGTGCTAGACGAGGGTTGGATCGGCTCTTCCACAGCAAACGCCGCGGGCCGTACGCCCATGCTCTCGCCAAGGAGCCAGATTGGAGTCGAGGAAAAGAGTCGCTCGGGGGAGATGAAGAGGTAGTACGAGATCGTCAGGAGGGTGAGGGAGTGGGTCCGCAGGAGCAGCGGGGAGGAGAGGATCGGCATGATGTTGTTACAAGTTGAGGAGCAAGATGTTGGCTATCGAGGCTTCGTCAAGTGTGAACATTGAATGTCAGCAAAGAAAGACCGGGGGGATTGACAGAGGGTGGTGACGAGGCTGTGAATTGAGTATTGAAATGGAGAAACCTTCGGGGAGTTACTTCCTGGCAAGAGGGCTTGCATACCACATAGGGTTACCCAAACATCAATTCAGCCTAGTTGTACGAGAGTTGCTCAACTGATGGAAAATTTACCACACAAACGCAGGATGCAGAGGAAATTTGTCGGCAGGCGGCCTTCTGCCCTAAACGCCAAGACCATCCACTCTTCGCTCTCATTTCCAGGGCAGTCTTGAGGAATTCTTCTCTTGTTGCGGCTCAGCTTCACATAGATCAACCTCAAAATTACCCTCGCTGTATACGTGAACAAAGTTTCTGATTTCACACAGCTTACCTCCTATCCCTTTTCCCTGCGAATGTAATCCCTAATAGGAAAGCTTGCAAAGATGGTCCCATTCGGTCTTAAGCCGCGGTAGTCCTCCGCCTTTGGAACCTGTGGTCTCGATTATCGATTGGCTATCATTGGAGACTGCCTAAGACTCAGAGGCATGAGAGGGGGAAGAAATCAGCTTGCCCCGCCTTCAAGTTTCCGGCTTCGGCAGGGACCTCCTCGATTGAAAGAGCCTTTGATGACAGGCATCTGGAAGGGTTTATGCACTATGACGAACCACAGCCGAGGCCAATTCACTTCTTCCAAGTGGGCAAAGAGGTATACGTAGAGACAGATGAACAGTTTAGAAAACCTCAGTGAGTATATCAAGTCATTTCCAGAGTGGAAAATACGACAAGGGAGTTCCGAAATCCCATATACAGTAATATATCTTTAGTCATCGGGCCAGAACTGGAAATATGAAGCCTTATACTAATCAGGGAGCCGTGGATTGCGGTGCGGAGTTTGACAGCAGCAGTGTCAAGGGGAAAACGGCTGTTGTCACCGGTGGTATGTCGTGAATGCTCTTGGACGTCTTCATTTTCAGTAATATCGTCATTCAGGAGCCAATGGGATAGGCGAGGGATATGTTCATGCCTTGACCAAGGCTGGGTATGCGTTGATTCGTGATCTGCTAGGAGGAACGGCTAACCAGTAACTCAGAGCCTTCGTTGTCATTGCCGATCTCGATGTGGAAGAAGGATTGAGGTTGGAAAAGGAACTGGGCAAGTAAGGAACAAAGGAATCAACTGCTCACCTAGGTCCTGATATCAATCAACAGCGCCGTCAAATTTGTCAAGTGTAATGTCACTGTTTGGGCCGATCAACTTGCCGTCTTCAAAACAGCAATATCATCTTCGCCGTCGAGGAGAGTGGATATTGTTATTGCAAACGCTGGCATCAGTGGAGCTGACTCTGTCTTCTTCAACAATAGTACGTGCCAAAAAAGCCAACATCGGGAACAAATCCACGATTCTGGCCCTAACTTTGCTCCAGCTGAGGCCGAAGAACCCGAAGAACCCAAGTTGAATGTCATCAACGTCAACCTCGTCGGGGTCATGTACACAATCAAACTTGCCCTCCACTACTTCCGTCGACAGAATGCGCTGAACAAAGGCGAGCCATTGGATCAAGTTCTTATCCTACAGGGGAGCTTGGCCGGCTATCTCGACCTTGCCGGGGTAGTCCAATACGCATCTGCAAAATATGGCCTCCGTGGAGTGATGAGGGCTCTGCGCAGGTCGGAGTGGCAACACAACATTCGAGTGGCTTACATTGCACCATGGTATATGAGGATTGGTTTGGATTTCAATTCTATCATTGACCGATCATTCTAGGTTCATCCACACAAAGATCTTGAGTGAGGCAGTTGTTGAATTCTTGGCCAAGGCCAATGTTGAATATGCCAAGGTTGAAGATGCTGCTGCTGCCGTCATGAGGATCGTATCAGACCCCGGCATTACAGGTATGGTCCTCGGCCCTTCTCTATGATGCGTTGGAAAACTAACAGAGATCCAAAGGCCGATCATTCGCCATTCTACCACGGAGCATGACCCCTCACGGCTACGTGGACATTGACTTTGACGATTATCAGGAGGGGACGTTCCTAGGCGACCTCCAGCTTCTGGCTGCAGGTGGAAGCCATCGTGCATCGGTGAGTGGTGCTGTGGATAGAAAGGCCAGTGAGATGAACGAATGAATGATTGATTGCGTCCTCAGATCGATGTCGAAAAGCAAAAGACTAAAACTCAATGGTCAGAGACGCCGTAGTCCTCAACAGGGTCATATGAGGGTGGGTTCGTTCGACGTTGAGGACGGGGTGGATCATTCCACTATTCTCATACATCCTGCCTGGATGGACTGTTTACATGTAGCTCCAATGAAACTTGTGAAGTGCCCTGCAAATTAAGATTCAAACAATCCTCTTGCTCACTACCCGGCCTCCCCAGCGATCCATCAAGCGCGTGGAAGAGCGGTACATACATCACCACCCGATTTTCCATAGCCGGCATTCTACCACATCCTGGCACAAATGTTATTTTAGATGCAGACACCAAACGTGGATGTTGGACGGGGGAGGCAGATCCGCGTCGAGAAGATCAACGGCTAATGTGCAATATGCCAGTATTCCGTACTCCAGAAATGTCTCGCGGTATCTGTTGGTTTGTCCGTTGGCCTAGTGAAGTGGGGTCAATAACGGCGATGATTGGTTCAGCATAAAAATAGCCCCCCTAGCGGGGGAATACACCATTGGCTGGCTATTGGCCAATGACAGCTTGTCGACACCCAATGGAAGCGCCGACTTGAAAGCTTTCTCGCTCCCTTCCTCCGCCAACAAGAGCTTGTTTCTTTATAACGCTACTCACCACAGCGCTTACAGAATTGTTGATGTGATTCATTCGCTTGCATCTCATCGGCTCTGCTTCCCTCCCCTTGTTGCCCCCTGCGTCCGCTGCGTCTCATCTTGACCGTGGCATCCAATCCCTCTTCGCTTCGAAACGCCCTCCCCCAGCCCTATCCAATGGTGAATTTTCTATCTTTTGCTCGAGCTGGTCGCTATTTCTGGTCCCTTGCACGAGAAATCTATCTTCGGTACTCCCCTGCTACATTGCACGCTCGCGACCTGGACTACTGCGTCCCAAAGTCTAGAGCCTCTGCTCCTAGGAGGCATTTGTGCTATTGTTGTGCCACCTCGGCGCTCTTTCAGGTAAGGACTGTCACACAACAGAAGATACATTTGTTCTCCGCTGCCGCATTATTTCGTCCTGCTGTACTCTTGTTCTTTCATCTCTCGATCATTAAAACATTTTTCAACATCAGCATCGGCCCAAAAGTTAACCGTAATACTACAAATCTGCCTTTCATTTTGGCCTGACGACCTGGTGTCCGTCAGTCCTGTTTAGCCGCCCAGGTGCGATCCTTCCACTGCAAAACTTGTCTGAGGCCGGGCACACGACCGACCATCTACACCCATTGCTTTCCTTTCATCGTATTTCTTTTGAAGCAAGCGTCTGCTCTTACATTTTACATTCCTCTCGACATCCACTCTATCTGCTCAGCTCTCTCCAGTCTTCGACTTCTTTGCCTCATCAAACAGCGTCGACTATGGCAGCGGTATTGGAAGGTCTTATTCCTTCTCGACGCCGACCTTCCAGGTCCCGATCAGAGTCCGGGAAGCAGCTCCATGCTCGATGGGGCGATGCTGCCATCACTGCTCCCAACGGAGGAGGTTGGAGTCAACAGTATCTTGAAGATGACTTGAACAATCCCATCTACCAAGCTCATGGAAGTCCTGACTCTCAAAAGACTCTTGTCAACAACTCCCCCGACCTCAGCTACGAGCAGGACAAGATCGAGAAGATTAGCATCGAAGAAATCAGACAGCCTACTCCTCCGGTTGTCTCGAAGGAACGAAATGCCATCACCATCACCATCCCTCTCCCATGGTCTCGAAAGATCCATAGGCGATCATCTTCAGGGAGCACCCAACAAACCCAGGTCGTCCAACAAGTTGAGAAGCTGGTCACTGCCGAACCACGCCCCGCTCTGACCAATATTACCACGAACATCGATGAAGTGATCGTCGCAGAATCACGACCAGTTGCCGATCCATTTCGATCGGGCTCCCCCATCGTCCATACCCAATCACCAGTGTACGACGACGTCAGTACCTTCTTTACCAGAGCTGCCTTCCCTGACAAAGGCTACGGACCTGGCCATCTTCCGCATATTCAGACCAACGTCCAACAAGCCAAAAGCCAACCGGCTTCGGCGATCTCCGTCCTCAGCCCTGTCGCCGAGAAATATAATGGCCTCTCAGAAAGCAACAATGCGACTCCTTTGGACAACACTCCCATCGCTGCACATGTCGCAGCTGCGATCCCAACCTTACCTTCCGCCAGCGAGGATGACGTCATCAACGTCGACAATCTGGCAGCCCGCCTGGAGAATCAGGTTCGAACCTCTCCACCGGTGAACCCACCATCTCGAATCACCAGCCCCATAGAGGCTTCCGATTCAGACTTGGACAGGCCATATTCTCGCAGCAATTCTCAGCTTCCCTCTCGCCCTTCCTCTCGCGGCCCTGGTATTGGAGAAGTGGCATACATGCGAGCCTCCTCTCGGGGACCCACAGATCAACGCCGGTCGGCCTCTCGAGAACCAGTCTCTCGACGAGCCGAATCTGTCGAACCATTTCGACGAAGAGCTCGTTCCCGTGAGCCCGTCGGATCACGCAGTGAATCTCGTGACACTGAAGTCCCAGCACGCTCCTTCTCTCGAGACCCAATCGCTCGCCGGGCTGGATCCTGTGAGCCAGTTCGCCGCCGGGCTGAATCCCCTCCTCCCCGAGCGACATGCCGTGCAATCTCTCGTGAACCAGCTATTCATCGCACTGTTTCTCCAGACCGAGCCACACGTCGAACGCATTCACGCGCGCCATTCACCCGTCGAACAGTATCACCGGGTCCAATGACTCGACGGGCTATCTCTCGCGATCCAGTCACTCGTCGTCGTATCTCTGTTGACCTCACTCGACGAGCCGCATCTGTCGATCCAATCCGGCGTCGTGCCAGTCCCCGGGATGATATCATCCCTCGACGCGGAACGCCTCGGGCCATCCCCCGAGGCAACATGGACTCCTCCGACTCCTCATCGGCGGACGATCTCACATCGGCTGATGAGACCACCGACATTGAAACCGAGACAGACGAAATGTACTTCGAGTCTCGCAAGGGCTGGAACGGAGCGGCCGTGGCTGGGGCCAATAGCAAAGGCTTCTACGGTGATGTCGTGCAGGACTACAAAGCTATCGCACGAGATGTGGAGGCCGACATTGTGCAGGGGGCGCAGGCTGCGGAAGTTCCAATGGCAACAAGCAATACTACTGGCTTAGTGAACAAGAAAGACAAGGACAAGGAGTCTAAAGTCTATAGTGGTCCGGACTTGGTGCCTTCTAATGAAGAATTGTGGGGATGAACGAGGCTTGAAAGAGACCGAGAAAGGCGAGCCGCAGCACGACCAAGTAGGCAACTGTCAAATTTCCTCCCTGCCGCTGGAAACATAAACATACGCAAACCGATGTCACACTGGTGAAGAAGGCTGGGTCGAGAGGATATCACTTGAGATTGAAACACCACCCCATTGCAACAACCAAACCACACATCCCACCCCAACTCGGCGCAAATCCAACTACACCAACTGAGCCTGACTATGTCTGATACGAATTTCCTTGATCTGTCCATATATCATTTATCTTTACATATTTCTATAGCCCCGTTTTGCTCACTCCTTGTCTTTACTCCTTCGCCGATAAGCGAGCAAGATCACGTGTTATGCAGTGCATGCATTCGATTCTGAGGCGAGGTCGGATGAGATGAAGCGGGAACTGAGGCAACTCAACTTGCATTGGTCGATGGATGACGGTTAGATGATGTGCCAAGAGCAGGGAAAGGAAAGGGTGACGGGGGAAAGGAGCTCTGCTGGGGTAAGAAGACCTGGAAGGCCCAAATTTGTTCGATGTACGTGAGGCGGGAAAGGCAATCAGGTAACTACTTGGAGAATGACAAACCTTTTGAAACATAATCTGCGCCTCTGAACAAACATCATTCATCCTTGAACTTCATCCCTCCTTGGTCCATCCCTTGGCTCTGGCAAATTCAAAACCTTGAACTTGTACAAGGCTTTGGCCTTCAACAATATAACAAGGCCATTTTCCATTTGAGAGCTCGTCCTTTGACCAGTCTTGAACTACTGCGCGGTGAATATATGGTCGCCATCACTCATGCTCAACGTGGCCTGAACTTGTTCCTCAGACTGCGAAGGTCCGAATCTAAGGACGGACAGATACGGAGGTTCCACCTCACAACAGACCCAGAATCAGTGGATGACCAACTTATAAAAGATTTTGCTCAACTGAATGTGCAGTCGGCCCCCCCGGGCGGCGCCCCGGACTGTATCTGCGGACAGTTGAGACAAAATGAAATTGATATTCCGCATTTCATGTACGAAGCACGGCCGCCATCATAACTTTGACCGAACAATGCCACCAGCACGATTTCGCTCATACGCTATGTCCAGAGGAATAACAACCTGGCACGAATCTCTCTAAGCTCCCTCTCCTCCGTACATACCATACCATGTCGCCCATCATGGTGTGCACAGCCAACTCTTCATACCGTGAATCTGAAGCTGTATTTGACGAACACATCTCGGCGTTTACCTCGATCCTTACATAAACAATCGCTCTATACCAGAAAGCTTAACCGTCCACTCTGTGGTGACGCCCGGATCTTAGGGTTCAGCTTTACCGTTGATCTGGGTACCATCCCCCTCATACTCTACGCGACACGTCAAGGGGTGGGCGTGTTGACCTGCCGATGGCGAGGCAGTGAGGCCGGCCAGGGATGGGTTGAAATCGTTGAGGACGTTGACTTTTAGCGACCTAGACAGGGGAGATCCGTACGTCGTGGATTTCTCACTGTGAATCTTGGGGCTTACAACCACGTCATTGACTCGAAACATCCAGCTAATCCCAGATATCGTACGGTATTGTAACGTTGAATTTCTTGCAGAGGAGAAGCCTAAAGGGCTCAGGCCAAGGCTGAATCCAACACATCTCTTGGCGACCAATCAGAGCACATCAACCAATGGAAATGCTTATGATATCATTTACTCTATGCTGTCCAGATTCTCGACTTGGGTCTAGTTCAGTTCCAGCTCATTCATGTCTAGGGTCATAGTACACCTCTTTCTTCACTGACATCAATGACTCTTCGCCCCACTTCGACCAATCCCCCAGGATCAGTGACCCTCCTAATCCTCGGAGCAGGCTGGACCTACCAATTCCTGTCCCCGTTACTTACGAAGGAGAATATCAGCTACGCGGCGACCACGACGACAGGTCGGGACGGGACGATCCCGTTTAGATTCGACCCGCAGGCCGATGACAAGGCTCCCTTTGAGCCGCTGCCCTTTGCGGCATACGTGCTGGTCACGTTCCCCCTGAAAGGATCCGGAGCGTCGCGGACATTAGTGGATTTGTACGCTGCCACACACTCGCAATCACACTCGGATGGGCAATCTGGGTTCGGTGGCAACGATGGAGCTATGAAGGCCACGAAATGGATCCAGCTCGGCTCGACGGGGATCTACACCACGCCAGATTGGAACGACTCGTCTAGCGCGGTCGACGCGTCCAATGAGCGTTGCGTGGCAGAGGATGAGCTTCTCATGCTCGGTGGATGCGTGTTGAACCTTGCCGGCTTGTACGGAGGGTCCAGGGACCCGAAGAATTGGGTTGTGCGCGTGGCGAAGACGAAAGAGCATCTTGGTGCAAAGGGCGCATTGCATTTGGTTCACGGCGTGGATGTGGCGAGGGCCGTTGTGGGTACTGTCTCGAGGGATATCGGAGGGCAGAAGGACAGAGAGAACGAGGAAAAGAAGAGCTTGTTTGGACGCAGATGGATTGTCGCTGATTGCGTTTCGTATGATTGGTGGAGTCTGGTGTGGGATTGGATGGGCGAGAGTGAGGACGATGGCGGGATAGAGAGGGATACGGTCCAGGCAGAGGAAAAATCAAAGTATCGTCGCTGGATTATCGAGTTGATGGCTGAGAACAACGTTCGAGGACTACCGCGGTCGGTGGATGCGTTGGGCCGGAAATTGGACGCCAGAGAATTCTGGACGGTGATTGGAATTGTTCCTGAGATGACTCTGAGAAGATGAATGGGAATCCTGGCAGAAAGAGGGAGAGGGAGAGAGAGAAATCAAAGAAGTGGTCAAGTTTCCACGGTCGTGCTGGGCATCTGAGGTATAATATGATGTCTTTTCATTCCTCAAGCACAAATGCTGGCAAACCTGTCCAAGGTACTGCGAGGTCAATGGTTCATCTGGCCATCTCCGTCAAGTTGAGTGATACAAAGGTCAACTGAGGGAGATTGGATCGACCAAGACATATGTCTTTGCTAAACAGATCATCCCATCGTTTCTGAACACCCCGCGGCGAAACTTGAGCTTCCTTCACCGCTGTGTGGAATTTCCAGCAATTTACACACTGGCCTTGACTTTCCCTTATTCGATTTCTTCTATCATGATCTTGTGAGTACTAAAAGGGTCGAAAAGGCTGAATTGGATAAAGTAGGATCTTTGGGACAAGGCATCGCAGACAAGGAGGGGGAGCCGTAGGGAGTCCGCTAATGTCAGATTGGCCCTTCAGGTACTCTCGATAGCGAGGACTCAGTAGCATAATGATAGGATACGACAGAGAGGGCTACTGAGCCAGGAGGATCATCTCGTGGTCTATAATAGAGCGTGAAGAGAGTGTAGAGAGGAGTTTCCGACGGTCCTATTGCATGCAGTATTCAGACGGGCATGAAATTGATGGCGCTTGATACTGTGCGGGGGACGTCATTCAACTGCCTCACTCCTATCAACCGCCACCAACCCTCCCTCCCTGACTCTCTGGGCTTCTTCTCGCATCCCTTTCCTTTTCTGCTGTCAGAGAAAACCCCTTCCGCGCTCTGGCTTCTAATCCTCCTTCGAGCCTGGGTTTATCCCGGCCTCGCTCCAAATTTCTCTCCGGAGCCCGATTCGCAAGATCCCGACCGGCGCCATCGATCCTGATCAACGATGGATCTTCGAATTGCTTGTCCTATAGCATGAGAGTCACCACATGACCCACGGCCGTCTTACCGCCGTCCGTCTCTTCATAAATTCTAGTGCAAGTTGTTTCTTCCGTCCAATCAAATCCATACTCTCTTCCAAACACGACATTGTCGGTGTAGCTGCCACACCATGACGTCTGCTTTCTCTTTCACACTACTTTACCATTCTTATTGCTAGTCCTTTTCCCTCTAGCCTCTGGTCTCCTATCTACCCCGAACCGAGCACACCTTTGCGAGAGCATCACCGCCGGCGAGACTGGATATTTACAGCACAATACCTACCCGTCACTGCATCATGTTTGCGTCCCCAGTCAATTATAGAAGCTGATTAACAATCGGCCGATAACGGCTCCGGCTATCCAAACCAATTCCGTTCCCAATTAGCTTGTGCTGCAAGGCCTCCGATCGGAACCCTTTCTTCCTCTCATAGAATCATGTAACACGCCCCAATAGCTTCCAAAAATGGCGGAACAGGCTTTAGGACTAACCTTGAACGCTGTTCCCATTATTGTCAAGCATGGTGATAAGGTCTGGGATCCCATTCAACACCGATACAAGAAGATGCGTGAACAATTACCTCGAGAGGACTCCCATGTTTATGACAGCCGCACAATGGAAGAGAAGGGCCTCCACTTGCGCCGACGGCGCGATGTCGCCTCGGACGAAGAGATCGTCGAGGTTGTGAGACACAAAGGCGAGAACCTCCCCAGACGTCCAAACCATCGCGGATCACCTCGAAGATCCCGTTCAGTCAACAATTCTCGAGCAATGGGTGCCAGTGCAGCTGCTGGTGCAGGTACTGCGGCCCTTGTTCGCTACCGAGACCGACGGGACGATTATTCCGACTCTGAGGGCTCTATCCCCCCTCGTTCCCGTGTTCGACCGAAATCCACCTCGGGTCGATCTCGACGCCGCCGTAGCTCCTCCAGTTCCTCGTCTTCGTCCTCTTCGTTGATGTCTTCCACCGAGGAGGAAAAGAACTGTCGCAAATTGCAACGCAAAAAGTGGATCACAGCGGCCCTGGCTAGCGTGGCCACCATTCATGCAGCTTCCAAGATCTACAGCTCCATCGAATCTCATGATAAGCGCAGGGAAAAAGTTCGAGAAGGGAAGTTATCTCCCGAAGACGCACACAAACAACAACGGGCCTCTCGCTGGCAGGATGCCGCAGCCATTGGAATCGCTGCACTGGGCATAAAAGGTGCCGTGAGTGAGTGGAATGAAGTATCCGAGGAGCACAGTCAGCATAAAGAGATGTTGTTGCTACGGGAAGAACATCACAAACAGCGATTGGAAAGGGAACGCCGACGACGAGCCAGAGAGAGGGGCGGTTACTACAAGGGCCGAGACGGACACTGGTATTACGATGGCCCCACTCCACAGAGCAGTGAAAGCTACCGTGGCAGTGGAGTTGGAACCAGATACGACGATTCGAATTTGATCAAGGATTCAGATCGTGAGAGGAGAATGATTGAAGACGAGGAGGATGACAGGAAGGACAAGTCTCGACGTGCGGTGAGTCATGGCCGTGGAGATGGCCGCTGATATTCCTCGCCTCCCCTTGCTCTCTTTGAAAATTTGTTCATAGGTGCGACCGTCTTGTCTTTTTAAAAATGAAGGGGAAGGGGAAATTTTCAAAAAACAAAATAAAAAGGATTGTTTGGCTGACGGATTATACTTCGTTGTGGGAACGAAGACTAGGAGCCTGTCGCCTCTGAAATACAAGAAAAAGCCAGAGAAGACTCGCACTACTGTCGCCAATTTCGGTGCTGAAGTTCTCGAAGAGGTGATGAAACTCAATGCATGACGATTTCAAGGGTCAGCATCTTGATTTGGGGGATGTAGTTTCGCACCGCTGGACGAAAGACTTTTTACATCTGTTTACGCATCGGTAGGGCCCTGCTGCATTGAACATAGAAGAAGAGGAGAGTGAATGGGAATGCATGATGATATAGAGATGAGACGATGAAATAGGACTGGCAGCCTTGTTACCTCGATACATAGTAGCGGCGTTGGAGCCTTACTTGAACCCCCCCCCCCCCCCCCCCCCCCCCCCCC